TAATTAAAACTAATTACACTTTGTTTAGTCTCCCATACCAAGGGCGAGCCTTCGCCCGTTTCCCCTTAGCCGCCCACGTCCGTAACTGGAGCGCCGCGGGCCTCAGAGTGAGTTTACCATCGAGGAAACGTGTGTGGGTGAACCGGGCGCCCTCGCGCGCTAGCGGAGGATGACAAAAACATACCTGCCCCCCTCGCGGCGAGGGAGAGAGAGAGAGAGAGAGAGAGAGAGAGAGAGAGAGAGAGAGAGAGAGAGAGAGAGAGAGAGAGAGAGAGAGAGAAAGGGACGCACCACCTTGGTCCCGTCGTTCCTGACATCGCCGAGGAGCTCGCTGTAGTGCCGCGTGTCCATGACGAGCTGACGGACGTACTCGTGCGCGAGGGCGACCTGCTCGTCGCCCCTAGGCGCAGGAAGGTCGGCGTTGAGGCACACGAGGTACAGGTACTGGAGGGCCTCGACGGCGTCCGACTGGGCGAACAGGCGCGTGTAGCGATGCAGGAGGCGAGCGAACGAGAGCGACGGGGTATCCGTGTTGCCGTCGACGACTGCGAGGCGGATACGGGAGCGAGGGAAGGGAGGAGAGGTGAGTCTGGGTCGGCCTGAGCGACGAGGAATGCGGAACAGGCGACGTACGCAGCTCGACCTCGGCGGTCTTGGACCGTGGCGGCACACGCAGCAGGCCGTAGTACGCGAGCGCGATGGCGAAGTGGACGGCGTCGGCCTGGTAGTGCGAGTGCTGCTGGAGGAACGCGATGGCCTGCAAGGAGGGGAGGGAGAGTTAGAGACGGGCTCTGAACAAGATAGGGAGGGGACGGCGAGATCGGGACGCACGCGCTCGAACTGGCCACTGAGAAGGAGGACCTGGAAGTACAGGAGCGGCCTCGAGCCCTTCGGGACAAAGTGCGCCTCGCCAAACTTGCGCAGGACGGCGGCGAGGTCGCGCAGGCCGTACTTCTCGTGCGGCGCCTCGCCCTGGCCCTCGGTCTCGCGCACGAGCGACAACTGGAACCAGAGCCAGTCCTCGGTCGTCTGCGTGACGCCGGGCACGTTGCGCCGCGAGATCTCGACGCGGCCGACGAGCTTGTACAGGGCATGCTTGTAGGGGTCGCTCGTGTCGGTCAGGTACCGGATGCGCTGGTTGTACTCGGCGAGGAACCGGTCGCGAAGGAGCTTGGGCAGGCGGCGGTCCGGGGCGTCGAGCCACGCCTTGAAGTACGGGACGAAGCTCTTCTCGAGCTTCTGGATCGCCTGCTCGTTCTCGGTCGCGAACGCGAGCGCCTCCTTGGCGTGACCCGAGCGCAGGAGGTAGTAGATGCGGGCCCACACCGGCGTGTTGTTGGCGATCTGTGGCGGCGGACGACGACGAGGGTGAGCGTCACGAAGGGCGAACGGGACGAGGGCGGACGAGCAGGGACGCACCTCGAGAACCGAGTTGGCCCACTTGCCGTTCTTCTGGTACTTGACGTTGAGGAACGCGCGGATCTTGTTCTGGATCGACGGGACGCCCCCGAGCGACGCCTCGGCCGGGCGCGAAGCGAGCGTCTTCTCGACGTAGGCGAGGAACCTGTGGCGGGAGATGCTCGACGGCATCAGTACGACGGCCATGCGGGTGTCGTCTTGCAGGCTGGGGGCTGGACCGAGGTAGAGAGAGAGAGAGAGAGAGAGAGAGAGAGCCGGACGCACTGCTCCTCGAGGTAACCCTTTGCGCCGTCGCCGATCATCCTCCTCAGCTCGACCACGCCCTGCTGCTCTTGGTCCTCGGCGAGGTACGCTTGGGCGTACTGGCGCTCCTGGAGAGCGGTGCGCTGGAACTCGCCGTTGAGGACGTCGCGCTCTTGGACAAGGTGCGACAGGAGGCGCCACGTCTCGGTCGTCTGGGTCGCGCGCTGTAGAGTGACCGGGTGTCAGTGACCAAGAACGAGAGCGCAAGGGACGAGGGGCAGAGGGACCGAGGACGCACCGAGTCGCCCGAGGAAGAGCCGACGCTCGCCTCGCCGAGCGCCGACACGAGGCCAAACGCGAAGCCCTCCTTGCGGAACTCGTTGAGGCGCCGGATGACACGGTCGTAGCGCAGCATCTTGGAGTGCATCTGGAGGGAGCCAGAGGCGGAAGGAAGAGGTGGTGCGGGTGCCTGTCGGGGTGAAAGAGCGTCAAGTCGTGGAACGGCAAGAGGCAGAGAGAAAAGGGAGCGAGGACGCACCGAACGCTCAAAGCCGCTCTGGCCGCCCTGACGCCTCGACGCCTCGTTGCTCGGCCCGGCCTGGGCCTGGTGCCGGCCGAGCTCGTCGAACATCTTCTCCTTCTGGCGCTCCCACTCGCGGCGCATCTTGGTGTCGAGGTTGCGGTAAAAGTCGGCGGTCGTGGCGCGGCGGCCCTCCTCGATGGCCGAGATGATGGCCTGCTCGTGCGTGTGGCGGACATAGCCCTGCACAGACGGGCAAGGGGTGAGCTGCGCTGCCCGGCGCGAGGAGAAGGAGAAGGACGAGCGACGCACCTCGACGTCGGTGTCCGAGAGGGGCACGAGAGGCTCGAAGGTGCCAGCGAGGTTGACCGTGTTGATGTTGCTCGACAGCTGGTCGGCGTTGACGCCGCCCGAGGCGAGCAGGTAGGCGCTGCAGGGAGGGGGAGGGGGGGGGGGGGACAAAGGTGTGAGCGCGGGATCTGACGGACTAGGCTCGCCCTCTGTGGGTCCTCCGACAGTTGACGGGACTGCTGCATCCGCCCGCGGGCCCCCTGCGCGAGCGGAACTCCTTCATCGCCTGGAGCGAGACCTCGCTCCCCCGCGCTCGAGAGACTGAGAGAGTGAGACGAGGACGCACGCGTTGCCCGTGTGGCCGGCCTCCTTGAGGCTCCTGCCGGCGATACGCCTGCTCTGGGCCTCGATCTGGTCGAGGCCGAGCTGGATGGTGGGGAGGTCGACGGCGGCGAGCGAGGTCGACGTCTGGAGCTGGCGCGAGCGCTCGAGGAGCGCAGCGAGCGAGTCGGCCATGGTACTCTGGAGTGTGCCGAGAGTCTGGCTAGGCAGTCACTCTGTCGCGAGAGGCTGGTGCCGAGGTGAGGAGGGAGCTCTCGCTGTTGCTCCTCTCGTCGTCGTCCAACTCGCTCACCTTGTCCTCAGCGACCACCACGCCCCCTAGCGTGACCGCTCTCGCATGTGCTACTTCGACGAGTGCTCGCTGAGTCCAGCCCGACTCCCGCCGAACCTCTCCGCGAGATCTCTTCGCCTCGCTCTCCTCCTCGCCTGCTCGCTTTTCGACTCTCCGAGTCTCGCTCGCCGTGCTCTCAGGTTTGGCTCGCCGTGCTCAAGCGGTACACATATGGCACTGCAACGCAAAGCTGTACAGCCTCGGCCTCGCGGGACCTGCCCGCCTCCTGTCACCCCGTCAAGGCGACGCTCACTGGACCATCTCGTCCTCGTCGAGCAGCGCGGCGAGCCTGCGCTCGAGCAGGTACGGCGACGTCGCGTCGACGTGCGGGAAGTCGCTGCGGCGCTTGTTGCCGCCAGTCCCTGCTGCAGCCGGGCGGCCGAGGTGCTTTATCAGTCGAGGCCAGAGGGGAGGGGGCGGATGAAGAGAAACCGTGGGACGCACCGCCGCCCTGCTGCTGCTGCTGTTGCTGCTGCTGCTGCTGGCCGCCGCTCGAGGCCGAGCCCGCGTTGCCGACACCCTGCTGCTGCTGCTGGCCCGCGCCGTTACCGCCGTTCTGCGCGCCGGCGTTGAGCCCGAGCGCAGTCGCGACGGCGTTCGGGTCGTTCGAGGCGACCTGCAGACGAGGAGAACGAGGGGGAGGAGAGAGGTAGAGAGAGGGTCAGTCAAGATCCTGGGCCGGGCTCGAAAAGAGGGGAACGGGCGGCGCACAAAGTAGACGGCGTCGTCGAGCGAGCCATGCTGCGCGACCCCGACGAGTGCCGGCTGGTGGTTCGACGCCGAATTGATGCTGCTGTGGCTCGGGCGCATGCGCGTATGTCAGTACGTGGCAAGAGAGGGAAGGGGAGACGGGCAGGCCGAGACGAGCAACTAACCTCATCTGCGTGCGGCGACGACGGCGAGCAAGAGTCAGCGTCTGAGAGCTCGACGCCCACGGGTGAAACTGTGCAGGGGTCGGGGCGAGACGGCGGTGGCGGCGGGGAGAGGCAAGGGTGCGAGAAGGAAGAGGAACGTCCGGGGCGCACCTTGTAGACGCCCTCGGGGAGCCCGCCCTTGACGGCTGCGCTCAGGACGCCGTTGACCGCCGGGTCGTTGAGGCCCTTGAAGAAGGCGAACTTGGTCGGGTCGGTGACGGCCGTCGACGTGAGCGAGTCGATCTGCTCGACGACGACGTGCGAGTGACCTGCGCGAAGAGACGGCGCCGTGAGCGACACGTCGACGGCAGACACGCACGCCTTAGAGTGGAAGAGACTGGCCGATGATGATGCCCTGGCCGTTGGTCGCTGCGGAGCTGTGGGAAAGGCGCAAGGGGAAGGAGGTTGAGAAGGTCGAACGGTGCGTCGACGAGGAGGGTGCGAGAGAGGTCGAGGACGCACCCGAGAAGTAGTCTGCGTTCACCAGAGTCTCGTAAGAGGAGTGCTCGTTAGGAGAAAGGGCGAAGAAAAGGACGCACTCTGCTGAGCGTTGACCTGTGAGACGAGGCGAGGCGAGGCGAGGGGCGGGTGCGAGATTGTCAGTATCACTTCTCTCATTGCCGGCCCGACAGAGAAAGAGAGAGGACGCACAAAGTTGCCCGTCTGAAGCTGTATGGGGAGGAAGCGAGGGCAGGGGAAAGTCGAGGTCAGAGAGTGCGCTCGAGCCTCTCCTCCCAAACGCCCGTCTCAACGTCTCGCTCGTCACGCCGACGATGAGAGAGAAGCATGGACGCACGTTGTTGATCGCCATCGTGATCGTGAAGTCCTGGTTGGGCGGAATGACCTGCGAGGAAGAGGAAAAGGAAGAGGGTGCGAGGAAGGTCAGGTTGATCGACTCGACGAGGGTGACGGAGACGAGGGCGAGACGGGACGCACGTCGAGGTTCTTCGGGTTGGTGAACTTGCACGACGGCGCCTTGTTCTGAGCAGCAATGACGCCCATCGGGACGGCGTTGCACGACCCGCCGATGACCCTGTGTCGCGAGGCTCGAGCAGAGTCAGTTCACGGTCGCCTCGTCTGGGCGAGAGAACTCGTGCAGAACGGGGGAGGAGAGAGAGAGGGAGGTGCAGGAGACAGGCAAGGAGGAGCAAGACGCACTGCTGGCCGTTGGTGAGCGGCTGCGGGTGGGAAGGACGAGCGCCGAGGAGAGTCAGGACTTGGGACGACTCGTGACGTCTCGTGCAGCTTCTGAGAAGGGGAAAGAGGACGCACGAGGTCGGTGCGGAGCAGGCAGCTGTTGATGAAGTTGTTGACGCTCGTCGCCGAGGCGACTTGACCTGCTCAAGGGGGATCGGGCGCACGAGGTCAGTCCGCGCTCCCTTGTCTCCCTCGATAGACGTGAAGAAAGGGACGCACCAGCAGTAGGGACAGCCTGGCCGTCGTTGACGAGGCCCTTGGCGACCTGGCTCGGGTCGATGAACAGGTTCTTTTGCGGGTCGCCCGTGTCGACGACGACGGCGGGCAGGCCCGAGGTCGAGTTGACGTTCTGCTGGCCCGTGCCCTGCTGGTCGTTGGTACCTGCGAGAGGAGGAAGCGGGGTGGGTCAGTCAGATGCTCGCCACCTGGCGCGTGCCGAAAACCGCTCGACGCCGAGACGGCGCCGGGTAGGCAGGGAAGACGAGAGGGAGAGCAGCCCGACGCACCCTGGCCCTGCCCGTTCGTGTTGCCCGGGTTGAGCTGGCCGTCGGTCTTCTTGGGCGCCTCGCCGACGCCCTGCAGGAACGGGTTGCCCCTCCCGCCGCCGCGGAACCGGCCGCCGCGGTTGCGCTGGCGGGCGACGAGATCGTGCGCTGCGAGGGTATGTGTGCCGGGTCAGGTTCGGACCGTCGACAGGGAGAGAGTCAGGGCGACGGACCGTCGTGGCTGTGGGCGAGGGTCGAACGCTTGAGGGCGTGAGGCGACGTCGAGTCGGTGTTGGCGGAGACGAGCGCAAAGGCGAGCAGGGCGAGGCCGCCGGCGGCCGCGAGCTTGCTCGAGAGGTGGAACATCTTGATGTGGTCGCCGAGAGACGAGGGCGAGGCGAGGTCGAGGGGACGAGACGGGGAGAGGGTGCGAGCGAGGGAAGTTGGGGAGGGAGCGAGGGCGGGCTGGCGGTGATGCAGAGGGCGACCTGCGACCTTGCGAGAGGCGAAAAAGCAAAGTGGCGTGCCGGAGGATCAACCTCGAGGCGGCGAGCGAGGGAAAAGTGGTGGGAAGGAAGGAAAGAGGCGAACGAGCCGTTGGCCTGTCCTCGACCTTCCCGCCCGCTCGCTCAGGCCGCTCTCGGCTCGTGTGCGCCCTTTGCGCTCGCTACGTTCGGCGTGCTCTCTCGAGAGAAGCAGGGGCTCGTTCTGGTGAGCTTTGGCGAGCTCTCGGTGCCGCCAAAGAGCGGTCGAGTGGCGCTCAGGCCGGCTCTCCTACGAACCGCTCTCTCGGACACGACGGTGGCGCTCGACGCCGGCGCATGGACATGGGGAAGAGGCGTCTAGTTCCATCTGCTGCTCTGACAAACTGTACAAGGTGCGGCGACACGTCCGGCGCGCGAACGAGCCTGACGGGGAGGACGCGATAAAGACAGGGTGGTCCAGTCAAGGCCGACGCGGCGCTGCGAGGGTCGGGAACCGGGACGCGGCGCATGTAGTGTGGGCGGGAAAGACGAAGTGAGAGACTCGACGGGGCGAGCGCCGGCGGGCGAGGGAGAGAGGGAGGGCGGGTAGGCTCGAGGTCGACGAGCGGGTCGACGACTCGGGACGGGGTCGGTGTATGCTGCCAGGGTATCTGAGTGTCTATGCGTCGGGCGAGGGCGAGAGGGGAAGGTGACGAGGGGTGGCCGCGAGGAGATGGTGAGAGGAGAAAAGGCGAGGCTCGAGAGCTGCGGGCGCGACAACGACGTAGCGCGAGGTCAGGACGATGCACCCTTGAGGGCTCGTATAGAGGGAACCGATCTCGACGGACCTGTTCTCAGAGCGGCGCCTGCTGCACGTCCGAGCCGGGCTGGACCGCACCCTGCTGCAGCTCCTCGCTCCTCTGGCTCAAGCCCTTGGCCTCCCGCTCGGCCCTCATCTGCAGCTTCTCCAACGGGCTCCTCGGCTCGGCCGTCTCGCGCAGACCGAGGTTGGACGTCCGGACGGCGAGCTGCGGGTGGATGCGCGAGCTCGACGACGCCGCGCCGACGGGCGGCGGGAGGGCCGAGTGGGCGTGCGGCGGGAACGAGCCGACCGAGGCCGACGACAGGTTCGAGTCGCTCGAGTTTGCGCTCGCCTCGGTGCGCAGGTTGGCGTTCGAGGCGCGCTTGGCGCGCTGCGCTGCGCGAGGGACGGACGACGAGCCGCGCGAGGACCCGCCCGACGATGACGCCGACGGCGGGAACGCGTGGTGGTGCGGCTGCCGAGGCTCCTGCGCCTGCGTCGAGCGCGCGCCGTAGCTCGCGTCAAACTCGGGCGCGAGGTGCTCCTGCTCGTCTTGGGCGAACCAGCCCTCGGCGCCGATCCCGTGCGCGGGCCCGCCTCGGCCGATGCCGCTGCTCGGCGCAAAGTCGAGCGTGGTGCGGTCGGTCGCAATGACCGACCCGGGCGGCGGCGCGAGCGGGCTCGGCGGGACGACCTCGATGCGCGAGGCCGGGTTGTGCGGCGCGCCGACGATGCGGTTGCCCGACGGGAAGTCGCGCGCGTTGCTCGCGTGCGGGATCGACGACGAGAAGGTCGAGTTGGTGCGCGAGTTGTGCAGCGTCGATGCGACGGCCGACGACGAGTAGAACGACCGGCGCGGCATGCCCGGTGCGGGCCCGCCGCCGAACGAGGCGCGCGACGACGACGAGGTCGGGAGGCCGCCGAGAGACGCGCGCGAGCCGTTGAACGAGCCCAACAGGTCGTCCTCGCGACTGGGCGGCGTGCCGGGAGAGATCGGCGTGCCCGCGTACGGCGGCGAGGGCGAGATGTCGCTGCCCTTCTCAAACCCGCCCCACGACTCGCCGCCCCAGCTCGCCTGCCGACTGCGGGCCAGCGTACCCATGCCGCTGACCGACCGTCGACCCATGCTGTCGACGCCGCCGGGACCGCCGCCGTTGAAGGCGAGGCTCATCTGGCTCGGGAGCGTCGCGAACGTGCCGCCGATCGGGCTCTTGGCGAGGCCGTACAGGTTCTCGTCGGGCATTGGCGGCTCGTCGTCGACGTGAGAGCGTCGCCAGCTCCGGTTGCGCCAGCGGTACAGCTTGTAGGCGACCCAAGCGACGACAACGGCGGCGACGATGGCGACGAGGACGGCGGCGGCGGTTGGGAACGTGTCGCCGCCATTGTTGGACGACGGTGACGGCTTGGTCGTGGGCTTGCCGTCGAGGCCGATCGAGGGGACGACTTGCGTCGCCGGAGCGATGTTGGGCGCGGGCGTGCCCGAGTCGGTGGGCGAGCCTGCGGGAACGAGATCTAGTCAGTCAGGATGTCCCGTCGCCTCGCGATGTCCCTCTCTGCTCGAGCAATGTGTCTGCTGCGCTCGACGCGCCGACGACGGTCGCGGTGCGCGATGACGAGCGGATGCTGCTCGAGGAGGAGGTCCTCGCCGGCCCGCTCCAGGACGAGCCGGTTCCTCGCCCGACCGACGACAGAGGCCGCACGGGCAGCTGCGAGGCGGCCTCGCCTCGGTGCGCTGCCGGCGGACGGCGTCGGACCCTTGGCCCAGCCTCGCCGAGAGCGCAGGCAAACAACCTCCCGTCCCGACCGTCTGAGCCAACGGGGGAGAGTGCGGGGGAGAGAGGGACGTACTGGACATGCTGGTCGGCGAGCTAGGCGGGCCGGCAGGCGGACAGGCGAGTTGCGGCGACGAGTGATCGACGTTGCGTCGAGGATGGGGAAGGGCGGACGACTCGACGGCGACGGCGGCTTGTTGGCGCTGCTGGGCGGGCGAGGCGGATGCAGGGCAGCCTGCGAGTCGTCTTGTCGAGCTGCTGAACCGCCTTGACCGAGTCGAGTGGGCGAGAGCGAGGGTGCGCTAGGGCGGCCGAGGAGCTGCGAGTGCCGGGCGCAGCTTAGGCGGCTGCTTGACGAGGCTGGGGCGAGGCAGTGGGCGCAGTTGTGCACACGCTGGTCCTCGACTGCAGGGCGCACTCGAGAGAGCAGGGTCGGGGCGAGGTCGACTCTGGCCTGGGCGCACCGCGTCGCCGACACGGACGGCGACCATGCTCTCACGCTCGAATGCTGCCGCCAGTGCTCTCGCTATGGCGGGACTGAGACCACCGCCTCGTGCCGGCATCGTCGCCAGCGTCAGAGGGCGCGGGCGGAAGCGGAACGTGCACGCACGCTCGAGAGACCGTGCGACGACGACGGCGACGACGACGCTCCAGCTCGAGAACGAGGGAACGTCTGGGCAATACAAAACGAGGGAGCAGTACGACATCTAGGGGTATGCGATGCTGAGAGGGTGACAGAGACAGAGATGCGGCGGGTACAAGAGGGGAGAGGGAGGAAGAGAGCTCGACGACGGCGACGACGACGACGACGACGGCGACGACAACGACGGTGACGATTTGCGGACAGGTCGAGCGTCTAAAGGGTCGCAGCAGCAGGGTGCAGGTCCGCGAGCTCGACTTGCTGCCAGATGGTCGCCTCGAGCTGCGGTGGAGCAAGTGCGCCGGCGAGAGGAAGTCAGGACCGGGCGTCCCGAGCGACGCAGACGGGCGAGGGGCGAGGACAGGGGACGCACCTCTTTTGCCCGCACAGGTTTGGCGAGGTAGGTCGACATGCCGGCCTCGAGACAGCGTTCTCGGTCGCCGGCGATGGCCGACGCCGTGAGGGCGATGATGCGCAGGTTGCGCACACGTGGATTGTGCGAGCGGCGGATTCGGGCGGTCGCCTCGTACCCGTCGACGCCGGGCATCTGACCCTGCGGGTGCGGCAGCGAGTCAGTGGGTGCTGCTCGAGAAAGGGGGTGAAGAGGACGCAGTCGACGCACGTCCATGATGACGACCGAGTACTCCTGCCGCTCGACCTGCTCGACGGCCTTCTGGCCATTGTCGACGGCGTCGACGACGAACCGAGCCCGGCGCAGAGTGCGAGTGAGGATCTCGCAGATCAGGTCGTTGTCCTCGGCGAGCAGGATGCGCACGTCCTCGGGCCGCCTCCTCGAGCGGATCTCGACGGTGCTCTCCTCGGTCGGCCGCACAGGCGATTGTGCGCCGCCTGCCGAGCCGTTGGCGCGAGGGTCGGCCGTCAAGTCGGCGAGCGAGGTGGTCGAACCGGGCGGCGCCTTGTTGAATGGGATCGTGATCGTCATGCGCGAGCCCTCGCCCAGCTTCGACGCGAGCTCGATCGTGCCGCCCATCATCTCGACGAGCTGCAGGAGGTCGAGAGGGTGAGCTCGACCTTGAGGGAGAGGGCGGAGAAGCGAGAGGGAGAGAAGGGACGCACGTTCTTGGCGATGGTCAACCCGAGGCCCGAGCCGCCGTACTCGCGCGCTGTACCCGCACTCGCCTGCTTGAACGGCCGGAACAGCGTCGGCAAAACGTCGCTGTCGATGCCGACGCCCGTGTCGGCGACGATGAAGCGAACCATGACCCGCTCCTCGTCCTCGCCGATCTGCTGAACCATGAGCGTGACCTTGCCGTCGCCTGGGGGCCGGGCACGAGTCAGTCACGTGCACGATGCCTGAAGAGAGGGAAGAGGACGCACGCGTAAACTTGATCCTGCAGGCGGCGAGCGGCGAGTCAGTCGGAGGTCCGCCGAGAGAGAGGGGGAGAGAAGAGGGGACGGACGAGTTGCCGATTGCGTTGGCGAGCACCTGTCGCAGTCGCAGGCGGTCACCGAGAAGCACACCCTTGTACGCGATGTCGATCTGCTCGTCGAACTCGAGGCCCTTCTTCTGCGCGATGACGCCGAACAGGCGGGCGTCGGCAAGCGCGTCCGAGAGGGCGAACGGTGCCGCCTCGAGCCGCAGCTCGCCCTGCTCGACCTTGCGCACGTCCAGGACCGCACCGACGAGGTCGAGGAGCAGCTCGCCGCTCCGGACGGCCTTGTCGACGAGCGCGCGTTGGTCCTCGGCGAGACGGTCGCTGTCGGCGAGGAGGAGCCTGCACGAGGAAAGACCGTCAGGGCGTGCTGCTCGTACCCGACGAGACAGAGAGGGCCGCAGACGCACTCGCAGATACCGAGAATGCCGGCGATGGGCGTGCGGATCTCGTGGCTGACGGTCGTGAGGAACTCGGTCTTGAGCCGGCTCGCCTCGCGCGCAGCGAGCTCCGAGGCTGCGAGCTCGCCCGCCTTGACCCGGCTGATCTCGAGGGCCCGCTCGGTACGCACACGCTCAGTGACGTCGGCGCCCACGGCGATGCAGCCCGAGACGGCCTTGGCGTCGGGGTGAGAGGCGGGAATGGAGGGGTCGCCATGGAGCGGGACGAGCTGTGGACGAGGATGCGGCGGTGAGTGAGCGCGCAGGGCCGGGAAACGTGAAAAGGGGACGAGGGACGCACTCGATAGCGGTTGTAGATCGTGTTGCCCTCGGCGTCGAGCATCTCGGTCTGTATCGCCACGACCTCGACCTCCTCGTCCAGGATCTGGCGCACGCCGTCACGCAGCGCCTCGTCGGCGCACACGTCGTGGAAGGGAAGACCGACGAGCTGACGCGGGTCGGTGCAGGAGCTGAAGCTCGGCGCCTTGCCCTCGCAGAAGGTGATCGTCTGCGGGCGACGAGAAGGGTTCAGTGAGGACCGAGGGAGGGAGGGAGAGGGCGCTTGCGCTTGCGCTTGCGCACCAGGTTGACGTCGATCGTGAGGAGAGTGAGCTCTGCAGGTTGAAGCGTGCGCGTCAGGATCGCCGTTCGGCGCAAAGAGAGAGGCGAGGGCGGCAGGACGCACCTGAGCCCGCGAGGACGGCTTTGGTGCGCTCCTTGACGAGGAGGGCGTCGTGCCGAGTCTTGACGAGATCGTCAATGTTGGTGATGTTGCAGTACCACGCCGAGCGCTGTTTCGGGACACAGGAAAAGCGGCGAGATCGTCAGGGCGTGCGCGACGAGCGCGACCGAGGGGAGGGAGAGGGCCAGAGCGACGCACCTGCCCGTCGTCGCCATAATGCGCCCGGCCCTGGCACATGTGCCACCGTAGAATGCCGTCTGCGCCCTTGATGCGGTACTCGAACGAGAAGTCGTCGCCCGACTGCATGGCGCCGAGGTAGACGCCGAACGCGTGCTCGAGGTCGTCGGGATGATACATGGCTGCTCGGCGCTCGTCGAGAGTCAGTCGACGTCCTCGACCTCGAAACTGGAAAGGAGAAAGGAGGAGAGGGACGCACACATCCACTCGTCGAACGTCGGGTTGAACTCGCTCGGCTGGCCGGTGTAGCGGAACCAGGACGCGTTGAGCCACAGGACCTGGCCCGCCGGGTCGGCGATGAAGGCCATTTGCGGCATGGTCTCGATGAGGTTCGAGAGGTTGGCGAGCGTCAAGGGCAGCCTCGCGTCGCGCTCGCGGTGGGCGAGGGCGTCCTGGACCTCCTGCTTCTGCTCGGGCGAGGGCCGGCCGTCGAGCTCACTCGCGCCCTCGACGTCGCTCGCGACGGCGGCTCCTGCACGGTCTCGACTCGCGCCGTCGGCGTCCATCGGGTCCGGGCGCTCGTGCACGGGCGACAGGACGGCGCCCGACGCGTCCTCGTCGTTGATCGGCATGCGGTAGTGGGCGATGCGGCCCGCGCTCGCCTCGACGACACGCGACAGGTTGATGAGCGAGTCGGCGATCGCCGGATCGCGGGTGGGCGGGGCGTCCCTTAGGCCGGAGGGTAGGCGGCCGCGCCTGCGCGACGTGGTCGAAGAGGCGGTCGAGGACGAGTCGTCGAGCTCGAGTGACGACACATCGGGCGTGGCACGAGCACTGCTCGTCGGTGGGGAGGGCGCCTCGGCAATGTTCTTGGTCGCGAACGACATGGCGTTGCGGACGTCGGGCGTGTGCGGGAGGTGGAGGCGGTCCTTGCCCGTGACGAGGCGCCGCTTGCTCTTGGCGCCCGACTCGGACATGTTCTCGGACGACGAGTATGCCCGGTCGAGCGGAGGAGGTACAGGGTCGTGGTCGAGGTGGGACGAGGGTTGCGGAGAGGGCGAGAGGCGCGCAGAGGCGGCGAAGGAAGGGGAAGGGGCGGATCGGTCGCGGGCGCGCGCGGGTCGGAGGAACAGGACGGTGTAGGTGGTGCTCGGCGAGGGCGTCGAGGACGAGCTCGTCGCAAAGGCGCTGTCGGGCGACCGCTTCGCCGGCGACGACGAGGACGAGGTCGACGCCGACACCTTGACGACGGCTCGCTCGACCTGCCGGCTGGCGCCTCGCCCGACGACGTAGTCGAGCTCGAAGCCGTCGCCCCACGGCAGCGCCTTGGACCGCCGTGCGAGGTCGTCGAGCTGCTCGCGCACGAGGTGGTCGGCGTCGCCGAGGCCGGCGAGGAGCTCGCCTGCTGCGACGGCTGGTGGCAGGCCGAACGACGGCTCGAGGCCCAGGAGGCGGTAGGCGGCAGGCGACGCCTTGGTGAGGACGAGCCGAGTCGGGCTCGCTGTTGCTCCTGGTGGTGCCGGCGGCGGCGACGGCCCCGCGGCAAAGTGAACGACGGCGACGTCGAGCGCGGCGCAGTCGAGCAGGTCCATCGGGCGAGTGCGCAAGCTCGCTGCAGCAGAGCGCGACGAGCGTGGTGCGGAAGCGAGGCGTTCAAGATCCTCCCGCCTCCCTCGATTCGATGTGAGCGTCTCGGCTCTCACTCTCCCCCGCACCTCGGCTACCGAGTGCGTGGTGCGAATTACAGTAGGCTCGCCGTCAGCCGCCAGGCTCTCAGTACTTCTGGCGCAATCTGGCTCGTCGATCGTCGACAAGTCGTCGCACTCGCACGGGCCCTCGCTCGCCAAAGCTACGACCGCCGCTCGACCAGCTCTCCCTTGCCCGCCGCACCTGCCGCCGTCGACGACGACGACGCTCCTGCTCCTGCACCGGTCCCGAACCACCGCTTGAACCCCCTTCGCTCGCTCGGGACCGTCCGCAGGGCCTTGGGCACCCGCTCCTCGAGGCGCGCCTTCTCGCGCCGGTCCTCCTCGACCTGGTCCCGCGTCTTCTTGGGCGCCGCCGTCGCCGCACCGCCACGCTCCGAGTGCGACTTGTCGCTGCGGCTCGTGCGCGGTTGCCCGCCGCCGCCGCCGCCGTGGTGGTGGTGGTGGTGGTGGTGGTGGGGGTGCGGCGGCCCGGCGAGAGGGCTGCTCGTCGTGGGCGCAGCCGGCTTGGGCGCGACGCCGACGAACGAGACGCCGCCGTGTCCTTGGCCGAGAACGGGCGCGACGGCGGGCACAGACGCAGTCCCGCCAGCGGCGACCGTCGTCGTCGAGCTGCTCTTGGCCGAGCCGGACCGGGTGGACGTTGGCGAAGCGGCACGAGCGACAGGAGGGGCCACTGCGCCGCCGTCGACGGCGTGGTAGTGCGCACTGCGAGGCGAGGTCGCCTTGGCGGGCACGATGACCGTGTCGAGCTCTTGAGAAGGTCGACGGCGATGCGTCGTTGTCGCGGCCGATGACGACGTGGCGCTCGGCGAGACGCTGCGACGGCCGTGTGCAGCAGATGAAGGCGGCCCGAGTCGGTCGACGGGAGGGATGGCGCGCCAGGAGGGAACGGACGTCGGGGTCGGGGTTGGGGGCGCCGAGGACGAGGGAGAGGTCGAGGCTGCGAGGAAAGCCGAGTCAGTTCACGGCCGACGAGGAGAGGAAGAAGAGAGGCGAAAGCGACGCACCTGCACTACTCTTGCTGATCGTCTCGAACGTGAAGCCCGGCGCGACCGGCACCTCCTTGCGCGCGCCGTTGCCCAACCGCCGCTCGCGCTCGTCGCGCTCGACAAGCTCCTTCTCGGCCTTGAGGCTCTTGCCGTACGCCGCGAGCTGGTCCTTGAGGCTGCGCTGGCTCGTCGCCCTGCTGCCGCTCGAGCCGTTCGAGCCGGCGCGAGACGATGACGCGCCGGCTTCGTGCGCGAGGGCGAGGAGCTCGCGCTCGACGCGTTGAACGCGCGAGCGCGCCTGCGCCTGCGTCTTGGGCTCGTCGTCCTCGGACACAGGTGCGGCGCCGGGTCGAGACAACGAGGGCGGGGCGCGCAGCTCGTACACGGGCGCGAGGTGCCGCCCTTGCGGCGGGCCCATGGGCACGGCCGTCATCGACGCCTCCTTGCCCTTGCCATGGCGGCCCGCCGCGTTGGTGCCGCTGGGCGAGCTCGGCGTTCCGACGCTCGTCGGCGCCGTGCTCGTCGACGGGGCGAAGCTGTAGCTCGAGCGCGCGGCGAGCGAACCGTCGGTCGACGCCGAGTTGCTGCGCGCGCGGTTCTGCGCCGCGGTCGCCTCGAGCGACATCGAGGGCGACGACGAGGAGGATGCGGCGGCAGGGTCGAGGAAGGTGCGGCGGACGTCGACAGAGGGCGGGACCCGCGAACGAGGTGGGCCCGAGCCCGAGCCGGGCGCACCGCCGTCGTCGTGTTCAGTCGAGGACGCCCACTCGCCGACGGCGGCGCCGCTGCCGCTCGACGATGGGCGGGACGACGCCGTGCTCGCCGTGCCGCCGCCGCCGCCGAGGGTCCCGCTCGGGCCGCTCTCCTCGCGCGAGCGGCGGAGCTGGACCTGCAGCTGATGGAAGTGCTGCTGCTGCTGCTGGCTGAGCTGCACCTGCTGGAGGAGCGGCGAGCGCGCACCGGTCGCCGGGCCCGGGTTCGAGGTGGCGCGAGCGCGACGGGGTGAGGTGGGCGAGGTCGGTGCGGGATTGGCGGCGGTGGACGGCGTGGCAGGAGGAGGTGACGGGACAGGCGGCGGCGTGCCCTCGTAGTCGTCGTGAAAGACGCTGCTGTCGGCGTCGAAGCTCGAGTGGCCGTCGCCGAACGAGCTCCTCGAGAGCTGGCTGCTCTGGCGGGGGCGGTAGAACTGGTGCGAGGCGGCGCGAGCGAGGGTGCCGACAGGTGAAGGAGGTTGCTGAGGTGGGACGAGGGGGAGCTGAGGTGCCCGCGTTTGGACCGGCGTCGGCGCGTCGTCCTCGTCGTCCTCGTCCTCGATGGGGTCCATGGCCCGCTCGGCCACGGCCGACGTCGGGCCCTGGTACGAGTCGCGCCGCAGCGGACGATGTACTTCGAGACTGCGACGATGCTCGGCGTACTCGGCGCCGTCGTCCTCCTCGCCCGAACGCTCGCCGTCCTCCTCGCTGAGGACGCTCGCGTCGCTCTGCCGCCTGCTCCCGCCGCCCGCGCCGCCGCGCCCGAACGCCTGCCGCAAGGCTGCGCGAGGATGTGCCGCCTTCTCCCACACGCTCGGGAGGCTCGGGCGCCGAGTCGTGCTGCCGGCGCCGGCGTCCTGGCGGGACCGCTGCCGCGACACGGGCCCGCCGAGCCCGGCCGCGCCGACACCGTTGATGGCGCCGAGCGAGATCTGGCTCGACGACGCCGGCGAGGCCGAGCCGAGGTGCGGGCTGTGGCCGGTGGTCGACGACGCGAGGCTCGCGAGCGAATGCAGGCTCGAGTTGGACGCGAGGCCGAGCGCGTGGAGGGGCGCCGTGTGCGACGCGTGGGCGAGCTTGCTCGCGAGGGCGTCGAACGAGCGCTGGGCGCTCACGCCGCCTTTGCTCGAGCGGCGCGTCATGCTCAGCGACGAGCGGACGCTCGGCGCGCGCCCGCCGCTCGAGCTGCCGCCGCCGCCGCCGCCGCTGCGCGAGCTCGCCTGGCTGCCGGCCTCGTCCGTGTCGTCCATCTGGGCGGCGCGCGTGTGCAGGAGGGCGGCGGCGTCGCGGTGGCCGTTGGCGGCAGCCATCTGGGCCGGCGTCAGGCCGTGCTTCTCGGGCACTCGCGGGTCGGCGCCGTACGACAGGAGGAGGACGAGCACCGACATGTGCCCGTTGGCCGCGGCAAAGTGGAGCGGCGTCGAACCTGCAGGAGGCGGAGAGTCAGTCGCTGAGCTGGACGGACAAGAATGGGGAGCGAGACGAGGGTGAACGGACCTTGCGAGCCGACCGAGACGCCGCTCGACTTGCTGCCCTCGCGCGTGTACCGCCTCGACAGTCTCGGGCTGTTGACGTCGGCGCCGGCCTCGATGAGCATGCGGACAATGGTCTCGTTGCCGGACGAGGCGGCGGCGTGAAGCGGGAGGACGCCATTGAGGACCGAGTTGACGGGTTGGCCGTGCGACAGGGCGTACTGGACGAGGCCTGCATACGAGGTGCGAGTCAGTGGTGGTGCCCGATGGTGTCGATGCTGCCTCGACGGCCGGCCGCACACAGCTGGGTCGGCCCCACCCCGCGCTCTCTCTGCGGGCCGTCGTCGCGACGACGTCCAAGGCCACTGATCGAAGAGAAGGACAGGCAGGACGCACCGAGGTTGCCGTTGGCGGCGGCCGAGTGCAGGCTCAGGTCCTTGTAGTCGGTCGTGATGCCGAGTCGGGCCTCGTCCCGCGAGCGGGCGGCGCCGAGCGAGAGGGCACGGTGCCGGTGCGGGTGCTTGGCGTGGTCGTGCGCCGAGCTGCCGTGCGAGTGGGACGACATGCAGGTGCGCCGTGGGAGCGGGGCGACCGAGTGGGGGTTGTCGAGCGAGGATCGGCGAGTCCGAGGCGACGAGAGGAGAGGGAGGAGGAGGGACAGTGGTGGGCCCGCGGCTGGACCGGGGGTGCTGGCTCTTGCGCGCTCGCCCGCAGAAGTGCGGTTGGAGGTCACAGACGACTGACTGGCGGAGCGACGAGCCTGTCGAGGTCGAGCGAGGCCGACCGTCACGGCGTCGTCGTTTCGAGCAGCCGAGTGTCGCCCGATCGACCTCGCGCTCGCTCTCTCTGGACTCTGCTGCGGTGCAGTACTGTGCTGTGCAGTGCCTGTGCACCCATGTTCACTCAAGCGGCTCAGGTTGAGCGAGGCGGAGGGCCCCGCGACGACCGCAGCAAGCTCGATCGCGTCGCCGGGCCGAGGGGAGGCGGAGCCGGCTCACGCGTTCACCTCTCTCGAGCGCTCGCCTGCGACGCTCAAGCACCTCACCAAGTCCCGCACGCCACTCGCCGCAACATGTCCTCACGCCGAGCCGGCCCACCCGCTCCCCCATCGTCGTCCGCCTCGGCACCACCTCCTCCTCCTCCTCCTCTCCCCGACCCGACTCGCCAACCGCTCCCTACCGAGATCCTCCTGCTCGTCGTCGACTGGTGCGCCGAGCTCGACGATGACCGCGACCGCGTCATCTTCGGCAACTTGAACCACCGGCTGCGCAACAGCACCCTCGCCGCCCTCGCGCGCACGCACAAGTCGCTCCAGCATGCCGCCGAGCGCGCCCTGTACTCGACCGCCGTCGTCTCGCCCGACTGGGGCCGCGCCGAGCATGTGCCGCCACGCAGCCAGCTGTACTCGCTCGTGCACTGCCCGAGGCTGCGGCCCCTCGTGCGCGAGGTCGTCGTCAAGTTGCAGTCCCGTGCGACCACGACCGAGGCGGCCCAGCTCCTCGCCGTCCTGCCCAACGTCGAGGCCATCTTCTTGTCGACGTCGGCCGCCCTGTACGTCGAGCCGCTTGAGCTCCTCCTGTCGCAACCCTCGGTCCGCATCCGGCGGTGGTCGGTCCAGTCGTGGCGCACCGTCATGGCCTGTACCGCGCGGTACCCGGACGCCCTGTCGGCGCTCAAGCGGCTCGACGTCAGGGAACTGTCGACGGATGACGTCGTGGACCCGGGAGTCTGCGCGAGGCTCGAGACGCTGACCGTCTCGGCGAGGGCGAGTCCCGAGGCGGTCGCAGCGTTCACAGCCCCGTTTCGCGACACGCTTCGTCGCCTCGACCTGCCCATGTGGAGGGAGATCGAGCCGTACGACCTGTCGCCGCTCGTCAAGCTCGAGTACCTGAGCCTCAACCCGGCGCCCTACCTCGAGACGGCCGACCTCGAGACGTCGACGGCCGCAATCGTCGCAACGCTGCGGTCGGCCGCCTCGCTCCCGTCGCTGTCGACGTTCGAGATCATCGGCACCCTCCTGTGGAAGCACCCCCGCGACCCGTCGTGGTCCTCGGCGCGCCCCGCCAAGCCGTACCAGGTCCCGCACTGCGCCAACCTCATCGTCGACGCCATCCCGCCTCAGATCGTCCACCTCACGCTCGACACGTCGGCCCTGTACCCCGAGCACGTCGCCGCGTTCTTCGTCGGCCCGCGCCGTCCGCCGGTGCTGCGCTCGCTCCGCATCGGCCACAACGTCGGGCGCGGCCTGAGCGCCATCCTGCGCAACCGCGAGGGCTGGTACGGCGCGCTTGCCGAGACGCTCGACAAGGCGGGCGTCGACGTGACGACGGTCAACATCGCGCCCGTCGACGACGAGGACGACGAGGACGAGGACGACGACGACGACGTCGAGTGAGGAGCTGCGCGGGCCCGCTCGCCGATGGCGCCGTTCGCTGCCGCCAGACGATGACAAGCGTGCGAGCGGCAAGGAGCCGCTCGCGCGGTTGCCGGACGGAGCGAGGACGAGGCAGCTGGGAGGAGGACGGAGGATGCGCTCGCGCGGTGGCCAACTGAGGGAGCAGTAGCGAATCTATGCCATCGAACGAGTTTCTCTTGAGGCAATGTCCGTGTTGAACAGCATCCTGAGAGGAGTTTGCTTCCAAGAATCGCTCATCAGCTCGAGAGAGATTCTCGAGAAATGGGGCGACGACGAGGCCTTGCAGGCTTGCGCCGGGCTCCCAGCCGCTCTCGAGAGACTATTCGGAGCTGCTGGCACTGTCAAGCGATGCCCTTGAGGGAGAGCGCCACCGTGGTCAGCCGACGTCGCTCGAGGCGACGAGGAGGAGGAGAGGGGCAGCAGCTCTCCTCTCGCTCTCCCCCTCAACGCCGCCAGAGCACCGTACACCAAGCATGTCTGCTCCTCGCACTCTCCTCCGCACCGCCACCCTCGCCGCGCGCACAGCCCGCCCCGTCCTCGCCTCGTCGTCGCGCCTCGCCCCCACCCTCGTCCCCCGCCCGACCACCTCCGCCTCGCTCTCTGCGGTCCGCCTCCTGAGCGTGTCGGCCCCGAGGCAGGACCGCTACAGCCCCGTTGCCAACGACAAGCGCTGGGCCAACGCCGACAAGGTGACGTACGACGAGCTCAAGCCCTTGACCGACAGCCCGTCCGACAAGGTCCTCCTCATCGGTGCGCCCCCCTCTCCCTGTGTACCCAGGCGTCCACTCGGACCGCGAGCTGACCTGTGGCCCCCTCGCGCAGACGTCCGCGAGCCGGCCGAGGTCGCGCTCGGCAACATTCCCTCGTCGGTCAACCTCCCGCTCTCGTCGTTCGAGAAGAGCCTCGCCATGGACGAGGGTGCGTCCCCTCTCGTCGTCATTCGCCCACATGCCGAGATTTGTCCTGTGCCAGCTCTGCATGTGCTAGCCTACGACGGGTAGGATCACTGACTCGCCGTCCTCCCTCTCGCAGGCGACTTTACGCGCGTGCACGGCTTCCACAAGCCGACCAAGAAGCAGCCGATGATCTTCTACTGCAAGGCGGGCGTGCGCGCTCAGACGGCCGTCGACCTCGCCCGCAGCCAGGGCTACAAGCTGTGCGTCCACCTCTCTCTCGTTCCCCGCGGTCGCTCTACCGGCGCTCCCGCTCTCGCAAAGGCAACGTCCTGACCTTCAAGCACTGCGGTCACAGTGCGCGCAACTACGAGGGCTCGTACAACGACTGGGTGCAGCGCGAGGGCGCCAACCAGGACGACTGAGCGCCACCGGCCGTTCAAGGACGGGCCTCTCTCCCTCTCGTGCAGCCCCTCTCGCAACGATCTGCAATGTAGCAGTGCCGACCACGTCGTCATCGAGAGTAGCCGAGAGCTGCGCGAGAGAGAACGAAAGCGGCACAAATTCGAGTTTCAAGCTCCCGGTCGACTTCCCAACCCTCGCTCGGTTTCCTCCGCTTAGAGCTCGTCCCTCTTGCGCCCCTCGGCGGCCTCCTCCTCCCAGACCCACTTGACCTTGTCCCTGCACTTGTCCGCCCACCCGTCCTGCGCCTTCATCTTGGCGATCATGTCGCCCTGGACCGCCTTGCCCGCGCCGGGGCGCGCCTCGCAGCGGCGCACCCAGGCGTCCGTGAGCGGGAAGCCCGCCTCGGCGAGCGAGACGATGCCGAGCGAGTACGGGTGCGCGCGGACCCAGGTGAACGAGGCCTGCGGGCGAGAGGGACGTGCCGCTCGAGAGGGTCAGTCGAGGGACGGGGAGGAGAGGGAGAGAACAAGGAGCGACGCACGACGTCGGCCTGCAGACGAGTCAACCGAGTCAATGTCAATCAGCGTCTCTGCGAGACGCCGAGAGTTGACAAAGAGAGAGAGAGAGTCGGACGCACGTAGCTGAACTTGCCCTTGCCCGGCCCGACGAGGTAGTCCCTCCCACCCTCCTCGCTCAGGCGCTGCTCGTACACGCCGAGGAGACGCTTCGACTCGTTGATGTACCTGCGGGCGGCGTAGACGTCCTTGACCGGCGCGGCGTTGAGAAAGTGGCCGGCTTGGCCGAACCTGCGACGAGAAAGGTTCGAGGGGTTCGAGGACGGGTACAAGGTCAGATCTCGACCTCGCCTCGTCGAGGAAACAGGGAGCGAGACGACGCACATCGGACCCGTACCGCCGTGCTGGAAAAAGACCCAGGACCACTGCGGGAAAGAAGGCGAAGCGGTCAGTCGTCGAGGCTCGCCGAAGGACACGCCGCCGCTCAGGTCGACACGCGACGACGTCGCCGATACGCGAGAGGACGGCCCGACGCACCATCTCGGCTTCGACGGCGTCGTCCTCGAAGTGGAGCTTGTAGTCGACGTCGTACGCCTTGCTGAGGTAAAGCAGGATCGAGCCCGTCTCAAACACGCGCGTGTCGTTCCTCGAGCGGTCGATGATGGAGGGGATGCGCGAGTTAGGGTTGACGCCGTGCGTGAACCAGTCGGCCTTCTGCTCGTCCTTCATGATGTTGACCGGGTGCTCAGTCCACGAGAGGGCGGGCGTGCCGAGGTTGGCGAGCTCTGCGAGGGCGAGGAGTCAGACTGTTTGCGGCCGGCGTAGCTCGAGAGACTTCGTGAGCTCACCCTCGAGGGCGACATTGATCTGCGAGCCACGTCGAGGCGAAGCGAGAGGCGGACGGGAAGGGGAGGAGGGGGAGGAGGGAAGAGTCAGCGCGCTCGCCTCGCCCCGCGCCCAGGTCCGGTAGAGGGACAGTGGGGACGCACCTTGAGGCCGTTCGGGGTCGGCCAGGTGTACAAGTCGATGCCCGACTCGCTGGCGGGCGGGCCAGTCGCGAAGTTGCGGGACTTGGGGTTCGAGGCGGCCATGACGACGGCGGGGGCGAACGAGGTGGTGGTGCTGAGGGTAGTAGCGGCGAGAGCGAACAAGGGCAGGCGAGTGCGTGCAGCGAGGAGCATGCCCTGGCGGCTGAAGTGAGCGAGAGGGGAGGAGGACGGATGTGGGGCACAGCACGTTTCACAGAATGCGCCCCTCGCTCTCTTCCTCTCGTGTGCACCAGGAGGGACAAAGACTGCAACAGAGACTTGATTACATAGAGAGGGGCGCCGTCCCGAGAGAGGGAGGAACGACGCCAACACTGCGCCTCCTCCTCGCGTACGGCTCAACCGAGGCGGAACCCGAGCACGATGCCCGCGACGAACGTCGCCCGCTGCTGCACGTTTGCGCCGACAAAGTCGATGAAGCCGTACCACACCTGGGCGAGGCGGTTGCCGCCCTGGGCTGCCGGCGGGCCCGTGCGCGTCGTGACGAGCTTCTCGTACGACGACGTGAGCGCGTTCCAGTTGATGTTGATGAACGACCGCGACGACAGGTACTGGAGGCCGATAAAGACAAAGCCGAGCGTGAACGCGGCAGCCTGCGGGGACGAGAACCAGGGTCAACGAGGAGGTTCGCAAGGAGCCTCTTGAGAAGGCAAGAAGAGGGAGGGGACGCACACGCAGGCCCTTCTTGACAAACACGCCTGCAAAGAGAGGATATCGGTCAGTGCCGGGCTGACGAACGAAAGAAGGAGAGCTCGTCGACGCACCGACGCAGATGCCGCTGATCGTGCCAAACCCGAGGTCGCGCAGGTTGAGGATGCTCTCGGCCTCCTGCGTCGTCGCCGCCGCGCCGTTGCCGACGGCTGCGGCCGCGTCGGCGAGCGCGTTGGCCGACGGGTCGGCGTACGACCGGTCGCCGGCGCACTCGAGCGGCTTGTTGGCCGACAGGGTCGACAGGGCGAGGCCGCCGAGCGGGAGCGACAGGGCGACGGCGAGACGGTACGAGCGCAGGAACGACGCCGAGTTCTGCGTCGTCGTGCGCGTCGCGGTCGAGCACAGGGAGCGCGCGAACGAGGGCGGCCGGGCGGCGCACGGGGCGCGCGAGGCGGCGGCGTGCCGGGCGAGCTGGGCGAGGGGCGTCGGCCACCGTTGTGCGAACATGGCGGAGATCTAAGCGGCGAGAGCTTGAGGTCTGCGCAGGCGAGGGAGCTCGAGTTCAGTAACCGGCGGAACGTGGACCTGCGGCGGTCGTGCCGGCGGTGCTTCCCCTCGCCGCTGTGGCACGACAGCTCCTCGTCGAGCCGGCAGTACCCCCAAGCGCCGCGTGCAGCGACAGCTCCCGCACCTCGACGACCGCCCGCCGTGCCTCGGCTCCTCCTCATCGGGGGCGAGCGAGCCCGTCACTCCGCAAGCCCGTCTCCCGTACGCCGGCCTGCCGCCGAACCGCGCCAGATAGCCCTGTTCGACGCTGCAGAGCTGCACGCAGCCCGGCCGCCGGGGTGGATCGAGAGAGGAGGTGGTGCAACTCACGACGAGGTGATGACGCGGGTGAAGAGCGGCGAGAGGTCGAGGTTCGGGGCTGCTGGGCGGGTCGGTGGCTCGAGGCGGGGCACGAAGCTGTAGAGGTACCGGCTGGGTGAATGGCAGCGAGGTAGAGAGGGAGCGAGAGCGAGAGGCCGAGGGCCGCCGCCTCGTGCTCCTCCTCGCGCGGCGATCCTGCCCCACCGCGCTAGCCGATGAAGCCGCGCAGGCGGTGCAGCCGCCAGCCTGCTCGCCGAGCTTTCGTCTGCCGCTGCAGTACAATGCAGGGCGGAAAGAACGGCCGCTGGTCGCGAGAGCTCGCCGCACACTCTCGAAACGCTCTGCTCGGAACGGCGACCGTGCGGCGTAATGCAGCCCGCTCGAACTGCGTTGCACGCCCTCTGTCGGCCGGTACAGCTACCCTGCCAGTCAGCTGCCGCCCCCTCGCCGACGCTCGAGCCGCCGCCGCCGCTCGCCCACGTCGCTCGAGCTGCTCGAGGCCGTGTCGCTGCCGCTCGACGCAGCCTGCAGTCGGCGCACCTCGCGCACCTCGTCATCGACAGGCCGACCGTCGCGACGACGCCTCGAGAGAGCGCCCGCTGCGCGGCGGGCGACCGGGCGTGATGGCGGCGTGTCCTGCTCCTCGTCCTCGCTCGTCGCCATACCCGACGAAGACGACAGCAACGACGAGCCCTCGCGGCTCGTCGAGCCGTCCTCGCTCGGCGCGTCCACCTCGCCCTCCCCTCCCGCCGCCGTCGCAGCCCTCGCGCGCGCCGCCCTGACCCACTCCTTCTCCCACGCGCGCTCGTCCCGCCGGCGGCGCCTCATCGCGCGCTCGTACACCTTTTCGCCGCGCCTGACGTTGATGCAGCACATGGTGCACCCGGCAACAAAGACGAGGACGACGATCGAGACGAACAGGATGGCGGCGAGGCGCAGGTACCAGGGGAGGGGGGCGTCGGCGGCGGAGGAGGGCGTCGAGGTCGGTACGGTGGCCGTGCTGGACGTCGCGAGGCGGATGACGAGGCTGGACGAAAGGAAGGAGGCTGCAGGTGGTGCGGCGAGGGGAATGGAGGCGGTGCTGGTCGGCCAGGTAGGGTCTGCGCGCTCGACAGCAAGTCAGGATCTTGCGGCGACGGGCGAGAGGAGGGAAAGGGGGCGCACCCATGCCGAGCACATTGCGCCCTCGCTCACACGCACGACGTGAACAGAAACGGAGAGAGGGAGAAAGACCGAGGCGAAGCGAGGCGCGAGCAGGACGGACCGGACGGTCCGCGGACGCAGCGTGGAGCCCGCGCGGCGCAGCAGCGTCTCGCCTTTTCGGCGTGCGGTTGCGAAGAGCTGAGCAGGGTAAAGGAGGATGCGACGACGAGTGTCCAACACCTGTGAAGCTCGCCCTCGTGACGTTTCGAGGGGGCGAAGCAAATGAGTGCTCGTGGGCCGCCCTTGTCAGGACGGCACTGGCTGCTCTGCGCTCGTGCCTGCGGGCCGTCGCACACGGTCGCCGCGCAGCCTCTCGTGAGAGGCGCGGGCCCAGAAGTGCGAGAGCCCGAGGCTGAGCGCGGGTGGAAAGGTGGAGAGGGGAGGGGGGGGGGAGGGGCTGGGTGTTGGCCGAGCTGACGGGCGAGCTGGCGGGTCGGGCAGGCGCCTTGGGGCAAAGCGATGTTCTGATCGACCTCGTCGGACTCGCGGCTGCGCCGGACGGTGGTCGTTGCCGTGCGCTGAGGGAAAAAGGTGCGGGGACGAGTCTGAATCGAGGGCGGCAGCTGCTGGAGCGCGACGAGCGTGTGTCTGGCGGCAGAGCTGCTGTGAGAGTGCGCGAGCTGTCGCATGCTCGACCAGGGTGGGCGGGAGCAGAGGCGAGTGATGGTGATGAGGTCGAGAGGCGGAGGTGGGCGAGAGGACCAAGTCGACCCGTGCACGTCGCCCGCGCCTCGCTCCTGCAGCGCGTACACCGCGATGCAGCAAGCGCATGGCCTGGTCGAGCGGGAAGTGGCAGACCAGCAACACTGGCGCGAGAGGTGGTCGACGCTCTCCTCCTCGCCCGCACGCTGCTCCCGCTCCGCTCTGCTCGGCTGTGGGACGAGGGCTGAACGGTGCGGACGAGTCACACACACTCCCCGCTTGCTGCGGATCGGGTCCGTCGCAGACTCCGCGGACGGTGGCTCGGTTCGCTCGGTCGCCGCGCGAGCGTCCGTCCCTCGCTCCCTCTCTCCTCCCCGCTGCTCCTCCCTCTCGCTCTTTGTCCTCCTGCTTGACCAGCTCCTGCATCCGCTCAACTCGAAGCGGCCATGGTCACCGTGCCAGATCGGTCAGTCGTCTCGGTCAGCCGCGTCGTGCGTCCCTCGTACTCTCTTCCCCCTCCTCGCGCTCCTGCGCCGGCCTCCGCACAGCTGGCTCACACGTTCGCGACAGTACCAGGACGCCTGCGCAAAGCTCGGCGACGACTGGTTCGAGTACGAGAACCTTCACCTCAACTGGGGTGCGTCCGCCGTCCTCGCCGCTCTCCGTGCCCCTTGTCCTGCAACGTCCTCGAGCTCACCGTTACCTTGGACGGCGCGCAGGCATCCAGGACCACTACGAGGTGACGCGCAAGGTCGGCAGGGGCAAGTACAGCGAGGTGTTCGAGGGCATCGACATCCGCACGAACGACCTCGTCGTCATCAAGGTGCGCCCTTCTCTCCGCGCCCTCGCTCGAGTCGCGGCCCAACGAATGACCTCGGGCTACATGTGCATGATCGCGCGCAGGTCCTCAAGCCGATCAAGAAGAAGAAGGTGAGCCCCGGCACGTCTTCGCCACCTCGAGCCGCCCCTCACCCTTCGCTCTCGCGCAGGTCAAGCGCGAGCTCAAGATGCTTCAGAACCTGCGAGGTGGCGTCAACATCATCGAGCTTCTCGACGTCGTGCGCGACCCGCAGGTGCGCCCTCTCGCCCGAGCCTGCCCGCCGACGACGTCCCCGCTCACACCCCTTCCCCCCTCCTCCCCGCTCGCCACACACGCAGAGCAAGACGCCGGCGCTCGTCTTCGAGCACGTCGACAACCTCGACTCGAAGCTCCTGTACCCGCAGTTCACCGACGGTGACGTGCGCTTCTACGTGTTTGAGCTTCTCAAGGCGCTCGACTTCTGCCACTCGCACGGCATCATTCACCGCGACGTCAAGCCGCTCAACATCCTCATCGACCACAACCAGCGCAAGGTGAGCCCTCGCCAGCCTCCTTGTGTGCGCTCAGGCCGTCGCGTCGACGGCCGGGCGTCCTCGGCAAAAAGGACGCGCGACTCATGCCTGACGCTCCCTGTCGCGCCCACAGCTGCGCCTCATCGACTGGGGCCTCGCCGAGTTTTACCACCCGGGTGTCGAGCTCAACGTGCGCGTCGCGTCGAGGTACTACAAGGCGCCCGAGCTGCTCGTCGACTTTACCTGTGCGTCGTCCCGCTCCCTCTCTTTTTCCTTTCGGGCCTCGGTCAAGTCGGCCTCTGACTGACTCTTCTCTACGCCTTGCGCTACAGACTACGACTACTCGCTCGACAGTGCGTCTGCGCCCATCGGTCTCTCGTTCGAGTCCGCCTTTAATGACTTTGCGCCCTTCTAAGTCTGGTCCCTCGGCGCGACGTTCGGCTCGATGGTGAGCAGCGATCCTTCTCTCTCGGCGAGCAGAGCCTGTCTCCTACATGCTCCCTTTCGTCTTGATCACGTAGCCGCGACTCACACTCTCACGTCGCCCGCAGATCTTCCGTCGCGACCCGCTCTTCCACGGCATGTCGAACGACGACCAGCTCGTCAAGATCGCCAAGGTTCTCGGCACCGACGACCTGTGGAAGTACCTCGACAAGGTCCGTCGCTCCCTCTACGATCACTCTTGAGCCTGCCACGTCCGACTCGACCGCTAGTCGAGCGGACGAGGCTAGGAGCCCTACAGGTCGCTGCGAGTACTGACGAGTGCTCGCGCCATATGCAGTACAACATCGACATCGACGCCGAGCTCGAGGCCGCCGTTGGGGCCCACTCGCGCAAGCCCTGGGGCCGGTTCGTCACAAGCGGTTCGTCCCTTCTTCTCCCTCTCTCTCTCTCCCTTTCCTCGCTTTCCTGCATGTCAAATTCACTCTCGCAGCGGTCTGACCCTCTCGGTGCGTGTCTCACAGACAACTCGAAGTACATGTCGAGCGATGCTCTCGACCTGCTCGACCGCATGCTCCTGTACGACCACGCGCAGCGCGGCACGGCCAAGGAGCTCATGCAGCACCCCTACTTTGCCGGCGTGCGCGCCGCCGAAGACGTCCGTCGTCGCGAGGGGGATCAGGGCGTGGCGGGGCAGGGAGGAGGGGGAACGTCAAACGGGGAGGGAGGAGCGGCGGGAGGAGGCGGGCAGACGGCCGTCTACTTTGCGGGCGAGGACGGCGAGGTTCAGGTGCAGCGTCTCTCGTGAGTGCGTCGTCGCAGGGTGCAGCTTGTCTGTAGGGCCATCGCAGTGCAGGACTCGGTTTACGCGTCTCCCTCGTCGCGCAAGAAGGCCGACGAGAGCAAGGTCGGCTGGCTCTGCGACGATCCGCTCTTTTCTGGCGGTCAGTTGCTCGCGACAGCTCTCTTCCTCTTTGCTGTCAAGCGGACCATCGCTGCCGGGAGAAAGAGAGCCGACCGCAGGAAGCGGTGGTCGACCTTCCCAAACGCACGGACCCGCTCGTGCTCGTCGCTCGAACGGCAGACCTCTCGCTCTCGCAGCTTCTGACTCGGCACTCGGGCTCTGAGGCTGTCGCTCTCGCAGCTCTCTGACGTCCGTCTTGAGCTCCCGTACGAGAGAACAACGGCTCCTTTGCAGCTCAGCCAAAGATGCCGCCAATGTGTTTGATTGCGTCGCCGGCTCCATCTGCGCCACGAACGCATCGAAGGTGAGCAGGACATCCTCGAGAGAGGCCCGAGCCGAAGTAGATGACGAGCGACGCACCTTTGACCGCATTGGCGGCCGTCTCTGCTGCGCCTGCAACGGCTGCAGTCGCCGTCGCTTGCGCCCCGACGACAGCTGCGGGCTAGACAACGTCAGTGACCTGCTCGCGACGGTCGAGGGCGAGGAAAGAGAGAATGCGCACCTTCTGTCGCCGTCTCGAAAGCGCCGACGACCTCTGCGCACGACGACGAAACGAAATTAGTCCACTTGCTGCGACGGCGCGACCGACAACGAGCGACGGGGACGCACTCTCAGTCACCTCGCCGACGACGCTCATGACCTTCTGCGTGAGGTCGACCGCTGCGCGCAACAGACGTCGTCAAATCCCGTACAGATGGGTGCGGCACGAGGCTTGAGCGAGCGAAAGAGGGGACGCACGTGTCGTCACGGTCGGGAAGATCATAAAGTCGTGCGCGTCGTCGTACAGCTCGGTGCCCCATTTCCAGGCGACAAACCCTCCCGCCGCGACAAGGAGGACGAGAAAGACGAGCGTGATCGTCGTCTTGGTCTTCTTCGAGAGGTGCTGCGAGGGTGCATGAGGGCTCGACAGAGTCAGCGGTTCTCTACTTCGAGCTACGCGACGGTAGAGAGGGAGAGGGAGACGCACTGGTTTGCCGCCACCGTCGTCGTCGTCGCTGCCGCTCCCTGACCCGTCGTCCGACCCCCCACGGCGCTTCTTGCCCCGGCTGCGCATGACCCACTGGATGTCGCTCCTCGTCGCACCGACGACACGAGGCGGGTAGCTCGTCGGCACGAGGAGCGGCGCAGGCAAGTCCGAGTCGCTGCTCGACGAGAGGCTCGAGCTGGAGCTTGAGCGGCGGTGCGCGAGCACTGCGGTGCGGCGGCGAGGTGCCGAGGACATGCCGACTGAGCGAGCAGCGCAGCAGGTAGAACGAGAGAAGCAGGAGCTGATCCTGGAGCGAGCAAGGTGCGGACGAGAGCTTGAACCGTGCCGGACGAGCGCTCGAGCCCCTCTCGAGCCTCCCGGTCGCCGTGTCTCGCATTATCCTCGTGCTGCTCCTCGTTGCACGCACAAGCCCGCAGCATCTACCTCCCTCGCTCCTCCTCCTCGTCCTCGACGAGCACGACGACAGCGGCGACCCACCCGTCGGCGCCGGGCATGCACGCGCCGAGCCAGCCGATCTCGGCGTCGAGCGGGACATAGACGCCCTGGATGAGGGCGTGGGCGAGAGGAAGAGGTGCGGGTGTCGGTGTGAAGGACAAGGACGAGGAAGAGGAGGAAGAAGTCGGGGGAGGAGGGAAGAGGAGGGGGAGGAGGGCCGAGAGGGCTTGATGCAGCGTGGTCGGGGTCCCTGTACCGGATCGCGTGCGACCATCAGTGCACGCTCTTGAGGCGGAAAGAGGAGCCCGAGAGGGAGTAGAACGCGAGCGACGCACCGTCCTGCTGCACCGGCTGCACAACGTCCTGCACGACGGGCGCGGCCTCGGGCAGGTACACCCGCAGCGGCACGGTCCTCACCGCGTTGCCGTCTGGCGCTCGACCGTCCGAGCTCGAGGTGGTGAACGAGGAGGGCGTCGGCGAGCGCGAGGCCGAGGTCGACGTGGAGGTCGAGGGGAGCGCCGGGAGCGGAACGAGCTTCGAGGCGACGTTCCAGTACTTGTCAAAGTCGTCTGCGGGCGTTGAGAGGGTGTCAGTCACCGAGTGCTTGTCAGAGAGTCGCGCGAGCGGAGGAAATAGTGGGAGAGGAAGAGAAAGTCGGACGTACTCTGAAGGACGCCCTCCCAGAGGTTGTCCTGCTGCTCCTTGCGCAGGTTGGTGACGCGCTTCGTGTTGCCGTAGCGGACGTAGTCGGCCTCCTGCGAGGGGACGAAGCACATGCGAGTCAATACGTGCTGGAACTCGTCGCACGAAGGCGAAGTGCTAGGAGCGGGTCGCATCGTGAGCGACGATGTGACCCCGCCACGAGAACGACGCTTCGATGGGACGAGAAAGCCGGACGCACCTTGACCATGGCCATGAAGCCTGCCCTCGCGTCCTCGACCCGGTTGCTGACGAGCAGCTGCTCGGCCGGCGGGTCTCTCAAGTGCAGCGTGACCCGCCACGGCGCGCCCGACGTCGCTCCCGCTCCCACACCTCCCTCGAGAAACACCGCCGAACGCGCCGACGAGGGCGTGCGAGGTCGAGGTGCGGCGGCCGAGGGTGGCGCTCGCAGCGTCGCGTGCGACGACGAGTCGCCGAGGGCCGCCGAGGACGAGGGGAACGAGAGGTCGGCTGCTGAGGGGGACGACAGGGGCGCAAAGACCGAGGCGAGCGAGTTGGGCAGGCTCGAGGGGTCGTGTGGCGTGGCGGACAGGGAGGGCGCTCGAGGTCGAGGAGGGAGGAGGGAAGGCTGGTGCGCGACATGGTGGTAGTCGTACAGGAGCCCGATCGGCCAGTGCCTGCGCGACAAGATCCGCTTCAGTCTCTCGTGCAGTGGCCAGAGGTCACTCGGAGCGAGAAGAGCGCCACGTACCACTTGAGCGGCGTGTCGTCGGCGTCGAACCACAGGTCGTCGGTGCGCAAGCTCGCCGCCGAGTTGTCGTCGAGGACGAGGTCGAGAAAGTACTTGCGGACCTGGGCGAGGACGAGCGGCAAGTAGGCGATGCGCGGTGCTTGTAGCTGCGTGGGCAAGCGAGAGAACGTGAGCGCTGTCCGGGAGGAAGAGGGGACGAAGGGAACGAGGCGGGACGCACGTAGTAGGCCTCGACGGCGCGGTCTGCTGCAGGCGGCAGCTCGCCCTGGGCGATGACGACCTCGATCGGGACAGACCCGGCAAAGACGAGCGAGCGGGTGGCGGCCGAGGCGAGCGCGTGTGCGGCCGTGTCAGCGGGCGAGGGCGAGTGGTGCGACGAGGTGCTCGGGGCGAACGATGAAGTCGAGGGCGTTTGCCGCATACAAGCGGATGCTGCCGACGAGCCGGATGGGACGCGCGACACTGTGTGCGGCCGACAGGGGGGCGCGAGAGGGAGCGAGGTGGGGGAGGGGGACAAGGTCGAGGTCAGTGGTCGCCTGGCTGCGGATTGAGACGGACGAAGCACGACGCACTGGTTCTGGTCCTTGTACACCCTGCTCGACGCACTCGGACAGTCCACGCGAGTCGGAGGACGGACGGCGAGGTCTTGCTGATGAGGACGAGTCGGCGAGTGTACCCGGTCGCGACGGGCACTGCTCGTCTCGCTGCTCGGCGTATGGGCGTGATAGAGGTACAGCAGGCAGAAGCAGGTGCCACGGAGAGCTCTGGCGGCGTGAGAGCCGAGTGAGGAGGAGCAACGACGACGACGACGACATGGTCTCGCTCCTCCTCCGCCCTCGCACCAGCTCAGACCAGTCTACGATGAGCGCACAGACGATCCGCAGCAGCTCGACCGCGACCTTGCTCGCCGACCTGCGCAAGCGCCGACTCGAACAGCGCCGCGACTTCCACCTCGTCCTCCTCACCGGACTCGAACTCGAACAGCGAGGACAGCTCAACGGAGGCTCCGACGACCGTGCGTTCCCTCTCACTCGAATCACTCAACCTGGCGTCCCTCACACCCGAGCCCCGCAGAGTGGGAGGCCGCCGAGCAGGTCGCAGTCGCCGCCGTCGAGGGAGGCAACGTCGACCTCGTCCAGGTGCGTACCCTTGCCCTTCCTTCTACTCTCCCTGCACGCAAAGTGACCCTTGCCACCGCCGTGCAGACCCTCGTCCTCCGCCTCGACAAGCACTACCGCGACTCGCAGCCCCACCGCGCCAACTACCTGCACGGCCTCGTCCTCGAGGTTCGCGGCGACCTCGACGGCGCGCGCAACTGCTACGAGCGCAATGTACAGGACGACGAGACCGACGTCGTGCGTCCTACCTTCTCCCTTCTCTCGGTCCCTGCGCCCCTTCCCGCCTCGCTCACCTTGGCGCTCTCCCTCGCCCGCAGCCCTCTCGGAAACGCCTCATTGCGCTCCACCTCTCGTCCCCTCTCGTCACCCTCCCCGATCCCCCAACAAAGGGCTCGCCCTCGGCGTCCGTGCCGGCCTCGGCCCAGCCGTACCTCGCGGCGTCGCTCCACCAGCAAAAGGGCATCTCGGTCCTCGTCCACTACCTCGACATCTACTACACCGACCTCGCCGGCTGGCTCTCGCTCGCGACCGCCTACGCCCAACTCGCCCTGTACGCTCAGGCGCTCGCCGCCCTCGCGCACGCCGTCGTCCTCGCGCCGAGCGACCCGTGGGTCAAGCTCAAGTTTGCCGAGACGGCCTACACCCAGGGCGACGTCGCGCTCGCGTGGAAAGAGTTCTTGCGCGTCGTCGAGATGAGCACTGAGGCGGGCGACAAGGAGCTCAAGGGCGCCGCGAGGAGGGCTGCCATGGGCGCAAAGCTCGTGCGTCTCTCTCTCTTGCGTTCTCGGCGTGTTTCCCGGCTCTGACTCTGTCACTCTCGCCGACACAGTGCCTTCCTCGACTGCGCACGCCCGAGAAGAGCAAGAAGGCGAGCAAGGACGCCGACGCCCTCCTCGCGCCGGCCAAACTCGACGAGATGGACCTCCTCCTGTCCAAGCTCCTCCTCGACGCGTACCACAAGACGGACGGCGCAGTCGGGGCGGGCGTCGTCGAGCGGTGGATCGGTGGCGGGGCCGAGGCGGGACCGCGATGAGGCGGAGCGGAGCGGGCTCGTTGTAGACTCGGGTTCGAGCGGGTCGAGTCGAGGCGCTGTAACTACTCGATGTTTTGCACTTCTTTCGCCCGTCTCGCCATCTTCTACAGCTCGTCGTGCCCCGCCTTGTCCGCCTGTATCTCGTGCCGCTCCTCCCTCTCGTCGTGCAGCACCCCGCCGCTCACAGCCGGCTCCCACTCGCTCCTGCCCCTCTCGCCCTTGCCCCTCGTGAGCATGCCGAGAAACTCCTGCACGAGGTCGGCCGCCGCCATGCCCGTCAACTCGGCGTTGGTGTCGTACGCGGGCGACACCTCGACGAGGTCGAGCCCGACGAGGTGGAGCGACGACAGGCCGCGCAGGATCGCCTTGAGCTCGCGCGTCGTCCAGCCGCCCGACTCGGGGGTGCCAGCTGCAAGGGAGAGCGAGTCGGCTTGTGTGCGCGAGAAGAAAGGCCGAGGCGAAAGTCTCGAGGGCGAGGGGGGGCGTGCGAGAGAGCGCTCGAGGGAGGGGGGCAGGGACGGAAAGGAGGACGCACTCGCAGGCGCCATGCTCGGGTCGATGACATCGATGTCGAGGCTCAAGTCTGCGCATCGTCCACTTTGTCAGTATCGGTCTCTGTACGACGAGGCGGAGGAGGAGGAATCGCGACGCACAGACCGGCGCATCGCCCACTCGCTCCTTGATGGCGCGCACGATGCCCGACGGCTTCATCTCGTCGATGTCGTCGGTCGTGAGCAGCTTGAAGCCGACGTCCGAGTCGTGCGTCAAGTCGTCAAAGTCCTGCTCGAGGGAGAGCGAGCGTCAGTCGAGCGCGAGGCGAGGCGAGGAAGGAGCAAGAGGGGGCTCACCGAGAGTCGGGTGCGGATGCCGGCGTGCATCGACGACGTGTTGCTGATCAAACCCTCGGTCGACGCCTTCCAAAAGACGGAGCCGTGCGTCTGGGTGAGGAGGAAAGCTTCAGACTGCGTCTCAAGGAACGAGATGAGGAAGGTGGACGCACGATCTTGCTCTGCTCAGTCCACGCACCGTTGTACAAGTTGCCATTCCAGGTATCTGTGGGTCCTGCATCGTGAGTGAACGCTGCAGAGAGGGCGAGAGAAAGGGGGCGCACCGAGATGAGCGTCGAAATGAAGGACGGCGACCGGGCCGTACACCTTGTGCAGCGCCCGCAAAGCCGGTAGCGCGATTCTGGGGGACGAGGGAGAGTCAGTCTCCGCTGCCGAGCCAGCGAGAAGGTCGACGCACGTGTGGTCGCCGCCGAGAGAGACGATGACCGGGTGCTCCTTGCCGTCGAGCGCGTGGGCCTGGGTGATGCCGTTCTCTGTGGACGAGAGGTAAGCCTCGCGAGTCGCAGATGGAGACCGAAAGGATCAGGGACGCACTCTGGGTGAACTCGGTGGCGACCTGGCGCGACAACAGGGTCGAGTAGGCCGTCTCCATCTGCTCGAGCGCGAGCCCCTGGTCGTACGGGCTCACGGGCACGTCGCCGCAGTCGACGATGTCGGCGCCGGCGAGAAGAGGGTTCATGTTCCACGGGATCGAGTAGGCGCGGTTCGAGGCATGGCGCCGGCTGCCCTGGCGAATCGCGTTCGGGCCGAAGCGGGCGCCGGGTCGGTACGAGACGCTCGTCTGCAGGCGTGAGCTGGTCAGCTTGCCCTTCCGAGAGTCCCTCCCTCCCTCTGATGACCAAGTGAGCACGACGGGACGTACGTCGAAGGGCAAGCCGAGGATGGCGATGTCGAACGGGGTCGAGGTGGGGTCGAGGCACCGGCTGTGCGGCAGGTGGGCGAACGTGACGATGCCCGAGAAGCTGAGGTCCATCGCGCTGCCATACTTGGCCTCTGTGGGTCCGTGCAGGCCCTCGCAGAGTCAGTAAGGGCTTCATCGCGCGCTTCGAGGTGGGGACGAGGAGACGCACCCCAGAGCTCTGACGCCGCCGTGGGAGAGTGCGCCGAGGCGATAGCGGCTAGCGATGCCGAGAAGGAGAGCAGTGCGAGCCTGAGCATGGCCGCTCGAGTGGTGTGGGCCGAGGGAGAGAGAGCGGGAGAATCGCCCCGACGGAGCCGACGGCGGCTCAGCTCGCCAGTCGTCAAGCGGTAATCGTACAGGGCAAGCGCAAGCCGCTGAATCTTTTCTCGACGCTCTGCAGAGGTGGCGCTAGAGCGCGCTTCGCCTGAGCGCGAGAGAGACGAGGCGCAGAGACTCGCTCGCCGGCTTTCGAACGAAGTCGCCCTCGACCGTCGCACACAGTCGCTCGGGCGTGGCTTTACAAGGACGAACAGATCTACACAGAGGAAAATCGAGAAAGAGAGAGCGAAAGGCGAAGCTTCACGCCTCGCCCGCCTTGTCCTGCAGGTGCGCCGACGCCGGGCCCTTGTACTTGTGGCGCACCTCGACGTACCAGCCGATCGTGCCGACCAGCACGGCCACGGCCAAGATTGCGCTCGTATAGTTCATCGACGACGAGGTGACCGGGTTAAAGTTGGGCACTGGCAACAGACCAAAGGGTCAGTTCGGGCACGGTCCCACTCGTGCACACCCGCCGCCAGTTGCTCGACGAGAGCCCGACAGCGACGCCGCCGCCGTGTCTGTCGAGCCTGAAGAAGCCGTCGAGCACGGCCTCATCCGTCGCTGAGCGAAAGAGAGGACTCACGACAGAAGAGGACGCAGATGAAGACGACGTAGAAGAGGGAGACGGCGTTGCAGACCTTGGCGACGCGGTCCGGCAGGCGCCAGTAGGCGATAGGCAAGAGGTCGCGACCACGGAAGAGAAGGAGGGCGATCGGGATGAAGTACGAGATGAGGCTGCGGAAACGAGCGAGGGGTCAGAGCGCCGCTCGCTTTGCGAAGACAGGCCGCTTCGAGGGACAGGACTCACTAGCCTTCCGACGTGAGCTGGAAGATGGCGAAGAAGATGGTGTTGGACCCGAGGTAGATGAGGAGGAGGCACGCCGGGATCGTGACCTGGAGGAGGAGCGCGTTGACGGGGACGTCGAGGCGCTTGTTGATGCGCTTGAACGCCCTCGAGCCGGGGAAGCCGTCGTCGCGCGCCATCGACCATACCGCGCGAGAGGACGCCATGACGATGCCGATGCAGGCGAACGTGAGGATGAGGAGGTTGATGGCGAACGCCGCCGTCGCGCCACGCAAGCCGAACGCGTCCTGCGGGTTGCCGAGCTCGTCAGGCTTCGTCGTACAGTACGCGACCAAGAAGAGAGAGGGAGCGCACCTGGAAGATCTTCAGTACGGGGACCGGCGCCGCCGTGACGGCCGAGATGTCCTGGATGCAGAACAGGAGGGCGAGGATCCAGCACAATCCGACGACGCCGACGAGAGCGGTCCCGGCGAGGACGGCGATAGGCGCGAGACCTGTGCGCGACGAGGCCGAGTCAGAAATGTGAGGAAGAGAATTTGAGAAGGTCGAGGAGGAGCTGGGGGGGAAGGGGTTGAGAAGGCCGACAGGGACGTACGAGCTGCGTCATGCGCCTCCTCGCACAGGTGCGCGCTCGCCTCGATGCCGCAGAACGTGAAGCCGGCCTGGATGAGGCCGAGGAGGAACACAAAGCCTTTGTTGCTCCACCCGGTCTCGTTGACGAAACCCTCGGTCGTAAAGACGAACGACGGCGACTGCTTGGCCGGGGCGCAAATGGCGAGGGCGACGACGGTAGCGATGACCGAGCTGATGTTGATGATCGCGAACGCCTTGGTCATCTGGTCGAGAACGCGCACGATGAAGAGCTGCAGGAGAAACAGGGCGAGGAAGGTCGGTGCGCGTCGGGACGAGGACGGTTAAAAGAGGACGTACGTTGATGACAAAGAAGAGGACGAGGCCTGCGATGCCGGTGAGGACGAGGTGGTACGCTTCTGCGACGTAGTCGGGCCGGTAGGCGGTGACGATGGCGAGGACGCCGTCGGCGAGGATGTAGGCTCCTGCGGCGATGAGGGCCCACCCGCCCTGCTCGAGCGTGTCAGTGACGCTCATTGCGGCGACAGGGAGACAGGAACGCACAGCGATGTTCATGTACGCCGTCCAGTACGAGAGGAACGGCGCCCACCGAGGCGGCGCGAGCTGGAACGCCCAGAGCGCTTGACCTGCGGCGTGCGGCCACGCCGAGCACATCTCGGCGAGAGACGCTGCGACGCAGAGAATGAGGACGCCGACGATCACCCAGCCGTACAGGAGGGCGGTCGCGCCGCCGGAAATGAGGGACGTCGAGAGAGAACCGCAAATCGCGGCGGTCGGCGCGACGTTGGCGAGGGTGAGGGCTGCGGGACGCTCCCTCGAGTCAATCCTCGTGCACTGTGAGCCTGAAAGGAAAGGCGAGGGGACGCACCGAGGAGAGCGCCGAGCCCCATCGAGACGCGAAGCTCCTGGCGGTGGCCCGTGAGCTCCTCCATCGTGCCCGCCACGCCGCCCACGGCGAGCACCTTGGCCCGCACGACAGGCTCCTTGCCCGAGTCGGCGCGAAACATGGACGGCGAGCGAGACTTGGTCGTCTTGAGGGACGGCGACGAGGTCGACATGGTGCGAGGTCGCAGGCGGACGCAGTTGGGTCGCCGAGCGAGGGGCAGGTCTTGCGAACCGAGGAAGGAGGAGCGAGAGATACTGCACCCAGCAGCTGGGCGCAGACGGGGCGACGAGCCAGCGTCGGCGGCTGCGCGCTATCGCGGCGGCAAAAGGCGAGCGTGTGGGGAAAGGGCGTCTGCCCGACGGCCGTGGAGGCGGTCGAGCGGCTCCGGTGCGAGCAGCCACAAAGCTCCGCTCGCCGCAGATGCGAGGTGGGCGTCGAGGAGAGGGGAAGAGAGGAGAGCGGCGCCCAACCTGCGTCCGCCCGTCAACTTCGAATTCGAAGCTGCTCGCGCGGAGAAGCCGGTTCGGTGACGAGCAGCCGCCTGGTCTCGCAGTTCCTCGTTCGACTCAGAGGCAGAGAGAGTGTATTCTGCAGCAGCTAGCAAGGCATCTACGCAAAGTTGAGCTCCCAGCCCCACTCGGCCAGGATCGAGTCGTGGTCGACAAAGACCCGGCCGTCGAGCGAGCGCCGCCACGCCTCGTCGAGGAGCGTCCGGCTGCGCTTCGTGTTGCCGAAGTACCCGAGCTGCTCCTGGTGGACGTCGAACATGCGCGTCGAGCGCTCGCGGTCGGTCGAGGCGGCGCGTGGCGAGCGAAGAGGGGTCGAGTTGAGGTGCATCTGCGGGCCCGAGCGCCGTCAGTACGAGGTCCAGATGCGCGGGACGAGCCCGGACACTGAAGGAGAGGAGCAAGGACGCACAAGGAAGAGGGGATAGTGCATCGAGGGCAGGCCCGGGAGCGATTCCTCGACGATGAGCTCCGTCTGCGGGCGTGCGAAAGACGAGGTCAGGACAGGGCGCGCGCATGAGGTCCGGCCGAGGGGAGAGGCGACGCACCAGGTTGAGCATCTTGCGGACGAGGAGCAGGACGGGCAGAGCTCGAGGCGGCTGCTCGAGGATCATCTCGCAGTAGAGGAGGGCGGCCAGGCGAAAGGTCTCGTGGAAGTAGCGGTGCGGCTCGAGGTCGGGTCGTCCTGTCGATGAACAAGGTTAGCGACGGAAGGAGAAAGAGCGAGACACGGTGAGAGGGGACGCACCGAGGAGGAAGCCGTCCATGCGCTCCTTCTCGCGCTCGAGCTCGCTCTTGATCGCGTCGACCCGGCTCAGGAACGCCTCGAGCTCGTCCTCGGCGAGCGCGGCGCCATCTCGACAGCTCGCCTGCCGCTTCTCCTTGGCCAGGTGCGTGATCGCGCCGAGGAGGTGGAAGACGGGCTCGCTGACGCCCATGAGCGTGTCGAGCGCCTCCTCCTCGTCGTCCTCGTCGTCCCGCCGCGCCTGCTCCTCGTCCGCCGCCGTCTCGCCGTCGCCCGATGCGCCCATCGTCGAGCTCGAGGGCTTGACGAGGCTCGCGTAGTCGACGAGGAGACCCTCCCTCGTCGACGACGACGACAGGACGTCGTGGTACAGGAGGTTCTTGAGCAGTTGCCGCGAGAGCGGCGTGCAGCACGCCCGAACGCCGCCGGCGAGCTCGACGACCTTGGCGGCGTCGCGCATGCGCACCCGCCACAGCTCGACGCTGCCGCTGCAGATGGCGGCCTGGACCTGCATGAGGCGCGCCGCGAGCATGGCCTCCCACGGCGGCTCGTCGTTGCCGGAATCGGCGCCGGCGCCGTCGCCGCGAGTTGACGCGTGCGCCTCGAGGGCGGGCAGCGCCTCGTTGAGGCCCGAATCGGCGAGGATGCCGAGCTGCTCGCTCAGGCGCGCCATGACCGGGTTGTCGCCCTCGCTCGACGACGACGGTGCGGCCGAGTCGGACCGCGACGCCGAGGAGGCGGCGGCGAGGTTGGCGGCGCTCCAGGCGCAGATGGCATGGAGGAGGTAAGGGTGCCGCTTGGCGAGGGGGACGAGCGAAAGGAAGAGGTTGGCGGATGCACGAGTCGACGAGGACGAGGTCGTCTTCTGCCCGCTCGTCGGCGATGTACTCGGTCGAGGTCGAGAGCGAGATGCTGAAGATGGCGAGGTGGTCGACGGCGAGGGGTTGGTGGAGGAGGAGGACGCGATCGAGACGAGGCGGGCGAGCGAGGTCGTGTCTGCGCTCGACGAATGTCAGGCGTCCGCTTTGCGAGGCAGAAACGAGAAGCAGACGCACAGTGCGACAGGAGGTAGGACTGCGTGAAGGCAAAGTCGGACGACGCGAGGAGCGACGCCGCCTGGCTGACGAGCGGGAGAGGCTGCTGGCCGACTCGCCGATCTGGCGAACGAGCGAGAGCCTGCTCTCGCCCGCTGTTGGGGACCAGAGGAAGGTCGCCGACGGCGGCGTGCGAGGCGGCGAGCTGGGTCGACGGGTCGGACAGGCTGAACGGGAGGTTGAGCCCGTCGAGCGTCGCGGCGGTCGAGGTCGAGGCGAACGGGTTGACGGACGGCGAGGGCGAGCGGAGGAGAGAGAAGAGGTCGAAGGGTGGGCTTGTCGATGTGCTCTGGGTGGCGAGGTCGAGGGACATGCCGGCGAGGTCGGGCGGAAGAGGGAGGCTCGGCTGGTGGAGGAACGGCTCGGTCGACGTCGGGAAGGATGTCGGCCAAACGAGCGGCCCGTCGGTGACGCTACCGCCCAGAGCGGCGTAGCCCGGGCCGAGCATGCTCGACCATGGCGAGGGTGCGGCATGAGGCGCGGCGGGGAAGGGGAGGGGAAGGGCGAGCGAGGCGGACGGGAGCGGCGTCAAGCCGGGGTCGGCGGGGTCGTAGCCTGTCGGCAGGGAGGATCAGGACGACGGTCTCCAGGCGCAAGAAGCCAGGAAAAAGAGGTCAGGCGCACCCGGGACAGGTTCGACCGCTGGGAGCGGCGTCGCAAAGCCCTCCGACCCCGGCGGCCACAGGAGCACGCCCTCGCTCGTCTGCGGCCAGCCCTCCTGTCCCACCGTCCCACCGTCCTGAAGCCCGTCGGACACGCTGAGCGGGCCTTGGGCACGCCCAGCCGCCGCCTCTCGCTCCCGCTCGCGCTCCTGCGCGCGCTCGATGCGCCTGCGACGCCGTTCGAGCGCGGCCTGCATCTTGTCCTCCCACTCGCACGTCAACACGAGACGCTCGCACGCCCCACAGGTCGGCTTCTCCTCGTCACAGAGCTGTTTCGGAGAGGTCGGGTCAGTTGAGAGATGAGGACCAGGAGGCGCTGGCAGCTCGTGGGAGAGAGGGAAAGCGGATGCGGGGCGCACCTTCTTGCGTTTGCGGCAGGGCAGGCACCCGTTGCGGGTCCGGCGACGCTTGACGCGCGAGCTGGTGCCGTCGCCGGTGTGGTCGGGAGGAGAGGCGGATGGGCCAGCGAGGAGAGGCTGCGCTGGCGACGAAGGGCCGGGCTGGCCGTCGGACAAGGTGATGTCCATCGAGTGCAGGCAAGCAGCTGTGCGGCCGGGTGCGTGGTCAAGAGCGAGAACATCTCGAGCTGCTCTCCCCACTTCGACAACGACCAACGCCGAGCTCGCAGCCGCATTCGTCTTTCTGGTTCTCTCTTTCGCGCGAGTCGCTCTCGCGTTATGCACCGGTCCACGATAGCGCGACCGACCGGCATCTTGTGCGAGGCTCGGGACTCTGTGACGGAAGAACGGCTCGGCGGTGCAAAAAACGAGACCTTGCTCGCGCTACATCGCTCCCACCGTCTGCTCCACGGCACCAGTACCTGCTCCTGCCGTCACCTGACCTGCTGCCACAGCGAAAAAGCCGGCCCGACGAAGTCCCGGTGTCGAAGGGAGGGAAGGAGGAGGGCCGCGGGCAATGCACGCGCCGCACAGCCAAACGACCGGGACTGCGCGCCCTGTATGGCCGTCCAGGTGACCGCGAAGGTTCTGCCGACGTCTCAGACGAGGTAAGGTGCTGTGAGCGAGGCGGCGAGAGGGAGCGGTGAGGGGTCGACGGCGACGACGGCACGGCGGGGGAAGGTGCGAGCGTGCTGGATGGGTAGCGGTGCAGTCGAGAGCACTTTCTGCCGCCCGCACGACTGCCCAGAGTGGGTGCGGCGGTCCAGCTGATGAGAGAGTCAACCTCGAGAGTGGTCGACCAGCTCTCGCTCTCTCGTGCACACTCTGACCGAGTTGCAGGCCACCAGCTCGTCCAGCCGAGCAACGCAGGACTAGCCAGTCCACGCCGGCACTTCACCACGTCGCTCCTGCGCAGCGCCACCTCTCTGCGCCCGCGCTTCCCCTCGTCCTCCTCGCCGTCCCTCCTCCGGCTCTCGCCCGCCTCGAGGCTCGCACCGACACCCGCCGCCATGAGCGCAGCCAAGCCGTCCTCGACTGTCGCCCCGCCGGCCCAGAACACGGCCAAGCGCGACCTCCTCATCGCTCTCGAGCAAAAGGCCCAGCAGCGCTGGCTCGACGACAAGCTCTTTGAGCAGGACTCGCCCTACGCCACGGGCGAGGCTGACGTCCCGACGAGCGACTTTGCCCAGCATGCCGAGGAGCTCCGCAAGACGCACCCCAAGGTCCTCGCGACCATGCCCTACCCGGTACATCTCGCTCTCGCCTTCTCTCGACCGACGCGAGCTTCCTGCACCGCCAGACCTCGACACTGACCTCTCTCGAACCACGCAACAGTACATGAACGGCTCGCTCCACCTCGGACACGGCTTCACCATCTCCAAGATCGAGTTCCTCACCGGCTTCGAGCGCATGCGCGGCAAGCGGGCCCTGTGGCCCTTTGGCTTCCACGCCGTGAGTCTCGCACTCTCTTACTCTCTCTCTCTCGAGCGGGCGAGGGCGCAGGTGGACGGGTCGCCGGCTGCCGCTCAGGGCCGGCCTCAACGCCGCTCACTCGAACTCTCTCTTCGCGCAGACCGGCATGCCCATCAAGGCGGCGTCCGACAAGCTCATCCGCGAGATGGAGATGTTCGGCCAGGACTTTGAGAAGTACGACGCGCCCGCCGAGGCCGACGAGACGGTGCGCTCCCCCTTTTCGCCCTCGGACCCCTTCCCCCGTCGTCGACCCTGACCGGGCCTTTCTCGCGCGCAGGTCGCCGCCACCGAGGAGCCGGGCAATGCGACCGCCGTTGCGACGACCTCGGCGACGACTGGCGCCTCGTCGAGCGACCCGTCCAAGGCCAAGAAGGGCAAGCTCGCCGCCAAGAGCACCGGCCTGCAGTACCAGTTCCAGATCATGGAGTCGATCGGTGCGTCGATGCTCTCTCCCCTGTCGACGCAGAGAGGGAGACACGGTGACTGACGCGGACCCACCCCGTCGTGCGCAGGCGTCCCGCGCGCTGAGATCAAGCAGTTTGCCGACCCGTCGCACTGGCTCAACTACTTCCCGCCGATCGCCCAGAACGACTTGAACGCGCTCGGCTCGCGCATCGACTGGCGCCGCTCGTTCATCACGACGCCGGCCAACCCGTACTACGACGCGTTCGTCCGCTGGCAGATGAACAAGCTTCACGGGCTCGGCTACATCAAGTTCGGCAAGCGGTACACGATCTTCTCGCCCAAGGACGGCCAGCCGTGCATGGACCACGACCGCCAGTCGGGCGAGGGCGTCGGCCCGCAAGAGTACATGGCGATGAAGCTCGAGGTGACGCAGTGGGGCGAGCGGGCCAAGCGCGTCGCCGACGTCGCCCAGGGCAAGAAGGTCTTCTTTGTCGCGGCGACGCTCCGGTCCGAGACCATGTACGGCGTCACCAACCTGTTCGTGTCGCCGACCGTCAAGTACGGCCTGTACCCGTCGAGCTCGACCAAGGGCTCGGACGAGGAGGTGCTCTACCTGTGCACGCCCCGCTCGGCGCGCAACATGGCGTACCAGGGCCTCCTCAAGCACGACGACAAGGTCGAGTGCGCCGGCGAGGTCGACGGCAGCGAGCTGCTCGGCACAAAGGTCCACCCGGCCCTGTCGGCCCACAACGAGGTCTACGTCGTCCCGATGGACACGATCAAGGACAATAAGGTGCGCTCTCTTTCTCTCTCTCTCTGGGTGTGTGTGTCCTCGAGCCCATCCTGACATGCCTCTCGCAACAGGGTACCGCCGTCGTCGTCTGCATGCCGGCCGACTCGCCCGACGACTTCATCATGACCCAGGACCTGCGCAAGAAGCCCGAGTACTACAACATCGAGCCCGAGTGGGTCGCCGCCGAGCTCGTGCCGATCCTCACGACGCCGACGTACGGCGACCGCACGGCCGAGGCGCTCGTCAAGGCGATGAAGATCAACTCGAGCAAGGACACGAAGCAGCTCGCCGAGGCCAAGGAGATCGCGTACAAGGAGGGCTTCTACCAGGGCACCATGATCGTCGGCAAGTACAAGGGCGAGAAGGTCGAGGCCGTCAAGCCCAAGATCCGCGACGACCTGTACTCGCAGAACCTCGCGTTCGCCTACTCGGAGCCCGAGAACCTCGTCATGAGCCGCTCCGGCGACGAGTGCGTCGTCGCGCTGTGCGACCAGTGGTACCTCGACTACGGCGAGGCCGGGTGGCTCAAGAAGGCCGAGCTGTGCGTCGCCGTCGTTCCTCTTCTCCCTCTCTCGTCGTCCGTCACTGACTCTTGCTCCCTCTCTCTCTCCCTCGCCTGCAGCCTCCTGTCGCGCATGAACACGTACCAGGACGAGACGCGTAACGGCTTCGAGAAGACGCTCGGGTGGCTGCGCCAGTGGGCCTGTGCGCGCTCGTACGGCCTCGGGTCCAAGCTCCCGTGGGACCCGCAGTTCCTCGTCGAGTCGCTGTCGGACAGCACGATCTACATGGCGTACTACACCATCTCGCACCTCCTCCACGGCCCGCCGATCGACGGCAGCACGGTCGGCCCGCTCGGCATCACGGCCGAGCAGATGACCGACGAGATGTGGGAGTACATCTTCGCCAACGGCGCGTTCCCGAGCCCGTCGCCGATCAGCCAGGACAAGCTCGACCGCATGAAGGCCGAGTTCTCGTACTTCTACCCGATGGACATCCGGTCGTCGGGCAAGGACCTCATCCCGAACCACCTCACGTTCTGCATCTACGTCCACGCGGCCCTGTTCGGCGAGGAGCACTGGCCCAAGTCGATGCGCGCCAACGGCCACCTCATGCTCAACGGCGAGAAGATGTCCAAGTCGACCGGCAACTCGTTGACGCTCAAGGACGCGCTCGTCAAGTTTGGCGCCGACGCGACCCGGGTCACGCTCGCCGACGCCGGCGACTCGATCGAGGACGCCAACTTTGAGGAGTCGACCGCCAACGCCGCCATCCTGCGCCTGCACACGCTCATCGAGTGGTGCACCGAGGTCGTCGCCAACCAGGGCCAGCTCCGCCGAGGCGCCCGCGACGAGCTCATCTGGGACCGCATCTTCGAGAACGAGATCAACGAGGCGATCGAGCAGGCGTACCGCGCGTACGACCAAAGCCTGTACAAGGACGCGCTCAAGTTCGGCTTCTACCAGCTCCTGTCGGCGCGCGACCTGTACCAGCTCGCGACGGCGAGCGAGGGCGGCATGCACGTCGAGCTCGCCCTGCGCTTCATCCGCGTCCAGGCCCTCCTCCTCACGCCGATCGCGCCGCACGTCGCTGAGCACCTGTGGTCGACCGTCCTCGGCGAGACGGCCTCGTCGGTCCAGACGGCGCGCTTCCCCGAGGTGAGCGCGCCCGTCGACCGCGCGACGACCGACGCCGCCATCTACGTCCGGAGCAAGGTCAAGGACATCCGCGACGCCGAGCTCGCGTTCGCCAAGAAGAAGGCCAAGGGCAAGAACGCGGCCGGCGGGTTCGACCCGAGCAAGCCCAAGGCGTGCAAGGTGTGGGTCGCGCGCACGTTCCCGGCGTGGCAGGAGGACGCCGTCGCCGTCGTGCGCGCGGCGTGGAACGCCGACGAGCAGAAGGTCGACGACGCCAAGGTCAAGCAGCAGCTCGTCGAGCGCGGCCTGATCAAGGACAAGCGCTACATGCCGTTCATCGCCCAGCTCAAGAAGCGCATCGCGCTCGTCGGTGTCGACGACGCCCTGAACCGCACCGTCGCCTTCAACGAGGTCGACACGCTCGCGGCCGCCATGCCCTACATCAAGCGGTCGCTCGGCATGGACGACATCGAGGCGCTGTACGCCGACGACGCCGACAAGGCCGTCGAGGGCGCACCCGGGTACCAGGAGCACATCGTCGCCGCCGCCGAGCCGGGCAACCCGGGCATCGTCCTGTTCAACACGACCGAGTAGAGATGTCGACGAGGGCCCTGTATCTCCCTTCCGCCCCCTTGTCCTGCCCTCGACCCTTTCCTCTTCCTCTCCCTGCAAAACCAGCATGCGTTCAGCCTGTCCTCTCGTGCGCCTCGCCCGAGAACCCTCGAGACGAGCTGTCGAGCCAGAGAGAGCGCTCGCGTCGAGGGGAGAGGCCCTTGCGCTCTCTTTCGCGCCCTCTCTCTCTCGCTCTTTCGCGTGAGAGACGGTCTCTCGGCTCTCGAGGAGGCTGAGCGACCTCTCGCTGCGCTTCAGGGACGTCGTTGGGCCGGCGCTCGGCCCTGCGCCTCGTCTTAAGACTCGTTCCTCGTTCCTCCGTCTCGCGACCGCTCACGGTTCAAACCCTGGCCGCTCGCTGGCCCATCGCCTCGCTCGCTCGACGACGTGACGTCGAGCATGCCAAAGAGTCGAGCCGCGACCGAGGGTGGGCTCGGCAGGGCGAAAGATGACGCGCGGAGGTGCAGAAGAGGAGAGCAGGAAGCGGTTGACCCTCCCTCGACGAGGAGGGGCCCGGTCGGAGAGGTGCTTGAGGTAGGAGAAGCGGTCTCGTGTAGCAAGAAGCGCTCGCGTGCGAGCTGCGCTGAGCTGCAGCGCGGCGAGAAGCCGCGCTCGGCAGCTCGAGCGTCGCAACAGAGTGCGCGCGGGATGCCAGGCAGCGATGTGCGCCAGGATGGGAGTGCACGAGAGCGAGCAGCCGTGCAAGCTCGACAGCAGGTGGCGGGGGGAGCGCAGGCGAGCGAGAGTTGGAGGAAGAGGAGAGGCGAGGAGGAGCTCGACCCCGGCTCCTGCACCACCCGCTCCCCGCTCTGGGTCGAGCTACTGCCAGCCATGAGCTCCCTAGTCCAGAGCACGAGCAGCCACCACCACTCGGACGCGCCCCCGACCTCGTCCCTCTCGCACTCGTCCTCGTCTCGCCCTCATCACCCACCACACGCCTCGGACTCGCACCACAACCAGCAGCAGCCCGACAGCCAGCAGCAGCAACAGCAGCAGCAGACGCCGACTCGCACGCCCCTCGAGCGTGCCAAACTCGTCATCGACGACCGCCTCGCGAGGGACGACTCGACGCACCCGGTCGGCGACTCGCTCACGGGCGCATCCTCGGGCGACTACGTCCTGCCGCCCAACCATGCGTGGCAGCCTGTCACCAAGACCCGCACCGTCCTCCTCCCCGACCGCCTGTTTGAAGAACACGACCGTGAGCTCTGCCTTCCCCGTCCTCCTCCTCGTGCCACCTCGTCGTCCTCCTCCTTCGTTGACTGACGTTTCTCTCCCGCCCTGCAGTCACCCAGTCGCGATGCTCGATGGGTCTTCTCCCCGAGATCGACCGCGCATGGGTCAGCATCGACCACCGCTTGCTCCTGTGGGACTGGGCAGACGGGTACGCTCCTCGCTTCTCTCCTCCCTCACGCGAGCGGCGCGCACTGACAGACCCTTTCGCCTCACAGCTCCTCCTTCTCGACGTTCGAGGAGCTGAGCGACGTCATCGTCGGCGTCGCCCTCGTTCGCCCTCGACCCGGCGTCTTCGTCGACTCGATCGCCCACATCCTCGTCCTCGCAACCCCGTCCGCCGTCACCCTCGTCGGCCTCGGCTACACGGCCTCGGCACCTGGCGCCAAGAAGGAGGTAACCTTCTTCCTCACCGGCCTCTCGGTCCCGACCGACGGCGTCTCGTTCACCACCATCCGCGGCACCCCGTCCGGCCGCATCTTCCTCACGTCGTCGCCCGACCCGCTCACGCCCGGCGGCATCGGCGGCGACGGCGCCCTGCACGAGCTCGTGTACCAGGCCCAGGAGGGCTGGTTTGCCAAGCGCTGCACGCTCCACAACATCACGGGCGGCGGCATCGCCAAGAGCGTCGTGCCGGCCTTCCTCCGGTCGTTCAGCGCCCTGCCCCAAGCCGAGTGGATCGTCTCGTTCCAGCTCGACACGGAGCGAGGCCTCGTCTACACGCTCCTGCGCAACTCGACCATCGAGATGTTCCAGCTCCCGTCGTCGTCGCCGGGCAAGTTTGACGGCGTCCCGACAAAGGTCGCCAAGACGGGCGAGCTGTCGCGCCAGGCCGCCATGCTGCTCCCCAACAACCCGATGCTCAAGGCCGGCTCGGCCTTCCGCCTCGTCGCGCTCGAGGTCGTCCCTGTTGCCGAGGGCGGCGCGCACAACAAGATCGCGCTCGTCGCCGTCACGACGACCGGCGTCCGCCTGTACTTCTCGCACCAGCGTCGTGGGTACTATTACGGCGCGTCGATGGGCTCGGCAGCGGCGCTCGAGCTCGCCCACGTCCGGCCGCCGCCGGCGCCGCAGTCGCAGCAGGGCCAGGGCTCGCAGCAGCTGCAGGGGCAGGGGCAGGGGCAAGGGCAGCAGCAGGGGCAGCACATCCCGTTCAACTCGGTCATGCACGCGCAGCACGCGTCGGGCGGGCTCTTCCTCGCGGCCAACAACCTCACGCCCGACCTCGACGTCCTCCTCGTCTGCGCGCCCGACGTCGCCGCCTCGTCGCCCTCGTCCTCGTCGGCTGTCGTCGCTACGGGCCAGGGCCATCAGTCGTCGTCATCCTCGTCGTCGTCGGGCCGCCCGTTCACCGAGCTCGCCGGCACGGTCGAGATCCCGGGCCGCACGTGGGACCTCGCCGAGGTGACGCCGCGTCGTGCCGCGCTCCTCAACGAGCTCGCGACGCAGCCGACGCACCCAAGGCGCGAGTGGGTCGTCCTGACCAACATGGGCGCGAGCGTCGTCGTGCGGCAGAGGCCCGTCGACACCCTCCTCGACGTGCTCGAGGGCGTCAGCATGAGCGGCGGCGGCGGGCAGGGCGAGATCGGCGTCTTCTTCGAGAGGTACGTGGACTCTCTCTTTCTTCAAGTCCTCGTCTCGCCGCTCGGGAGACAGGTCCTGATTTTGGCGCCCCCTCTCCTCACGCAGCTACGGGCGCGACCAGTCGTGCGCCATGCTCCTGTCGATCGCGGCGTCAAACTCGCAGCTCGTGCCGTCCGACGGGCCGGGCGCATCGGCGACGGCGGCACCCGGGTCGAGGAGCACGACGAGCGCCGTCGCCGAGCAGGCCAAGGCGCTCTTCTTCGAGGGCGGCGGGAGGCCGGTCAGCATCGACCGCGGCGGGTACGGAGGTGCGTCGTGTTCCTCGACACTCTTTGGGGCTGCGGCTCGTCCGCGTCGCCCGCCCCTTGCTGTTCTTGGAGCCGGACTGACCCTCTTTCTCCCTCTCGCAGGCGGCGCGCAGAGCTCGACGGCCGACAGCAAGGTCATCTTCTCCGGTCGGCACGAGGGCCTCGCGTTCTACTTTGCGCGTCTCGTGCGCCCGATCTGGAAGCAGAAGATCACGCTCGTCGGCAGCACGCCGGCGGTCCAGGCGGCCAACGTGTCTGAGGCGGCCCTGAGCGCCGTTCAGCGCGACCTGATCGCGTTGAGGACGTTCGTCGAGCAGTGCGTCCCTATCTCTCTCGCTCGAGCGCATGCGGGGCCGGACTGACCATGTCTTTCCGCCGTCGCTCGCAGGGAGCAGCACCTCTTTACCCACCTTCCCGACTCGAGCCGAGCCGGCCACAACGCCGCTGCCTACGCCGCCGAGCAGACGTCGCTCTCGGCGCTCCGGCTCCTCCTCACCCAGTCGGTCGAGGCCATCTCGTTCGTCCTCCTCCTCATCGACTACAAGCTCTCCGACATCGTCTCGGCGTGCGCTCCCGACCTCCAAGAGCAGCTCGCGTCTCTCACCTACGCCGACCTCCTCACGACGCCCAAAGGGCGCGACGTCGCTCGCGGCCTCGTCAGCGCCGTCATCAACCAGCAGATCGGCCTGCACCGCTCGGTCGACGCCATCAGCGAGACGCTGCAGCAGCGCTGCGGCAGCTTCTGCTCGGCCGACGACGTCCTCCTGTACAAGGCGATCGAGGCGATGCGGCGGGCCAAGGACACGTACGACGGCGGCGAGCGGACCGAGTGCTTGCGCGAGTCGTTGAGGTGCGTCTCGCCGAGCCTGGCTTTCTCTCTCTCTCTCTCCCTCTCTCGATCCCTTGTCCTCGCCAAGCATCCCTGACTCGTCTCTCTCCCTGGGTATGGCGCGCAGGCTCTTCACCAAGGCGGCCGGCCACCTGTCGCTCGAGCGGCTCCAGGAGATCTGCAAGGAGTACACGTCGTTGCGCTACGCCCTCGGTGCGTCGACTCTATCTCTCCCCTCTCTTGCCTACACACACGAATACGCCTCTGACTGTGTGTCCCCCACAGGCGTCATCGACCTCGCCCTCGCCTGCGCGCACAAGTGGGACCCGTCCGACCGCGCCGTCTCGTTCTGGCTCGACGAGCAGCCCTCGTCCGACCCTCGCGCGTCGGCCTTCTCGCAGCGCCAGACGTGCCACCGCCTCGTGTTCGACGCGCTCGAGGCCATGGACGCCGCTCTCGACGAGGCGTCGCGCAGCGGCCGTGCGGGCGCAGCCGAGGACGCCGACGGCATGCGCACGAACGCGTACAACAAGGCGCTCGCCGTGCGCGACGACTTCTTCCACGCCGAGCTGTACGACTGGTACCTGTCACGCAACCTCACGGACCAACTGCTCGAGGTGCGTCCGCCTCTCCCTCTTGGTCCTCGCCAACGTCCTCGTCTGACCTTGCCCCACCTCTTCTCGCGCCCGCAGACGCGCACGCCCTATCTCGAGGGCTTCCTTGCCCGAGAGCCGACGACGCTGGAGAAGAGCGACCTCTTGTGGCAGTACTACGTCCGCACGGGCCGGTACGCTCGCGCGGCCCAAGTCCTCGCCTCGCTCTCCGAATCCTCAGCGTACGTCCCTCCTCCTCCTCTTCCTTCCCCTCTCTCCCAATCCTGGTATTGACTCTCGCTCCCGCTCGCAGATTCCCGCTCTCGCTGCAGAAGCGCGTCGAGTACTTGTCACTCGCGGTCGGCAACGCCAAGTCGCTGCAGCACTCGTCCTCTGCGTCCCGAGGCGACGCCGTCCAGTTCCTTACCGACGTCGAGGAGAAGCTCGAGGTGGCGCAGGTGCAGATCGAGATCTTCCGGGCCATCGAGGAGGGTCCGCTCCCGAGCGACGAGAAGCAGGCGTGGCTTGAGAAGGTCGAGGAGCGCCTCTTCACCATCACCGAGGTGAGCTCTCGGTCTCTCTCTTCTATGAGCTTCTTCGAAGGCGACACTGACTCTCTCGCGTTACCGTGCAGCTCTACGCCGACTTTGCCGAGCCGCTCGAGCTCCTCGAGATCATCCTCCTCATCGTCAGCACAATCTCCTCTTGCCACCTCGCACGTCCTCGAGCATCCTCCTGACCAATTCTCTCCCTTCTTCAGTTCCACGTCTCGGACCACCGCGACCCGTTCCTCGTCACGGCGACCTGGGAGGCGATCCTGTCTCGAGGTGCGCCTCCTCTCGCCTTCTCTGGCTCTCGGTACCCAGTGATCGACCCTGACGTACATATCGTTCCTGCAGCACAAGAAGAGCAGCCCGAAAACCCGGTCGACGCTGTCGCCGCCAAGGTGACGCAGCTCGGCCAGCGCTTCCACTCTTCGGACGTCTCTTTCCCGCTCGGTGCGTCCTCAGGATCTTCCTCGCCCTCCTCTCCCTTTCTCGCGTGACATGATCCGTACTGAATCGTCCTTGCCCCTCGCAGCCGAGCTCGTCGCCCTTCTCGAGCGATTCAGCTTCGAGCGCAAGTCGGAGGCGCGCGCCGGGTGGGTCGCGCTCGCAGTCCGCGACGCCGGCGTCCCGTTCGAGGCGCTTTATGCCGTCTATGAGGAGCTCCTCACCGCCAAGGTGCGTCTCGCTCTCGCTCTCTCTCCCTCTCTCTGAGCGTCGCCCTGATCCTCGTCCTTGCACCGCAGCTTCCGCCCTGGCACACCTTGCCCGGCCAGGTCTTCCTCATCGCCGACGTCGTCGTTCTTGTCGAGACGTGGCTCGCCGAGTCGTCCTCGGCGTCGTCGTCCGTCTCGCGCTCGTTCCCGGCCACCACCATCGAGACGTCGCTCGGGCGCATGCTCCTCAATCTCCAGGCCGGCTCGAACGTGCCCGGCGCAGCGAACGTCATCTCGAGCCTGCAGCAGCTTCAGTGGGACGTCAGGAGGAAGGGCGGGTTCTAGCTTGTCGGCGCGAGATGAAAAGGCCGTTTCACGTCCTCGACTTTGTCTTCGCGAACGAGCGTGACGAGCCAGCGAGAGCGAGAGATAGCTAGAGTATCCACAGCTCGCTTTCTGGTGGAACTCTCGTCCTGGCTTTCTCTTCCTCGCGCGAACAAAGTGGGCGAGAGAGAGAGACGTTGATTTTCGTTGCACAGCGAGGGGGAGCGCTCATTCCTGTGCAACTACTCGAGCGGCCGGCTGCGAGCGACTCGTGCGGGTCGTGGCGGGTCCTGTGGATGCACCGACATCAGCGCCTTCATTCTCTGACCTCTACATGGAGAGGAAAGAGGAGAGGAAGCTCACCGAGCTGATGAAGATGCGACGGCCGAAATTGGGCGAGCTAGACAACTTGCAGGGTGCGGCGCAGCAGTGGACGGGTCTGATAAAGCGCTGTGAGCGGTCATAGGCGAGCTGGGCCTGGCTGGGCGAGGCTGAGAGCGTGAGGGGGACAAGCTCCGACGAGGTCGCTCGCCTCGCCGTTTACGAGCTCTCGAGCGGCCCGCTTCGTCTCCTTGGAGCCTCTCGGAGCATGTACAGGCTCGATGAAGGGTGCATTGCAGGTCGCGACCCGCGATCTATAAGTACGAGCTCGCCTTCGCCTTCCTCCTCCCTCCTCGCGCCCACTCAATCGTTCTTCTCGACGATCTTCTCGGCGCCCATGAGCCGCATGACGCCCTCCCAGACGAAGAGTGCTGACGCGTTCTGTAGCAGGGGCAAGGCAGGGTCAGGCTCGGGCGAGGGAGGCGAGAGACAAGGAGGAAGAGGGGACGCACGGTCGGGAACGCTCGCAAGATGCCCGGCACGAAGCCGCGGTAGAACGCCTGCAGGGGACGCGACGAGCGTCAGTCACTGACCTTCTACGACAGGCCGATGAGGGAGAGAGAGGGAGAGAGGCGGACGCACCTTGGGCCCGCCCTCGGCATAGATGGCGCGCGCACAGCTCCTCCAGGTCGTGTACCGGGGCTTTGTCAACGAGTCGGTCATGTACCGGTTCTTGACCGAGTCGAACGCGAACGCGCCCGTCCAGAAAAAGTTGCTCGCGAGGCCGCCGGCAAGGAAATTGGCGGTTCCTTGCTGCATGTCGGGCGCGTATTTGGAAAAGCCGCGCAGGATGACCTCGTACGACAGGAACCTGCAGCGCGATCGACGAGGTGAGCTCGACGTCGGGCTCAGAGACAGGAGAGAGAGGGCAAGAGAGAGGTGGACGCACATGACGCCCATCCAGCTGCGGAACAGGAGCGTGCCCGTGAAGCCGTGGTACAGGCCGAGCCAGCCTTTTGCGGCAACGACTTGGCGGGCGCAGTCTATGGGGCCCGTGTACAGCTTGGGCCCCGTCGTCTGCATCTGCAACCGCGCCTTGAGGTGCTCTGTCGGGCACGCGACGAAGCAGACGGTCTGGCCGGCGAGAAGTCCTGCGAGCTGCGAAGGGTGCGAGTTTGTCAGTGCTGCGTCGAGGTCTGAGGCTAGGGCACGCCCTCGCTCTCATGCCCGAACGAGAGTGCGCGCCGAGACCGAGAGAGGGAGACGCACAAAGTGACCGGGCAAGCTGAGCTGCAACGACTTGCTCTCGCCCTCCTTGCTCTTGCCCTTGCCGTCGTCTCGCCACCCGGACCAGTCGCCGGTCTCTGCTCTCGCGATGATGAGGCGGTACTGTAACGGCGAGGAAGAGACGCAGGGTCAGGGACGAGGGACGAGGTCGAAGGAGGACGGCGCGAGGAGAGGAGGACGCACCTGATGAAGCGAGCCCATGAGCATGCTGTCGCTGATCGTCCAGCCGATCAATGGTGGTGTTGCACCTGTGCATGTGAGAGAGGCCTGGTGAGCTCACAAAGTCGAGGAAGGAGGGAGATGAGGACGAGCGACGCACCCTTGTACAGCGCGCGCGGTCCCTCGGCCCGGATCGTCTGCATCAAGCACGCCAGCGGGCCGGCGTAGGTCCCTGGAGGCGAGCACTGCATGCGAACCTTGACGACATCGAACGGGTGGCCTGTGAGTGCACAGGCGGGGAGGGAAGAGGTCGAGGTCAGGGTCGGGGGGACGAGGAGCTCGACGACACGAGAGGAACAGCGGGGCGTACCGACGATGAGCTTAGTGACACCGCTCGCAGTGCCCGCCGCGAAGCCCTTGAGGTCGACGGCCTTCTCCTTGCCCTTGGCGCTGCCGCTGCTGCTGCTCGACTCGGCACCGCCGTGGGCGGTCGGGGTGTGGACGAGGCCCGCCGCCGGGCTCGTCTGGGCGGGTGCGACAGGGTGGTGCGGCAGTGTCGGGTACGGCAACGGGTCGGACGTGGTCGAGGTCGCCATGGCTCGAGAGGCCGAAGTCGATCTCGCGGGGAGGAGGTCGAGGGAGAGGGAGGGCGACGACGAGCTGGGCGGGTGATCGGGCTGGACAGAACGGCTCCGAGCAGATGTAGGAGGCTACTCGGCGGTCAAACGGGCTCAAGGGAGCACGCCGAGGTGAAGTGGTCGAGCAAGAACGGAGCTCATCATGCTTGCGCTCATCGGTTCCGTTCAGTCTGACCGCCTCAAGCCGGCCGAGCGTGGCGCTTGCCGCCAATCTTCTCGCTGCTGTCCAGTGAGCTCAGATCGGGGCGCACGAGACTCTCGCTGCGGGACCGGACTGCTGGCTCTCGAGAGAAGCGTTCTCTGGACGAAACCAGGCAGGACGGGACAAGGTTCCTTTATAATGCACGACTCGACGAGCCATCTACGTGACAGCGAGGTGTCGGTAAGAGTCACGGCGAAACTGTGGCGGCTGATGGCGGGTCCGAGAGAGTCGAGGGAAGGGAGGGAGTGCGAGGTCGAGACGAGAGCGGCGAGCGACGCAGGGCGACAAGATCTGCGAGGGACGAGAAACGAGTCAGTGCACTGTTCTCGAGACGCTGTAGTGATGCTGTCGAGGCGCCCTGTGCGCTGCGCCCTCGTGCCCCTCTCGCCTCGTCGCCGCATGTCGAACGCCTCAGAGAGGGTTAACGAGCCCGGTTTTGTCCGCCACGAGTGGAGTGAGTTAGACCCCGGCGGTAGGATCAATTGGTAAAAAGGTTTGGACATCCTTGGCTTCGACGGTGCGACGGTAGAGGGAGAGGGACGAGGCGAGGGAGGGGGAGGAGGTGCAGGCGAACCTGCGCCTCGCCAGCGTGCGCGCGTGCGCCGCTGGCCCGCAGCCATGCAGAGGTGGCTTGGCCACTTGCTCGAGGCCCGTGTGCGGCTGCTGAGAGGGCGACGACGACGGAAACGTTTTCCAGGTCGTCGAGGCGGGGCGAGGGAGGCGAGGACAGGTCGTGCGAAGACGAGACCAAGGCGGGTCGACGCACAGGGAGCGAGAGGGCAGGGTGAAGGCGACCAGGCGGTCGATCGTTGTGCGAGAGCGGGAGAGAAGCGACCGGTGAGGGACCAAGAGGCGAGCGCTCGCTCCGACTCCAAGTCGACGCGAGACCTCCCCTCCCGGCTCGCTCCTCCGCTCCATCCTAGGCGTAGTACGACCCGCCCGAGCCTTCCACCGACTCGCACGCCTCCCTGAACCCGAGCCGGACCAGCCGCACCTCGCGAGGACCGCTCGTCGTCTTCGTCGCCTCGTCCTCCCCATCGTCCGCCTCTCGTCGACCCGCAGCACAGCCCTCGGGCCCAGAAGCAGCAGCGCCAGCCTCATTGGGACACGTAGCCGACCAACCTCGCCCGCCGTCAAGCCCCGCAGAGCGACCCCTCGCTCATCCACCTCAAGCGCGTGCAACCGCCGACCTCGCCCCGCCATGTCGTCCTCCCGCTCGATTGCGCGCATCTACCCGGACGCCAACGAGCGCTTCGGCGAGTCGTGGCACAACTATGACGCCCTCATGGTGCGCCCTCGCTCTCTCTCTCCCTCTCGCCTCTTCCACCTCGACCTCGCGCTGACCTCTCGCTCGTCCTTTCGCAGGTCGCATGGGTGCGTTCACCTCCCTTCCCAGCCTGCCTCTCGACGACAAGTGCTGACACTCGAGCACGTGCAGGGTATTCAAGACAACTACGAGGTCGTGCGCAAGGTCGGGCGAGGCAAGGTGCGCTTCTCGTCCCGCCCTATCTCTCCCATGTCCAGCGTGCAGCTCCGCCAACCTCGTCACTGACCCTCTCTGCGCCCTCGTCTCGCAGTACTCGGAGGTGTTCGAGGGCGTCAACGTCGTCAACGAGGACAAGTGTGTCATCAAGGTGCTCAAGCCCGTCAAGAAGAAGAAGATCAAGCGCGAGATCAAGATCCTCCAGAACCTCGCCGGCGGCACCAACGTCATCACGCTCCTCGACGTCGTCCGGGACCCGCAGGTGCGCCCTCTCTCCCTCGCCCACACTGTGTCTTTTTTCGTCGCCAGCGCCTGACCTCGTCCGGCGTGCGTCCCTCCTCGCAGAGCAAAACGCCCTCGCTCGTGTTTGAGCACGTCAACAACACCGACTTCAAGGTCCTGTACCCTCGCCTGACCGACTACGACGTGCGGTACTACATCTACGAGCTCCTCAAGGCGCTCGACTTCTGCCACTCGCGCGGCATCATGCACCGCGACGTCAAGCCGCACAACGTCATGATCGACCACGAGCAGCGCAAGGTGCGTCTCGTGCTCTCTTTCCCTCGCGCCGGCCATCCGAACCGCCCGCTCGGCCTAGGCAAGTCGGCTCGTGCACCGCGTACTGACTTTATGTCGCCCTCGCCCCGCAGCTGCGCCTCATCGACTGGGGTCTCGCCGAGTTCTACCACCCGGGCACCGAGTACAACGTTCGCGTCGCGTCGCGCTACTTCAAGGGCCCCGAGCTCCTCGTCGACTTCCAGGGTCTGTCCTGCTCCGACCCTCCTCCTCGTCCTCGCGACCCGAGCCCTGACCCTTCTTCCTCCCCGACCGCAGAGTACGACTACTCGCTCGACATGTGGTCGCTTGGGTGCATGTTTGCGAGCATGATCTTCCGCAAGGAGCCCTTCTTCCACGGCCACTCGAACGGTGCGTCCTCGGCGGCCTCTTCTCCTCGTCCAAGCCGCCTGACTGACTCGCAATCCGTCGACAGAGGACCAGCTCGTCAAGATCACCAAGGTTCTGGGCACGGACGACCTGTACGCCTACCTCGAGAAGTACGACATCGACCTCGCGCCCGAGTTTGACGACATCCTCGGCCGGTGCGTCCTCGACCCCTCTCTTCCTCTCTCGCTCGACGGCGGAACACCCGAGCTTACTCGTCCATCCTCGCGCACGAGCAGGTACGCCAAGAAGCCCTGGAGCAAGTTCATCACGAGCGAGAACCAGCGGTACATCGTGCGTCCCCGGCTCGTTCCCCTCCCTCGGCCTTGCGTCGCCCGGACCCTGACACCCGACCTCTCTCTCGTCTCGCAGAGCAACGAGGCGATCGACTTCCTCGACCACCTGCTGCGGTACGACCACCAGGAGCGCGCAACAGCCAAGGAGCTCCTCGACTCGCCCGGGCACGCCTACTTCAACCCGGTGCGCGAGGCCGAGGCGGCGGCCAAGGCGGGCAAGGCCGAGGGCAAGTGAGTCCGGCGGCTGTCCCGAGCTGGGTCCGGGTCGACGGGCAGGAGGACGAGGGAGGGGGAGGAGCAAGGGTTGTCTTTCCGGCTTGCGCGCCCGCGTTGTATTCTTCCTCTCTCGCCCTCATCCCCTTCCCACGATCCTTTCTCCTCTTTCTATCGGCGTATCTTTGCTATGCTAGCGCTGTGTGTGCTCGTCGTCGTCGTCGTCCGTGAGCGAGGTGCGCGACGTCGAGAGAAGGAAAGGCTCGAGCCGAGGGTCTGTGCGCCGAGTGAGGGGATCGAGAGCGTCGCATCGTTCACGAGCGAGGAGAGCACGTTTCTGCGCTCACGGCATTGACTGGTAGAGCGCCTTCGGCCCCGGATCTTGGGCGCACGCAGCGTCAGCGACGTGCGCCCCACAACAGCGCTGGATCGGCGCACTCTCCTCCTCCCTCCCTCCTCCACCAACACCAGCGCAGCGCGAGGACCACCAGCGTCCCCACTGCATGCTCACTCGCCTCGTTCGCTCTACCCTTCGATCGTCGCTCCACCGCGCCGCTCCTGCCGCCGCCGCCGCCCCCTCGTCGTCGCTCCTCCACCCGCTCCGCCTCACCTTCTCCACCACCGCCATGTCGCCCGCCCGCATCAAGGTCGGCGAGATCAGCCTCCTCAAGGACGGCGAGATGAAGGAGGTCCCGTTCCCGGCCGAGGACAGCGAGTCCAAGGTGCTCCTCTCCAAGGTCCGCGGCCAGTACTTTGCGACGAGCAACAAGTGCACGCACTACGGCGCGCCGCTCATCAAGGGCGTCCTCACCGAGAGCGGCCGTGTCGTGTGCCCGTGGCACGGTGCCTGCTTCAGTGCGTCCTTGCCTCTCCTCCCCCTCCCCCCTCTCTCGACCAGGACCTCGTCGCTGACCCTCTCGTCCCCTCCCTCCCTCCCGTCTCCCTCCCCGTCCCTCTCACTCATACTCAGACGTCTGCTCGAACGGCGACATCGAGGACGCGCCGGGCCTCAACTCGCTCCAGTCGTTCAAGGTCGAGACGGACGGCGGCTTCATCTACGTGCACGCCGACGAGCAGACGGTCGCCAACTCGCGCGAGCCCAAGGCGCCCTCGGTCGAGATTCAGAGCTCGCCCAAGCACGCCAACGTCCTCATCATCGGCGGCGGCGCCGGCGCCGCTCACGCCGTCGAGGCGCTCCGCGAGGAGGGCTTCACGGGCTCGGTCCGCGTCATCTCTAAGGAGCCGCATCTGCCCGCCGACCGCACCAAGATCTCGAAGGGCCTCGTGTCGGACCCGAGCAAGCTCCTGCTGCGCAGCCAGGCGTTCTACGACAAGCTCAAGACCGAGTTCGTCCTCGACACGGTCCGTCCTACTTCTCTCTGCGCTATCCTGCCTCTCCTACGACCACCAGGACCCCGCACTGACTCGCCTTGGTGTACGTCCTGCAGGAGGCGACCAAGCTCGACTTTGCGTCGGCGACGGTCGAGCTCTCGAACGGCGAGTCGGCGACGTACGACAACCTCGTCCTTGCGACGGGCGCGTTCCCGACCAAGATCCCGCTCGACGGCGTCGACCTGAACAACATCTTCACCGTGCGCGGCGTCAAGGACGCCGAGGGCATCAACGCCGCCGTCGGCTCGCCCGAGAAGGACGAGGACAAGAAGAACGTCGTCGTCGTCGGCTCGAGCTTCATCGGCATGGAGGTCGCGCTCGCGCTCGCCGACAAGGCCAAGGTGACGGTCCTCGGCCTCGAGGACGCGCCGTTCAGCAAGATCCTCGGCAACCCGATCGGCAACGGCATCCGCAAGTTCCACGAGTCCAAAGGCACCAAGTTCATCCTGCCCGCCGAGCTGTCGCACTTTGCGCCGCACGACGACGACAAGAGCCGGGTCGGCGCCGTCCACCTCAAGGACGGCACCGTCCTGCCCGCCGAGGCCGTCGTCATCGGCGCCGGCGTCAAGCCGGCCACCGAGCTCCTCAAGGCCGCCGGCCTGTCGCTCGAGAAGAATGCGTCGGTCAAGACGGACGACGTCCTCGAGATCGAGCAGCTCAAGGGCAAGTACAAGGGCCGCGTCTTTGCGCTCGGCGACGTCGCCACGTTCGACACGCCGCGCGGGTCCAACTACGTCCAGCACTGGAACGTTGCGTCGAACCACGGCCGCGCCATCGCGCACTACATCGCGACCGACAAGCGCGAGTCGTTCGACAAGGTCGCCATGTGCGTCCTCCTCGCCTTTCACGCCCCGTGCTCGCCGAACCTTGTCTCTCTCGCCATGAAGCGGAAACTGACCTTGCCCTTCCTCCCTCCCTGTTTCCTCCCTCGCCGTCGCAGCTTCTGGTCGGCGCAGGGTCAGCAGCTTCGCTACGCCGGTACGACCAAGGCGAGCGAGTGGGAGGACCTGCACGTCGACGGCAACCCGGACGAGCTCAAATTCGTCGCGTACTACTTCAGTGAGCCCGCTCTCCCTCCCTCTGCCCATGCGCTCGACTGGCGACACTCTCGTCGATGTCGAGACTCGAGCGCTGGTAGGCTGTGGCGGCGTCGCCCCAGCACGCACTGACCCCTCTCTCTGCCCCCACTCGCAGAGGGCGACGAGGTCGTCGCGGCGGCGTCGATGCAGCGCGACCCGATCGTGGCGCACATTTCGGAGCTCATGAGGCTCGGCAAGATGCTGAGCAAGAAGGAGATCCAGGACGGCAAGGTGCGCCCGCTCTCTCACTTCCTCTTTTCCCCGGGCCCTCTTCCCGCTCGGCGCCGCGACTGACTGTGTCTCGCTCGACCCGCAGAACCCGCTCGACATCGCGCTCGCCTAGGACGCGGCGCCCTCGTCCAGCCCCTCATCCGGGGCAGCGACTCCCCGTCTCTGAGCCTCGCTTTTTGTAGATTCGCAGTCCTTTCCGTTCTCGCCGTGTCGTGCAAAAGAATCAGTCAGCCACCTCGAGCGCGTTGGAGCGAGTCGAGACTCGAGAGCCGCTGTCGTCGCGTCGCTCGATCGTGCGGATCTCGAAGTTTGGTCGAGGAGAGCGATGACGGTGGAGAGAGTCTGAGGCTGCTCTCCTCCACACCACTCGCCCGGCTCTGCACACCAGTCGCAGACCTTCTACAGCTCCTCGTCTGTGCGTGCAGCCTTCCGAGCACCTGCCAGAGCGGCACAGCCTGAGCCTGACGCTCCTGCTCCTTCTCCCCCACCTTCGTCCTCTCGGCTCGCCTCATCGTCTCGACACCAACCGCTGCGTCATGGACGGCGCTTCAGCAGCACCCACACACACCGCAACCACCCCCACAGCACCTCCACCATGGGCGGCAAGAGCGACGAGCAGGTCATCGAGGAGTTCAACGGTGCGCCCGACTTCTCTCCCTCTCCTCCCAGTCTTCCTCTCTCTCGTTCAAGCTGACCGCGGCCTCGAGCGCGCGCAGAGTACGTCAACATGACGCCGGACGAGCTCAAGGAGTGGCTCGAGACCGAGGACTCGCAGTCGTCGGGCTGGAGCAAGGACAACTCGGGCAAGGTGCGCCTCGGACGCCTGCCGCTCAGTCTTCTGTCGCCGACGGCCTACTGAGCTCTTCTCCTGCGCCGTGAACGTGCAGGTCGGCCAGGGCGAGGAGAGCGTCGGGCACGAGTCGGGCCGCAAGATCGTGCGTCCTCCTTCCTCTCGTCCTTCGAGACTTGCCGCCGAGCACCCGAGCCGACCCTCGCACTCCTATCCGGCGCGCAGATCGACATCCTCGAGCGCAACCCGCAGAAGGACCCGGAGCAGTACACGGAGGAGGACCTCGCCCACATGCGCAAGGGTGCGTCCTCGCCCTCTTTCTCGACGAGCCGAGCAGGGGCCGAATTGACAGGCTCTTCCACATCCCCATCCACCCCTACCGTACTCGACCTCGCTCCATCTCGCAGTGACGAGCTACTGCAAGCGCCACCTCGCGCAGGAAGGACAGTGAGTCGCCGCTCCTTCTCGTTCCTCGACCGAGCCGCTCTGCACCCGCCGAGTCTACCGTTCTGACAAGCGTCGGCGTCCTTCTCACAGCATGGTCGAGGAGAAAGAGCCCGAGGAGCTCGAGCAGACCAAGAGCTACCGCAGCGTGCGTCCCTCGCTCCCTCTCCTCCCCCTCCTCGATACCCCCTCTCGCAGCCCTGACCGACGACCATCGTCCCGCCCCGCAGCTCAAGAACTGGGGCCACGACGCGCTCAAGTAGATGCACGACACTCGACGGCGTGCGAGCCGGACAGCGAGGTCGTGCGGGCCTGCTCGAGGTCGACGAGGCCTCTCTCTCTCTTTGCTTGCTGTAGACACTCTAGCGCTTCCTGCAAAGGAATTCTGTACAGACTCCCTCGCGTCACAGCTGAGAGGAGAGAGCGTCCCTCGGGACCCGCGACTGTCGCCGTCGCCGCGAATCGAGAGATGCGCGCGGACCTCGTCGCCGCCCGCTCAGCACTTTTCGCGCGTTTCGAGTCGCGCAGCTCGTCGCAGCCGGTGCGCAGAACGAGGACTCGGGGCGAGGAAGTACAGCTTGGCGACTGGGAGCACGCTCCATCGCGCGAGCCTCGAGTCGGCGGCGAGCGGAGGATCGAAGAGGCGACTCTCGGACGTGGCGGGCAAGGGACGTGTGGGTCGCCCAGGCAGGCTGCACTGCAGCATGAGGCAGTGCACGACTATGCTGCTCAGATCGAGGCGAAAAGAGAGCGAGAGGGCGAGCGCGAGCCACAGCTCTCGGCGGTCGAGCCAGAGCCCTTCGCCTCTCAGCCTCGTCCCACTCGCCTCAGACGCGCACAGCCGCACTTCCAGCCGCACCGAGTACACCGCACCGAGCGACTACCACCATCGCTGGCCACCTGCGCCGAGTGCCCACCCTCCCCTCGCCTTCATCAACTCGTCCACGAGCATCCTCGTCTCGACCTCGACCCACCCCGAGAATGTCGTACCGCCCACCGAGCCAGTCGTACGCCCACGAGCACCCGAGCTACGAGCTCCAGTCGCGCTACTCGCAGCAGTTCGACCGCTCGTCCACCAACCCCTCCCCCGCATCGCCCACCTCGCCCGCGCCAGGCTTCCTCCGCGACCAGCAGGCCCACGCCCGCTACTCGAGCGCCGACCTGTACGCCCTCGAGCAGCCCCCGGCACCTGCCTCTCTCGCGTCGGGCTCGAGCCTGCTCGCCCGCCCGCAGAGCAACCCGCGCGCGGGACCGCACAGCGAGGACGACGACGACGACGACGACGACGATGGCGCAGGGTTCGGCACCTACCGCGACCTGACGCCGGCGGGAGCGAGGGGGGCTGCCCGCTACAGCCACCCGCCGCCATTCGTCTCGTGCGTCTCCCTCTCCCTCTTCCCCCGCTCAAGCGCGCCGAGTTCCCTCGCCTGACCATTCTCCTCCCCTGCGCGCAGGCACCCGACCGCGACGTCGAGCTACTCGGGCTACGACGCGCACAACGCGAGCAAGGACGCGTTCGCCTCGACGACCAAGTTCGGCGGCGAGACGATCGACGCGCCCATCCTGTCGCGGGCCGACTGGGCGCCGGGCGAGGCGGCGCGCGAGAAGCACGAGCACTCGACCGAGAAGAAGCGGCGCAAGCGGCAGAACCTGGCGGGCGAGGTCAAGGGCGCGAGGGACGGCGTCCTCGGCTTCGTGCGCCGCAACTGGAAGTGGCTCGTCCCCCTCTTCCTCGTCCTCAGCGTCGCGTGCGTCCTCCTCTCCCTCTCTATCCCTTCTTCCCGAGCCCTCCTTGACGCCTCTCCCTCTCCCTGCCACAGCGTCATCGTCCTGTGCTACTTCCTCATTCCTCGCACGCCCACCATCACGTTCAACTCGCCCAAGGTGCCCAAACCCGCCTTTACCTCGTCCGACACCGAGCCCTACGTCTCGTCGGCCGACCCGACGAGCTTCAAGTTCAACGGCAACATCGTTCTCGCAAGTGCGTCCTCGCTCTCTGCGCTCGACCCCCTCTCGACGAGACTGACCCTCTCTCGTCGCAGTCGACGCGTCCGACTCGTACCTGCCCGTCAAGTACAACTCATTCGGGCTCACGGTGCGCATGCAGGAGACCGAGGCCATCATCGCGCAGGCAACGTGGGACAACGGCGAGATCAGCGTGCCCGCCAAAAAGGTCACGAGCTACGAGGTGCGTCGGCCGTACTCTCTCTTCCTGCTCCCCGCCCGCCGAACTCGTCCTGATCTCTCTCTCCTGTCGCAGTTCCCGATCACGTTCTACGGCAACTTCTCGAGCGCGTCCAACCCGACGTTCGCCGCCGTGCGCGCCGCCTGCGCGCACAAGTACGCCACCATCTACCGCCCGCCCCTCAACCTCACGGTCACGGTCTCGAGCTCGATCACGGGCGTCGTCGGCGCGCCGGACCGCACGGCCAAGCTCAACGCCATGGCGTGCCCGGTCGAGTGGGCGACGACGGCGTCGTGAGGGGCCGGTCGTTCCTCCCTCTCTGTCTTCTATCCCTATCACTCTCCTGTTCCACCACCATCACCACATTCTCACAGACACTCTATCGCATCCTCCTCTTCCCTAATGCTGTCCCCATTCGTCCCTCACAAGCTGCCTTGTACCTGCCGTCCCTTGTTCCCCTCCTGCCTGAGCCCATCTCGTCGATCGTGGGAATGCATGCGCCCTCGTTTTCTCACCATCTCTCGAGCCGTCCGTCTCTTCGAGAGAGAAAAGCGCGAGTGTGGTCGTTCGGAACGTCCGTGGTGAGCACGAGCCTCTTCGTCGGTCGTTCGCCCGGACCCGCTTCGGCTCTCTCTCTCGCTTCCCTCACTCGCGCCATGGCCGCTCAGCAACGCAAAGCACGCGCAGCACCAGCCGACGCACACACTGCGCCGGCTGCGGCGTCGGCGGGCCTGCACGCCGCCTCGAGCGCGCCCGCTCCGGCCGCACGCGCCCCTCCCCGCACCGACGACGACGAGTCCGCGACCGACGACGATGAGCCCTCCAGCGACAAGCTCAAGGTCGACAAGCGGCCGCTCTCGACCGATGAAGAAGCGGCCGGCAGGCAGCTCTACTCGCACCTCGTCCTGCGCCGCGACAAGGCCGCGCTCGAGCCGCTCGTCCGCCGCCCGGCGCTGCGCCGTCTCGTCGCGTCGATCGACTTGGCGGTGCTCGTCGCCGAGGACGCGAGGGAGAGGAAGCAGGAGGACGAGCGGGAGCGCAAGAAGAAGCTGCGCGAGGACAAGGAGCGCAGGGAGAAGGAGCGCGAGGAGCAGGAGCAGGTCGGCATGGACGTTTACGGTCAGGGCGGCAAGGGCGGCGTCGGTCGCAGGAGCGACGAGAAGCAGGCCGCCGAGGCGCAAAAGGCGGCCGACGAGGAGGCGGCGGCCGAGGCCAAAGCCGTCGAGGACAAGGCGGCCGAGGACAAGCTCGTCGCCGAGCACATCGAGACGATCCTCGCCGACGTGCCCAACGTCAAGGCCGTTCGAGCCGTCTCGTGCGACGAGCTCGTCCACGTCCTCCTGTCGCAGTCGACGATCCGCGTCGAGCGCCTCGACATCCAGCTCGTCGTCGGCGACCTGCTCCTCCAGTGCGCTCCGGCCCTCGTGGACCTGCACGACCTGCGGTGCGACGACATCGACGACAACGCCGACCTGCCCGTTCTGCGCAACCTCACGACGCTCCACGTCAGGTCGTACTGCGACGCCGCCACCTTCCTGTTGATGGTCGCGCCGGTCCGCGACCAGCTCGTCGACCTCGCCTTTCCCGTCTCGTCGCGCATCCAGCCGTTCAACCTCGGCTCGTTCCTCAAGGTCAAGCACTTCCGGCTGCGCATCCAGAACGAGCCATTCCCGCGGGCGACACGGCCGGAATCGAGCGCGTCGTCGTCGATGGGTCTGACCGCCTCCTCAGCTGGGTCCCGCACGGCCTGCCGCACGTCGAGCACTTGTACCTCGAGGGCACGCTCAAGTTCCGCACCTGGGACGACCGCATCTCGTCCAACCCGGTCCACCTCCCGCCTCGCACGGCCGACATCCTCCTCTCCCTCCCTCGCGGCGTCCCGCACCTCACGCTCGACACCAACTGCATCCGCCCGGCCGACGCCGCCGCTTCCTCCTCGACGAGCACCTGCGCCCCGAGGCGCTCGGGACGCTCGCACTCGGCGGCGAGGTCGGGCGCGGCCTGTGCGCGCTCCTGCGGGGCTCGGAGAACGCGTACACGGCGCTCGGTGCGGCGCTCAAGGCGGCCGGTATCGAGGTGACGACAGTCAGGTGAGGGTGAACGGCGAGGACGGGCGCGCGGGGCGAGCTTGAGTGCGAAGCGAGGGAGCGAGAAGCGGGTCGAGCGAGGACGGACTTGTCGAGTCGGGCGTGCGCGACGTCGTGCAAAGGCTCCATTTCAGTGTCTGCTGCCGTGTGAGAGTACAGACGCTCGTTCGACTGCGAGGGAGACGCTGCTTCACGCTCGCGCTTTGACCCCTCGAGAACCCGGCCTCCCCGTCCGCCCGCCTTTCCTCGCCCTTTGAACGGCGCTCCTTGCAGCTCGCGGTCGTCGATCACTGCGTACGTTGCTCGAGAGCTGGTCAGCGACAGCTCGACGATGTACGAGCTCGGCGAGGCGAGGGAAAGCTCGAGAGAGGAGGCGAAGGTCAGAGCGGCGAGCGGAGAGGTCTCTTCAGCCTCGTCACGTCAAGTGAGCGAGTCGAGTTAGGTCCTAGAGGTGTCATCATGCCTGGGAGAGGGGAGGGAGAGCATAGACGAGAGGACAGGGAGGGTGACTTGCCTTCGTGGACGTGGTCGAGGAGGAGGTCGAGGTGCGAACGCGCTCTCTGCCGCCGTGTGAGTGGAGGGAAGGAGAGGCTCGACGTCGACGGCGTATTGTGAGCGAGCTCGGGTGGTCGACTGGATGTCCACGGTGCGTCGAAAGTTCGACTCGACGGATCGACTGGACGAGGTCGACTGCGCCAAATCGACTCGACCCCGGCGCATATGCGCAAGCTTCGACCCTGACGACCCCATTTCGAGGTGACGGACTCAGAGCCAGCAGCTTTGCTCTGCGAAGCCAGCAAGGAAGCCGCAGAGCCTGTCACCGCCTCGTCGAAGGCCGCGCGAGGTCAACTTGCGAAGGTCAACTTGGGAAGGCCGACAGACGAAGAACGGGCTCGAGCGCATCTTCCGACTGGACTTTCTCTCTCGCTACACCTGCACCGGCCTCGGGAACCTGAGAGGACTCTCGAGAAGCAGTCTCCTTGTAGCTCGACTCGTCACCGGCACCAGAATCGCGCGGATCCAGCGACAGAGAGCGCGAAAGCAGCGATCCTCGATGGCGCCGAGCTCTCGCTGCAGTAGGCTCTGCCGGCGCTTCTCGCGCGTCTCGTGACAGCGAACGCGACCCGGTACATCAGCAGGGAGAGCCGGTGAGCGCCCGGGCGAGCGAGAACGAGGACGCTGAGGGAGCGGCAGCTTCTCGAGGAAGGCTCTCGCTCTCGCTCTCGCTCTCGCTCTCGATCGGGAGAGGCCTTAAAGAGACGTACGAGGCAGCATTTCACGGGAGGCACGAGAGGGAGAGAGAGGCTACGGAAAGGGAGAAGGGAAGGACTAGCCAAGCGAGGGGAACGCGACGAGGACGAGGGAACGACGACGGCGACGACGACGAACCACCCGCGACGACGACAGGGCCTGCTCAGACCTGCGAGACCTCCATCTGGGTAAAGGTGACGAGGTCGCTGACCGGCTGGAGGGCGAGGCACGCGCGCAGGAAGGCCTCGAGGGCCTGGCGCTGGCGGTTGAGGCTGTTGATCGGCTTCTTGCCCGGCTTGGTGAGCGGCGCCTTGAGCATGTACGACAGGAGGCCGAGGACCGAGTACATGGGCTCGTAGTCGGCGCTGCCCTCCTCGCGGTACGTGACGCGCGTCATGAGCTCGGCGAGGAGGCAGAGGTCGATGATGAGGGGCGTCGCGAGGAGCGAGTCCTGGCACGTGTTGTAGATCCTGTAGACGGCGCCGGCGAGAGTCAGTAAGGGAGAGAGGGAGAGAGGAGAGAGGAGAGAGAGAGGGCGAGAGAAAGGGCGAGAGAGAGGGAGAGAGGGCGAGAGAGGGGGGGAGCGAGGGGAGATAGAGCCAGGGAGAGGGAGGGGGGACGAGAGAGAGAAAGAGAGACGAACGCGAGAGTGTTCCTTCCGCCCATGCCGATCTCGGACGTGTAGTCGTCGATTGCTTTCTTGTCGTCGCCGCAGTTGGGCAGGTACTTGATGACGACGCAGTGGTCCGGGTGCTCGGTCGAGTGGCCCTTGACAAAGCCGTCCTTCGAGTCGGCCTCCTTGACGGCGAGCGGCTTGTACAGGAGCGAGTTGGCCTCGACCATGTCGTCGACGACCGACGCCTTGGAGATCTCCTTGGAGCGGAACTGCTCGGGGGCCGACAGGTTCTTGCCGTCCTGCATTATGGGGGGTCGCCGAGGGCGTAGGGAAGTCAGTGTGAGGCTCCATACGGAGAAAGAAGGGCGAGGGCGAGCGACGAAGAGGCTGAGGGGCGGAAGAAGGGGTGCGAGGACAAGGACGGCGCCGAGACTCACGTTGTTGCCGAGGTGGTTGTACGACGCGATGAGGAGCGGCTGTGTGTGCGCGAGAGGGAGGAAGGGAAGGAGAGAGAAGGGTCAGTAGAGGTTCGAGAGAGGAAAGGACGAGAAAGGCTCGCGAGGGCGTCTCGGACGGCGGCAAAGCCTCCCCGAGGCGCCTCACGACCGCCAAGAGAAAGGGGACGGACCTTGATACCGGCGTTGACGAGGTACTCGGCGAGGACCGACTTGACCTTGGTCTGGCCGCTCTTGAAGTCGTCGCCGGCGACAAAGGCCTTGTGGCGCTCTGCCAACTCGATCGCGCCGGGCACGAAAGTGTTCTGCGGCGCCCCGTTAACGTAGGGGACGCCTTCGAGGATGGCGGCAACGGCAAAGATAGTCGAGGGCGAGACCTCGGCGTGCGAGGTGCGGATCGACTCGAGGAGGTTGTCGGCCGTGTCGTTGACGCCGTCGACGAGGAGCGAGTAGCGCTCGGTGTTGGCGGTCCACAGGACGATGACCTGGTCGAGGTCGTTGTCGCGCTTGAAGTTGCGGATGTCGGCGCGGACCTGGTCGAGGTGGGCCTGCTTGTCCGAGCCCGGGATGACGTTGTCGGCGCGCTCCTCCTGGTTGGCGTTGATGAAGGTCGGGTAGTAGATGGACGGCAGGGGCGTGTACTCCTTGAGGTACGGCTCGAGCTGGCGCTGGAGGTCGTACTCGAGGACCTTGGCGCGCCGGGCCGCCTTGTCGAGCGACATGCTCGAGATGTCCCACCCGCCGACGGTGAGATCGTTCGGGTGGACCATGGGGAGGACGTCCGAGATGGGAACGAACACGTCCTCGCCCTGGGCGTCGACGCCGAGGCGCATGGTCGACGCGCGCACAAGCGAGCCGAGGTAGTTGGGCGTCTGGATGCCGTCGCGCGTGCCCCACGAGATGTTGTGGCGGTTGGCGAGGATCGTGGCCGTGAGGGTCGTGCCGTTGTTGCCGCCGAGACCGACGAGCATGAGGCCCGTCTTGGGCACCTTGCGGCCCGTCTTGAACTCGAGCTCGCGCTCGACGGGGCGGACCGAGTACTTGACGTGGCCCTGCGCGTCGGCCTGCTTGTCGACGGCCGTCGAGTGGAACGTGTAGCGCGACAGGAGGGCGTCGTCCGTGTAGGTGAGGTTGGGCGACTCGACGTGGATCGACTCGGTCGGGCGGCGAGCGGCGGTCGGGTCGACCGGCTGCTGGGCGATGGCGCCGTTGGCGAGGGTCGACTGGACGGTCGACTCGACGGTCGACGTGACGGCGTGGACCGTGTCGGCGAGCGAGATCGGGGCCATGGTGGAACGAGGGAGGACGAAGGGTGGGGTGGTGAAAGTGGTGGTGGTGGTGGTGGACGGGGAGGAGGGCGACGAGGTGCGCTTAGTGCGTTTCTTCGTTGCCGGGGGCGCTGACGCGAGAGGAGCTGCATGGCGATGCGAGAGAGAGAGAGTCAGTCCGCTGTGAGGGAGGCCGGGGCATCGGGCGAAGGCGGAGGAGCCAATCGGGAAGGGGCAACGCGTCGGGCTCCGCGAGGGGGATGGGGAGGAGAGAGGGAGACGACAACGCACCCCCGGTGAGCTGCACGCGGTGGAAGGAACGGACAGGGTGCAAAGGGTCAGCTTGCGCGAACGTGCGGCTCGAACAGAAGAGGGGAGACTCGCTGTTGTGAGAGCTCTGCGCGGGCGAGATGGGATCGACGAGGTCAGTGAACGCGCTCGTGCAGGACAGAGAGGGGACGGCAAGGACGCACGAAGAGGGCGTTGGAGAACGTCTTGGGCGATGTAACTGGGAGAGGTCGCTCTGCTGAACGGCCTGGGGTGGATGAGGTGAGGGAAGAAAGGAGAGAGAGAGGAGGGCGCGGACCCGGCGAGCCGTTGCGGCCGCCCTCGGCTACCTCGCTTTGTCCGCCCGCCTCGCGTTTGTGCCCGAGCGACGAGGGCGCGAGCGTGCATTCACTCCATCGCTTGCGCCTGCTCGAGCCGGCAGAGCACCGAGCCCTCCTCGAGCCGCAGCACCTCTCGCTCCTTGCACTCGTCTCTCTCTCTCTCTCTCGCCAGGTCCTCTCTCGACGAGCTCGACACCGAGGCAGAAAAGGGGCTTTGTACTGGGCGACTCGCGTTTTTCGTCCGTCGTCGCCTCCTGTCCTCGTCGTCGGACGACGCCCGTGCCGAGGTCCGCCTCCGCCCTCGCTCCGGCCGCCGCTCGTCCGCGCGCTCGAGATATTTACCTGCTGCTCCTTTAGAATTTGAAGACCTGCGCGCGCGAGAGAGAGAGAGAGAGAGGAGAGAGTCAGTGAAAATGCCCGGACGGAGATGGGCGGCTGGTGCGACGTGCGACGAGGATGCACGTGGGGGACGAGTGGGCACGAATCTTGTCGATGCCGAGGTGGAACGAGGGGAGCGTCAAGGACGAGGCCTCGAGAACCTCGTGGGAGTGAGGAGTGCGTCGGAGGGGGCAGAGGGTCGACAAGGCGAGGGGGAGAGGGTGTCGAGGGGAGGGACGGCGAGGAAGGCGCGAAAGGGAAAGAGGGCGAGCGCACCTGCTCCTTCTTGTACTGCAGCTCTGCGAGCGTGCCAGTGAGCTCGCCCTGGTCCTTCATCGACTGTGGGAGGCGCGAAGAGAGGTAAGCCCGGGCTCGGCCAAGTCGAGGGAAGGGAACGAGGGGCGCACCTTCTTCGGGCCGCAGATGGCCTTGACCTGGCCCGGCGGGCCGCCTGCAGACACAAATAGGCGTCAGGGACATGCTCGAGCGATACGCAGAGAGAGAAAGAGAGAGCGGGCGCGACGCACAGACAAAGATCTTGACGTTCGACTCGGGCGTCGTGTTGAACTTCTTGAACGCCTCCTTGACGACCTCCGAATTGACGTAGCCGGTCGGGCCCTTCCAGCCCGAAGGCGGCTTGTCGAGGACAAAGTGGACCTGGAACTGCTCGGGCTTGCGGGCGGCGAGGTCTGTTTGAGAAGGTCGCGGGGTGGGGTCGGCGGTGAAGTTTGGCGCGGCGAGGTGGAGCACAAGAGGATAGGAGGGGACGCAAAGTGTCAGTAGACTGTTCTTGCGAGCGATTGAGCTCCGCCGCCCGAGCGAGAGGCAACCTCGAGGGAGCTCTTGCGCTCGAGCCTGGAGAGAGAGAGAGCGAGGACCGCTCGACGCACCCTCGAACTCCTTGCGCAGGAGAATGTCCTCCTCGGTGACGTTGGCAAAGATGAGAGTCGCCTTGGTCTTGTCCTGCGGGTTGGCGCTGTGTGTTCGAGCGAGGTCAGTCGGTCAATCCGGCTGCTCGAGCTCGGGAGGCTCGACCGCGGCGAGGAGAGGGCAGGGACGCACTCGATCGCCTGGAGGATCTGCCACGCCGGCGTGACGCCCGAACCGCCGACGATGAAGCCGACCGACTCGAACTCGTTGGCCTGCGGGATGACGAGGAAAGAGGGTCAGTGCGGGGTCGAGCTAGACGCAGAGAGGGGGATCATGAGCGCACCTTCCACGGGTGCTTGGGGATCGGGCCTGTAAATGGTGCGACGGGTCAATGTGTGCTCGAGATGCGCTGCGCAAGCTCGACCTCGACGCTGCGGCCCTCGAGCCGCAGACGAAGAGAGAAGGCGAGTCGGGCTCGAGAACACGGCGACGCACCCTTCATGGCGACCGAGTCACCCGCCTTGAGGCCGAAGATGTGCTCGGTAAAGGCGCCGCCCTTGTAGTGCTTGATGAGGAGCTCGAGCTTGCCCTCGACGTCGGGCGCCGTGACGGGCGTGTACGGGCGGATGACGGGCTTGCCCTTGTCGTTGACGCACTCGCCCTCCTTGGACGCCTTGCAGACGAGAGCGCTCGCGACGGTGAGGCCCGACGAGGTGCCCTCCGGAAGGTCAAAGACGAAGCGCGACGTGTTGCTGCGAGAGAGAGAGGGATGGAGGGGAGCGGCGAGGGTCAGTCACCGCGCGCGCCGACACGACGAGAGAGGGCGAATAACGGGGGACGCACTGGTTGTACGGGATGACCTCGGCGAGCTTAAAATCGCGGAACTCGTCGTTGGAGAGGGCCGACTCGCCCTGGACCTTGACGCCGCCGTCGTCGGTCGTCTTGACGCCCTGGAACGCGCCTGCGCCGCCCGAGCCCGGGGCCTGTGCGGTGCCCTTTGCGGTGCCGGCCTTTGCGTCCTGGAGGTGGAGGCGCTGGTCGCGGGTCGAGAGGTAGAAGACGGCCGAGCCGGCGAGGCCGGCGCCGAGGAAGTAGGGGGCCGAGGACGAGGTCGAGGCGGTGGCCGAGGTGGCGTACGAGCGTGCCGACTGGCCCTGTGGAGGGGATGTGCGAGTCAGAAGAGAGAACGGGTGCGGGTGTGGACGAGATCGAGATCGGCGAGACGAGGGAGGAGGGGAGGAGGGAGGCGAGAGGGGAGAGGGACGCACGGCCGAGCGGGAAGAGCGCAGGGTCTGCTGAGCGAAGCGGGAGAACATGGCTGCTGTCCTCGAGAGTTTAGCGGGTGATGTGGGAGAGTGAGAGCTCCTCCTCGGCGACGGACCTCGACAGCTCGTCATCTCATCTTCGAACTCTGGTGATACCGCACCGGCTGGGCAGGACACTCGCCAGACGTGCTCCAACAGCTCTACACACTCGACCCAGCTCGGCCCACGCCAGCCAGTCGCCGCGACGTCGACACGCGGGCCCTCCTCCACTCCTCGGCCCACACCCCGCACATCCTCGACCTCGACAGCGACTCGGCTCGAGCAGCCTGCACACGCAAGCACGTCTTGCATCCGCCTGAATCCGACCAGCTCGTCCTCCTGTGCGTGCCCCCTTCCTCCACCTTCCCCTCCTCCTCGAGGCCCCACCTCCGAGCCGCTCTCCCTCGGGCGACGAGCTACGCACAAGGAGCGTCAGACTGACTCTCTCCCCCCTTTGTGCAGGTACAAGGCCCCGCACCACCGCCACTCGCCGAGCGCGTCGACCGCCCCGATCCTCGTCCTCCTCGTCGGGCCAGCCTCGCTCCTCTCGCCGCCATGTCCAGCTCCAAGGCGACCGCCGAGCGCCATCAGCGACAGCTCCTCGTCCTCCTCAAAGAGCCGGGCAACGACAAGTGCGCCGACTGCAAGGCGCGCAACCCGCGGTGGGCCTCGTGGGACCAGGGCGTCTTCCTGTGCGTCCAGTGCGCGTCGATGCACCGCAAGATCGGCGCCCACATCACCAAGGTCAAGAGCGTCACCCTCGACACGTGGACCCGAGAGCAGGTCGACAGCATGCGCCTCAAAGGCAACCTGCGCGTCAACGCCCAGCTCAACCCGGACGAGCGCCGGCACCCGTGCGTCCCTCGTCCTCTGCCCTCTTCCCAGACCGCGCCCTGACTCGTCCCGCCGCCGCAGACCTCCTCCACCCGACTCGGGCGACGAACGCAACTCGGAGCTCGAGCGCTTCATCCGCAACAAGTACGAGTACCGCAACTTTGTCGGACCCGCGCCGGCCGCACCTCCACCTCCGGGACCACCACCACCCGCCTACCAGTCGTCGCACCTCAACGGCTCCACGTTCTCGCCGAGCACGACGGCGCCGCCTCCGCCACGACGAGCGCCGAGCACGAGTACCTCGTTCGCCCCGCCGCCGAGCGACCCTCCTGGTCCTCCCCTCCCGAGCCGACCGCGGTCACGCACCGCACCCTCGAGCGCCGCACCCCCCTCCGCGTTCGACGACTTGTCCTCCTTCTTCCCCTCGTCCTCCTCGTCGCCCGGCGCCGGCCTCGCCGCGCCCAACCTCCCGCCGCGACGAGCTCCCTCGGCGCCGCCTCTCGGCCGCAAGAGCGTCCGCTTCCCCGACGACCCGCCGACCATCATTCCCTCTCCCGACGACTCGGACGCCGAGGACGACGCGCCGCTCGCGCGCCCTCGGTCGGCGTCGGCGCCCGTGCCGCGCAAGGGCGTCCTCCGGTTCCGCTCTGGGAGCGGCAGCGAGATCCTCGTCGACTGGGCCGCCTTTACGCGCGACTCGGACCTCCTCCCGGACGACGTCGGCGACGACGAGGACGTGCCGCTCGGGACGCTCGGCGCGCTCGGCGCGAGGGGCGCGAGCGTCGGCATGGCGGGCGTGCCGCAGCAGCAGGGCGCGTGGGCCGTCCCGTACGGTCAGCCGGGCGCCGCCATGGGTGCGGGCGCGCCGGCGTTTGGGCACGGGCCGGGCATGGGCGTCGAGGCGCCGACGGTCGCGCCGCTCCTGCCGCAGTACACGGGCAGCGCCAAGGGCTACCTGCACCAGCAGCGCGCTCACGAGCAGCAGCAGCAGCAGCAGCCGCAGCCGCAGCCGCTCCAGCAGCAGGCGACGGGCATCGACGCGTTCCAGCAGATGTTCCAGCCCCGAGCGTCGCAGGGCTCGAACCCGTTCCTCCAGCAGCAGCAGCAGCAGCAGCAGCAGTTCGCCCCTCCTCCTCCTCCTCCTCCTCAGCCTCAGCAGCCCTTGGGCTTCCCCCAGCAGCACCAGCCGCCGCCGCCGCCGCCGCAGTTCGCCCAGCCGCAGCCTCGAGCCGGCACCAACCCGTTCCTCCTCAACCGCTCCACCTACACGCCCTCGCCTCAACCGCCAGCTCAGCCTTCGTACCAGCAGCAGCAGCAGTACCCTCAGCAGCAGCAGCAGCACCAGCCGCCGCGACCGTCCGCCAACGACGTCTGGGCCGACCTCGACATGCTGAGCCTCGGCGGTCCACCGCAGCCCGCCTTCCACGGGCACGGCTACGGCGGCGGCAGCGGGAGCCACTCGCCGTCGCCCCCTCCTCCTCCTCCTGCTCAACCGGCCGCGCTCGCACCGCTGCGCCCGCAGCTGACGGGCTTTGTCCCGTCGTCGTCGTTTGGCCAGCAGCTCGCGCGCGAGGCGGGCGGCGGCAGGAGCGGGGCGGCAGGAGGAGCAGCGGGGCTGTCGCTCCAGGTCCCGGGCGGCGGCGCAGGAGGAGGAGCAGGAGGGCCGTCGTCGAGCGGTCCGTCGTCACCCGCGCCGTTCTCGGCGGGCGGCGCGAGCCCGGGCCCCGGGGTCGCGCCGGCGCCCTTGCGGCCACAGTTGACGGGCTTTGTGCCGTCCTCGGCGTTCGGGCAGGAGCTCCTGCGTGGCGGCGGCGGCGGCGGCGGCAACGGCGACGGTGCGGGCAGCGCGTCGTACGGCCAGCAGCAGGGCCAGGGCCAGGGCCAGCAGCAGCCGCACCAGCCGACGCCGCTCCGGCCGCAGCTCACGGGCTTTGTGCCCAGCTCGCGATTCGGCCTCGAGCTCGCCGGCGGCGGCGGCGGCGGCAGCGGGTCGGGCTCGTCGACGCCCAACCTCGGCGGCGCTGGCGGCGTCGAGCCCGCGCCGTTCGACTTTGTCTCGGTGCCGCCCCAGCAGCAGCAGCAGCAGCAGCCTCAGCAGCAGGGCGCGCCAAACCCGTTCTCGAGCATGGGCGGCGGCGGCGGTGGTGGTGGTGGTGGGCCGTCGCAGGGTCGAGGAGCCGCGGGCTCGCCGAACCCGTTCCTCCTGCGGCCGCAAGTGACGGGCTTTGGCGGGTCTCAGCAGCCGCAGCCACAGCAGCAGGGGCCGATGCAGGGTGGGCCGGGTGGCGGGTTCATGCAGCCGCAGTTGACGGGCTTTGGCGGTCCGAGCGGCGGCGGCGCAGGAGGAGGGAACCCGTTCCTCGCGTTCCAGCAGCAGCAGCAGCAGCAGGGCGGCGGCGGGTGGAGGTAGCTGTAGATGGAGCGAGTGCGATAGAGCTCGGCGAGCGGTCTGTGGCTGTGTTGTGCGGCGGCGCGAGGAGAGCGAGCGAACGAGCGAGCGAACTTGAGAAGGTCGAGCGAAGCGCGAAGACGAACGGCTTTGCCCTCTCTGGTGCGCCCCGCTCACCCTCGATTGTATCTCGCTATTGTCGCCCGAGCACGTCGAGAGAACTGGAGCGAGCGAGAGAAAGAAGAGTTGTGCGAGCGAGCGAGGGGGAGCTGGCGAGGCCCGAGCCCGAGAAAGCTGCGAGCTTGACGCGCACAGCGACGCCGAGACGCACAGGGTCCCAGGGCAAGTCGTCGAGCAGCCTCGAAGGAGCGTGACGCGACGAGGAGCCTCTCGCTTCGCTCGGACCTCTCCTCGACCTGCTCGTTCCGAGAACCGGTCGTTGCCCGCCGTCCTCTCTACGGCACCGCCTCCCCAGCTGCCCCTCCTCGCTCCCCCTCCGCCTCCGCCTCCCTCTGCGCCCTCTCCCTCTCCCTCCGATCGAGCCACTCGCGGATGCCCGTGCTCCCCATCTTGGTCGCCACCTCGACCTCGACCTCGGCGCCGGCGCCGGCGCCCCGGCCCTGTCGCTGCGCCTCCTCGCCGCCGACGAGCGAGATGGTGAAGATGTCGAGGCGCGAGAGGGAGCGCGAGGCGCGCAGGGTGTTGACTGTGAGCGGGCGGCGGAAGGAGAGGGAGGGAGGGAAGGAGGGAGGGAGGGAGGGAGGGGAGGGCAGGAAGAAGGTCAGTCAGGTCGAGAGGTGGAGGGCGCGAGACCGGGTAAAGGATGGGGGAGAAGAGAGAGAGAGAGAGAGAGAGAGAGAGAGAGAGAGAGGAGGACGCACTCGCGTCGCCGCCGGCGCGCGTCTCGTCCGACACGACGAGCGCCTCGATCGCCGGGTCGTTGGCCGTCGGGCCGTACACGTCCTGTGTGGGCGTCGTGGTGAGTCTGTACATCTCGACGACCGTCCTCTTGGGCCGGGACGAGAAGAGGAAGAGCGCGCGACGCACCTGGAGAGGAACGGCGTCGCACTCGACCGAGGGCCGCACGAGCTCGACAAAGCGCCTGACGGCGCGCATGCGCACGTCGATCGGCTCGAGGAGGTGCTTGAACTTTTTGTTGACGAGGAGGTGGTCGTCTGCGGGGCGTGCGGCTGAGTCAGTGCTTGTAGGTGAGGGAGAGAGAGAGAGAGAGCGGGAGGGACGGACCCGAGACGCCGACGACGAGGCGCGAGGTGCACAGGGATGCGGCCATGGTGAGCAAGATTTTGTGCCCGGCGTGCAGGTGGTCGAACGTGCCGCCGAGGGCGACGACCGGGTAGGTCGGCGGGAAGTTGCTGTCGGCGGTCGTCGGGGTCGAGGTTGCGGCGGACGAGTCGGGCCCTGGAGCGGCGGTCGCCTTGCCCTTGCCCATGCCGTCATCGTCGCCGTCCACGCCGTCGCGCGAGTAGTCCCAGTGCGACGTGGCCGAGTCGTCAGAGACGCACAGGCGCGAGACGGGGTCGCGCATCTGCTCGACGACGACGTCGACGTGCTTGAGCGGGCCGTGGCCGTCGTCGTGGTCGAGGAAGGCGTGGGTGGCGGCGTTGTAGATGCGGGCGAGGGCTTGTTCGAGCGGGAGGAAGAGGGCGGTCGGAGGTGGGGAAGTGGGCGAGGTGGTGGTCGAGGTGGACGAGGGCGCGGGTGACCAGGGCGAGGGTGCGTCCCGAGGGGTGCGGATGATGACGAGGAGCGCCGTGTTAGTCTGCTGGGCTGCCGAGTGGACCCAGTCGAGGTGGCTCGCACTCCGAGCTGATGAGGACGAGTTGACGAGGTGCGAGAGCGAGGGGAACGACAGGACGACCGTGTGGTCGGGCTGGGCCATGGTCGAGGGCGCGTACTGTCGCTTCGGAGTGGCAGCTGGACTGGCCTGGATGAGCGAGGAGAGCGAGCCCCCGGGCTCTCGTCGTCGTCGCCGTGCGAGGCTCCGCCAACTCTCGCCCTCTCCCTCCTCACCCTCTGCGACCATGGCCCCGCTCGGTCTCGCAGTCGACACACAGTACGGCCCCGTACAGGGATTCGCCGACACCCACCGCCTCCAACTCACCTCGCCCGCCCTCGCCCAACCTCCTCTCCCTCTCGGCGACCGCAAACCGGTCCACAAGTGGCTCGCCATCCCGTACGCCCAAGCACACCGCTTCAACCGACCCGTCCCACCTCACCCATGGTCTCACCCACAGCCCTGCCTCGAGTTCGGGTCCGTCTTCCACCCCCTCCCCACCTTGGCCTCGCACAGCTCACACCTCGTCCCCCCTCTCGCAGCACCCAGTTCCCGCAACCGCCGTCCAACACCGAGCTCCTGTCCGTCCCCTGCCCCTCGCCCTGCGCCGCACCACCACTGACACACCTCGCACCCCCTCGCAGCCTCGCGCGCCTGCCCGGCTTCCTCATGCGCACCCACATCGCCACGAGCGAGCACTCGCACTTTGTCAACGTCTTTGCCCCGGGCGACGTCCAGCAGGGAGAGGACCTCCCCGTCCTCGTCTGGGTCTAGTGCGTCCCCTCGCTCTCTGTCGTCGACCCGCACTGACCTCTGCACTGCCTCCCCTCCCTCGCAGCGGCGGCGCCCTCAACAATGGCGACTCGGCCCGCTTCTTCTACGACCCGACCGAGCTCGTGCGCGACTCGGCGAGCCGCAACCAGCGCTGCATCGTCGTCACCCTCAACTACCGCACCAACATCTTTGGTCCGTCCTCCGTCTTTCTTTCGCACGTGCCCTCGCGCCACGACTGACCTAGTACGCCCCTCGAAACAGGCTTCTGCGCGAGCCAGGACCTCGTCGACGAGGACCCGCAAGGCCTCGCTGGCAACTATGGCCTGTACGACGTCGTCGCCGCTCTCGAGTGGGTGCGTTCCCACCTTCCCCCTCCTCTCCCCTGGCCCGCTCTCCCGACCCGAGCTCACTCGCTTCGCCCAATCAGGTCCAGCATAACATCCGCAACTTTGGCGGCTCGCCCGACCGCGTGACCGCGTTTGGCCAGAGCGCCGGCGCGTTCCTCATCTCGCACCTCCTCGTCTCGGGCAAGCGGTTGTTCCAGCGCGCAATCTGCCAGAGCGGCGCCGCCAACACGATGGTGCGTCCTCTCTCTCTCTCTCCCTGCCTGTCGCTCGTGCCCGAGTGGGAGCGAGCGTCTCGCTGGAAGGGCCAAAGCAAGAGCTCACCTCGTCGTTCGTCGCGCTGCGCAGATGCTGCGCCCGGTCGACAAGGCCTACCCGGCGTACGACTCGATCCTCACCTCGCTCGGCGTCGACCTGCCCACCTCGACGCCCTCGTCGCGCCTCGCCGCCCTGCGCGCCGCGCCTCCCTCAGCCCTCCTCGCCCAGCACGTCGCGACGCACTCGCTGTCCGGGCTCTCGCTCGCGCTCGAGCCGGCGGGCGTCGAGGGCGCAGTGTGGACGCGGGACACGATGGCAAGGCTCGAGAGGGGCGAGAGGGACGAGTGGGTGAGAGAGGTCGTGCTCGGCGTGACCGAGGACGAGGGGACCATCTTTGCCCAGATGCTCGGCGTGCGTCTCAGCTCTCTCTCTCTCCTCCCTCGTCATCTTCCGTGCAGCGTTCTCGGAGCCCTACAATGACGCTCCTCGTCCATCTCTCCCCGCAGCTCACCTCGCCCGGCGCCTTCACCCAGTACACCTCGCAGTTCCCGCCCTCGCTCGTCCCGCGCATCCGTGCCCACTACCTCGGCGGCGACGACGCGGCGCACCCAGAGCCGGGCACGGTCCCGCTCGCGCAAACGCCCGGCGCGCGGCTCCTCGCCGACCAGATCTTTGTCCACCCGGTCCTCGACCAGGCGTGCGCGCTCGCGCGACTCGCACCTGGGCCCACCTCCACCTCCTCGACGTCCTCGGCGCCTGCAGCCACCTCGTCGGCGGCGGCGGCGAGCGCGGCCCCGCCGGCACGCGTCTGGCTGTACCGCCTGCGCACGGGCCCCTCGTCTTTGCGCGCGCACCCGGTCGCGTCGCAGCTCGGCAGCTTCCACTCGATCGACCTCCCGCTCGTGTTCAACTCGAGGAGCCTGTGGGAGGGCGACGCGGCGAGTGGGAGGGAGGACGAGGCGAGGGGCGATGAGAGGACGGCGGAGGAGGTTGGGAGGAGGTGGGTCAGGTTTGCGATCGAGGGCGAGCCCGGTGCGTCGAGCGCTCTCTCTCTTCCTTCCTCTCTCCTTCCACGTCGACCTCGGCGGCATGGTCCCTCGTCGTCACCCCTTACTGACCTCGTCCCTCCCCTCCCCCCTCCCGTCTCTCTCGTCCCCCTCTCTCGCGCCCGCCGACAGACCCTTCCTGGCCCACGTTCGACCCCTCGTCCTCGTCGCCGTCCCACCTCGTCTTTGATCACGACGGCGCGACGCACGTCGAGCGCGTCGAGGGCGCCACAAAGGCCGACAGGCTCGAGCTGCACTTTGCTGGCATGGCCGAGGACGACGAGGGCGACGAGGTGCTCGGGGTGCGTCGGCGTGCTCTCTCTCTCTCTCTCTCTCTCTTCCTCGCGGCGGCACGGTACTGACTCGGCACTCGAACGCGCAGACGACCGACGAGTAGAAGTGTGCTCGCTCCAGATTTGGCCGTAGACTCGCTCGCTCGGACCCCCTTCTCTTTTGCCCTGCAACGTCCGGCTCCCCCTTCCGCTCTGAAGCACGAGCGTCGTTCTTCTCTCGTCATCGTCGAAGAGTGAGAGAGAAAGGCGAAAGAGAGAGGGTGCAAGGAAAGCTACATCCCTCGCACCTCGTCCCCCGCGCCCTCGAGCCCCTCCCAGACCCGCCCCTCGAGCTCCTCGACCGCCCTCCTGACGTCCGCCGGCCCGCCCTCGATCACCCTCTTCACCTCGTCCTCGCCCATGCCCCACAGGACGTGCGTCACGCGCCCATCGACGACCCAGTGCGGGCTGCGCACGCCGTCCTCGACCCGCCCGTCCGGCGGGTGGTCGAGCAAGAGCGCCTGCGCGACGAGGTTGACGCCCACGAGCGTGTGCACGAGCTCGACCGAGTGCTGGATCAGGTCGCGGCGCGGCGCGGCGCCCGAGGCGCTCGCGGCGCGCACGGCAGAGGAGCGCAGGAGCGCGGGGACGGCCTCGGGCGCGAGGGCGAGCCAGGCGCCGACGACGAGAGCGCAGCGCACCTCGTGGCGGGACCAGGCTTGCGCGGCAGGGAGGAGCGCGACGAGGTGCCGCAGGGCGACGACGAGCGGGAGGAGCTGCTGCGCGACGGTGCCGCGTGCGGGCCACGCAGCGGCGTCGGCGCCCGCGCCCGCGCCCGGTCCGGCTCCCGGGTACCCGAGCGCGACGAGAAAGAACGACTGGCGCACGGCGAGGGGCGCGAGCGCGATGGGCGAGTGCGCGGCCCAGGTCGCCGGGTCGACGCCGCGCTCGTCGGCGAGCAGCGCGCCGAGCGGCACGACGGGCACGGTCGCGGCGTGCAGCGCGTCGTTGCGCCGGACATACTCGACGACGTCGTCGCCGAGGAGCCCGACGGCGTCGCGCAGGATAGCGTACACCCACCGGCGGAGCGGGCGCGCGAGGCGCACCATGGGCGACTGGAAGTCGGGCACCTCGACCGACCCTTGGCACATGACGACGCCGTGCTTGAGCACGTGCGGGTGGAACGACGACAGGTGCGACTGCTTGAACGCGGCGTGGTACGCGGCGCGAGCGCGCGCCTGCGTCGGCGAGTCGACGCCCGGCCGAGGGTGGAGAGGGAACGTCGGCGAGGGGGCCTCGAGCGGCCGCAGGGCGTACGAGTGGGCCGACAGGGCCAGGTTGGCGCCCATGAGCGGGTCGAGGGGCACGGCGCGGCCCGCGAGGAGGAGGGGCAGGACGGCAAAGACGACGTCCTGGACCTGGGCGAGCGTGTCGACGGGCATGCGCGCGCACCTCGACAGGAGCCCCGCGATGCGCAGGAGCTCTCGCGGGTCGACGAAGCCGCGGAACGGGATCGACGAGGCTCGCCGCGGCGTGTGGAGCGACTCGCTGTAGTTGGCGATGTCGTTGCCGATGAGGGCGGCGAGGATCGGGAGGAAGGTGGGCGGGAGCGAGAAGGCGCGCGCGATGACGGCCGGCTGGAAGACGCGGAACTGGAGCTCGACGACGGGCTGGTTCGGCGGCACCTGCTCGAGCCGAGGCTCGTGCAGCGGGCCGTACGTGATCGAGTTGAGCGGGACGTAGCCACGACACCGCGCCGGGTAGATGAAGTAGTCCGAGTCTGCGTGGCGAGAGCGAGAGTGAGTGGGTGTTCGAGGTGCGCGAGAGAGAGGACAACGAGAGGGAACTCGCCGTTCGAGATGACGAAGCCGTTCTTCCTCTGCGCGAGCTCGGCCGTCGGCGAGTCTGCCTCGCCCTCGGCGCAGTGGTTCACGACGCCGAGGAGCTCGAGCTCGGACCAGATGCACAGGTGGGCGAGCGGCGGGAGCCGAGTTGCGGCGCTCTCGTACTTGTGGTGGGTGCGCAGGTGGTCGGGGAGGCGCATGTAGGTGATGGAGCGCTCGAGCGACTGGGTGCTGCGGCTAATGACGGTGGCGAGCTTCTCGCGCTCAAACGGGCCTGCAGGATGGCGGTCAAGAGGTCAGGACGGTGTGTGCGAGGCGACGAGAGGGAGAGGGGGAGGGAGCGCACCGTCCCACACGAACTCTGGCTCGAGACCGCACTTGCGCCAGTACTCAATGTAGCGCCGGACGTTGTGGCGGATGCGCGAGTAGCCGCCGCCCTCGAACGTCTCGACGAGGCCGACGTGGTAGGCGAAAGCGAGGCCGTCGACGATGGCCGGGATCGGGCCGGGCTCGTCGTTGCCGGGCGAGGGGTGCGAGGTGATGGTGCCGAGGTTGTGCTTCTTGACGAACGAGGTGAGGCTGGCGACGCCCATGTTGAGCAGGCTGCAGTCGGCCGCGAGGATCGGAGTGTGGATGACGAGGACGAGGGGGCGGCGACAGGGTTGGCTGGACGGGAGAGCGAGCCAGTTGAATCTAGAGGTACACGATGCTCTAGTGGTACACTGTGGCGGTACAGGCAGAGCCCGAGGCGAGAGCAGCGAGCGGTTCGAGGGAGACGAGGAGGAGCGACAACCACCTCGTCCCGGTCCTCGCCCGCCGCACCGCTAGAGCCTTCTTGCTCCAGGCCAGCGAGCTAGCTGCTGTCCTCCAGGCTCCTCTCAATCAAGCCCCAGGTGCGCACGAGCTCTCCCTTCTTCGACTCGTTCTCATCAGCTCCCAGGTGGGGGATCCCGGTGGAGAAGGAGACCGAGACGGTGGGTCGAGCTGTAGGAGCCACGGCTGGAGCCCAGACAGGCCAAACGGCCCACACCCGACCGCCAGGCCCTCCACGAGGCTGTGTGCCCCGAGCCGGCCTCGTCGAGCACCCTCCTCTCGCCCCGAACCCGCGCTCACCTCGCTCCCACCCGCCCTACAGCTCGCCGACCCGCACGACTCGTCATGGTCCAGCCTACGGCACGTCCGCCTCGACGACTGAGCCCGGCCGAGGCCGCCCAGATCCCCTCGACCTCGCTCCCCATCGGCGCCCAGATCTCGCATCTCATCCACGACTTCACCGACCTCTCGCTCGACCTGTTCACCATCCTGTCGTCGCCGTCAACATCGAGTGCGGGCACGAGGCCGACCGCGCCCATCTACGACCAGCTCGCCGCCGTCGACGACAAGCTCGCGCGCCTCCTCGTCCTGTACGACGCGCACCAGGCGCACCAGCAGCGCGTCGACGCCCTCGTCGCCCAGCTCGGCACCCTCGACGCCGCGTGGCACGCGTCGGCGTCGACCCTGCGCGAGTGCACCCAGTCGCTCGCGCCCGTCGTCGAGTCGGGCGCGCTCGACCGCGCCGCCATCCTCGCCGCGTCGCGCGCCGGCCCGGCCCTGTCGCCCTCGTCGCTCCTCCAGTACGCGCGCCTCCTCGCGCCCTTCACGTCGGCCCCGCCAAGCTCGCTGTACCCGCCCGAGGACAAGCTCGACCTGCGCGGCGTCGGCGCGACCGACCCGACGGGCAGGTCCCTCCCGCCGGGCGCCATCCCGCCGTTCCCGACCGACGCCGTCATGCGTCGCGGCAGGCTTCAGTTCGGGCGCGAGGGCCTCTTGCACGGGCTCGGCGAGACGAACGAGGTGGGAGGTGCGTCCCCTTCCTCTCTCTCTCTCTCCTTCATCTTCGTCCCCTGCGTGTTGGCTCACTAACCTGGCCACGTCCACAGCTCGACGAGAAGGTGCCGAAGGAGGTGCAGCAGAGCAGGCGAGCCGGCCCGACGCGGCGGCGCGGCTCGAGCAGGAGGCAAAGGCGCACGAGGCGACGAGGGCAGGAGCCGCGCCGTTCGAGGGCGGCGCAGCTGGGGCGGCGGGCGATACGGACGACGACGAGTTCGACTTTGACCTCGACTTGAACCCGGACTTGTAACAGCTCGTTGGCGGTCGGCTCTCGGCGCACAGTGCTCGCGAGGAGAGCGAGAGCGAGAGCAGCTCGAGCAGCGCCAGTCGAGGGAGCTCTTCTCGGCGAGCGGCTTGGAGACACTTTCTGTGCGCCCTGCGGTAGTCGGCGCACGGCCGGGGCGAGCGAGAGGCGAGCCGCCACCTGCAAGATCCGGCTGCTTCGACCAAGTCCAGGCGACGGCCGCCTCGCCACTTTGCTCCAGCACAGGACTCAGTTCAGCAGCCATGGTGAGCCCCTCGTGCCCTCTCTCAACTCCTGCAGCCCCTCGTCCCGCCCGCCCGCACGCCGTACGCCTCTCTGACCCCGCCTCTCTCCTCCTCATCTTCCTCCGACTTCCCCTTGACCTCTCGCCCAGTCCGCACCACGAGTAATCGCCCAGGTCGTAATCCTCGGCTCGCAAATCCTCGGCAAGGCCTTTGTCCAGGCGTACCGCCAAGCAGCGCGCAGTGCGTCCCCTCCCACCTTGTCCCTCTCCTCCTCTCCTCCTCGGCACGAGCTGATCGTCTCCCCACCCTCACCCGCGCACAGACGCCCGCGCCGGCGCAGAAGGCGCAGCAGCAGGCGGTGCCGTCGGCGGCCGCGGCGGCAACGTCGACGCCATCTCGCGCAACCACGGCATGACGCTCGACGAGGCGGCCGACATCCTCAACGTCAAGCGCGGCGGGATCCAGGCAAAGGAGGAGACCGAGCTGCAGCGCATGCTCAAGGTCCGTCCACCTCGTCCACTCCTCTCCTCTCTGTCTCGCCCGCACCGCCTGACCCCTCGCTCGCCACAGAACTTTGACCACCTGTTCGCGGCCAACAACCCCCTGACGGCCGAGGGCAAGCCTCACTCGTCGCACTACCTCCAGAGCAAGATTGTGCGCGCAAAGGAGCGGATAGAGGCCGAGATGAGCAACGCCATGAAGGGCGGCGAGGCGGGCGCGGCTGCAGAGGGCGGCGCGGCGGCCGAGGGTCAGGCGGCGGCGACGGCGGGCAAGGATGTGCCGCCCAAGGCATGAGACGGCTTCGGGCGGGCTAGAGACGTCGACGACGGGCGGCAGGGGGCGCGCTAGACTGGCTGTACTTGTAGCGACACTATACCCCTCTCTCTCTCTTCGCTCTCTCCTCCTCCCCTCTCTCTCGTGCACCCATAGCAGCAACAGCATCTCTCACTCTCACGTGCTCAGTCTCCATCGAGAAGTCGAGAGTCCTTGGCTCGAGTTGCAAGACCGCTCTCACCGCACCGGCAAATGCCCGAGCCTCCACCCAGCTCCTCCCTCGAGCGGCTCGCCCTCGCCATCTCCCGCCGCCGCGACAGCCGCATACAGCGCGACACGTGCGCCGTCAACCCCGCGCTGCGGCTTGGTCCCGCTCGCGCTCGAGTACAGCGCGTGGAGCGACTGCTCGCGCGCGTGCGACGTCTGGTCCGCGAGCGCCGACGCGAGCTGCTTGGCGAACGAGGACGACGGCTGTTGTTGGAGCACACGAGAGCCACGAGAGTCAGGCCGTGTCGCCGACCGGGCAAAGATTGGAAGACAGAGGGAGAGAGAGCGGGACGCACGGTCTTTTTCTTGGGCGCCGCCGTTCCGAGCGCGAGCACGACCGCGTTGCGGTACCCGCCGCGGCGCTGCCCGCCCTTGACCTCGTCCTTCTCGTGCAAGAGGCCATACACGGCCTTGCCGACGTCCCACCAGCGCTCGGCGCCCCACTGGGCGTCGCGCGCCTCGACGACGGGCAGCGCCACGTTGACGAGCTCGGTGTCGGGGTCGAGCGCGAGTGCGCGCAGGACGCGCGTCGAGGTTGACGACAGGGCGAGGACGGCGGACGAGGTGGCGGGCACGCCCGAGGGGGCGAGGTGCGCGAACGAGCGGAGGAGGGCCGACGCGAGGCGCGGCGACGAGGGGAAGCTGAGAGGCGGCGACGAGGCCGACGTGACGTGCGGCGCAGATGTGACGACGAGGTGCGAGGTAGTGGTCCTGCGGCGGGGGCTCTAGAGTCAGGCGGGCGGCGACGCGGCGAGGAAAAGGGAGGGCTGGACGAACTCGTGCGGCGCGAGGAGGATGACCGACTGCGGGTTGAGCGAGTTGATCTCGGCGCCGATGCGCTCGAGCGCGCCGATGTCGACGTCGTCGCCTGTAGGGCAGGGACAGTCAGTGCTGGGCTCGAGCGCGCAGGAGAGAGAGAGAGGTGCGAGGGAAGGAGGAGGAGAAGGTCCGGGCGCACCTTGCTCGACAAAGTAGACGGGCAGCGTCTCCCTGAGCCCGTTCTCGACGCCGGCGTGCTCTGCCCTGCGCTCGACCTCCCTCAGCTGGCGCTTGTACTCCTTCTCGAGCTCCCTGCCGCTCTCCTTGCTGCCGAACCGGAGCTGCATCTCGATCTCGGCCTCCCAGTCGGCCTCGACCGAGTGCTCGTGCCCCGGGTGCGGCTCGATGCCGGCCTGGTACCGCGCAAAGGGCCCGGCCCACCGCTTGCCGACCTCGGTCGTGTGAAGGGCGTGCGAGGGGAGGAAGGGGAGGCGCGACGACACGCTCGCGGGGAGGATGGACGGCAGATCGAGACGAGGCAGGAAGGCCGCCAGGACGCCGAGGACGAGGCCCCATAGAAGCAGGCGCACGTTGGGCGCCATGGTGAACGAGGTCGCGGTCGGGTCGACGAGGTGAGGGGGCGGGGGAGGAGGAGGAGCCAGGGTCGGCGACGCGCTCGAGAGGCTGTCGGTCGGGCTCAGTAGCGCGAGGTGCAGTCTGAGCGCAGGCTGCGGTCGTGTGCAGCTCCTCGCGCGGCGGCAGCGGAGTGTGGTGAGGCCAGAGCTCCTCTCCCTCTCGCTCTCGCTTCCGAACCTTCGCAGCGTCGCACCTTTTCTCGCCCGCGCGTCGATAGAGAGCAGCCCAATCTATGCTGCATATCACACACCGAGATAGATTCTACCCAAAAGTGCGCGACGAGAGGAAAGCTCTACTTGGCGCCCTCGGACCCGCTCGCACCTCGCTGCGCCTTGTCGGCCATCTCCTTGAGCAGCTCGAACTCGCCCGACTTGCGGCACAAGGCCGCGAACGCCGAGTCGTCGCGAGCGAGGAGCGCGGACGGCGTGTCGTACTCGAGGACGCGACCCTGGTCGAGAACGAGGACCTTCGTGTAGTCGATGATCGTCCGAAGGCGGTCTGCGCGGGGGAGAGGAGGGTCAGTGCCGAGGGCCGCGATAGTCGGACGTCGAGAATGGTCGGCGGGCGAGAAAGAAAGATCCGAGAGGGAGAACAAGGGCGCAGAGGGCCGCCGACGAGGAGGAGGAGAGAGGGGGGGACGCACGAGCGATGCAGAGGATGGTCGCGTCGGCCATCTCGGCCCGAATCGTCTGCTGGATGCGCTCGTCGGTCGCGTGGTCGAGGCTCGCAGTCGACTCGTCGAGGATGAGGATGCTCGACGACTTGAGCTTGAGGATTCCGCGTGCGAGGGCGAGCAGCTGACGCTGACCTGCGAGTGGCCGAGCGGCGAGAGGCACAGTCAGGTTTCCGTCGACGGTAGGAAATGAGGAAGAGAGGAAGAAGGCGAGGGACGCACCGGCCGAGAAGTTCTTGCCGCCCTCGGTCACGTCCATGTCGAGCGACTTGACGACGTAGCGCTCCGTCTCCTCGACCGCCGCCGTCGACGCCTCCGAATCGCTCGGGTCGGGGCTCACCGCCCGGCTCGGGCCCGGCGTGGGCTTGGGCGTGATGCCGCTGACGCCGGGCGCCGCCATCTGGACCCGGCGCAGCGAGTCCCACACGTCGCGGTCCGAGTGCTGGCCGAACGGGTCGAGGTTGAACCGCAGCGAGCCCTTGAACAGGGCCGCCTCTTGAGCGACGATCGTCAATCGGCTGCGTAGGTCGTCGAGCGCGAGCGAGTTGATGTCGAGGCCGTCGATCGAGATGTTGCCGCTCGTCGGCTCGATGAACCGGAAGAAGCTCAGCGCGAGCGAGCTCTTGCCCGAGCCCGTGCGCCCGACGATGCCGATCTTGTCGCCGCCCTGGACCGTGAACGAGACGTCCTTGAGGACGGCCGGCAGCTCGGGCGCGTACGACGCCGTGAGGCCCTTGACCTCGATCGTGGCGCCGCGAGCAGGCCAGATGGCGGGAGGCTTGACGCCGCCCTGGTTCTCCTGCTCGAGCTCGAGGTCTGCGAAGCGGGGTGGGCGAAAAAGGTCAGTTTGGGAAGGCCGAGGCGAGGGAAGGTGGGAGGACACGGCGACGCACACTCCTGGACGCGCTCGATCGAGTTGGCCTGCATCTCGAGCTGGGACCACATGCGCGTCGTCCACAGGGCGCGGTCGGCAAAGGCCATGGCGAACGACATGACGAAGCCGGCGAGGGCAGGGTCCATCTTGCGGGCGAAGATGACGAACAGGGCGGCGACGAGCGAGACGACGCCGGCAGCAGCGTCGACCCGGAACGACAGCCAGCGATTGACGGCCCCTGCAGGATGAAGCGCGGATCAGGACCGGGTGCTGGCTGGAAGCGCCGGGCGAGAGAACGGGAACGAGGACGCACAGAGGGTGAAGAACGGCCGGTTGTTCTCGTCGACGAGGGCGCAGATCTTGCGCATGAACCGACTCGCGTCGCCGTAGGCCCGGATAGTCGCGACGCCCTGCAGCGACTCGCCAAAGACGGAAAAGATGGGCGAGCGCGTGACCGACTCTGCAACGGCGCGAACGTGCGAGGTCAGTCTCGGTGCCGGGACGTGCAGGGCGAGGAGTGACGAGGACGCACCGAAACGCTTGAGCTCGCGAGACGAGGCGAGGTAGATCTTGCCGAGGTAGAAGTAGAAGATGGAGATGAAGATGCCGGCGAGGAGGAACGACGGCAGCGCCGCCGAGACGGTCCCGACGATGCCGATGATCATGAGGACCTCGAGCGTGAGGTACAGGCAGGTGCCGGGAAGCTCCTGGTCGATCGTCTCCATGTCCTTCGAGAGGCGGTTGAGCTGCGACACGGCGAGGGTCAGTGCGGGCCGACTTTGAGGGAGGATCAGGCAAAAGGGGGACGCACGATGCGGCCAGTCGGCGTCGAGTCGAAGAAGCGGACTGTGGGCGAGAGGGGGAGAGTGAGTGAGTGAGAGGGCGACGAGCTCGAGGGGGGAGGGAGGAGGGACGTACTCGGCGCGCGCAGGATGCGGACGATGAGCTGGCGGTAGATCTTGCGGCTTGCGCCGATGCCGGCCCACGAGACTGCGAGAGGGTTACGAGTCAGTCACTGTGAAAGTGGCCGTGACCGGGAGGGAAGGCGGGGAGAGAGAGCGAGACGCACAGTAGGCGACCCGACCGGCGCTGAGGACGAGGTTGATGACGGCGACGACGCAGTAGGTCGCGAGCCAAAAGTCGGGATCGTTCTTGCGGTCGTCGAAGAAGCCGACGGCGCGAACGTTGCCGCCGGTGACCGGGTGCAGGTACTGGCCGACGACGAGCGGGAAGCCCGTCCACCGACCGACCGAGTTCTTGACGGTCGAGGCGACAACCACGTGGAAGCGCTCCTTGTTGTCAAACGAGCCGGCCCAGTAACGAAGCGCGAGCGAGACGGCTGCGAGGGGAAGAGTGAAGAAGGTCAGTGAGGAACGGCGGGGGTGGGTGGGGGAGAGCGAGAGCGGGACGCACCGATGTCGGACAGCTGGGCGCCCACAAAGATGAGGAACGCGATGACGACAAACTTCCACGCGCCGAGAGCCTTGATGTAGAGGAGGTACACCTCGCCCTTGACCGAGCCCTGCGCCTGCGTCTCCTCCTTGATGAGCTTGAGGGCTTCGACGCGCTTGCGCCGCTCGTCCTCCTGGTGCTTGTCGACGGCGCTGGACGTGTCACCGTCGGCGAGACCCTCGATCGTGATGGCCGAAGCCGACGCCTGGGCCGCCTCATACGCCTGCTGCTCCTTGTCGAGCGCGAGGAGGCGCGACGACGAGAGGTCGTCGGGTGCGCCGGCCGAGACGACGACGCCTTGGTCGAGCGTGACGACAAAGGCCGCGTACGGGAGGCACAGGTCGACGGCGTGCGTGACGAGGACGCAGGTGCGCTTGCGCATGATCGGGCCCGTGAGGCACTTCTCGACGAGGTGCTGCGCCGTGTGCGAGTCGACCGCCGACAGGACGTCGTCGAGGAGGACGTACTTGGCCGACGAGTAGATGGCGCGAGCGAGGCTGAGTCGGGCCTTTTGACCGCCTGCGAGATGGACGAACGAGAGAGTCAGTAAGGGTCGACTGGCGGTTCAGGCCGGCGGCGGACGCACCCGACAGCACCGTGCCCTTCTCGCCCACCTCGGTCTCGTCGCCGAGCTCGAGCTGCTTGAGGTCTGGCGCAAGCGCACACGCCTCGAGCGTCGCCTGGTACCGCTTGGCGTTGAGCGGCGAGCCGAACAGGATGTTGTCGCGGATCGTCGCCGACATGAGCCAGGGCGACTGTGCGGCGTAGGCGGTCGTGTCGGTGAGGCGAGCTGGGTCGGCGTTGGTCGTGCGGACGACGGGCGAGGGGAGGAAAGCCGAGCCGGACAGGCGGTTCGTCTCTCCGAGGAGCGAGGACAGGAGCGTGCTCTTGCCCGACCCAACTGCAAGCGACGACACCGAGAGGTGTATCAGAGGCGATGCTCAAAAGGACTGGACAGGAGAGAAGGAGAAAAGAGGGCGCACCTGGACCGAGGACGATGCTGAACTTGCCCTCGGGGAAGCGCAGGTTGAGGTCGCGAACCCGGAACACGCTCGAGTCCGACTTGGCGCGTTCCTCGTCGCACCACGTAAAGCTGGCGTCGACGAAGCCGATGACGGGGTCCTCGGCGGTGGACGGCTCGGCGAGGATGCTGTACTTGTGCGTCTCCTCCTCGTGCAGGTATCCGTCGATGCGGACGAGGCTGACGTGGGCCTGCAGGACGTTGACGAGCACTGCGTACGTGTATCGGGTCAGTCACGAGGCGGACTGAGGCTCGGAGGAAGGAGGGGAGAGAGAGAAAGAGGAGGAGGAAGGAGGGACGCACTGTCGGTGAAGCCCTCGAGCGGGCCGCGCAAGACGGTGAACAGGGCGAGGGCGGTAAAGGCCGTCTCGGCCGTGAGCGGACGATGGAGGACCTTGGTCTGCGTCACGAACGTGACGATGCCGACGAGAACCGGCGTGCCGAAGGTCAGGTTCCAGCCGACCGTGACGGCGACTTGGCGGCGCCAGACGGCGGCGAGCTCCTTTTTGCGGGCGACCTCCATCATCTCGATGAACTTGTGCTCCCAGGCGAAGAACTTGACGATGCGCAACTGGCTGATGACCTCGGTCGTGAGCTCGAGGCGCTGGTCGGCCGCGTGAAGGAGCTCGTCCTGGTACCGGAGGTAGAGCTTCGAGATGTAGGCCGTGATGGGCATGATGGCGACGAGGACACTGATCTGCAGGCGTGTCGAGGTGTCAGGACCTCGAGGGCCGACTTAGGAAGGCCAAAAAGTGGACGCACACCGACGATGGCCGCGACGCCGAGCAGCCTCCAGAGCAGCCAGCAGATGACGACGATGGTGAGGGGCATCTCGCTCGTGATGAAGTGGAGGTAGGCGCAGATTTCCGAAACTGCGCGACCGTGGAGAAGAGGGCGAGTGAGCGCACGGCTTACGGCAGGAGGCGCACAGGTGAGAAGAGGACGAGGACGCACGACGATAGGCATCGACGCTGACGAGGTTGATGATCTTGCCCGACGACGCCTTCTGCAGGTCGGCCTCGAGCTGCTCGAGGTCGGCCTTGTCCTGGCCCGGCGTGGTCGACTCGCCCGGTGCCGCCGCCTCCTCGCCCTCGCCGACGGCAGGTGCGGCCCTGGTCGACATCTTGGGCGCCGGCGAGACGTCGGAGGCGGCGCCGGCCTCGTCATGAGCGGCAGACGAGCCGGCCTGGTCCTTGCGGCGCAGCGCCTTGGTGAAGACCTCGCCGACGATGATCGAGCTGCGGACGGTCGAGGAGTCGGCGGTCGCTCTCAACGCGAGAGGAGAAGGGATAGAGAGAGAAAGAGAGAGAGATGGACGCACCGAAGCCGCAGACAAACTCGCCGACCGATGAAGAGCGCCTGGCTGCTCCCGACGCTCCCGACGACCGTCGCGAGGAACAGGACCCACGCGTACAGGACGGCGACGTGGATAGGCGCGTTCTCGCCGCGGTTCCGGGCGCCGATGTGAGCGAGGATGCCCTTGAGCATGAGCGGCGGGATGCCGTTCATCGCGACGCGCACGAGCGAGTACAGGTTCTGGGCGATGAGGGCGGGCCAGAAGTGCCACAGGAGCTTCCACGTAAGGCCGAGCGACTCGACGCCCTCGGTGTCGGACACGACGCGGCGGCGCAGGCCGACAGGAAGGCGGGCGAGGAAGGCGTCGAGGCGGGTGAGCGACTGGCGGTAGGCGAGGAGGACGCGCGCCGTCTTGTCGTCGGGGCGCAGGTCGGGGATGTCGTCGAGCTTGAGCGGGCCCGTGTCGTACCGCTTGGGGAACGCGCACCGCAGCTGGAAGCTCTCCATGTAGGAGAACGTGGCGAGGCTCGCGAGCGACGCGTGCACCTCGGGCGTCGGCGACAGGGGCTTGCCGTCGACGGTGACGCCCATCGGCGTGCCGCTCGAGCGCGACGAAAACTGCGACGGGCGCGGAGCGACAAACTCGAGGACGGCGAGCGTCGACGAGATGGCGAACAGGGCCGTCTCGAGGTGGACGAGCTTGCGGGCGGGACCGTACGGGAACGAGTGGTAGTCGAGGAGGGCGGACCGCAGGTCGAAGAAGCCGGTCAAGGCGCTGTACAGGACGAGGTACGGAATGATGTGGCGCTCGAGCGTCGCGTAGAAGGCGCCCATCTCGCGGTGCGGCACTTCGGGGTGGCGCAGGGCGAACAGGCGGTGGTTGAAGGCGAGGGCGAACTTGACGAGCGCCAACAAGACGATCCAGGCCTGTTGGTCGGGCGAGAGTAGTCAGAGCCGGACACGTTGCGCGCTCGAGCCTCTGGAGAAGAAAAGGGAGGCGGGACGCACCCAGGACGCGAGCTCGATGATGACCCAGCCTCGCCCGTCTGCCCGGTCCTGCAGCGCCCGCACGAGCTTGAGCGAGCACAGCGCCACCATGGCCGCGGCGCCAACGACGTTGAGGACGTCCTTCTTGCTGCCCGACACGGCGCGCGCGACGACGACGAACCCGCCCCGGGTCGGCGTCACCTCCTCGAGCAGGCGGTCGTCGGCCTCGTCGAGGTGGAGGCCGAGGAGCTCGCGCTGGGTCGACCGGTTGCGCCAGTCGGGGCTCTGCTTCTCGGCGACCTGGCGCAGGACGTTGGCCTCGGCCTGCGCGATTGGCGACGGCACCGACTCGGCGGGCGCGTCGGCGGTGGCGAGGCGGATGTACGACTCTTTCGAGCGGGCGAGCGAGGCGATGGCGGCACGGAGCGCCGTGATGAGGAGGAAGGTGGCAGAGAGGGAGAGGAAGACGAGGGGGAGGATGCCGTCAAAGGCGCTGTGTGCCGCCGTGATCCAGCTCGTGCGCCTCGAGAGTACGTCTGAATGAGTGGATCGAGGACGCACCTGGCTCGGAAGCAACGATCCCAGTCGACGCCGTCCCACACGGCTCCGTCCGACGAGGTCGAGCGAGTGCACCACGCAGTCGAGCTCGCCGCGATAGTCGAGTCGGCACCGAGTGGGAGCTGCAAGGTGGCCATCGTGGCTGTTGGCTAGGTCGTGAAGGTGCGGCTGAAGCTGGGCGGTTGTCGAGGTTGCGCGACTGGCGCGAGGAGGAGAAGGATGGCGACGAGGGGGAGACGACAGACGGGTGGGTCGCGCTTGACGACGACAGGCGAGCTGGTGAGCTGCTCGAGCCGGGTCTGCGCCTATCGAGTCGACGGCGAGGGAGTCAGAGCTGGACGAAGCTTCTCTGTCGAGTCGCGCTTCAAGTCGGCGGCCACGCGGTCCGCGCCGAGGTCTCACCGCTTTCGAATTTCGTGGGCGAGCCGGCCTGCCGTGCCAGCTGCACCTTGCCCTCGCTCTGCCGCGAGTCCACCGTCGAAGCGAAGGCTCGTGCGCCCGCAAGCCGCTCGAGGTGAGAGCGGCGTGAGCCCGACCGGGCACGTGCACGCCGATCGAGCTTACGAGCGCGGTGCTCAACTTGGCAACGGCGCCCACATCAGCGCGTGCGGAGACCTGCGGAAGCGGCGGCGGAGCTGACGGAGAGCGCGAAGATGCTCGGCTCGCTCTCCCCCTCGCTCGCTCGTCTCTCGCTTCATCCCAGACAAGCGCGCACAGCCAGCATCATCCCGCTCCACCGCCGCACCCTCGCCTGCGCCTCTGCGCTGCTCGTCGTCGCCCTCGTCCTCCCCCACCTCGGCTTCGTCCAACCCGCGGCTTCGACTCTCCTCGCCCCATCACAGCAGCGCATGCGCCGCGCTTTCGCCCAGCTATCTTCTATCCTTCCAGCCTACCTCGCCGGCTCGTCCGCCACGCCCACCACGACCCCGTCGCCGTCCGCCAATTCGCCGCGCCTGCGCTCGCCCATGTCATTATCCACCACGGCCAGCTCAGCAGACGGCGCGACGGTGAACGACACGCCAGAAGAATGGAGGGCACAGCTCGAGGCGCTCCCGAGCCTCGAGGAACTCGGCGGCAGCGTGCCAGCCGTCTTCCTCGCTCACGGTCGTGCGTCCAGCTCTCTCTCTCTCCCATCCCGGCGCCCGTTCGTTCTCCTTCGGTGCAAGCTGACTATGTCGAGCACCGCAGAACCGATGCTCATCATGTCGCCGCAACTGGCGGCGCAGCGAGGCGGCCAGTTTGGAGCGCTCGCGACGATACAGGGTCCCGACGGCCTTCTCGTCCAGTTCCTGCGCGACCTCGGGCCGCACCTCCTCACCAAGTACCGCCCCAAGGCGCTCGTCATCCTATCGGCGCACTGGGAGACGGCCGGCGGCGGCGTCACGACCGACTATGGCGGCGAGAACCCGCTCCTCTACGACTACTTTGGCTTCGACCAAGCGTGCGTCCCCTCTTCTCTCTTTCCTCTCTACACCTGATGAGGCTCACCCTCGACGCTTTGCAGGCTGTACGAGGTCGAGTTCAAGTCGCGCGGCGACCGTCAAGTCGCCGAGCGGGTCGTCGAGCTCCTCCAGGCCGCCGGCATTAAGTCGTCGCGGCTCACGAACAAGCTCGAGCCTCGCGGCGAGGACGGCCGAGGGTTCCAAGGACCAGGACTCGGTGCGTCTCTCTTCATTCTCTCTGCCGAAGCTAGCAGATCCGCTTGACCAATACCTCGTCGCGCTCGCAGACCACGGCGTCTTTGTCCCGCTCATCCACATGTTCAAGGGCGAGGCGCCCATCCCCGTCGTCCAGGTGTCGATCCCGTCCGACCTGCGTCCCGAGACGCAGCACACCCTCGGCGCTTCACTCGCCCCGCTCCGCAGCGAGGGCGTCCTTGTCGTGGCGGGCGGGCTCTCGATCCACACGTTCCGCGACTTTAGCGCCTTCTCGCCCGACACGGCCAAGCCGCAGTACCGCGCGTGGGAGAAGAGCATCGTCGACGCCGTCGCCGTCGCCGAGGTGAGCGCTGCCCGTCCCTTTCGAGCCCCGCTCGAGCCCCGTCTGACCTCGTCTCCCTCCTCACAGCCCGACGCTCGACACCGCGCCCTGTTCGACCTCGTGCAGCACCCGTCTTTCGTGCGTCTCTCTCTCTCTCTCGACGTGCACGGTGACTGACCAGCTCCTCGGTCCCGCAGCGAGCCGCTCATCCTCGCGAGGAGCATTTTGTCCCTCTCTACGTCGCGCAGGGTGCAGGGTCCGAGGGCGGCGAGGCCAAGGGTGCGAGGATGGTGTGCGGGCTGTGGGGAGCCAAGACGATCGTCTTTGGCGTGTAGCTCTCGCTCTCTGTAACCGAGTTTTCGGGCAACGCGCGCGCGAGAGAGAGAGAGATGCGTCGAACAGGGACTGAAAATAATACGGAATGGAAGGGATGCTGCGTCTACAACCTCGTCGTGCGTCCTCGTCTGGTCTCACGGGTCGAGTCTGAGCTCCTCGCCCCGGCCCTTGCCCATGCCGCCGTCGCTCGGGCCCGTCCACTCCCACACCTCGAACCGGTGGTTGAGCCCGCCGTCCTCGTGGACGCTGTACAGGCTGCCGGCGCCGCCTGCGCCTGGCGCGCGCTTGATGTAGTACAGGGCCTTGATGCGCGAGTGAAGGAGGCTCATGGCGCACAAGAGGCACGGCTCGTGCGACAGGAAGACGCTCAGGCCCGTGAGAAGGTACGGCGGGTCGGCGGCCTCGGGCCCAAAGTAGGACAAGGGTGGGCGCGAGCCCGACATGTCGAGGTACGCGACGGCGTCGATGGCGTTGGCGGCGGCGTGCGACAGGACGTTGCCGGTCGAGAGGCGCGTGTCGTGCGCCGTGACGAGCTTGATCGGCTGGTTGAGCGACGAGTGGAAGCTCGCGTCCCACGAGTCGGTGACGCGGCAGGCGATGGCGTGCTGCACGAAGCGAGAGAGAGAGAGAGTCAGGGTGCGGCTCGGGAACAGGACCGAGAGAAAGAGAGAGAGAGAGAGAGACGCACCTCGCCGCGCCGACCGGCGTCCTCGGCCCGCTCCCACACCTTCCTCGCCTGCCGCTCGACCCACTCGAGCTTTGCGCGCTCCCACCCCTTCTTGCGCATGATGGCCTTTGCGCCCTCGCGCACGTGCACCACCTGGACGGGCCACACCTGGCCCCACTCGCTCGCCTGCTTGTCGGTCCTCGCCGCCGCAGCGGGCACGCCGACCGTGTAGATGCTCGGCGGCGGGCCGGGCTCGAGCGCCTTGCCGATCGGCGACCGCGCAAGGAGGTCCTCGAGGTCGGGCGGCGCGCTCCCGACTGGGAACAGGAGGACCGACTGGAGCTGGTCCGGGTCGGCGCGGTGCGGGTGCTCGCCCGTCTCCTCGTCGGGCTCGGCGCGAGGCTGGAGCGGGCGTACACGCTTGAGGTGCCCGAGCTCGTTGAACTTGCGGCTCGAGTGCTTGCGGACGAACTGGAACACGGGCGACGACAGCCGAGCCGGGATGTCGATGGCGTAGCACGACACTGTCGACGAGGGACGACAGAAGGTCAGTTCTGGTCGCTCGAGAGCCCGAGAGACCGCGAGAGAGAGAGAGAGAGAGGAGGAGCGACGCACTGAGGGTGAGCTCGGCGTCCTCTGGGTCGAGCAGCTCGGTCACCTTCTTCCAGTGAAAGTCGGGGTCGGTCGGCGGGACGACGTCGTTGTCGCGCACGCGCAGCTCCTCGGGCGACAGGTCCTTGAACTGGGCGAGCCGCTCCGTCTCGGGATCGGGCGGCGGCGCGTCGAGCTCGCCGAGTCCGCCCCAGCCATCGTCGATCGCGTCGGCCTCGGCAAGGCCGTTGTCGTCGGCGGCGCCGTTGTCGTCGGTGCCCGAGAAGCGCACGTTGTGGCCGTAAAAGATGGTGAGCTCCTCGCCCTGGCGGACCGACTTGGCCGTGCGGTACGAGATGGTGTACTGCGAGTAGTCGAGCGAGTACGTGACGTTGGGCGACGCCGAGTGGTTGAAGAGCGAACCTGTGTGCGAGGGGAACAACGTGAGCTGGGCGGCCCTGAGAGGAAGAGAGAGAGGGAGAGAAGGGACGCACCGATGCCGAGCGCGACCGCCATGCTGCCGTCCCTGCCCCACGTAAACACGTACCCGCGCAGCTGGCTCGCCTCGACGCCCTTGAGCGTCCCGTCATCGTCGTCGTCGTGCTCGCCCGGGCGCCTGCCCTTGTACTCGGCCTCGGGGAGGACGAGGACGGGGCTGATCTCGATCACCTTGCCCGCAGGGATGTAGCTCGTCGCGTACACGCCGCGGCCGAGTGCAGGGTCGCGCGTCGCGATCTCGATCGGGGCGCGCGTGAGGTGAGGCGTCGTCGGAGGGTAGGGGAGCGTGCCGGCGTCGTCGTCGGCGGCAGGAGGGGGAGGGTACGAGTAGGCGTGCGCGTCGCGCTGCTTGCGCTGTGCGGCGCTCTCCTTGTGCGGCGGCTCGACGCCGCTGCACGAGGCGCCGTCGAGGGCGTCGGCATCGGTGGCCGCGGTGGGCGACGAGTGGTCCGGGAGCGAGCGCTCGACCGGGTCGGAGTCGCCGTTCAGGGCGAGCGCGGCGATGGACGGGAGCTGGGCGTGCGCCTTGGCCGAGGGAGGTCCAGGGGGCTGCTGAAGCACGGTCGGGTGCTCGCCGGCGCGGTGGTCGACGTCGGCGCGGTGCGGGTGATGAGACTCGCTCGTGTTGGCCGGGCTGTTAGGCCCGAGGTCGGTTTTGCGGCTGTCGATCTGTAGGGAGGGTGGCAAGGTGAGCTCTGTGGACGCAGTGCGGGCCTACCTCGCTCGACCGGGGCGCCTGACGACGAGGTGAGCCGGCAGGGGGGAGAAAAGAGGAGGGCCGAGGACGCACGATGAAGCGATCATGGTCGTTGGGGCTCTGGTGCATCAAACGGAGGACGAGAGGAGGGCCGCAGTGGGCAGGCAGGCAGCAGACAGCGTGGGCTGTCGCGAGAGCTTCGAGGTGGACGTCGGTCGACCTTGGGAGCCTTCGCGCGTTCGCCGCGGTCGGCCCGCTCCTTTCTCTCTCACGCGACACTCTCGCGCTCTTCTCGCTTCGCCTGTGCGGGCTTGTGCTTCCTGCGGCTGTCTCCAGAGCTCTCGCTGCTCCACCCCCTCTATCTCGCGACTAGTCTCGAGGCGTCGAAGCCGGCTGCACGCGCCTCTCTCCCACGCACTCTGCTCGACCTCGCACTGCACCTGCTCTACATCCCCCCGCCCAGGCTCCTGAGCAGCTCCTCGAGGCTCGCGTCGCCCGCCCCGCTCCCGCTCGGCGCCGCCGCAAAGCTCGTAAAGTCGAACCCGTCGCCGAGCCCTCCTCCCCCTGCGGCTCCTCCTCCTCCTCCCGCTCCAGTCCCTGCCGCATCGCCGCCAAACCCGCCAAAGGACGACGCCGAAAAGTCGAGCGACGAGAGGTCCGGCGCTGGAGCGGCGCTCACGGTCGAGGGCGCGGGCGGCGCGAGCGAGAGGCCGAGCGAATCGAGCGCGCTCGAGTGCGTCGGCGCCGGGGCGGTGGATGCGGGGGGCGGTGCCGAGCCGGCGAGGAGCGCGTTGAGCGCGTCGAGCGACAGGGCGGGGAAGGTGGTCGAGGCTGGGGCCGGTTGGGGTGCAGAGGAAGAGGGAGCGGGCGCGGTCGACGAGGACGGGAGGGACGTCGAGGCGAGCGAATTGTCGAACGGCGGCATGTTGAGCGACGCGAGGAGCGCGTTCAGGTCGGCGTTGGCGTCGGCGCCACCGAGGTCGGGCGCGACGTTTGTCGGAGCGGGCGCGGGCGGGGGCGCGGCGTCGTCGCCCGTCAGGTCGAGCATCATGGCCGACGACGAGGCCGGGAGGGTGGACGACCCGGGCAGCTGGAAGGGGAGGGTCGAATTGGTCGTGGTAGATGACGCGGCGGGAGGTGGCGAGGGCGAGAGGGTGAGGTCGAGCTTCATCGTCGCCGCGTCTGGCGGTGCCGCACTCGCTGCAACTGGAGCCGAGGTCGACGCGGTCGGTAAGGAAAAGGGCAGCTTGGCGTCGTCGGCTCCGTCGTCGTTGACGGGCGCAGCTGGCTTGGCGGGCTCGACAGGTGCAGGAGGGTCGGCAGGCGCAGGCGAGGTGGGGCGGGCGGGCGAGAGGCCTGCGGCTCGACGGGCGTCTCGCTCGAGGGTGGCGATGGCCTTGAGCTGCGAGCATGAGCAAAACGGTGAGCACCCGGGGCAGGACAGAGGGAGGAGAGGAGGGGGACTCACGACGCGGTGCTCGAGGTGGTCGCAGATGGCGGCAAACTGGGCGGCGTCGGCTTGGAGTGCCTGGGTGAGGTGCCTCGGGGCTACTGGGGCGTACTGCACGACGCCATGTTGCTGCAGGCGGGCCTGGAAGGCGAGGATGCGCGACAGGTCGAGCAGAGTGGCCTGGAGGGAGGGACGGAGTGCGGGGGGTGAGCGACGACGAGAGGACAAGGCGAGGGGTGGGCGCACCTTGAGCGAGGCTTCGAGCTGTGCCTGCACGGTGGCCTGGCCGCTCATGTCGGCTTGAGCGGGTGTGGTCGAGGAAGCGAGAGGCGCGGGTCCATGTTGGTGTCGGTTCCTCCTCCTCTCACCGGCTCGAGACGACTGCGATCAAGCTAGACGCGCTGCAAGAGCCGCTCTCGACCCCGGCCATGCCCCTCAAGCGCACCGACAGCGCCAGCTCGACCTGGCTCCTCCCTCATCGCTCTGACGACGACCCGGACGCGCTCGACGACCAGGTCCGTTCCCAGTCCTCTGTGCAGCCCTCGTACACAGAGTCTACTCGGGACTGCGAGATACTCTCCCCAGAAGCGCACGCGCTGACCCCGTCCTCTCGTCCCCGCCCGGTTCCCCTCCTCGTCCTCCTCGCCCCCACAAACAGCGCCGCATCCGCCACCTGAGCGCCGTCCTCGTCCACAACCTGTCGCTCGACCCGCGTCGCGACCAACTCGCCGCCGCCCTCTTCTCCCACACCCTCGTCCCCTCGTCCCTCGACCTCGTCCCCACTTCGGCACCCTCGTCTCGCTCCCTCGACCCGGCCGCCCAGCAGGGCCGACGGGGCTCGTCAGTCGACGACTCGGTCGACAGCGCCGTGCGAGGGCCCGGTCGGCGACGTGCAGAGAGCGCCGCGAGCTGGAACGACGGCCTCGGCGCCGACTCGAGCCGCGACGGCGAGCGACGACTACCCGCCCGAGTGCGGCCCCGCCGCTCGTCGAGCGCAGGCACCCTCCTCGCCCAGCCCTCTTCGCGCATCGACGAGGAGGAGCCCGCGTCCCCAAACCCGGCAGACGACGCCGGCCCGTCCTCCGCCTCGATCGCACCCTCGACCTCCCTCCGCACGCGCTCCGCCTCCCGCGCATCCATCGCCTCGGCCGGCTCCTCCTCGACCATCCGTCAAGCACCCCGCATCCCGCCGCCAGCCCCGCAGCAGCAGCGCGCCGAGCGCCCGCCGCCGCCGAGCGCGGCCCAGTTCGCCCAGCGCGAGAAGCAGCGCCGCGACGAGGCGCTCCGCCGGCGCCTCGTCGACAGCTTTGTCTCGCTCGAGCTCGTGCCGGACGAGTCGGGCGAGCAGTCGCAGGCGCAGGCCCGGGTGGACCCGCTCGAGGCCACGCTCGCGGGCAGGAGGCGGAGCGGGTCGGTCGCGAGCGCGCACATGCAGCGCAGCGGCAGCGCGGGCTCGGCGCAGGGCACGAGTAGCGGCGGCCCGTCGTCCTGGGTGTCGTCGTCGTACGCGCTGTCGTCGCCTCGCAAGGCGATGCGGCGCAGGATGACGGCGTCGTCGCTCCTGTCGACGTCGGCCTCGTTCCCGACTTTGGCGTCGACCTCGGCTACGGCACCGCCTCGACCTGCGCCCTTCTTTGTCTCGCACCCCTCTCTCGCCTCGACGCACGCGTCCTTCCCTGTCGACCCGTCCTCCTTCCTTCTCCCGCTCGACGACGCCGACCTCGGCCCGCCCGCGACCGCCGCAGCGGCTCCCGCCCTGCCCGACGACCCGACAACGTCGACATGGTCCGGCCTCCGCGAGGGTCGCTTGCGCGCCAAGGTGTTTGCGCGGCCGAGCGACGCGCTGCGGCCGAGCAGAGGACCGGGCGCGCGCACGAGGTCGGGCTCGAGGACCGGCAAGGAGAAGGAGCGCGAGGAAGACGAGGACGAGTGGCGCCTGGTAGCCGAGTGGGAGGTCGAGCTGGACGGACTGACGAGCCTCGGGCGAGATGTGCGTGACCTCTCTCTCTCTCTCCTAACTTCCGCCGACTGGCCGACTGACTCATTTCCGTCTCGCGACAGCCTACCCTCTTCCCTTCTCTCCCTCCCAACACGCTCATCTTTGCCCTGTCCCCCTCGGCGCCATCCTTCTGCCCCTCGGCCTCGTCGTCGACCTCGACCGACACCGAGTACTTCACGGCGCCGCTCCCCCTCCTACGGCGCGCCGCGCGCCCTCGCCGCCGCTCGACCGCCGGCGCACGGGCGACCCGCTCTCTGAGCGAGGACGAGGCGTCGTGCTCGTCGTGCTCGGCCTCGGACGGCGAGGACGACCCGGGCAACCTCTCGGACCCGGGCGTCGGCGCCGGCGACGGCGCCCTCTCTCGCGCCCGGACCCGCCCACGCTCGGGCACCCTGCGCGCTGCAGGCCTAGGGCGCCTCCCCGCCCGCTCGAGGGCGCGCAGCGACCCGCAGGCGCAGGCTGCGCGGCGCGACGAGGCGCACCTGCGGCGCGTGGCGCTCGTCGAGCGGTCGCGGCGCGAGACGCGCATGGTGCGGTGCGCCGAGTGGGGCGAGACGCGGCGGGTGTGGGAGGGCGAGAGGGAGGCCGAGGAGCTGTGGGGGGAGCTGAGGGAGGTGAGCGGGAGGGTCGCGAGGGTGTTGGGCGAGGATGGCGAGGGAGGTTGGGCCGAGCGGGTGCGTCCGCCTCTCTCCTCTCTCGTTTGAGCGCAGGCGACGATTACGATGTACTGACAGAGGATCGACGTGCAGGAACGCGAGCGGGCCGAGATGCAGGACCGGGTCGACGACCTCGAGGCGGTCAAGGAGGCCGAGCAGCAGGAGCTCGAAGAAGGTGCGTCCCCTCCTCTCTCGCCGTCTCTCCTTTCGACACCGACAACATTGACCGTGTGCTCGTCCCGCAGATCTCGCGGCTCTCGAGGCGCGACGAGCAGCGTTGCGAGCCAGGAGGGCGCGGCTCGAGCGGGCGCGGGCGCTCGCCCAGGCCAACCAGGAGCAAGTTGGCGTGCAGCGAGCAGCATTAGACGAACAAGAGTGCGTCCCTCTCGTCCACTCGGCTCTGGTCCCACGCCCTGACCCAGAATTGTCGCCCGCCGCAGCCGTTCGCTCGCCGACCTCGGCTCGACCTCGCGCACCCGCCGCACGCAGCTCATCACGCTCCTGTCGCACATCTTCCCCATCGAGCCCGTCTCGCCGTCGCCCTCGTCCAAAACGTCCCTCCCGCCGCTCCTCTTTTCGATCGTCGGCCTCGCCCTCCCCAACTCGTCCTACCCGCCGTCGTACACGGACGACACGCTGTCGTCGGCGCTCGGCTACGCCGCACACGTGACGCACCTCGTCGCGGCGTACCTCGGCGTCCCGCTGTGCTACCCGCTGCGGTGCCGCGCGAGCCGCAGCGTCGTCGTCGACGAGATCAGCATGATGAAGGGCCCGAGGGCGTTCCCGCTCTACGGACGCGGCGTCGACCGGTACCGGTTCGACTACGGCGTCTTTCTCCTCAACAAGAACATCGAGCAGGTGCGTCGCCATCGTCGCCTCGGCTCTCCTCTTTCCCCCTCCCTCTTGCGCACAGACCCTGACACGCCTCTCTCGCACCCTGCGCAGCTCATGTATTCGCAAGGCCTGACGGTCCTTGACCTGCGCAACACGCTCCCGAACCTCAAGACGCTCATCCTCTCGCTGTCGTACGACCCGTCGCACGCCGACTACCTCTCGGCCACCCTCCTCCCCTCGACCATCTTCTCCGATACCGCCTCGCCCGCCGCCGCCGACGTCGACAGCTCAAACGATGCCGGGTACGTCGTCGACGACGGCGCATCCCGCGCGGACGAGCAGGGCGAGCCCTCGAGCATGACCAACGGCCGCTCGCGCTCGTCGTCGCTCGCGTCGACGATCCGCCCCTCGCGCGCCAAGAGCGCGTCGAGCGCGTCGCGCACGAGCAGTCGCAGCAGCAGTCGTCGCTCGAGCCGCACTCGCGGCGGCGACGGCGAGGGAGACGGGCCGGGTGGGCGTGCGGCGTCCCCCGCGTCGCTCGCCCAGGACGGCGGCTCTGCGGCGCCTCGAGCACCCGCCCCGAACGACGCGTCGAGGGACCGTCGCTCTCGCAGCTCGAATGGCCACGCCAACGGCGCAGCGCCCTCGAGTCGCGCGCCCGCCGCCGCAGCGCGAGCCGAGAAGCGCGCCGTGCCCGTCCCGGCGCCCGGGCCCGTCTCGGTTGGCTCGAGCGCGCCCTCGCCCGGGCTCAAGGTGCGCGTCGTCAAGCCTGCGGGTGGCGCACCTGCGGGTGACGGCGGCGGGCGAGCGGCAGGAGGAGGAGGAGGGTACGGCGCGAGGATCCGTGACGGGCTGTGGAGCGCCGTGGCGGGCAACGTCGCTGCGGCAGGGGGCGGGTCGGGAGGTCGAGGAGGAGCAGGAGACGGACGCTGAGAACGACGAGCTGCGGTTCGGCATCGAGCAGGAGATGCGCATGCGAGAGGGAAGCTGGCGCGAGAGGTCGACGAGGGCCAGAAAGCCTGAGCGGGCCGGTCCGGCTCGAGCGAGGATGCGCAGATAAAGGTGAGAGAGACGGATACGTGGCTAGTGCTACCCTGCGAGACGAGCGGCGAGGTGCCGAGTTGCGTCCGCCTTCGCTCGTCGCACAGAGAGCGAGAAGGGTGGGCGATCCCTCCGCTCTTCGCCCACCACACCAGCCGCCAGCCTCGAGTGCCAGTGCGCACAGCAGCAGTCTACTCGCACCCCACGGCCGCCGCCCTCCCGCCGCCCGCACCTCGCCGCTCCCCAGAGCGCCTCATCAACCCTCGCCGTCCCCCACCCGACCCTCGTCCTCCTCCGCTCCCGCCCAGGGCCAAGCGCGACTCGGGCCACACCACACGCCTCGCTGCATGCAGTCGAGCACCACCGCACACCAACCTCTCGTGTCCCCGCCTCGACCTCTCGCCTCGCTCCCTCCCCTCCTCTCGTCGCCGACCCCGGCCTCCGCCTCGGCCGCCTTCGCCCAGCAGTACCACCAGCAGGAGCACCCTCTCCCGCTCCCGATCCCGCTGAGGAAGCAGCGCCGCCCCGCCTTTCCTCGCACGAGAACCACCGCCGGCACCAACGCCCCGCCGAGGATGCGCAAGGCTCTCGAGGGCATCCGCGCCTTCCTCGCGAGCAAGAGCTGCTACGACATCTTGCCCGAGTCGTTCCGCCTCATCGTGTTCGACACCAAGCTCGGCATCACCAAGAGCCTCCAGGCCCTCGTCACCAATGGTGCGTCCCCTCCTCCCTCTCTCTCTCGGGGACTCGTCCACTGACTCTTTGCATTGCCCCCAGGCGTCGTCTCGGCACCCCTGTACGACTCGAGCACGCACCGCTTCGCCGGCATGTTCACCCTCGCCGACGTCGTCCACCTCATCCAGTACTACTACCTCACCGCGCACGAGTTTGAGAACGTCGTCAAGGACGTCGAGGCGTTCCAGCTCGAGAGCCTGCGCAGTGCGTCCCTCTCTCACCTTTCCTGCAACCTCCTCGGACGTCGACCTGACGCTGTTGGTCCCTCCTCGTGCAGAGATCGAGCAAGCCATCGACGTTCCTCCTCCGCCGACCATCTCGGTCCACCCCGACCAGCCCCTGTCGGACGCCTGTGCCGCCCTCGTCCGCACGCACGCTCGTCGACTGCCGCTCGTCGACCGCGACGACCAGACGGGCCAAGAAACCATCATCAGCGTCCTGACCCAGTACCGCGTCCTCAAGTTCATCGCCATCAACGTGCGTCCCGGCAACGTCCTCTTCGGTCCTTCCCTCGTGTCAGTGAGCGTTTACTGATGAGTTCGCGGTCGGCTGCGCCACAGTGCGCGCATGATTGCGCCCGTCTCGACATGTCGATCGGCTCGATGGGCATTGGGTCGTACGCCTCGTGGTACCAGCCGCCCGACTCGGACTCGACGGCCCCGGGCGCATCACCTGCCGACACGTCGACGAGTGCCCAAGCCGAGGCGGGTCCGTCGGGCTCGTCGGCAGCAGGGCCAACCGCGTCGGGCTCGGGCTCGGGTTCGAGCGAGGCGCCGGGCGCAGGGCCGAGCGAGGGCGCCGACCGCTCGCGAGACGACACGCCGACGGGCGAGCATACGCGTGAGCGAGGCGGCGAGGACCTGTCGGGCCCGCTGCACGGCGAGGACGCCGAGGCGGCGGCGGCCATGGGCGTCTCGGACCGGTTCTTCCCGCTGTCGACGGCGACGATGCAGACGAGCGTGTTTGACGTCGTGCACATCTTCTCGGAGCGCGGCATCAGCGCTGTGCCCATCGTCGACGAGGACGGCGTCGTGCTCAACTTGTACGAGACGGTCGACATTGTCGTGCGTCCCGCTCTGCCTCTCTCTCGAGCGGCGCAGGAGGACTCAGACCTGACCAACGTCTCCTTGAACTCGCCTCGCAGGACCTCGTGCGGCAGAACGCGTACCAGGTGCTTCACCTCTCGATCGCCGACGCCATCAACATGCGCTCGCCCGACTTTACCGGCGTCATGACGTGCACGCCCAACGACACGCTCGCGTCGATCCTCACCTACGTGCGCGAGCGCCGCTGCCACCGGTTCGTCATCGTCGAGCCCGAGGACGTGCCGGCGCGGGACGGCCAGCCGCCGAGGAAGAAGGGCAGCTTGGTCGGCGTCTTGAGCCTGAGCGACGTCCTGCGGTTCCTCGTCGGGTACCAGAACCTCAAGGGCATGGAGGTGCCCGGTCTTGGTGCGTCCCCCTCGTCCCCCTCTTCTCCCTCTCCCCCTCGCCCGTCGTCGCCCTCCCCTCACTGACCTTCTCCCCCTTCCCCCCTCTCCCTCTCTCGCCTGCAGGCGTTCACGGCCTTCGAGGCGTCGAGTCGACCGACCCCAACAACCCGACCGGCCCCGACTTTGACGGCGACACGGCCTCGATGACGGACGGCGCGTCGTCGGTCGGCGGCGGGAGCAAGGCGGCGAGTCGGCGCGGCAGCGAGGCGACGACCGACGCGGGCGGGAGCTCGACGGACTTGAGGGCGCAGGGGCTCGCGCTCGACGACGTCATCGAGGGCAAGGCGGTCGAGTGAGGCGGGTTGCTCGCTCTCGAGGAGGAGGAGGGAGGAGGAGGAGGGAGGAGGAGGAGGGAGGAGGAGGGTCGCTCTCGCGCCGCGTGTTGTACTTGCGCGTCGTCCTTGGTCGAGCTGTAACGACTCTTGTGTCTGCGCGAGCTTCCTGTCGTCCTCGGTGCGAGCGAGAGAACGCTTTGACCGCTGTCGCGGTCGAGCCTCGGTCGCGCTTTTCCGGGTCCGGCTCTGCAGCACGCTCGTTGTTTTGTTCTGCTCTGCCCTTGCAAGCACATCTACGGTTCGACGACGTGCTCGACAGCTCGCAAAAGCTGAGTCGCCGATGAGGACAAAGGCGGGCCGGCGGCCGGCGCAAGCTCCGCTTTTCTCCTCCTCCTCGCACCTCGCCCAGCGTTTCGCCTCGCTCACAACGGCACCAGCACCCGTTCAGCACGCCCCAGTACCCGCACGATGCAGGCCAACCCGTCCACCACCGCACTCGCCGCCGCGAGCGACCCCGCGCTGCCCGCACGCGCCCCTCGCCGCCTCCCCGACGAGCTCATCGTCATGGTCGTCGAGCAAACCCGGGACTGGGACTACGAGTCGAATGCCGCCCTGTGTCGTCTCGCCAAGCGGTTCCAGGCGCCGGCAGAGCGGATCCTGTACGAGCACGTCGGGCTCGACAACGCGCCGTCGGAACGTGAGCGCGACATCGTCTCGGCCCTGCACACGCTCGTCCACTACCCGAGGTTCCGCCCGTACGTCAAGAGCGTCCTCCTGTCGATTAACGGCGCCACTATCGCTGATGTTGCGCCCGAGGTCCTCAACGTCCTGTGCCACTTGCCCAACGTCGAGCACGTCAAGATCTCGGTCGCGTCGACGTGCCCGAGTGCCCTCCCACTCCTCCTCCTCCAGCCGACCTGCCGCCTTCGCTCTTTCGAAACGCGCTACTGGAGCGCGACAATGCTCCAGTGGGTGCGCGACTACCCTCACGCGTTCGCCATCCTCGAGGAGCTGTCGTCCGAAGACGCGAGCGCTCTTGTCGCCGCGCAAGCCTGCCCCGCCGTGAAAAGGCTCGCGATCTCGATGGTGGATCACGAGGACGCACGATGGTGGGCGAGCGCGGCAGCGTCCGTCGAGGACCGGCTCACGTCCCTGACTTTGGCCGTTGAGTCGCACGATTTGCTCCATTTCGTCAGGGACTTCTCGGGTTTTCGTCGACTCGAAGAACTCGTCCTCTACCTCGTCTATCACCCTCACCCAGAGCAGGTCGCCTCGGCGATAGAGGTCATCGTCGAGGTGTTGCGGTCGCTGCCCCGCTCGTCCGGCGTCACGAGCCTCGAGCTCAGCGTCACGGTCGATGTCGAGCGCCCGACAGGCGCATCATCATCGTCCCTCCCTGTCGAGGTCACCGACATCCTCCTCTCCCTCCCTCCCAAGCTCCACACCCTCATCCTAAACACCAACGCCATCCGTCCCGTCGACCTCGCGACCTACCTCCTCAGCTCGCTCCGCCCACCCGCCTTGCGCACTTTGCGCGTTGGCGGCGAGCTCGGCACCGGCCTGCGCGCCCTTATCGACGACGCCGACGGCGTTCACGGCGCGCTCGCCGGCGAGCTTGAGCGCGCCGGCATCGAGGTCGAGGTGCGCGGGTGGTGGAGGTGAGTCGTCGAGTCGAGGGGCACGGCGACGGCGAGTAGAGGGACGCGGTGGGACGGTAGGACTTGCGGCTGCGGCGGTCGAGAAGGAAGAGGAGAGGCGACGCAGGAGAGGCGAGGAGAAGGAGCGGGCCGGCTCGAGGCTGCGGTCGTCGACGACGAGGTGCAACGTCGGTCGTACCTGCGCAACGTGCGTGTGCGAGATGTGCACTCGAACAAAGAGAGTCGACGAGAAGAGAGCTCGAGAGGCAGAAGCAGCTCGGCGAGCGACACCTCGAGGAGGAGGCTCGAGCGCCGCTTCGCTACCATGCGCTCTCGCTCTCGCTCGCTCCTCCGGTCCGGCTCAGCATGCTCAAGGAGTCTAGTGTGCGAGTCTGCGCTGCAGAGGAGGGCCAGAGCGGCGAGTGCACGAGCCGTTTGCGCGCAAACGGCCTTGCTCGAAAGTCGCACGCCTCCAGCAGCTTCTCAATCTCAAGCTCGCCTGTACTTGCTTATCCTGCGACGCCACAAACGACGGCGCGAGAGCTCTAGAGCCGACGAGAGAGGAAGAGCTGGGGAGAGGAGCTGAACGCGCCGCCCACGAAGAGGCTCGAGCAGCGGCAAGCTCTCGGAGGGCTCGCTCTTGCTCTCTCGCTCGCGCACCTCGCGACGAAGCACAAGGACGCGACGAGAATGTATTGCGAGGGTTGTACAACAAGCAGGACTGAGGACGGCCGACCGAGGGCGAGAGAGTGGGCGAGGGGGGAAGCTACTCGGGCTGGAACCGCGCGTACGCCGTCTTTGCGCGCGTCTCGACGAGCTCAGGCGTCGACTCGGGTAGCTGGCCGACAGGGCGAGCTGTGGGTCGGGCCACCAGTCGATGACATACGACGTCAGGTCCCGGCGTTGCGTGGGGAGCGAGAGAGGTAAAGGTCGGGCGGCGACGACGCACCTGGACTGCCGGCCCACTCGGTGAGGCTCGGGACGATGGTGCCACTCCCGACGACGGCGCCGTCGGCGATGCGGCTGTAGTCCTTGAGGATGGCGAGCGGGCCCTGCGAGTGCGCGAGAAAGAGAGTCAGCGAGGGCGCACAAGGGCTGCTCTCGATCCTGCAGGGCGACCGTTCTACTCGAGCACCCAGCGCCGCCGGTCTGGACCCGACAGGCCCGAGTCGGCGACGCAGAGGAGGAAGAGAGAGAGCGACGTCGACGCACGATGATGCACCCTTTGCCAATCTCGACGCCGGTCCCGATGCTCGCCGCCTCGACGACGCTCCCGGCTCCGATCGAGACGTGGTCGCCAATCTTCATCGGGTAGTACGAGAAGACTCTGTGTGGCGGCAAGGGAGGGACGGGCACGAGAAGAGTAAGAGCGAGGTTGGACGAGGAGGACGAGGGAGGGAGAGGGGGACGACGCGGCGCACCCTTTGTACGTCTTGTAGCACGGCCTGAGGACGACTCCCTCGCCGACGTCGCAGTACCTCCCAATCGCAATCACGACCGAGCCGCCCTCCTTTGCCCCACCCGGCGCCGCGCCCGCGCGCCTCAAGTCCCCCCTGACAACGCACCCGTGGCGGAGGATCGACTTTCCGGCGAGGACAATGTTCTTCGAGCCGTTGATGGAGCACGCGCGGCTGACGAGGTTGCCCGTGTCGGTCGTGATGTAGGGCGTGGTCGAGCTGGAGGGCGGGCGCGAGGGGCGCGACATGGGCGGCGGGTGGGCGCGTAGCGTGCGGCTGGGTGGTGCAGCAGGTGCTGAGAGGCGAGGGAGCCAGTCGGCAAGTCGAGCCTGGCGCGAGGCGAGGTGGGGGAAGGAGCGAAAGGTGCGACGAGCAGATGAAGACGATGTGCGGGGGGAGACGAGCCTCGCTCGTCCTGCGAGCTGCTGAGCGGCTCAGCGCTGCTCACAGGTCTTTGCTCGACTCTCTGCAGAGGACCCACGACGAGCACGAGGCCGGAAAGTCTGCGAGTTGCGAACGAACAACGACTCTACATGCAAGGAGGGAGAGGGAGAGCGAGTACACCGACCGACGAGAGGGCCAGCTCCGACAGGCCGTTCCACCGAAGACCCTATCCGTGCAGCCACCCCTCGCCGTGTCCACCATGCGCCGCGCCCGCCCCGCCGAACGCGGCGACGTACCGCCCGACGGCGAGCTCGCCCGCCATCAAGCCGACGAGGATGGCGACGAAGAAGTAGGCGTTGTAGGTCATGACGCCGAGCATGACGAGGTAGGCGACAAAGGCTTGCAGGCCGAGGAGAAGGGCGCGAGGGAGGTCGATGGCGAGGAGGAAGGGAGGCGAGTACAGGGCGGGCGACGAGAGGCCTCGTGAGGGGCTCGACGGCGAGGCGGCGGTCGAGGAAGGGTACGACGGCGCGGCGACCGGGTCGAGCTGCGACGCCTTGTCGTCGTCCTGGTCCTGGAGCGCGTTCGAGCCGGCGTCGGCGTCGGCGGGGAGCGAGATGGGGCCTCGACGCGCGCGGTGGTGGGCGAGCGAGGCGGCCCACGCGGTCTCGGCGCAGACCTTGACGGCGGCGAGGACGCGCGACAGGACGGCGAGGAAGAAGAGGCCGAGGCAGGCGCCAAAGGTCGCGGCGGGCGAGGTGGGCGTCCAGCCCTCGAACCACAGGTTGGCCGAGCCGAGCGAGATGGTGAAGGCGGTGTGCATCATGGCGGCGGTGGTGCTGTTGTCCATGCCCATGCCTGCGTTGCGAGAGGCACAGGTGAGCGGGGAGATGAGGATGAAGGACGACGAGGAGACGAGGGCGACGCACTCATGCCGTCCATCGAGGTGTCGTCCGAGTGTCCAGCATGGAGCTGTGCGACCATGGTGGCTGTCGCGCTCTGGCCCTGGGCGGTGTGAGAAGAGCGGAGAGGGGGGTCGGGCGATGAGGAGCTGCGAGCATCTCTCGGGAAGCTCTCTCGCCTCTCACACGCTCACCGACGCCCAGCGAGGCCACTCTGTGCCACGCAGAGACGCTAAACTCGGGCCTCGCGACCGCCCGCTTTGTCCTCGCGTCTTTCTTCACTCGCCGGTCCTCGTCCTCGGGCCGCCTCGCTGTTCGGCACCGCGTTGTATTAACCCGCCTGCGTGGCCTGCACGACCGCCATGTCGGTCTGCTACGACTCGATCGGCATCCCGGTCCCCTGCGCAGGGTGGAACGGTGCGCCCCTCTTTCCCTCGCCCCTCCCTCTCCCCGACTGCGCAGCTCACCTCCCCTCGCACTCGCAGTGTACGACTCGTACGTCACCGACCCGCGGTACCAGCGCTACTTCACCATCGCCTGGACCTCCGCTTTCGCCGTCGCCTTCATCGTTAACGCGCCCGCCCTCGTGCGCACTCTCGCGACCGGCGACTGGCGCCGCGCCCTCGGCTCCTCGGCCGGCCTGTTCGGCGTGCACGAGGGCCACGCAAGGCGAGGCTACGTGCCCCTCGGACGCGACGACAAGAAGCGTCCCGAGCCGCACTCGAGCACGTCCGGATTAGCCCGCCGACCGTACCTCGCCCTCGCCGCCGTCGTCCGCTCGGCGTCCCTCCTCACCCTCCCTCTCCCGGCCTTCTTCGCCCGCCTGTCGTCACGCACCACGCCGTCCTGCCACCCGACGCGCACCTACGCCCCGTTCAGCCTCGGCCGCCTCGCCGTCGCCCTCCTCATCCCGGCCTTCCTCGTCGCGACCCTCCTCCCCGAGTCGCAACTACGCGCCAACCCGAACCGGTTCGGCTTTCTCGCCATCGCCTGCATCCCGCTCGTCTTTGTCCTGAGCGCCAAGAACGGGCCGGCGAGCTGGCTCCTCGGCCGAGGCTGGACGGCCGTCAACTTTCTGCACCGTTGGCTCGCGCGCGCCATCGTCTTGCTCGTCCTCCTCCACTTCTACTTCTGGACCATCCAGGTGCGTCGACGCAGTCCTCTTTTCCCTTCGCGAACGCGGACTGACGGTCCTCTCGGCGCGCGCAGTACTCGGGCGCGGCCCAGACGGCGTTCCTCGCCGGCGAGAAGGAGCGGCGCGGCATCGCCGCCCTCGCTTTCCTCCTCCTCCTCACCCTGTCGTCCCTCCCGCCTATGCGCCGCTTCTCGTACCCCGTCTTCTTCACCCTGCACCACTGCGGCCTCGTCGGCTTCCTCGTCTTCCTCCACCGCCACACGGTATACGCGCGCGCCTACTCGACCTGGCCCGTCGTCGCCATCTACACCCTCGACGTCCTCGGCCGCCTCCTGTCGCTGCGCGTCCGCGTCGCAGAGTGCGACGCCCTTGAGGGCGGCATGACGCGCGTCGCCCTGCCCGGCCTGCGCGCCGGCTGGCGCGGCGGGCAGCACCTCTCGGTCCGCCTCTTCTTCGTTCCGCCGCCGCTCGAGCACGCCCCGGGCACGAGCCGCACGCGCCGCCTCGTGCGCGACGCGGCGCACGCGCTGCGGTGCGCCGTCCGGCCGTTCGAGGCGCACCCGCTCAGCATCGCGAGCGCGCCGGCCGGGCTTGCGGCCGACGAGGGCGAGCGTGGCGTCGAGCTGTACGCGAGGTCGTGCGGGCCGAGGACGTGGTCGGACGACCTGCACCGGCACGTCGCCGCGAGCTCGGCGCTCGCTGCGACGGCCAAGGCGGTCGGCCGCTCGGCGGCGTCGCCGCAGCAACAGCGCGTCGAGGCGCAGCGCTCGGCGTCGTCGGTGCGCATGCTGTGCCTCATCGAGGGCCCGTACGGCGGCCTGCCCGCCTATTCGTCGCCGGTCGGCCTCCTCGAGCAGACCGAGTCGCTCGTGCTCGTCGCCGGCGGCAGCGGCATGTCGTTCGTGCTCGGCGTCCTCGACGAGCTCGTCGGGCGGCGGCTTCGCGCCAAGGGCGGCGCGAGAGGCGGCAGGGTCGACGTCGTGTGGGTCGTGCGGCAGCGCGCGCACGTCGCGTGGTTCGCCGAGCGGCTGCGCGCCGTCCTCGCCGCCGCAGAGGGCTCGCCGCTCCGCGTCGTCCTCAAGGTCTACGTCACGTGCGACGACGCGCTCGCGACCGCCGTCGACGCCTCGGCCCCCGCGCCGTCGTCCTCCCCATCCTCGTCCTCGAGCGCCGGCGCCGCCGCGCCTCCTCCTCCCCCTCCCCTCCTCCCCGAGCTCGCCACCCTCTCCTACTCTCGTCCCTCGCTCCGTACCCTCGTCCACGACGCCCTCGACCGCGCCCTCGCCCCCTGCGGGACCTGCTACCCGGTCTGCCGCTGCGGCGAGCTCGCCGGCGCCGGCGGCGAGTGCGCCAACGACGAGGAGGAGTGCGTCGGCGGGTGCGGAGGCGTCGCGAGCGCGAGGGAGCTGCTCGACAGGCGGGAAGGCGAGGAGGAAAAGGGCGAGGGCGGCGAGGAGAAGGAGGAGCGCAGAGGGGAGGTCGTCCCGACGCTCGCCCGCCAGGGTGGGTGCTGCGGCAGCCAGAGCGCCGCCTCGCGAGCGAGGGACGCCACCGCCGTCGACGAGATCGTCGAGCTGCCCTCGGCCGTCCCCTCGTCGTGCTGCGGCCCCTCCTCGTCCACCTCTTTCCCGCCCGCTCGCGCCCCTCCCTCGTGCGGCTGCTGCTGCGCGCGCACGACCGGCGGCGGGTGCTGCACGGGCGTCACCGAGGGCCCGGCGTCGGCTGCCGACGTCGATGCCGACGAGCGGGACCGCGTTGAGGGGAGGCCGCTCAGGGTTCGCACGGGCGGGATGGGCTTTGTCGTCTGCGGGCCGGGCAATATGGTCGTGCGTCGGCCGCTCTCTCGTTCCTCTCTATCTCCCTCCCCCTCTCGCACGCTGAGGAGGAGACACCGTCGAGCTGCACTGACCCTCTCGCTCTCTCTCTCTTTCCTCGCGCAGGCCGAGCTTCGCAACGCTGTCGCCACCATCCCGCTCGCCAAGCAGGCCCGCGTCGGCGGCATCACCGTGCATGTCGAGCAGTACAGCGTGTGACGTCGGTGGCTCGGAGCGACGGGCGAGGGCAAGGGCGCGAGAGGAGCTTGTAGCTTGGACTGCGAGGACGAGGGCTCGCCGCTGGACGGCGAGAGTGCAACGGAGCAGGCTTGCTCCAGACGATGCCTTTGAGAGAGTGCGAGGGCGCCGATCGAGAGCTCGAGACGAGTCGCTGGCTGGCGAGAGCGAGCTGCGAGGCGGTCGACGAGCAGGCAGGCTCGAGGACTTGCGGCTCGCGCTCAGGCCTTTGCTCGCTTTCTCGCTCTCGCTGTCGGACTCTGTCGGAATTTTCACTCAGGGAAGGAGCGAGCCGAAAGGAACGCGAGCGTCTCTCGAGGAGAGCCGACAGAGAGAGAGAGCGCCTCAGCTGCTCGTCTGCGCTCGAGCCCCCTCGACGAGCTCGCGCACTGTCTCTGGCTTCCGAGCGAGCCTCTCGGCAAGCGCTCACGTGTCACGGGCTCATTGACAACACGTACAGCCTGACGTTGCGCCTGCTGCGCGACGACGACCGCCCCGAGTTGACCCGCACCTCCTCGTCTCCCCCTCGCCCGTCCTCCTCGACCTCCTCCTCGCCTCGCCGGCCCTCCTCCTTCTCGTCTCGTCGAGCCCTGCAGCCGCAGATTCTCCCGCCGCCCTGCCTCGGCCGCCCGACCTCGCCGCTCATCGCTCCGCCGCCGTCGTCGTCACCTCGATGCCGGCGCGCTCAAGCTCGCCGGCGAGCGCGCTGTGGACGCCGTCGGCGTCGTCGAGAATGGCGCGGAACCCACTCCCGAGCGCGTGACCGACGCGCAGAGTGCGCAGGGCGGGCGGGCGAAGAGAGCTGAGGAGGTAGGTCGCGAGGTCGACGGACCGGATGGCGTTGGTGACGAGGGAGAGGTGGTGGAGGTGAGGAGGAAGCGCGAGGAGGATGTCGTTCGACGAGGCAGGGAGCTCGAAAGACGCTTCCGCTCCCGCCGTCGAGCCGCTCTCGCTCGCGACGAGGCGCAGGGCGAACGACGTGAAGACGGGTGACCGAGGGACCGACTGGAGGATGGCGACAACGCCCGGGATGCTGCGGTCGAGCTGTACGCGATCGTGAAGGACCCACGTGTACACCTCGAGCCGCCGAAGCCGAATCCAGGCCGACAGGTCCGCCGGCGAGAACGGGTTCGACGAGTGGTAAATGACGAGGTCTGTGAGCTGACCGGCCAGAGGTGCGGTAAAGAGCGCAAATGCCGGCAGCTCGTGACCTCTACGAACGGCAAGGCTGCTAAATGCCGGCAACACAGGCGGCGGGCCATTGGTGAGTCCGTCCTCGAATTCCACCCCCACGTGCTGGAGGACGGTGAAGGCGGTCGGGCGATCGACCATGAGACTGGCCGCGTCATTGTCCCATCGAAACGGGTTGAACGACAGCAGGCGACACTCGGGATTGGCGAGGACAAGTCGTGCGGCCGGGAGCGCCGGGGCCAACATGTCCTGAATGTTGGGCATGCCGCACAGGACGTGGATGATCTCGTCGCTCATGTCGTCGAGCGACTCGTTTTCGATGTACAGGTCGACCTTTTTGACGAGTCGGCGGAGCCGCGGGTGCTTGATCAGGGCGTACAGGGCCGAGTTGGTGTTGAGCGGCTCCCCGGGGTAGGAGTTGAGGACGAGGTCCGAGTACAGAAGCCGCTCTGCGACGGGCGTGAACCGCTTGCTGAGTCGACACAGGGCGGCGAGCGTCCCGAGCCGCTTGTCGTCGAGGTGATCGCACCAGTCGATGACCATGACGACGAGCTCGTCGGGGAGCCGGCGGGACGAGGACGAGGTCGACATGTCGGGCGTCTTGTGATAATTTTGCGCAGCTCTGTAGAGGTGATCGAGTCAGATCCTGTGCTCCATCGCAGCCCGAATGAGTCCTGGAGAGAGTGAGACGGACCACGCTGATGACGTTTCGAAGCAAAGAGGGGCGGGTGTGCTGGACGGCGGACGGCCGAGCCTGTTCTCGTGGCGGCCGATAGAAGCTGAAGTACCGTGAAGATGAGCTCAACGGCGTAGCTGCACGCTGTGGACTAGGAGGGAGGAGCGATATCGGCCAGCGGGCGGGAATCTCGTCCTCGCCAACCTCCCTCGGCAGCTCAGATGCCCCGCAGAGCAGCCGAGGCGAGCTCAGAGCTGTCCGACCAGCTAAACGGCCAGCCGAGCACCATCAGCACCGCCGCCAACGCCGTCGAGCCTCCTGGCCAGGCTCGCTCCCCCACCGGCCGGCTCGCCTCTTTGTCGACAGCAGCATCGCGCCGCGCAGGCCTAGCATCGGCGCAGACGTCATCTACAAGCTCTCACACTGTCCCACCCGCACCGCCACCACCCGTCGTGGCGTCCACACTCGCGCCGTCCACCTCCAACATCCCGACAACCGCGCCCTCGCCTCCAGAACCTCGCGTCTGTCGGATCTGCTTCGGCGAGGAGGACGAGGACGACGAGGACGATGACCTCGGTCCACTGCTCGCGCCCTGTCTCTGCCGAGGAACGGTGCGTCGCCCAAATCTCCCTCCCCCACCGCCCCCGGATCTGACCTTTCGATCCTGCAGGTCCGCTACGTCCACCAGAACTGCCTGCGTTCATGGCGCAAGGTCGACAAGCTCAACAGCTTCTACCAGTGCGGGCAGTGCGGCGCGAGGTACCGCTTCCGTCGCACGCCCGTCACGAGGCTGCTCGCCGCTCGACGTGCGTCCTCGCCTACTCCTCCCTCGTGCCTATCTGCCAGCGCGTCCCTGACGATATGCCCATCATGCAGATACCGTCAAACGCATGACGTGGGTCTTCTTCGTGATCGCGACGGTCCTCGCAGGCTTCCTCGCCGACCCCATCATGCGCCTCGGCGACGCCGACCCGCTCATCCTCGATTCGAAGACGAACAAGCTCCAGCTCCGTCGTGCGTCCTCCTCTCTCTGCCTCATGTTGTCGAGAGACACCCTCTTAACGCGGTCTCCTCAACAGGCCACCTCTTTGACGAGCATCTCGTCGCGGCGGACGGGATCCGCGAGGCTGTCTCGACGGCGGGCTACCTCCTCGGCGACTGCACCTGGGCCTCGCCGCGCGAGCTCACTTGGCGCGAGCGCGTCACGGGCACGTTCGTCACCGAGAACGGCGGCGAGGAGCAGCAGCAGGAGGAGGTGTGGGCCGTGACGCTCGGGCGCGAGTCGAGGACGAGGTGCGCCGAGCGGTGGGGGCGCGAGCGGGACGACGAGATGAGGGCGGGACCCGGGCTCGGCGTCGTGCTGCACGTCATCAAGGGCCTCGCGACGCTGTCGTGGCTGTACATCGTCGGCGCTCGTGTCTGTACGTCCTCGATCCCTCCCTCCTTCACCGACCTCCTCTTTCCGCCGACCTCCTCGACTCCCGACTGACCATACTCTCTCCCTCCCAGTACGCCAATGGATCCTGTTCGCCATCACGATGCGCGTCTACTTGGCGCGCCTCGGCGACCGTCTTCCGTTCCCGTATTTCAACGGCCTGCGCTCGCTCGGATGTTCTCTTGTGCGCCTCTCTCCCTCCCTCTCTCCTTCTATATCTTCAACCTGACCCTCTCTCTGTGTACAGCTCGGCGACGGCGCCAAGTGGGGGCGTCTGAGCACCAAGAAGCTGCGCTGGCGCGGCGAGATCGTCAACTGGGGCCAGTGGTCCCTGCACGTCGTGCGTCCCTCCTTTCTCTCCCCCAGTCTCTCTCCCACTTTCTCTCCCAGTCTCTCCCCCAGTCTCGTCCCCTCCTCTGACCCAGAAATCGTCCGTCCAGATGGCCTTCCTCGCCCTCCTCGCCAGCTACGACTGCGCGCGCGACACGGTCCGCTCCCTGCGCAAGCGCATCTTCCTCAAGGTCGAGGACCTCGTCCTCGATCGCGATGCGGCCGACGGGCACGAGCCGTCCGAGCGAGATGGCTCGCCGCCTCGAGAGCCTCGAGTCGTGGTTTGGCACTTCTGAGCTGGCCTGTAACGAGATCCCTCTGTGCTGTGCTCAGATGCCTCGTCCGAGCGAGTGGCCCTTCTCGTCGAGTAGCACGAGCGAGAGGAGCAAGAGCGAGAGGAGCATGAGCGCGAGAATCACGAGCGAGAGCTCCCGGCTCGAAGATCTCGCAGACTCTCCTCTCGACGACAGGCCCGCATGCAGAGAGGAACCAAAAGACTACGCATTGCGAGACGAGGGCCCAGCCCAGCTACCAAAGGAGAGAGAGAGAGAGAACGATCGCGAGATAGGGGGTGCGAGCGCGACGCTCAGAGCGCGATGACGGCCGCGCCGACAGCGGCGGCGAGCGCGCCCGCGAGCCCGCCGACGACCGCCTTGCCCGAAGCTGCGCCGCTGCTCGGGCTGCCCGTCGCGCTCGCGCCCGTCGAGCCCGACGCGGTCGCGCTCTGGCTCGCCGAGCCCGAGGCAGCTGCAGCCGACGACGACGAGGTGGCCGCCTCGGTCGAGTTGGCGCACGTGACGTTGGACGGGGTCGAGTAGTCCGACACGAGGACGAGGTCGGCGCACTGGAAGAGGTAGCCGTCGCCGCCGTTGTACTCGACCTGGAGGGTCGCGACCGTGCCGTTGCTCAGGTTCGAGATGCCGAGCGAGGCGACGTCGACCGTGTAGCAGTACTGCGAGAGGCTCGAGTCATCAGTCAGGGGACGGGAGAAAGAGCGAGAGAGAGAGCGCGGGACGCACGTCGCCCGTGCCCGAGATCTGGCCAAACGGCTTGAGCGGGCCGTAGCTCTGGCCCGACGACGTCTCGTTGAAGTCGGCAAAGCTCGTCGGGTTGCTGTCGAACGAGAGAAAGATGGCGACATCGGCCGAGGCGTGGTGCGACCCGATCGTGACCGGGGCAGGGCCCGAGAGAGGGAACGGCGTGCGCGACGAGGCCGGGGTCGCGAAGCCGCCGCAGAACTCTGTGTGCGGCTCTGTGTCAGCTCGATCGGGCGGCTGAGAGTGGGACAGACGTGAGAACGCACGGCTCTCGAGGTCCTCGTCGAAGCCGCGAGTAGGGGGGAAGTCGAGGGTGAAGTGGGCGGAGGCGAGGAGGGGGAGGGCGGCGGCGGCGACGAGGCTGGTGGCGAACTTCATACTGGGCGCGCGGCGAGTCAGACTGTGAGGGTGTGTGAGTCGAGAGTGATTGGAAGGAGGAAGAGAGGTGTGGGCGACGGAGCGGAAAGGTCGCGTGGGCCGGCTCGAGGGCAACAACCTCTCTCTGCACTCGCGCGCCGCTCCGAGGGTCCGAGGAAGGGAGACTGCATTGCAAGAGACCCGCCGCAAGTACTGCTGCCGTCCCTTTGAGTCTACCGGGGCCGTGAGCGGTGCCGCGCGACACCCGAGTCGACCTCGCGAGGTTTTGCCCCTCGCGCGCCCCTCGGGCGGCAGTCTGGCGCACCGAGCTTGGGCCCAGGCGGTGTGTGCGGCGTGTCGGAGGGTGCAGGGGGGCTCTGGTGTTGGTGCGGCGAGATGGCGAGGTGCTGGAGGCTGCAGCTGATGAGAACGAGGGAGGGTCGAGTCGAGGGGAATGTGCTGGCGGCGAGGCGATGGTGCGGGCGAGGTAGAAGGAGGAGGGGGAGGGTCGCGTCGAGCAGGGTGGCGGACGAGGCGCAGACGAGCGAGTGAGAGGTTGAGGGAGGAGAGGAGCTCGCTCGAGGGGAAGGGGAGCTCGGCGCATGCGGGGGCCGGAGCCCTTTCGGCCGGCTTGTGGGGAGGGGCAGCAGCGAGAGCCGACCGCGTGCGCCACTTTCGCCGCCCTCTCTCCCGCGTCACTCACCGCCCGAGCACTCGCTCAAGCACGCTCGGTGCACTCTGCTGGTCCCGCTCGACACATCCCGCACGCCCGGCAACCCGCCTGGCCCGCGTCCACTCGAGGTCCGGCCCTCGTCCGCCGACTCGGTCCAACTTTGGCCATCGAATCGCCCTTCCCTCCCTCTCCTCCCAACCACCAGCACCAGCACCATGAGCAAGCTCCTGCGCCGCATCTCGACCACCGCCAGCGACCGCCCGCCGTCGTACCGCTCGACCGACGACCCTCCCTCTCCTCCTCCCGCCGCCGACTCGGACGCCGTTCCCCCACCCTTTACCGAGTTTCCGTCGCTGTACCAGGTCGGGCGGTACCGCGTCAAGCCCTGGGTCGAAGTCGACGACATCAAGGCCCACCTCGTCCTCCTCGGCGCCTTCCGCAAGCTGCGCGACGACGTCGAGGCGACCAAGCCTCGAGCCGAGTGGCCGCCCAACCTCGAGCCCAAGGCGCTGTGGGCCGTCTTCGTCCAGGTCGCCGTCTATCGCTTCGAGGTCGTCGTCCACGCACTCGAGACGTCGGCGAGGGCCCTCGGCGCAGTGACGCTGCCCGTCGACGTCGCCCTCGTTCTTCACGCCTACCTCCTCAACCCGCTGTGCGTCCCGACGTGTCCCTTTCTCTGTCAGAGTCTTGAGCTGACCTTTGAGTATCCCCCAGACGCTATGACGAGGATTGCGTGCGGCGAGCCGGCAACCGGTCGTTCAAGATGCCCAACGGCGAGGCGCTCGAAGCAGTTGTGCGTCCAGTCCGTCTTCTCGGTCCTTTCCTTGCCTCCTACTGACTCCCTAGCCTTTCACAGGCACGATCGATCGACCTGGCGACCCTGACGCAGCGCGAGCCGTCGTCGTCCAACCTCGAGCGCTGGCGCAAGCTCACGGACCTCCCTTTCGACCCTTTCGAGTCGTTCCGCACGTCGACGGGCCGCCGCCTGCGCCACTTCCGCGAGCTCAAGGAGCTCGTCGTTCTCTGGGTCACGGCCGACGGCACCGGCTACGCGCAGCAGGGCTTCAAAGCCGCAGGCCCGAATGGCCTCGAGCTCACGCACGAGGCGCTCGGCGTCGCCAAGTTCGTCCACGACTACGTCACGTCGAGCAACGAGGTCCAGGTGCCCGTCTCGAACAACATCAAGGTCATCGCGTGCGTCTCCTGTTCCGTCGCCGCCCGCTCAGGCCTTCGCAAACTGACTCGCCCTCTCAACTCGAGCAGCGGTACCGTGACGACGTCGACCGTGGCACCCGAGAGCACCGCCACCTCGGTTCGTGCCCTGTGGGTCCGCGACCGCCTCATGAAGCACCTCAAGGACGTCTCGACGCCGCTCGAGCTCGGCGAGCGCCTCGGCTGGAGCCAGGACGGGCTGCGCAAGATGCTGCGCCAGGTGCTTAATGGGAGGGAGCGAGGGTGCGTCCCGATCTCTCTCTCTCATGTCTCTTGGGTCTGAGCCTGACGCCGTCGTCGAGCCCGCAGCGTCAACAACATCGCGTCGTGCTACACTCGCGGCGAGCCGTTCTCGCTCGATCTCGGCATGGCGGTGCGTCCCCGTCTCTTCCCTCCCTCTCGCCGACTCACACTGACTCTCATCGTGCCCGTACAGGTCTTGCGGCAGGGCAGCTTCGTCGACAAGATGTGCGACCTTGGGTGGACCCGGCCCGAGCGCTTCGCCGCCGACGACATCCTCCTCAAGCGCTGCATCGCGCGGTACCACGCCTTTATCGACCTCATGGCGAGCTCGCCATCGTCCTTCTGCGTCCCGACCCTCGACATCGTGCGCCTCCTCTCGCTCTCTGTCTCCTCGGCCGAGCACGACTGACTCGTTCTCCTCGGCACCCTGCAGGACCTCGCCTGGCACACGCACCAGCTCAAGTCGTCGTACAAGCTCGACACGGCCTTGGCGACGGGCCGCTTCATCGACCACGACGACAAGGTCGAGGAGGGCGCGCTCGCGACGGGCTTTGACGTGACGGCTCGAGCGTGGAAGGTTCGTCCACCTCTCCCTCTTTCGGGCGTTGAGGCGCACCCGCACGGTCCTGACTGCCTTTTCTCTGCGCACACAGAGTCGGTTTGGCGTCCCCTACTCGACCTGCGGCTGTCCTCTTCCCTCGCAACCTCCCCTTTCGCGCCTATCGGCCAAGCTCGGCCTCTCGTCCTCTGCGCCCGCCTCGTACCCGCCCGGCGCCCTCATCACACTCGCGCCCTCGTGCGACGACGCCGACGCGACGCACCCCTCGGCGCACAACGCGCTCGTGCTGCCCGACCACCCGCAGGCGCAGCGCAAGCGCGCCGCCCGGGCCGCCGAGCTCGACGCGCGCCGCAGGAGGGACGACAAGGCGGGGCGCAAGGCGCAGGCGGCGAGGGGCAAGAAGGGCGAGGCGCTGCCGGCGTACGAGAAGCGACGTGAGGGGCAGAGGGACGGGCACGCCTATGCGTTCCTCGCTCCGATGCCGCTCGTGCCGCTCTACTACGGGTGCGTCGCCGCCTCTCTACTTGTCTCTCTCTCGTGCGTACTCATTGACCATCTTCGTCTCGCTCGCAGGCCGATGGGCTACCCGGCGTCGGCGGCCGGCTGCGCGACGACCGACGGCAACCATGCCTCGGCGCAAGGCGGTGCGGCGTGCGGCGGCGGGTCTGCTGGGTGCGTCCCCTTCTGTCCTCTCTCTCTCTCTTTCGTGCCTGTCGAGCGAGCCTGACGAGCGACGAGCTCTCCCTTGCAGCGCAGGAGCGTGCGGCGCAGGCGGGATCGGCGGGTGCGGCAGCTCGGGAGGGTGCGGCGGCGGCGGCAGCGTGTGCGGCGGCGGTGGAGGAGGGTTCGGTGGCTGCGGAGGAGGAGGAGGTGGAGGAGGAGGCTGTGGTGGAGGAGGAGGCGGTGGAGGATGCGGCGGCGGTGGTGGCGGCTCGTGACGAGGTCGTTCTCTTGGTGTACGGGCTCCCATTCTCTCTTCCCGTCCCTCCTTGTACACTCTATCTCTGTGTCGTACTCTCCTGCCGTCTGTAATGTCGTACCGTCACTGTTCGCGCTCGTCCCGAATACGCCTCGACTTTGAGCTCTCGATTCAACGGCGCTCTCGCGCTCTGGCCTCTCTCGCAGCTCGACCGTGCCAAAGGAACAGGGCTCGTTGCACTCGGGCTCGACGGCGGAAAGACAGAGAGATTGCCGCCAAGAAGCAGCTGGTCCTCCTCGATGCCGACCTGGGTCGGCGAGGCGAGTCGCCCTGGCAGCCGAGTGGGCGCATCTGCCGTCGACCGTGCGGCACCTCGTCCCCGCACAGGACGCTGTTGGAGCACAAGAAGGGCGAGCGACGCCTGCACGACGACGCAGGGGAGGATTGGTGGGAGGCGAGGGGGGTCGTGGCGCTGAGAGAAGGGATCAGGGGAGGAGGCCAGGCGAAGAGCGCCTTGTAGTGTCTGTGGAGAGCCACAAGTCAGCTCGTCGTCGTGTCCCGGCGTCTCGAGAGTCGAGAGAGGGTGGACGGACCGAAACTTGAGGGCGAGGACGACCCACGTCTTGGGGCGGCGCAAGGGTGGGCTCAGACGACTGCCGGCAGCTGTTTCGCCGGCTAGAAAGCAAGCCTCTGGCAGCAGGGGCACGAGGCGGTCTACAGGAGCAGAGACTGCGAGCGAGTCGAGTGACGGTTGCTCTCGCCCACGTTGACTCGTCCGCAGCGGCGCAGATGCTCCCAGACTGTGCCCAGACGGCTCAGGCGGCTCAGGCGCCTGCAGTGCCGCCGCCGACACCAGCCCTGCCACCGTCCAGCATCCTCGCCTCGAGCGCTCCGCCTCCTCCCCGCACCGCCGGCTCACTCGTCGGCACCTCCATCCCGACCTCGAGCACCGACAGCGCACCCGCACCGTCCAGCTCCCCGCCAACCCTCACGACTCCGGCAGCTCCCGCCGACGCGGCTGCCCTCGCACCTCGCGCCTCGTCCTCGTCGCCGGAGGTTCCGCCGACCTCGCTCGACCACCGCGTGTGCCGGATCTGCTTTGGCGACGACGACGACAGCGGCGAGCTGGGTCGACTGCTCGCGCCCTGTCTCTGCCGAGGAACGGTGCGTCGCCGAAACTCTCTCCTTCCCCAGCCCCGAGCTGACCTCTCGCTTCTGCAGGCCCGCTACGTCCACCAGGACTGTCTGCGCTCTTGGCGCGAGGCCGACAAGCTCAACAGCTTCTACGTGTGCGGTCAATGCGGCGCACGGTACCGCTTTCGGCAGACGGCGGTGACGAGGCTGCTCGGCCGACGCTGTGCGTCTTCCTTCCTTTCTCTCTCTCCTTGCAACCGGGCTGACCTTCTACTCCTCTCAGTTGCCACGGTCGTCATCGGCGTCGTCATCATGCTCCTCTCGTCCTTCCTGACCGGCTTCTTCGCCGACCCGCTCATGCGGCTCGCCAACGAGGACGCGCTCGACCCGCAAACGGGGCAGCTTCCCTGTGCGTCCACTCTCCCTTCTTTGCGCCGTCCTCGACAGCCCGACTGACTCTTCTGCGACCGCAGTTCACTACTACGACGACGTTCATGCGCTCGCCGACGCTGTTCGCGAGACGACCTCGACGGTTGGCTACCTCGTCGGCGACTGCACGTGGTCGTCGCCTCGCGAGCTCGTCCGCTCGCACCTGCGCACGACTGTGTTCCTCGAGGACGGCATCGGCGAGGTCAAGGAAGTGTCTTACGACTCGAGGGCGGCCAGTACCGGGTGTGGTGACCGGTGGGCCGTGCGCGGCGAGGGCGAGAAGTGGGGGCAGGACGACCGGGTTCGGCGCGAGGACTGGGCGACGAGAGCGCTGCTGCACTTGGTAAAGGGTGCGACGACGGCCGCCTGGGGCTGGGCGTTCGCCTGCCGGACACGTGCGTCCCCCCTCTCTCTCTCTTTCTTCCTGCGTCGCCAGCTCACAATCGTCTCGTCGTCGCAGTGCGTCTCGTCGCCGTCGGTCTCGCCTGCGCGCACTACATGCGGTGGACCTGGGCGCGAGGCCGAGCCGTGCCCGACATCCCGGGCCTCGTCTGGTGCCTCGTGCGTCCCCTCTCTCTTCTCTCTCTCTCTCTCTCTCTCTCTCTCTCTCTCTCTCTTTCTCTCTCTCTCTCTCGTCGAGCGCGAGCCTCGACTGATGCCGCTCGGTGACTCTCTCTCTCTCGCTGCTCGCAGGACGCAGACGTCTTCAAGTGGAACCGCCGCCAGATCAAGCAGGCTCGAGTCCGAGGCCAGCTCTTCTCGACCCGGCAGCTCTTCAGCGTCGTCGTGCGTCCCTCTTTCTCTTTCTCGTTCAAGGACGTTCAACTGATTCTCGAGGCGACGCAGAGCACCGTCCCGCTCGTCTACCGCTCGGCGCGCATCGCTCACAGCGCGGCAGGAGCGCTCGTCAAGCGCGCGCTCGCGGGCGTCGAGGACCTCGTGCTCGATCTCGACGGCGAGGCAGCGTTGGACATAGACAAGCAGAAGGTAGACTAGAGTTGCAGTGTGAACGACGCAGGAGGGAGAAACTATTAATGCCAACGACAGGGAGAGAAGAGAGGGGAGAAAGAAAAGACTGCGGGTGCGAGAGAGCGAGAGAGAGAGGGAGGAAGAGGAAGCACGAAAGAAAGCCTTGCCGCCGCCGTCACAGCTCCATCTCGACGTCCTCCATGCCCTGCATCGCGTCGTCTGTTTCCATCTCGGCCTCGTCGTCGCCAGCATCGTGCACCGCCTCCTCCCTCTCGCGCATGACCTCGAACTCCCTCCAGCTCTCGGCCCTCCTCTCCCTCGCCTCCTGCTCCTTGGTCCCGCCGCTCCCGAGCGCGTGCAGCGACGGCGGCGGGCGGTACAGGACGAGCTCGCCGCGCTGGGCCTTGTCGGCCTCGCGGCGCAGGTTGGCGACGAGCGACGCGGGGAGGCCCTCGAGCGCGGCGGCGCGCACGGCGAGCGGGTTGATCTTAGGCTGCTGAGGGGGCGACGACGAGGAGGAGGCGGAGGACGAGTCGAAGGGGAGGGGCGCGGCGTCGTCCTTGGGCGACGAGGGCGGCGAGGGCGAGAGGGACGCGACGTAGATGCGGTGCGGGGACAGGTCGACGCTGCCCGACGCAGGGAGCATCGTCACCTCGTGCTCGTCGGCGTCCATGCCGTCGCCTGCGCCCGTCGCGCCGCTCACCGCCGCCGCAGCCGCCGCCGAGGGGAAGAAGGCGCTCTGGCCCCAGGGCACGGTCGCGAGGCCGCCCGTCCCGGAGGCGGCATGCGGTGGCGCGGTCTCGGCGGCGGCGGTGACCGGGCTCGTCGGCGGTGCGGCAGGGAGCGACGAGGCTCCTCCTGGGAGGGGCGACGACGGGGTGCGCTGGCGCGGGGGCGGCGAGGCAAAGTGGTGCGGCGGCGGGACGGCCGCGGCCGAGAAGGCGCCTGCGCCCGAGCTCGGGAGCGGCTGCGAGGTCGTCGGGAGGGGCGGTGGTGCGACGGGATAAGGTGTGGGTGCGTGCGGGAGGAAGGCGGGTGCGGGTTCGGCGGCGGACGAGGAGGGAGAGGGGACGGCGAGCGACAGGCGGCCGAACGCCTCGTGATCTGGCGCGAAACGGATGCGCTTGCGCCTTGGAGGCTCGTCGCCATCGTCATCTTGCCGTGGAGGTTGCTGCGCGCCGCCAAAGTCGAGCCCGAGGCCCTCGCCGCCGCCGCCGCCGCCGTCGCGGGTGGACCAGCTCGCGCGGTCGGGGCTGAAGGCGTGCGCCTGCGGGTCGGCCTCGGCTGCCGACTCCTTGATCGGGTCGAGGTTGGAGCTGGTCGAGCGCTGTCGAAGGTGGGCGGACCAGGCTGCGCCTTGTCCTTGTGGCGCCGAGGGCGGTGGGGCCGGCTGGACGACGGCGGCGGCGGCGTCTGCGAGCTGGTCGTTGAGGGTCGAGGTGCGGGTGTGGGTGTCGGCCGAGGCGTGTGCGCGCTTGAGGCGCGGGCGGGTCGGGTACGCGGGCGGGTGCAGGGCCGACGCGAGCGGGTTGGAGGTGGCTGCGAGGGGCGCAGAGAGGGGAGGTGGTGGAGCGGGCGCGAAGCGAGGCGGCGGCTGCATCGCGGGCGGAGGGCACTGGTGGTTGTGCGCAGCTCGAGTGTGGTCCCGCACAGGCGGTGATTGGTGCGAGAGCGCAAGCACGACGCCTCGGCAGCGGAGACAGATGAGATTCGACCGCGTTCCTCGCCTCTCAGACTGGACGAGTGACGATACAGCTGTACTTCTGAGAGTATCACAGGCAGTCCAATACCCCAAACGAAGCACGCAGAGCTGTGGCTGCGTCCCTCGCGGTGGGTTAATTCCCCCGCCGCCATCGCTGGTTCTCTGCTCTCTCGCTCTCGCCGACTCGCCTCGGACGTGTGCCAGCACAGCCTACCAGCCGCTGCAGCTGCCCACCTCTCGAGCCCACCGCCGCGCTCTCTCGATGGCCCGCTCAAAGGGCGCCAAAGCCCGGTCGACCCCGCCTCGTCCAGCCCCGCCTCCGCGCGACTCTGCCTCGAGCGCTCACGGCGACGACGACGACGACAGCGACACGTTCGAGGACGCCCTTCCCTCGACGGCTCAACCTTCGACCCCGGCATCCCTCCACGCGGCCGACGACGACGGCGCCAACGACGGCGACCCCGCGCCCCACGCGCACTATGGCGAGCACGACCTCGACAACGAGCCACCGCACTCGGGCAGCGAGGGAGGGCAGCAGGGCAACGGCGAGCACGCCAGCGGCGAGTCGGTCGGCAAGGACGGCGCGGGCGAGCAGCTCGACGGCGACGGTCGCCCCTCCTCCTCGCCCGCCGACGCCCTCGAGCGCGCCCAGACCCCGACCCTGCCACGCGACACCGCCTCGGCCGCCGCCGCCACCACCCCGCCGCGCACGCCGACCTCGGACAGGCGCACCGCCTCGCGCCCCACCTCGGTCGCCTCGACCACCTCGTCGTCCGCCGGCGTCGACCGCCGCAAGGCCAACCGCCTTTCGTCGAGCGTGCCCTCGTCGTCCAACGAGCTCGAGACTGACGCCTCGTCGCCGACCGACGAGCACGACGACCAGCACCACCGCCACGAAGGCGACGACTCGGTCTCTGAGCTCCCCTCGTCGTCCTTCTCGCCCGCCGCCAAACGCCCCTTCTCGCTCTCGTCCGACCCCGAGACGCCCACCGCCCCTCATGCCTCGTCCCCTCCCTCGTCCCCGGCGCGCGACCGCCCAAAACCTGACCGCCGCCGTTCGTCCCTCCTCGCGTCGCCGTTCGGCGCCGCGCCGACCGACCCGACCAACGTCGGTCGCGAGGGCTCGGCGAGCCTGACGCAGGCCGTGTGGCGCCAGAGCCTCGGGCTCAACTCGAGCCCGGCTGCGAGGACGCTTGTCGATGTTACGCTGCACGACGACGCGGACGAGGCCGACGAGCGCGAGCGGGCACTCGGGCTCGGCGCGAGCGACGACGACGAGGAGGGCGCGAGGGAGGGGCGCAACGGCGGGACGCCCCGTGCGAGGCGAGCAGGGTCGTCCAAGCGGCGCTCGGCGGCGGTCAACGGCGACGAGGCGGCGGCGGGCGCAGGAGGAGGGGGGTACGGCGCGCTGTCGCACGGCGCACCTCCGGTCGAGACGCGCGACCGCCAGACGTCGGTCGCCGAGCCGCACGCCGCCGACGGCTTCCTCAGCAACCGGTACAGCGTCAACCTGTCGTCGCTGTCGGCCTCGTCGCCCTCGGTCCCGGGCACGTCGACCGCGCCCGACTCGCCCGCCGCGCCCGCCGACCCCGACGCGCCGACGCAGCACGAGCCCGAGACGGCGAGCAACGGGATCCAGCGGCTCCAGGCCGAGTTCCTCAAGGTGCGCGAGCGGCAGGAGCACGAGGGCGACGAGGCCATGGCCATCGACTGGGATTTCTGGGGCCGCGTTATGAACGACTACGAGGAGGTGGCGAGGACTCAGCGTGCGTCCCCTGCACGCTCTCTCTCTCTCGGTTTCATGCCGCGCCTTCATGTGCCCGGTCGTGCGCGCCGCTCGGCGGCTCGTGCGCGACGGGCTACCACGGCGTCTACTTGCACCGACACTGACCGTCCCGACGTCGCCCAACAGCTCGAGATCTTTCTCGCGCCATCCAGCGAGGCATTCCGCCGGCCTTGCGCGGCATGACGTGGCAGCTCATGGCGTGCGTCCCCTCCCTCGCCGTCGTCGTCGGCCTATCCCCTTTCCCCTCCCTTTCTTCCTCTCGCCCTTTTCCTCGCCGCCCTACTGACACTCTTATCGCCCTCACAGTGCCGCCAAGGACGCCAACCTCGAGTTCGTCTACTCGGAGCTCCTCAAGCAGAGCTCGCCGCACGAGAAGAGCATCGCGCGCGACCTGAGCCGCACGTTCCCCAAGCACGCCTACTTTGTCGACGCAGACGGCGTCGGTCAAGAGAACCTGTGCGTCCACTCTCTCCACCTGTTTCGCGGACCGTCGCCGAGGAGGAAGCAGAGGGCTCACTCGAGATTCTCGTCGTCCCGGAGGTTTAACGTCGTCAAGGCGTATTCGCTCTACGACGACGAGGTGGGTTACACGCAGGGTCTGCAGTTCATCGTCGGCCCTTTGTTGCTCAACGTGCGTCAACCCTCTCCCTCGTCCTCCCCTTCTCGCCGACGCCGCACAGTCACTGACCCTCGCGCCTCGCGCAGATGCCCGACGAGGAGGCCTTCTCGGTCCTCGTGCGCCTCATGAAGGCCTACGACCTGCGCTCGCACTACACGCCCAACATGCCCGGCTTGCAACTGCGCCTGTTCCAGTTCGACCGCCTCGTCGAGGAGCTCGCGCCGACCGTGTTCCTCCACATGCTGCGCCAGGGCGTCAAGAGCAGCATGTACGCGAGTCAGTGGTTCTTGACCTTGTTCGGGTGCGTCCCTCCTTTCTCTCCCTCCTCCTCACTTGTTGTCGCCCGGCCTGACAACCTCGCTTCCCTGCGCAGGTACCGCTTCCCGCTCGAGCTCGTCTCGGCCGTGTTCGACCTCGTGTTTGCCGAGGGCGTCGAGGCCGTGTTCCGGTTCGCCGTGTCGCTCCTGCGCCGCAACGAGGCGCACCTCCTCACGCTCGAGTTCGAGGACCTGATCGACTTTCTCAAGAACGGCCTGTTCGAGGTCTATGCGGTGCGTCCCTTGCTCTCTCTCTCCCCTTCCCTTTCCCTGTGCCCTCTCTCTTCCTCGTGTCGATGACCTGACCGAGAACTCGTGCAGCCCGACGAGGAGGAGCGAGCGCGCAACCCGGACGCGCAGTACAAGGTGCACGAGTTTGTCCGCGAGGCGCTGCAGGTCCGGATCACGCCCATGATGCTCGTGCGTCCCACTCTCTCTCTCTCTCTCTCTTTCCGTCTCGCCTTATTGACGTCTCCTACTGACCCGCTTGGTTCCTCACCGCGCAGGACCAGTTCGGCGAGGAGTGGGCCTCGCTGTGCGCGGCGCAGACGGCGCACACGGCCGAGCTCGACGCCCTGCGCAAGGCCAACCTGCAGCTGTCGATCCAGGTGCGACAGCTCGAGGCGAGCTTGGCCCAGATCAACGCCGAGCACTGCGACCTCGTCAAGCAGGTCGTCGCGTCGAGGTTGGACCGCGAGGAGCTCGAGGACGAGCTCGTCAAGTGTGCGTCGGCCTGCTCTCTCTTTCTCTCTTTGCCTCGATCGTCGGCCAAGCTCGTCACGAGCTCGGCATCCTGACCGTCGTTGTCGAACCCGCAGACAAGCTCGCCTACGCCGACCTGTCGCACCTCGCCGCTGCCGAGCGCGCCTCGACCTCGTCGCTCCAGGTGCGCCGCCAGAGCGAACTGAGTACCGCCTCGTCGCGCTCGGGCGACGAGAACCCGCTCCCGGCACCGCCGGCGCCACCGCTGCCACCGCGGCAGGCGTCGGGCTCGGGCGGCGGGGCGGCGGCGGCGCTCAGTGGGATCGGGCGAGGGTGGTTCGGCGGCTCGGCGGGCGGTACGCCGGTGAGGAGGACGAGCTCGAACATGAGCGGTGGAGGATGGTGAGCGCCTGAGCGTGCGACGCAGACGAGGATGCGGACGAGGAGCGAGTTGGTGGTCGAGCGTAGCTAGACGGCCGGAGCTGGGCTCGGGTCGACTCTCATCGGTGGACACTATTCCTGCATGCACCGCCTTGTACCAACAGAGAGCAGGAGAGCCCTGGGCGAGTTGCCAGCTTCGTTCGACCACATCTCGCGTCGGCGCGACGGCGCAGTTCCTCAACTCGCTCGCCCACACGCCGCCAAGCTCGGTACGCGACCTCGCTGTCGCTAGCGAGCATCAACAGCGGCACCGACGCGCTCTCCAGCAGCCCGCACGGCCTGCGCTCGCCTCCTCGTCGACCGCGCCCGCCTTCATCTCCCGCGACGAGCCCGACGCCGAGTACCTCGCCAGCGCAGCTCGTGCGCCCCGAGTGCCTCGACGCGAGCTCTCGCGACCCTCTTGCGCGCCAGATCCGCCCTCTCGCAAGCCCGCCCGCGACGATGGACTTCCGCTCGCGGCCCCCACCTCCCCCCGACCTCGCGACTTTCGCCCTCGGCGGCTTCCCCAGCCCCGTACCGCCATCAGCAGCCGACCACTCGCCGCCACGATCCGCCTCTCGGCCGCGCCAGTCGTCCTCGGGCCAGCGTCCTCGGCGGTACTCGTCGTTCCAGCAGGCAGGAGCCGGCACGCCCGTCATCCCCATCGAGCGCGACTTTGGGTTCGACTCGCCGGCGACGGCGGGCATGCGGCGCAGGAGCGGGGGCGAGGGCGTGCGGAAAGCCGTCGGCGAGGAGAGCAGGCGGTGTGCGTCCACCTCTCCCTTCCCGACGCAGCCTGTACCTGTCGGGCCCGTCGACTGACTGTCATATGCCTCCTAAACGCGCAGACGAGGACTTTTCGACGATCGACTGGGTCGCAGATACCCTGCTCGAGCGCTCGAGGCGGCGGCACGAGGCGGCGACGGCAACGAGGACGCTCGGGCACAGCGTCAGGGCGGGCTTCTGGCGCATCGCCGAGGCGTGTCAGAGCTGGGCAGTCGTCAGTCTCGTCGGTGCGTCCTTGTTCCGCCCTCGTGTTCCTCCGTGACGGCGGCGGCGGGTCGTCCCGTCACACCGACTGACCCTCCCTTCCTTTCTCCCCCGCCCTCCCTCTCGCCGTCGCAGGCGCCATCATCGGCTTCAACGCGGCCCTCATGTCGATCATGACGGCCTGGCTGTCGGACCTCAAGCTCGGGTACTGCCGGCAAGGGTGGTGGCTCAACCGCAAGTTCTGCTGCTGGGAGATCGAGGAGGGCCTGTGCGAGGACTGGGTCACCTGGACGGGTTGGGCAGGCGTCCAGTGGCTCGTCTATGTCGCGTTCGCGGTACGTCCAGTCAGTTCTCAAGTCGCTCCCGTCCTCGTCGTCCCTTCCCGCTGCCCTACTGGGAGCAAGAAGAGGGCGTGTGTCGTTGACTCGAACGGCCTGAGACTGACTCGCCGACTCATCCCTGCAGGGCCTCTTTGCTTTCACGTGCGCGTTCCTCGTCAAGTCGTTCGCGCCGTACGCCGCCGGGTCCGGCATCAGCGAGATCAAGTGCATCCTCGCCGGCTTCATCATCAACGGCTACTTGTCCTTTTCGACCCTCAGCATCAAGTCGCTCACTCTTGTACGTCCTTGTCGACCATCACGAGGTGGCAGAGCGTCGACTGACTCTCCAACCCCGTCCTCGCAGCCCATCTCGATCGCCTCGGGCCTGTCGGTCGGCAAGGAGGGCCCGTCGGTCCACGTCGCGAGCGCTATCGGGCACGTCGTCGCGAGTCGGTTCGCCCGGTTCAAGCGCAGTCAGGGTGCGTCGTCTCGTTTCGTCACGAGCCAGGTCTCCTTCTCCTGCGCCTTGCGATGGCAAGGCCCGGCCGGCCCTTCCTTCGCGTGCTCACACACCTCACCGCCTGCAGCCAAGATGCGCGAGATCGTCACGGCTGCATCTGCGACAGGTGTCGCCGTCGCGTTCGGCTCGCCTATCGGTGGCGTCCTCTTCTCGCTCGAGGTACGTGCGCACCTTCTCCTTCTCGTTCTGGGCACCGCAAACTCCCGTACTGACTTTGCGCCTCTCTCCTCGTCGCTTGCAGGAGATGACGATCAACTGGCCTATCAAGACGATGTGGAAGAGCTTCTTCTGCGCCTTGGTCGCCAACGTCGTCCTCTCGGTGCGTCCACTCTTTCTCCCCTCTCTCGCCTTCCACGATCCCGCCCTCGTCCAGTGTCGCTCACCGCTCCTTACCCCTTGACAGGCCATGAACCCGTTCCGCACGGGCAAGATCGTCCTGTTCCAGGTCAGCTTCGACCGCGACTGGCACTTTTTCGAGTTGGGCTTCTTCATCCTCATCGGCGTCTTTGGCGTGCGTCCCCTGTCTTCTTCTGTCCCTCCTCGAGTACGAGCTCTAACGTATCCTCGAGCACAGGGTCTATACGGCGCGTTCGTCATCAAGTACAACCTGCAGGTCGCCGCGTTCCGCCGCAAGCACCTCGGCTCGAGCGCCATCTCCGAGGCCGTCACGCTCGCCGTCCTGACGGCCGCCGTCGCGTTCACGAATCGGTTTCTGCGCCTCGACATGAACGAGATGCTCGACGTCCTCTTTCGCGAGTGCGAGGGCGGCGGCGACTACGAGAACCTGTGCCAGTGAGTCGCACGGTCCTCCTCGGCGGCGTCTCGGCCTCTTACGGCAGCGCGCAGCCTGGGTCGAGGCCCAGCGACGCTCGTCACTGACCTTCTTCTCGCCGAGCAGGACCTGGGCGCAATGGCGCATGGTCAACTCGCTCCTCCTCGCGACCGTCATCCGTACTTTCCTCGTCATCATTTCGTACGGCTGCAAGGTCCCTGCCGGCATCTTCGTGCCCTCGATGGCGGTCGGTGCGACGTTCGGCAGGATGGTCGGCATCCTCGTCAAGGCCATGTACCGGTGCGTCGTCGTCGTCTCCCTCCCTCGACCCTTTTCCTCGCCGCGCTCGTCTCGACGAGGCCAAGGCTCACTCGTTCCCGGCCTCGTACGCAGCGCGCACCCGACATGGAGCATGTTCGCCGGCTGTGACCCTGAAAAGCCGTGCATCACGCCCGGCACGTACGCCTTCCTCGGAGCTGCGGCGGGACTCGCGTGCGTCCCCCTTCTCTCCGCCCTTCTGCCCCTCGTGACGCCTCGACTGACTCCCGCTTCCGCAGAGGTATCACGCGCATCACGGTCACGGTCGTCGTCATCATGTTCGAGCTCACGGGCGCCCTCACCTACATCCTCCCGACCATGGTGCGTCTCGCTCGTTCCTCTCTCTCTGTCTACTCTCGACGTGAGCTCATCAGTCCACCGCCACTCGCAGATCGTCGTCATGGTGACCAAGGCCGTCAGCGACCAGTTCGGCGGCGGCGGCATCGCCGACCAGATGATCAAGTTTAACGGGTACCCGCTGCTCGAGAACCACGAGCTCGTCTTTGGCGTTCCAGGTGCGCCGCCTCTTTTCGCCTACCCCTCAGACGCATCGCGTCTCTGACTCTGCGCCCCGCACGCAGTGTCGACCGTCATGCGCCGCAAGCTCGTCTGCCTGCCCTCGCAAGGCATGACCCTCGATGAGCTGCGTGCGTCTCCTCGCCTCTCCGACCTCTCGAGACCGAGCCTGACGCTCGCCACCTCGTCTCGCAGAGCAACTTCTCGGCTCGAACAAGTACCAGGGCTTCCCCGTCGTCAAGAGCCGCAAGGACTCGACGCTCCTCGGCGACATCTCGCGGCGAGATCTCAAGGTCGCCATCGGTCCGTCTCTTCTCCCTCTCGTTTCTGTCGAACGTCAGGACACACCCGCTCACGCTCTACCTGTCGACAGAGAAAGCTAAGCTCTCGAGCATCGTGCCACCCGACGCGCCCTGCCTCTTCTGCCCGCAAGACGACGTCGCCGACGAGTCGGAGCCGCCCAGCCCGGTCTCGCCGAGAGACGCCGAGGACGGCGGCGGCATGGATCCGGACGAGTGGGGCGGTGGAGAGGAGGGCATCGTCGACTTCTCGTCGTTTGTGAACCAGGTGCGCCCTCTCGTCCGCCGTTGAGGGGGTCCGTGCGCATGTTCGACGACCTGACCTCTTCTCGCCCCTCGCGCCGCAGACGCCTCTCACGGTCTCGCCCAAGCAGCCTCTCGAGTTCGTCATGCAGCTCTTTCGCCGAATGGGGTGCGTCCACTGCTCTTCCTCCTCGTCAGCCCGTCGACCTTCCTAACTCGCCGTCCTTCTTCCCTCGCGCAGCCCTCGAGTTATCCTCGTCGAGCGCTTCGGCGACCTCGTCGGCCTCGTCTCGGTCAAGGACTGCCTCAAGTACACGATCGCGCACGAGGCCGACCACGAGCACGACGCTTCGGGCACGTCGGGCGGCGACGAGCTCGAGGCGACGCTCGAGGAGCTGCGGCTCTGGGGCAAGGACGTCAAGGACTGGGTTGCGGCCAAGGTGACGGGGCGCGAGGTGCCGATGAGCCCCGAAGGGTTGCGCATGGGCTCGACGGGCTTCAGATCGGCGGAAAGCAGCAGCGCCGACGAGCGGTACGGGCGAGGGCGAGGGTGAGGGGTTGTAGATACAGCGTGACATCGATAGACAGCGCTTTCGTTGCTCCTCTCCTCTCGTGTGACGCTCGGCGAGCGAGAGAACAGGTCGCAAAGCTCGATGCACGCTGCCGAGGATCGTACACGGACCCGCCCGGGACCTCCCTCTCGTCCGCCTCGTCGCCGCTCGTGCTCTCCTCGGGCCCGCTGCCTCTACTATCACTGCTGCGCCGAACCTCTCGCGCTCGACCGCTCGACCGCCGACCGCGACGACAGGTTGGCGCTTTGACCTCGTCGCTCGAGTCGGTCTCGCTGCCGGACGCAGAGTCCTCCATGGCCCGCGCCGTTGGGTCCCTCTGCTGGTGCGAGAAGCGCCACGCTCGACTGTGAGAGAGGCGTGTCAGTCGCAGTGGCGGCAATACGAGAGAAGAGAGCGAAAGACGCACAGGAGGATCACGTCCAGGGCCAGAAGCGTCATGATCGCCGCCACGACGACGAGCGCCGCGGTCAATGCAGGAGTCTGTACATCGAGACTGCTTCAGCCCAGGTCGGGCAGAAGAGAGAGAGAGTAGAGACGCACCTCGGGCGATCCTGTGCTCGTAAAGAGCGAGCCGGCGTAGACGAAGACGAGCTCTTTCGGAAGGGCGACGACTCTGCGCAAGGGTGATCAGGGGTGTGTGGTGACATGGGCAGGAATAGGGAGAGAGTATGGGACGCACAGAGCCACCACGTAGAGGCGAAAGGGAATGCCGATGGTCGCCGCGACGGCCGTTGTGACCCGACCAGGCAACGCCGACAGGCGCAACGAGATGACGCTGTTGCGGGCGCACACCTTTTGACGTCAGTACACAGTGTCTGAGATCTTCTCGAGGCCCGCAGCTGGCGCGTCGCACGAGGAGATGCGCTGGCGAGGAAGAGGGGGAGGCTCGAGCGCACTCGAGAAGGCCGGCGCTGCGCACCGAGCGAGCGAGATACGAGTAAAGCGGCTTCTCCTGCTCGATACTGCGGGCGTGAGGAACGCTGTTGTCAGTGACGCTGTCCAGGAGAAAGGAGGAAGGGAAAGTCGAAAGCTCGCCTCGACGCACCTCTCAGCCTTGGCCCGCAAGAACGTGCTGAAAGCGCCGAAGCACAGGATCTCGCCGACGAGTGTGCCCACAAAGACGACAGGGACGCCAATCTTGAAGCCCCAGATGGCGCCCGTCGCGACGGCCGTCGCAGAGTGGCCCGCGAGCGGCGGAAACTCGACGGCGACGAGGATGGCAACGGGCACGAGCCACGAGCACGGCGTGGCCAGGATGACGTCCCGGCGAGGCTCAAGGTAGACAAGAATGTCGTGGCGGAAGATGACCGCGAGGATCGCAAAGCCGACGAAGGCGACGAGGAGGAGCCACCAATCTGGACGTAGGTGACGTGTCAGTCCGTGCGGGGCTGCGAGACGCGGAGAACAGTGCGACGCACACCAGTACCGCAGTCGGAACGCTTTGCGCGTAAGCCGGCTCCAATCGAGAACCCGCAGAGCGCGCCAACCCTCGACCGCCATCGCCCGGTTGTCGTCGACGACGCTGCGCCACGAAGCAGCTTGGCGCATAGCTGGCGCTCGGGGTGCCGGGCGAGCGCAAGCTCACAGAGCGCGAGAACAAAAGCGAGAAGCCGAGGCAGAGCTTGAGCGACGGCGGACGGTGGAAAGTCCGTGGGAGGACAGGAGGGTCCGTGCAGATCTCGGCGTGCTCTCGCAAACCCCTCTCTCGCGCGTCTCACACTTTCGCAGAGCGCTATGCAGAAGGCTATCTCGTTGCACTCGAGTCGCAGCTAGAACGCATGCCATCCTCCAGGGTTGTTGGTCGCCTCGAGCTTGCGGGCGACGAAAGTCGGGACGCCGTGCGCGAGCCAAAGTCGGCGCACCTCGTCGTACCGACCTCGGTGCAGGTACTGCGGGAACTGGCTGCGGCCGCGTCTGCGAGAGAGGAGAGGCGCGAGGTCAGAAAGGACTCGGGATGCGAGAGAGAGAGAGAGAGGGAGCGAGAGGGGACGCACCGGCCGCCGACGTCAACCTCGCCGTGCGAGTCGAGGTATGGTGGCGTCGAGAACGCGCCCTTGTCGGCGTGCAGGTACAGGATGACGTTGCTCTTGACGAGGTAGTAGATGCCGACGGAGCCGCCGCACCTGCGAGGAAGGGGAGGGGGAGCGAGTGAGCGAGTCGTTCTGGGCGTGGGCGAACGAGAACGAGGAGGAAACGGGGCGACGCACGTCCACATGTGCTCGTTGCACTCACCGTGCATCGCGTTGTTCTCGCCGACCATGCAGCAGAAGCTCTGGGCGCACAGGTTCTCGCCGCAGAGGAGGCACAGTGCCGCATCTCGAGGCACCTCGCCGCAGCGCCGGCACGGCGTCTCGAGCGCGTACGCGACGAGCGTGTCGAGCTGATGCGGCAGGCCGAGGAGCTCGTACGGGACCGGGTGCTCGAGCTCGGCAATCGAGTCGTCGAGGATGAGGGCCTTGCGGGCCTCGGCCGGGTCGGACGTCGAGAACAGGGTGTCGCTGATCGAGTCGCGGCAGGTCGACAGGTGTGCGCGCAGCGTGACGACGCTCGGGGCCGACTCGGCCGTGTTGTACGGGCGCAGGACCTCGCTCGGCGCCGGAATGCGCAAGAGCTCGAGCAGGCGCGAGTACTCGCTCGGCCCGTTCTCGACGTCGGCGTCGAGCGGCGTGTCCTGCCCGCCGCCACTCGGCTCGCCGAACACGACGCGCGCGACGATGCTGGCGCGCCGCAGGAAGACGAGCATCTGGGCGTGCACGAGCTTGCCGACCGTCTCGTGGTCAGGCGAGTCGTCCTTGCCGAACAGGGCCGGCGCCATCGCGAACACGTCGCGGACGCGGAACAGGTCGGCGCACTCTTGCTGATGGCGGTCGTCGACCTTGTCGCTCGTCCAGGTGGCTGTCGACGCCGAGCTGGACCCGGCGTGGAGGAGGCGGTAGACGCCGAGGAGGCTCTGCGCGAGCGCCGTGTAGAAGGCGACGGCGACGACGTGATAAAAGGACGAGGGCATGCAGACGGCCGCCTCGATGACGACGCCGAGCGGGTCGAGCAGCGTAAAGGGCAGGCCGGCAAACTTGGTGCCGCGAGCAAAGACGCCGCCGAGGCGCTGTCGGACCGAGACGGCGGCGATGCGCGAGCTCTCGACCGACTGGGTCATGAGTTCGGCGAGGTCCTGCATGGCGGCGAACAGGCTCTGGACGAGGCGGACGTTGCCCTCGGTGAGGGCCCACGCGGGCTCGGCCGTCCCTCGCGACGCGACCTCGAGCGCCGAGATGGTGTACCCGACGAGGTCGCCCGACAGCGACGCGACGCCGGCACCGGGCCCGCCGACCTCGTGCTTGAGCGCCGTGACGACCTGGAGCAGGCGGGCGATCATGCGGCCCTCGGCGTCGTTGAAGTGGGTCGGGAGAAGCATCGGGAGCGCCATAGTCGCCCGCCACGGCTTGAACGAGCTCGCCTCGCCGTTGTCGCCGACGAGCGACAGCTTGTCGATGCGCTGGTGGAAGGTCGCGTCGAACCGAGCGAGGCTGCCGGGCTCGAGCGGGTCGGCGTCCGGGTCGGCCCACTCGGCGAGCGACCTCGAGTCGGCCTCGCCACGGTACGGGACGAACGCGGGCGACGTGACCTCGGCGGGGAGGAGGACGTTGCCGAGGCTCTTGCAGAGCGGGCAGACGAACTCGCGCCGCTCGATGCTCTCCGGGTGGCACCGGGTCGGCTGCGAGCGGTGGCGCTGCTCGAGCGACTGGCAGTACCGCTCGAAGCACGCGAGGTGCATGAGGTGCCCGCACGACGACGCCGCGATGCCCGCCTTGGTGCTCTGCGGGAAGCCCTCGGCGAGGCCGTCGCCGCTGTCGGCGAACCCTGGGAGGGGCACCTTGCGCCCGGCGACGCCGTACGGCCGACGAGCGGACAGGTCGCGGTCGAGGCTCGACGGGAGGTCGAGGATCTCCTGGTGGTACGCCGTCGCGTCGACGGGCGGGCGATCGTCGCCGAGGACGGGCTCGTCCACGTCGCCGACGTGGGCGGGCGTGATGCGGATCAGGCTGCTGCCCTGCACGAGCGCGAGCATGCCGAACGGCTGCGTGTCCTCGAGCGCGTCCTGGCACACGATGCAGTCGCCAAAGTCGACGTGGACCTTGTCCTGCTCGTCGGCCGACCGCATCGCCTCCTCGCCGTCGCCTGCGCCGCCCGACGCCTCGTCCTCCTCGTCGTCGTCCTCGACGTTCTGCAGGAACGCCGACTGCGCCTGCTGGAACTGGCGCATGATGGCCTCCTGGCGCGCCTTGGCCGCTCGCCGCTTGGCCTCGACCGCCTGCGCCGCGTCGCTCGCCTTGCCCTCCTCCTCGGCGACCTCGACCTTGCGACGCAGGTCCGCGACCGCGGCGCCGTGCGCGTCGACGAGGCGGTCGAGGAGGAAGCGCGCCTTGGGCCAGACGCCCTTGAGCCGCTCGTCCTCCTCGATGCGGACGAGCACTTGCGCGAGCGACCCGTGCTTGTCGACGGCGTCGGTCGCGGCGTCCTCGAGCTCGACCGGCACGAGCGCAAAGTCGGCGAGCGCGTCGGGCTGCTCGACGTGCGCGACGAGCGCGAGCTGGAGCGCCTGGTCGACGACCGCCTCGGAGAAGAGCGGCGCCGGCTGCTCGACCTCGTCCTCGCCGTCGTCGGCCTCGGGCGTCGGTACAGGCAGCGCACTGCCCATGCGCAGGGCGTAGAAGACGACGGCGAGGAGGGCCTGCGCGCCGAGTGCGCGCGGCAGGCGCTCGAACGGGCCCGACGCGCCGCCGGCGACGGCGAGCCGGCGAGGGACGATGACGGGCTCGTCGCCGGCCTTGCCGCCTCGGCCGCTCTTCTTGAGCCACGCGCGGACGATGCCGTCGGCCTCCTCGCGCTGGTTGCGCGAGTAGCGCGCAAAGTACGGGTCGACCTCGCCGAGGAGGTCTGGGCGCAGCGCGTACGTGCCCTGGTCGTTGGACCCGCTCGGCGGCTTGAACGTGGCGATGTCGGCGAGCACTCGGTCGATGTTGGGGTCGTCCGAGAAGCGCTCAGAGACGCGGCGCAGGAGGTCCGAGTAGACGCACGGCGCGAGGGCGAGGTAGTGGACGAGCTCGCGGCGGAGCGCGGCCGACGGCGACAGGGGCACGACCGAGGTCGGGTCCGAGACGAGCGTGATGAGGAGGCTGAGGAGCTCGTCGACCATCGCGAGGGCCTGCTCGGGCTCGTACGGGCTCTTGGCGGCGGCGGCGGTGGCGGTCGGGTCGAACGCGCGGCGGACGAGCCAGTCGTGCACCTCGAACCGGTCGACAAGTGCGGCGACGACGAGTGCCGGGTCGAGGACGACGAGCGCCGTCTGGAGGAAAAAGATGTCCTGCTCGAACGTCGTCTCGCGGAGCGAGTAGTCGCGGTAGTGCAGGTTTTGCGCCCGGACGGTGAAGCCGTTGCGGACCCAGACGCCCGAGCGCACTTGGGCAACGAGAGCGAGTACTGCGGGAGCAGAAAGTCAGTCTCATCGCGCGTGCCGCCGTCGAGAAGGAAGGGAAAGGAGAGAACGCACCTCGCAGCGGATCCTCCATCGCTCTCACCATCGGCTTGACCTCGCCCTCCCAGCCCTCGCCGCCGAGCAGCTCCGCAACGCCGCTCACGCCCACCGCCCTCATGGCCTCGTCGCCGCCCCTCGGCCCGGCGAGGCCCTTGGCCATCTCGGCCCACAGCCACGCGAGCGGGTGGTGGTACGACACGGGCGCGCCGCTCACTCTCGCGCGCACGAGCGGGCCGTACGTGCGCCCGGCGAGCGCAACTGAGTGCGACTCGGGCGCGGCGCCGTCGCCGCCCGAGGTCGTCGCCGCCGGCGTCACGAGGCGGGTCACGAGCGCGTGCAGCGCCCGTGCGAGGTCGAGCGTGCTCGGTGGCGCAGGACGGCGCTCGCCGCCGTCGAGGGCGGCGTCGTCGACCTCGTCGAGCGGGTGGAACGCGGCGCCGAACGCGCGACAGGTGCGGGCGAGCTGGATCGTGAGGTTGAACGCCGTACTCCACTGCTCGCTCTCGTACTCGACGTGGGCGCCCTCGGCCCTCGACAGCGGGTTCATGCCCCGGAAGAGGGCGGCGAACGCGGCAAAGTCGTCGAGGAGGTGCGGCGACGAGGCGATAAGGCGCTGGACGGGCGCGCACTGGATGAGGTGCGTCAGGTCCGAGAAGAGCTGGAAGTACCGCCGCTGCTTGGCGATCAGAGGCGAGTCGAGGTCGAGCGTGCGGTGCGCCGGGTTGGGCGGGAGGACGAGTCGGGTGCGGTCGGACGACAGTTGGCCGGTGAGGAACGACGTGAGGACCTTGAGGAGCCGCGACAGGAAGTAGTGGCGCGAGACGAGGAGGGCCGCGACCGACGGAACGGTGAACACTTGGACGCCGAAGAAGATGAGCGAGTTCTCGGGCTCGCGGTCGGTGAGGAGGTACGTCGTCGCGAGCGACGAGTAGATCTCGGCGTACTGGACGCCTGCGGGTGCGCCTCGTCAATGCCGCGCCCGTCACGCACGTCTCGAGAGAATGAGAGGGACAAAGACGCACTGAGCTCCGTCTTGACCTCGCCGCCGACGCCCATGAGCGCAACAGCGACCTCCTGCCCGACCTTCCTCGGCGCCTTCCACAGCCGGCCCTCGACCTCGGCCCAGCGCATCCACCTGCTCCTCCCGTCGCTCGCCCGCTCGAGCAACACCCTCGCGACCGTCCCGGCGAGCGCGCCCGGGCCCTCGGCGCCGCACCGCGCGCGCAGGACGTCGCGCACGCACGCGACGACCTCGGCGGCGCACTGCTCGCGGAACGTGTCGCGCGCCTCGCGAACGGTCACGACGAGCTTGATCTGGGCGACGACGCGCGCGACGCGCAGCGCCTCGGTCGCAGAGGGCGTGACGAGGATGACGTCGCGGCCGTGCGTGTCGACGCGGTTGGCGACGGCGGATGCGGCCGACGCCGAGCAGCCGACGGCGAGCGAGACCTGGTCGATGACCTCGCGGAACGAGTGCTGCTCGTCGTTCCACAGGATGACGGCGTACGGCGGCGTCGTCTGCTCGAGCGGGGCAGCGGGCGCATCTCGGCTCGTAGCCGACGACGACGACGAGTGCGGGAACGCTCCGGGGAGGAAGACGGCGGGCGTGTGCTCCTCGTCGATGTCGTCGTCGGCGCCGGCGATGGCGATAGGCGTGCCGCCCTGGTCGACGACGAGCCCGACGAGCCGGTGCAGCGCCTCGACCCGCCGATCAAGTTCCGCCGCGGCCTCGCCGCCCTGACCCTCGCCAGCTCCTCCTCCCTCGCCCTCGCCCTCGGCTGCGCGCCCGGTGGCACCGGCAGGCCCAGGGAGGACGAACGTGTCGCCCTCGACGTCGGCGAGCTGGGCGAAGACCGCCTGCGGCTCGAGCGTCGCGCCGTCGCCGGCGCGCAGCACCGTGTCGCCGCCGCCGGCGCGCAGCAGCGCCGCGAGGTTGCGCAGCGTCGCGCGAGGCGTCGTTGCCGTCGCCTCGTCACCGTCGACGTCGGCGTCGAGGTCGGGCTCGTCGGGCTCGTCGCGCTGGCCCGAGCGTCGCGTCTCGCCGGCGCGCGCCGTGCCCGGCGGCGACGAGCTCGGGACGCCCGTCACCTGCTCGAGGCGCGTGGGCGTGCGCAGAACCTCGGGCGAGCGCTCGAGGACGCCGAGGGCCCAGTCGAGCGCGAGCGCGAGGATACGGGCGACGCGGTCCTTTGCCGCCTCGGCCTGCTCGTCCTCCTCGGTCGCGCGCTCCTTGCCCTTGCCCGCCGCCGTCGCACTCGCGCTCCCGCTCGCCGCCGTCGCCGTGTCCGAGTCGTGCTCGACGCCGTGGTACCGGCAGTCGCGCTGGCGGCCGGGCTTCCACGCCTCGGCGTCGCCGCAGTCGCAGCACCCGGCGCCGACGCCGGCGTGGGTGCTGACGGTGATGTCGTGGCCGAGGCGAGCGTGCGACGAGGCGTGGAAGCAGCGCGCGCACAGGACGCAGGTCGGGTCGGTGCCGCAGTCGCGGCAGCGGTAGACGCTCTCGCCCGGGCGGAACACGTGCGCGCAGGGCTTGCCCCGGCGCGAGGGCCCGTACTCGTCTTCGACGTCGTTCGAGGTCGAGGTGCGGCCCTGCTGCTGCTGAGCGGCGGCGAGGGTCCAGTCGTCGGACACGGACGCGGCCTCGGGGTGGGACGAGTCGGGCGGGAGGAAGAGGTGGCGGACGGGCGAGTCGGGGTCGAGGGCGTACGAGTAGAGGGCGAGCTTGAAGCGGGCCCTGGTGCTCGGGTGGGCGAGGGCGTAGCTCGAGGGGGCGGCGAGCGAGTCGACGAAGGCGGCGAATGACGCGGGAGAGTCGATGGTGAGGGCGGTGCGCGGGTCCGGGTAGGGCGGGCTGAGGCCGCTCATGGCGGGATGGTGGGGCGTGCTGCTCGCTCGTGCAGGAGGTCGGGCGGGGCGGGATGGGGTCGGGGTCGAGGCTGGCTTGGCGGGAAGAGGGGAGGAGGAGAGGGTCAGTCGCAGGACGCTGGATGGAGGGGACGGGCAGCAGGGCGCACCTTGTCGAGAGTGCTGAGCTGGTACAGGGCACAGCTGTGTGCGTCTGAGCTGTGGCGAGAGAGTGAGAGCCCGTTCGTCTCGTCTCCGCTTCCTCATCAGCTCGACGGCCTTGGTCCTGCACCCGCGCTCCTGCTGGCTAGATCGACAGCTACCAGCATGCCTCGAGTAGCTCTCATCCAGTTCGCCCCGCTCGAACCTGCCCAATCGTGCTCGCCGTTCGCCTCGTCCTCGTCGTCCGCCTCCGCCTCGCCCGCCGACGACCTGTCGCTCAACCCTCTGATCAACCTCCAGCGCGCACACGACCTCGTCCGGTCTGCCGCACACCAGGGCGCAGAGCTCGTCACCCTCCCCGAGTACTTCCTCGTGCGTCCCGGACCCCCTCCCCTCCCTCCCCCACTCTTCCTCGCCCTCTCGGCCGGCCAGTTCTCCAAGCTGACCCTCGCCTCGCCGTGCCTCGCCACGTCCTCCCCCGCCAACAGAGCGGCGTCGTGTCGGACCCGGCGCACTGGCACCTCGCACAGTACCCGCACTCGCACGCCCACCTCGCCGCCTCGTCCGCCTCGCACTCGACCGCGACCCACTGGCTGTCGACCTTCCAGGACCTCGCGCGCGAGCTCCGCGTCGACATCCAGGTCGGCACCATCGTCGAGCGCGCCGTCGACGAAGACGGCAACGAGATTTATCGCGACGTCGAGGTAGTCGACGACGAGACGGGCGACAAGCGCACAGAGAAGCGGCCCGTCCTCGAGAACGTCGCCACCTACATCGACTGGGAGGGCAACATCCTGCACCGGTACAAGAAGCGCAACCTGTGGTGGTGCGTCCTTCTTCCCCTCGTCCGTCGCCTCGCCCCGGACTGACCGCACGTTCCCCCCGACAGGCCCGAGAAGGAGTACCTGTGCGAGGGCAGCGAGGACCACCAGGTGTTCGACACGCGCTTCGGCAAAGTCGGCATGCTCATCTGTGCGTTCCACTCTCGCTTTCTACCTCGTCGAAAAATCGCAGTCGTCGCCTCGCGCCCTCGCAGCCCGGCACTGACGCTGCGCCCTGGCCCTCCCTCTCTCTATCATCCGACGTCCTCGTCTCGCCCCGACCGGCCACCCAGGCTGGGACCTCGCATGGCCGCGCGCGTTCCAGTCGCTCCTCCTGCAGCGCGTCGACCTCGTCCTCGCGCCGACCTACTGGACCAAGGACGACGGCGGGCCCCTCGGCCTCAAGCACAACCCGAACTCGGAGGTCGAGTACCTCAAGGTGCTCATCCCGACGAGGGCGTGGGACAACGAGTGCGCCATCGTCGTGCGTCCCTGGCCCTCCTCTCTCACTCTCTCCTCGCGGCTCAGGACGGCACCTGACGACCTCTACCTCCTGCCCGCAGTTCACGAACGCCGGCGCCCCCGCCGAGTGGACCGAGAGCGCCGGCGCGAGCAAGAACCCGCACGGGCGGATCGGCGGCAGCTGCGTGTGCGTGCCGTTCAAGGGCCGGATCGGCGGTGCGGTGCGTCTTTCTCTCTCTTTCTCTCCTCTCTCTCTCTCTTCCGAAGCTCGGGTCGAACGAGCGCTGATCTTGCCGAGCGAGTCGAGCAGGAAGGCGCGCATGAGCAGGTCGCGCTCGTCGACCTCGACCTGTCTATTCTCGAGGTGCGTCTCTCCTCGTCTCTCTCTGCCTCGAGCCCGAGATTCTGGACCTTGACGCTCTCTTATCGGCTGCGCGCGCAGGATGCTCGCACGGTGTACGGCGTCAGGAGGGACCTTGTCACCAAGCTCAAGCAAGAGAAGGCGTTGCCGAGCTGGGTCGCCGAGTAGAGCAGACAAGCTGTATCGAGCTGCACTTTCTTCGCGGGTCTATCTCTCTCTGCGGCGAGGCTCTCACTTTCTCGAGCGAGAGAGAGAAGAAGGGAATCGAGAAAGAGAGGAACGAGCGCGCTGCGCTCCTTTTCCGTCGTCACTCGACGCACTGCCCGCCAGTCTACCCACCCTGTATCCGCCTCCTCTATATCTAGTAGTGCTTCTTCAGGTCGAGCGTGAGGAAACCCTGCAGCTGCTCCTCGAACGCCTGCTTGACCTCGTCGTTCGACTTGCCGAGCGCGAGCAGGATCTGGAGCAGGCGACGCGCCTTGACCGGGTTGAGCAGGCCGGCGGCGATCGTGTTGGCGTAGGCCGGCGAGGGGACGCTGAAGCCTGCGAGGAGGAGGAGGGACGATGGAGGAGAAAGGTCAGTGCGCTGCTTGGGAAGGTCGATTCGAGGAAAAGCGACGCCGACGCACCGACGTTGATCTTGGTCGAGCGCACGACGGGCACGCCCTGCTCGACCGCCTTGGCGACGTGGTCCTTGCCCGTCTCGGACACCGACCCCGACCCGACGCCGGCGATGACGATGCCCTTTGCGCCGCCGCTCACGGCAACGTCCATGAGCGCGAGGTCGGCGCCCTGGTACCCGATGAGGATCTCGACAGGCGGCAGCGACGTGACGTTCGACAGGTCGTACACGCGCTTGAACGTCGGCTGCGACGGCGTCGAGTAGTACACGGGTTTGGTCGACAGGAGTGTGCCGATAAAGCCCTGCTCGGGCGACTTGAACGTGTCGACCGTGTTGGCCTGCGTCTTCTGGCAGTAGAGGGCCTGAGATAAGGCGCGAGTGTCAGGGCAGGTCCTGAGGAAGAGAGAAAGAGAGAAGGAGAGAGGCTCGAGCGCACCTGGCAGATGCGGTCGTTGAGGACGATGAGCGTTCCGCGGTTGCGCGAGGCCGGCGTGACGGCCGTCGTCACGGCCGAGAGCAGGTTGTTGCCGCCGTCGGCGCCGATGGCGGTCGAGGGGCGCATGGCGCCGACGACGACGACGGGCTTGTCGCACTGGAGGGTCGCGTCGATGAAAAAGGCCGTCTCCTCGAGCGTGTCGGTGCCGTGCGTGATGACGGCGGCGTCCCACTTCGAGGCGTTCGAGCACAGCGCCTCGTTGACGAGCTTGCTCAGGTTGAGCGCCATGCCGTCCGAGATTGACTGCGCGGCGAGAGAGGGAAAGTCAGTCTCGTCGAGCGTCTGGAGGGACGTGCACGATGGCCACGCACCTCGGACGCGATGTTCGAGAACTGAATGCCGTCGACGTTGCTGACGCTGCGAGGAGAGAAAAGAGGGTGAGGCTCGTCCCTGCGTGCGAGGGAGGAACGTGCGGGTGACGCACTTGAGGAGCTCGGGCACGGCGACGATGAGCTGCTCGATGCCGACGGTCCCAGCAGTGTATGTCGTCGTGTCGGTATTGTCGGCCGAGGATCCAGCGATCGTACCGCTGGGTCAGGGCGCGAGGAATGTCAGTCTCGACGACGGGGCGGGGAGGAAGAGAAGGAAGAGGGGACGTACCCGGTCGCGATGATGAGCGTGCGAGGGAGGTGCTCGGTGTAGTTGCTCGAGTACGTGACGTTGAAGTCAGAGCCGCGGTCGCGCTCGACGAGCTGGACGGCGGACTTTGCGGGCGCGACGAGGGGAGCGGCGCAGCTCGAGCCGAAGAGAGCGGCGACGGCGACCGCGGCGGCGAGCGACTTGGCGAGCATGGCGAGACCCGGACGAGAGAGACGGACAGCGGCGACGAGGAGAGAGAGCGAAGGAGAGAGCAGAAGCGAGCGAGCGCACCGAGCGGGCGAGCGGACCACTGCGGTCCCCTCCTCAGCTCGGCATCGGCGCAGGAAGATTCTCCTGCGTGGCTAGCCTGGCGCGCACGCTCACGAGCGAGCGAGAAAAGAGCGCGCGACGACCGAGGTGTGGCCCCGTGACGAGCGAGGGAAACGCGCTTGCGAGGGACTCGATCGCCAACACCCCGCGTCGAGCGCGAAGTCAAAAAAGGTTGGTCTCGTGAGGAGCGCTGGTACGAGCGGAAAAAGCTGCCGCAGGGCCGGCGGCGCCTGCATTGTGCGGCTCGCGTCGAAGCCTTCCGAACCGCTCCGTTCGACCTCGAGCTGTGCGCCGGAGCAAGACGGAGAAGCGAGAGCGAGGCACCCGAGGTCAGGTGAGAACGGTCGAGCCTTGGGGAGCACAGCGAGCCGCGGAGCGGTCGAGGGACGGCGCGACGGCAGACGCGCCGCTCGAGCAGCTGGACGTGGCGAGGAGCTCGAACGGGCGAAGGAGCGCGAGTGGGCGCCGGCCAAGTCACGCGAACGAGCCCTCGCTGCCGGCGGCTGACCCTCGCCATTGACGACGACCGACGTAAACCACACAACAGTCGACAGTGTTACAGGAGAGAGACGATGCGAGGCTCGCCAGGTTGACGTTGACGGCCCGGTCAGTCCTGCAGCCAGCCGGCGCGGCGAGCGCGCTCGAGCGCCGCGTCCCACGACGTCTCGCCCGGCTTCTTCTCGAGGTCGAGGTGATCCTCGACGTTCTCGCCCTCGAGTTGGGCGTACAGGTGCGGGAAGACTGGGGCGGGGAGGGAGGGTGCGTGAGCTGATGCTCTCCCCGAGTGGAAGAGAAACGAGTCGAGAGGAAGGAGGGACGCACTCTCACCGCTGCCGCTCGGCTCCCACTTGACAATCTTGAAGCCCGACAGGCGGCCGTAGTCCATCTTGAGGAGGACGACCTTGGGGTCGTCCTTGAAGAAGCGGTTGAGGGTGCCGGCCAGCTGTGCGGCCCTGGACATGTGCAGGAAGCCGTCCTTCGCGTCGAGCTCGCTCAGGACAAAGGTGTGCGAGGCAGGGATCGGGACGGGGAAGTTGTAGCTGTGTGCGCGAGAGCTAGAGGTGAGAGGCGAGGTGGGGGGATGACGACGCGAGGTGGAGGAGGGCGCACCGAGGGTTGACGCTGCTGTGCGGCACGATCTTGTAGACGTAGTTGGCGCCAGGCTGGGCGTGCGCGGGAGCTTTGCCGAACATCGAGTCGAGCAAGCGGCGGAGCATCGAGCGGTGGTTGAAGGAGAGAGGGGCCGGCGAGGAGGAAGCTCACAGCGCCAACCTCCGCCAACCACTCCCACCTCGCTGTGCAGAGCTGCTACTGCCACCATGCCTCAACTAGACCACGTCTTCAGCCAGCTGGCAGTGTGCGTCCGCCGCCCTGAGCCTGTCCACCTCTCTCGTCGTCCTCATCAGCTCACAGACTCTTTCATCCACAGTCACGACAAGAAGGGCGGGCCGGGCGGGCGCGTCACCCACAAGAGCACCAACCCGGCTCGTGCGACCACTGGTGACGCCCAGGTCGACCAACCCTCGACCACGACCCGCCTCCTCTCGCTCTTTTCCCGCCTGTGCACCCCGATCCGCCGCTCGCCCACCTTCAACGGCGACCTGCAGCACGTCAAGTCGCTCCTGTACAATAAGGAGTACCTCGACGCGTTCGGCACCGACACGGACGCCGGCGAGCGCTGGCGCGAGGTCTACATGGCCCGGTGGACGCCCGCGCGTGCCGTCATGTACGAGCGCATCCTCGCCGAGTGCGCCGTCGCCGAGGCCCTCCAGTGGGTCGAGCCGCCGTCGCACCGCCAGCTGTCCGAGGAGGAGGAGCTCGAGCGCGAGCGCGAGCGTGCGAGGCGCAGGAGGGAGGCGCGCAAGGCGGGCAAGGCGGTCGAGGAACTCGACGACGGCGACGACGCGACGGCGCTCGCCAAGGGCGACGTGCCCGAGGTGCTCGACGTCGTCATGATCGGCGCCGGCGCTGGCAGCGAGGTCGTCGCTCTCGGCGGCGTGCTCGGCGCAGCTCTCGCCTCGAGCGCCGCGAGCGCGCAGGACGGCGCCAAGCCGTTCAGGCGGCCGCGCATCGCCGTCCACGCGGCGGACCAGGGCTCATGGTCGACGCTGCTGGGCAAGATGGAAGAGCAGCTGCGCGACGAGTGGCCTGCGCTCGAGGGCGATGAGACGGCCGGGGGCGGGTTCGGCGTCAACTTTGTGCGAGGCGACATCCTCGCCGCAGCATCGGCCCCCTCTTCCTCCTCAACTTCGACCGACGAGTCTGCCGCACCATCGACCTCGCCAACAGCAGCGGCCGCCGACGCCCTCGGCCTCCCCTTCTCGTCGCCCTCGCTCCGCCTGATCACCATCTGCTTCACCATCACCGAGCTCCTCCTCCAGTCGCGCATCGCGACCCTGCGCCTCCTGTCGTCCATCTCGCGCTCGGCACCCTCGGGCACCCTCCTCCTCATCGTCGAGTCGGCGTCGCTCGCCCTCATCCCGCTCGGCAAGGAGGGGCGCACGTACCCGCTCGGGACGCTCCTCGACCATGCGCTGTGCGGCGCCCAAGGCGACGGCGCGTGGGACACGGTCAGGGGCGAGGACGCCAAATGGTACCGCATGCCGGACGGCGCTGACGAGGTGTACAACGCCGGCGGTCAAGGCGCGATCGTCAAGCTGGAGAACTCGAGGGTCGTCCTGCGGCTGTTCAAGAAGAAGTAGACGAGGCCAGGGCGGGAGACGATGGCGAGAAGCTGCACTTTAGACGCGGCATTCTCTGTCTTTCAGTCGGGCTCGAGTCGCTCTCCGCCAAAACCTCTCAATCGCGCTTCCGGCTCGCACTCTCAGGTCGACGAGACGGTCTTGGTCGCTACGCAAGGGTACAGAGACTGCATTGCGGACTCGAGAGAAGTACGCCCGAGATGAAGAGAGCGAGAGAGTGCCGCCGACGAGCAAAGGAGGCGGCGACGAGGTCGACGACCGAGTCGGTCACTCGAGCATCGTCTGCGAGGTGCCGGCGTTCGTGACTGTGCGCAAGGAGGACTTGAGTGTCAGTCGGCGAACTGAGAGAGAGCGAGACGAGGAAGAGAGAGCGAGAGCGCACCGAGTGAGCCCGCACGGCCCTCCTCCTCCTCCTCGAAGCGGGCGCCGTCTGAGCGCTCCTCCTCGTCCGTACCCTCGCCCGCTCCATCCTCCTCCCGCTCAGTCGACCCGTTGCCGAACGTCATCGCGCGCTTGACGCGAGTGCGGCCCTTGCCCGACGAGGCGTGCCCGAGCGAGGTCGGGAGGGCCGACCACATCGGGTCGAGGGCGCCGGTCGACTCGTAGACGGCCTGCGCGAGGACAAGGCGAGGGTCAGAACGTCGAACGTAACACGATGGAGGGGCGAGACAAGGCGAGAGAGGACGACGACAGAGAAAGGGAGAGGGAGGAAATGAGGGACGCACGACGCCGGCGAGGCCCTTGGCTTTCGCGTAGGCGCCCTTGGCGGCCCAGCTCTGGTCGTCCTCGTACGTGACGAACAACTTGCGGTTGCCGGCCGGGTTGAAGAGGAAGGGCGCTGCGCGGCGGCGAGGACGAAAGTGAGCGCACCGCTCCTTCTCGCGACAAAACGATCGAGACGGGGCGACAGGGAGGAAGAGGGCGACGTACTTTGCGTGCACTCGTCGAAGTAGCGCGTGTACCCACTCGCGCCCGTCTTGAGGTCCTTGCTGAGCAGCTTCTGGCTCACGAGCTCCTTGGTCGACCACCCGAGGTTGTCGGGTTGGCCGGCTGCGGCGAGGGCCTGGAAAGCGGTCGTCGAGGCGCCGTTGTAGCGCGTCGTCGTGAGGTACGTCTTGGCCGTCTTCCACCGCTGGGAATAGGAAGGGACGCCCTGCAGGGGAGAGAAAAGGACGACGAGGAGGGCGAGTCAGGAAGGTCGAGTTCGAGGGGAAGAGGAGCGAGCGGCGTACGAGGACGATCTGGCACGCCGGGAAGCCCTGCGCGATCACGAAGAGTCAGTGTCTGTCGACAGCGAGGCGAGAGGGGAAGGCGAGGACGCACTGCTGCGACCCAACGCTTGACCGTGGCGTCGATCGAGTCGGACCCGGCGTCGCACGTGTACAGTGGCGAGTTGGCGCCCGTAGTACTCGACCAAGCTCCGTAGTAGTCGTAGGTCATGAGCTGGATCCAGTCGAAGTGGGCGGCGAACTTGGACACGTCGCTCAGGATGGTGGCGCTCGGGCCCGTGATGCCGGCGGCGGGCACGGCGGCCGAGATGTACAGGTCGGTGCCGAGCGTCGAGCGGAGCTTGGCGAGGAAGGTGAGGTAGTTGGCCGAGTCGGACGGCGAAACGATGTTGTTGCCGGCGCCTTGACGGCCGACTGCGAGCGTTCGAGCGAGTCAGTCTGTGACCGAGGAAGGGGGCGAGGAGGGCTCGACGCACTGAATTCCCAGTCGAGGTCGACGCCCTTGAAGCCATACACGCGCATCCACGTCTTGATCGTGTTGGCGAACGCGGCCCGCTTTTTCGACGTCGAGACGAGGTCCGAGAAGTAGACCGAGCCGCTCCAGCCGCCGATCGTGAGCATCGGGATCTTGCCGGCTGCGACGAGATCAACATCAGTACGCCGTCGCAAAGCTTCGAGGCAGAGCGAAGAGCCCGGACGAACCGGCGACTGCTGCGGCCGAGAAGGTCTTCATGCTTGCGGCCGTCGTGCCCGGGGCTAGGCCGATCCCGCCCTCGGTCGTGAGTGCACCTAGACGTAGAAAGAGTCAGTCCCTGCATTCGTGAGACCGAGAAAGAGAGAGGACGGCGCAGTGGACGCACAAAACCAGAACGCGACGTCGAGCTGCGACCAGTCGACCGCCTCGACTGCGCCGCTGGTCCACGCCGGGACTTACGCCGCCATGAGCGGGCCTTTCGAGGTGATGGCCGGGCACTTGGCCGCACGAGGCTGCAGGTGCGACGAGGGCGAGGTGCGCCGGGCGAGGTCGAGATGGGGGGAGGAGCCGAGGGGGCCGTGCGAGGCGAAAGCGAGGGAGGCGAGGCTGAGGGTGCCGGCGAGGAGCGAGAGGAGGTGCATGCTGACTAGCTCGCGGCGGGTCGGCGTAGTGGTGCGGCTGTTGTCGAGCGAGTCGAGCGAGGTCGAGGCGGGAGGTTGTGGGAGGCCAGGCAATGGCGCGAACGGCGAGACGGGGTGCGCGTCGGCTGAGAACGAGCCACTGTGGTGAGGAGGCTGGTGGGCTTGTGTCGGTACGCGTCGAGAGGTGGAGAGGCGAAGAGACGAGAGGAGAAAGGGCGGAGGACAAAGCGACGAGGAGCGCGCGCTCGTGCGGCCCGCCGCAGCGGACCTTGGACTGATCGAGACGCGAGCTGACCGGCACCGAGCCCCACCAGACAACCGCGACAAGGCGTCGGTGCGTGCGCGAGCAGAGGTGCGTGCGAGACTCACTCGAAGAGGCTCGCGCGCCTTTCTCGACGATGTTCGAGCCGACTTGCAGGCTGCGCAAACTCTCGGATGGCGCTCAGCAACACTGTGCAGTCCAGCTGCTCTCGTAAAGCAGGAGCGACTCGCCTCGAAGCCGCCGAACCGGATCGCAGCAGCCTCGCTCTCGCGCCTCGACGCAAGCTCGGAACGACGACAAGGACGACTTGGGACTGGCATTGCGGGCTCTGGTGGTGTACAGGTGGGCTCGTGCAGGAGCGCTCTACTGCGTGTTGACCGGCTGGTCGGCCTCTGCGAGAGAGGAGGGGGACCGCGTCATCGCGGGTGGGGGGAGCGTCAGCTTGCGAGGCCTCGATGAGGGCGAGGCGGGAGGGCAGAGGGACAGAGGGACAGAGGGCAGACGGACCGATGTACTTGACGCCCGGGTGCTGCAGTCGCACAGACGGGTCAGCGCCGTGCTCGGGGAGGTAGAGAGGAGCGGGGGAGGGGGAGGAGGGGACGCACCTGCTCGAGCTCCGACTTGAGGTCCTCCGAGAACGAGCCGGCGAATCCACGCATGACCTTCGAGTCGTAGCGGTGCTTGATGCTGCCGCCCGAGCCCTCGACCTTGCTCGCGAGGTCGTTGATCGCGTTCGTGGACGCGTGCTCGCCCTCCGACTCGGGCTTGAACACGACAATGTAGCTGTTCGACATGGTGCTGAGGCGGTGTGTGGAGAGTCGAGTCGTGTGGCGAATGTGGCGAGAGAGGAGCGTGGTGGGCGACAGTTGGCAAGGAGGGAGAGAGGCGAACGGGCCGAGGTGGGGAGGTCGACGCTCGAGTTGAGCGACGTTGCAGGGCCGCTCTCGTTTGGCTTAGAACGGCATGCTCGTCGATGCAGTACAGTCGCTCGTCTACAGAACAAAGACCGACGGCCGCAGAGAACCCTCGCTCGCTCCCCGGCTCGACTCGCTCGTTCACGGTCTGCAGGGGCGCGCAAGGCGCACTAGTTTGTCGCTTGTGCGCCTAGAGGGGTTGACTATGATCTGCGACAGCCTGAGCAGTCGTCTGCAGGGACGGTAAGACCTGGTCGTCGTCGTACGCCGCGGAGAGTCCGGTCCAGTGAGCGAACAAGCGTCATGGGCTGTCCCGAGCCGGACGAGGGGAAGAGAAGAGAGGGAGAGACGCACTTGTGCACATCGAGAGGAGTCCTTGCGGGACGAGAAGCTCGGTCGAGGCCGGTCTCGAGTTGGCGGGCGGGCGAGAGTCGAGGAGCGATAGGACCCTTGACGCTTGACGGGTCGCGCTTTGACGCAACTGCCCGAGCACGGGTTGCTGCGCGAGCACAAGAGAGCTCTTGCGCGTCTTGACGCCCGACGCGAACGTAGAGCAGTTGTACAGGGCTTGCGCTGGCCGCGCCGAGGACGACGAGGTCGTGCAGGGACGAGGCGGGCTGGCGGGAGCTCGTCGCACGGCGGGGCGGGGCAGGGACACTGAACTGCCGCGACTGAGGACGATGAATGTGCAGCAGCATGCCGCCATGCAGGCGGAGAGAGGTTGCCGTGAACAGGGGAGGAGCCGAGGCGAGCCGAGGCGACTGCGCTCTGCTCGGGCGCGAGCGGTTCACGAGGCCGGCTGCGCAGCTGTTGCGACGCCAGGCGCTCGAGCGGTCCAGCAAGTGTCCGCGAGCAATGGTGGAAGAGGAGGACAAGGAGTGCGCCAGCCGACGACAGCGGATCTCCGAGGCGTCTCTGAGGAAATCGCTTTGCAGCAGTTCTGGATCCACGACTACTTTGCAGCTGCGCTCGTACCCCCCAGAGTCCTGCAAGAGCGGAAGAAAGCGAGCGCCGGTGTGGTGGCCGTGAGCCCGAACTTGCGCTTGCTTCCTGTGCCGCCTCGCATCCTCCCGCCGACCGAGTGCACGCGCCGCAGCTCGCCCGCGCACCACCTCGACCACCGCCGCCCTGTCCGCCGTCGTCGTCTCGCCACTCATGGCGGGCGCAGCGGGAGCAGTCGCCGCGAGCGCAGGCTGGCTCGACTCGGCCCCGCTCCGCGACTACTGGACCGCGCTTGCGGCAGTCCTGGCCCTCTGTCTGCTCGGTGAGTCCCCCATCTCTCTCGTCGGAGCCTGCCCGGGGCGCGTGACGGCGGTGGAGCGGTCTCGTCGAGCGCGGGGGAGGCGTGCGACTCGAGGCCGGCTCGATGCAGTCGTGTACCCCACCGGCAGAGCTGTGCGCTCGCCGTGGGCGAGCAATGCGAGCTACTCGTCGGCTGGACGCAGCAGCGGTGCAGCGAGGGTCCTCGGCGACTTAGCGCACCTCGCTCCCCATCTGGTCGCAGGGCACTAACGTTCTCTCGCCGACGCACTCGCGCGTGCGTCCTGCCACGCAGCCTACCTGACCAACCCGACACCGGCGTCCTTCTCCACCCACGTCACGTCCCTGTGCTTCCACGCCCACATCCGCCGCTGCGACCAACTCCCGCTCCACGCCGACTCGCACGGCAAGCAGGCGGCGACGACCCGTGCAGGCGGCACCGCGACCACCAACGGCACCTCGACAACCAGCGCTCACCCCAACGGCAAGGACCCGTCGAACCCGCCAGCGTCGGCGGCGACACACGGCAGGCGCAAGGGCCAAGCCGTAGTCGCCGTCGACCCTCGCGCTGCCGCCAAGCGCGCCGTCCCCGACCGCCACGTCCTGTCGTTCTCGAACCGCATCAACCTGTCGATCAAGACGCACACGTACAGCTACACGTCGTACCACCTGTTCAGCACCGTCTTCGTCCCCTCGACGCGTCCACCGCCCGCGTCGGCCGGCCTGCGCAAGCAGCAGCGCCGGCACCCCGAGCTGAGCGCGCTCCTCGGCCTCGGCGGCGAGCTGTGGCTCGGCCTGTTCGGCAACTGGTACGCGCTGCGGTGGTGGGCCGGGTCCGAGGGCGAGGACGGCGAGCGCAAGGGCCGGCTCGAGACGGGCGTGCGCGAGATGAGCATCGAGGACGACGAGCGCGGTGCGTCCTCATATCCCTCCTCTGCCCCGTCGATGAGCCCGTGTACTGACTCGCCACGCCCGCAGATGCCGACTTCCCGACCTCCTCGGCCAACCCTTCGACTGCCGCATCCGCCTCTGGCGCCTCGACTCCCGCCTCGCATCCCCTGTCGCACAACCCTTCCAGCTCTATCGACCACCGTGTATCCGTACCCCTCTCCTCCACCGTCGACCCGACCTCGCCGCCGTCCCCAACCAAAACCTCGCCCGCCGCCGCCCGTCTCTCGAAGCGCGTCTTCCGCGCCGGCCAACGACGCTCGAGCCCGACGAGCCTCACGCGCCTCAAGACCAAGGCCGAGCACGCCGCTCGCGAGGCGGCCGAGGCCGAGCGCGCCGCGACCGACGACGCCGCGTCGACCACCAAGGGCGCGGCGGGCAGCTCGCTCGGCGCCGGCTTGGGCGACGCCGCCGGCAACGGCCTGTGCGGCGCCCCGGCGACGGACCCGATCGTCGTCGAGCTCCAGGCGCAGCTCGACGAGCTGCGCGCGTCGGCCGTCGAGTCGGAGAAGCGCCTCCAGGACGAGCTCGAGGTGCTGCGCGGCAAGAAGCGCGACGAGGACGCGTTCCGAGCCGAGCTCAAGGCCAAGACGAAGCAGCTCGAGGAGGCCAAGCGGGCCGCCGAGGCGTCGCGCGTCGAGGCCGAGAAGGAGCTGTCGGAGCGCAAGGGCGTCGTCAAGGAGGCGCAGGGGCGCGTCGACAAGCTGCGCGACGAGATCCGCGCGCTCGAGCGCAAGGGCCTCGAGGCGATCGAGCGCAAGGAGAAGAAGAAGCGCGAGCGCAAGGAGCGCGAGAAGAAGTTGCGGGACGACGTGGCCAAGAAGCGCGACGAGCTGAGGGAGAAGGAGGAGGGCCTCGCCGACGTCATGCGCAAGGTCGGCGAGATGGAGCGCAAGCTCGAGGTGCGACGTGCGCTCCTCGCCGGCCGGCGCGCCGAGCTCGCCCAGTACGCCGTGTCGGGCATGCGCGGCGGCGGCATCGGCGTTGCTCCCGGCGGCGCCATGTACGGCATGGCCCCGCCGCACCTCCTCCCGGCCACGGCGACGCTCGGCGGCGTCGGCGCCATGGCCAACGCGTTCGCGGCCCCGTTCGGCCAGGGCGGGTACGGCCGGCGCAACTACCCTTACGTCCACCCGCTCTCGGCCAACAACTCGCGCCCGACGAGCATCCGCTCGGGCCACTTTGACCCGCACACGGGCGCGTTCCAGTCGGCCCCGTCGTCGCCCACCATGTCGCACCCTGTGTCGCCTCACGACGACCCGTCGCCGTACGCCGCCCACCACTCGAACGGCGCGTCGGACCCGACCGGCGGGTGGCCGACCTCGTTCCCGAGCGCCGCCAACGGCGGCTCGCACGCCCTGCCCCAGTCGGGCGCCGCCGGCGCAGGTCACGCGGCCGGCTTCCTCGAGCACCGCATGCAGCACCGCGCCGCGCACGGCGACGAGGTGCTCCCGGCCCACTTCCTGCCGTTCGACTTTGACGGCCTCGGGCCCGCCGCCGACGCCGACAACGAGCCGTCGCCTCAGCACCGCACGACACGCGCCGGGTCGCTCTCGAACGAGGCCGGCCTCGACGACCACTCGCCGGGCGGGACCGCGGTCGGCAAGCCTCGCACGCTCGCGCTCCCGATGCAGTACCTCGACTCGGGCCTGCTCGCCGGCACCGACTCGCCCGGGCTCATGGACGGCCCGTTGAGCCCGATGACGCCGCACCAGACGAGCCTCATCCCGAGCCAGCTGTTCCACCTCCTCGACGAGGACGAGGACGACGACGGCCTGTTTGTCGTTCCCGACTCGCCGACGCTCCGAGCCGGCGTCGGCATGGGCCTCAAGGGCGTCGCCGACTGGCAAGGACTCGGTCTCGATGCGGGCGCGCTCGGCGGCGGGCGGCGGGCGAGCGAGGAGGTCAAGCGCGAGGAGCCGGCGCCGGCGGTCGAGGACGCAGGCGACGAGCAGGCGGCCGACAAGGAGGCGCCGGTTGAGCGTCAGCGCTCCCCGCCCGTCCTCTCGCCTCGCGTCGAGGCGTTCGTCAACGCTGAGATGGCCTCGACGACGACGTCGCCGATCGGCCCGCCGCCGTCGTCGCCGTTCTCGCCCTGGGCGGCCGACCCCATCGGCCCTCCCTCGGCGACGCCCTCGCCCGCCATGACGCCCGCCACGATCGGGTTCGACCTGTCGGCGCTCAAGGGCATGTCGGCCGCGCCCGGGAGCGGCGGCGCGCACGCGCTGCACCGCGTGTCGCCGTCGCAGGACCTCGACGACGACCTGCCTCGCGCCGGCCTGTCGCTCAACCCGGGCGCCAAGGCGTTCGCGTTCCCGTTCGCGCAATCGCACACGCGCACGTCGTCGGTCCCGTCGCCGCCGGCGTCCATGGCGGCGGCTGTGCGCGCAACCCGCTCCGGCACCATGTCGTCGTTCCCGGGCTCGGGCGACGGGCGCTCGGCGTCGACGACGACGGTCCCGTCGCCCATCGCCGCCGCACCCGCCATCCCTGCGCCCGTCGGCAGCGGCCTCGCCCTCTCGCCGCCGGCCAAGTCGCGCATGGAATTCGCCCGCGTCGTCTCGGACCCGGCCGTCACCTCGACCTCGTCCTCGGTCTCGGCTGCCGGCATCGCCGCGCCGCTCTCGGCCCGCCTGTCGCCCGGGTTCGACTGGCCCTCGGTCGCGTCGGGCTCGCCCGTCTTTGCGGCGCCACAGGCCCCGGGCGCATCCCTCGTCGGCGGCGACAAGGTCCCGACGCCGACCTCGGCCACGTCGGCCGCTCCCGGCTCGGCGCTCTTCAACCCGTTCGACGAGGAGGACGAGCTGCTCGGCCCGCTCAGGAAGTGAGCGGCGCCGCCGTCGGGGTGCGGGCGATGGGCAGGCCGCATGTCAAAAAAGAGTGCGGCCAGCGAGGCGGTGTTGTAGTCGTTGTCGAAGCGGGTTCGCTGTCGAAACGAGGCCTTCTTTATCTCGCTCTCTCTCTCTATCGCAGGGAGCTCGAGAGCTAGAGAGGCGCGGGCGAGAGCAGTCGAGGAAAGGCCTCGCGAGTTGACCTTCTCAAACGACGCCCGCCCCTCTCGAGCTGGCTGTGCGCGTTCTGCCCGAGCACGAACCCCTGCAGCTGCAGCTCTCGTGATGCGCTCTCAAAGTGCTTCTCTTGAGCCGAGCGCTCGCTTTGCTCACAGGCGTTGGTGAGGATGCGGCGCTCGAGACAGGTGGTCCAGCATCGGCTCGTTGCAGCTCCTCCTCACTGCCGCCGGGGCTTCTACGTCCCTCTCGACGCTCGACGGTCCCGCCCACCTCGCCTTGCCACTGCGTCGGGCCGTCCCGCCTCTGCCGTCGAGCGCACTGACCCTCCCCCTGCCGCCGGACCGTCCTCCTCGGCTGCGCTCAGTTAAAGGCCCTCGTGGCTCCTGCCTCTCGCCGAGGCAGAAGACGAGCGAGCGCGTCGTGCCCGACGGCCGAAGTCGTACCGCTGCCGAGTCGCCGGATCGTGCCAGACTGGGCGAGGAGGTTTGGCGGTCGGCGAGGGTGGAGCGGTGGCCGTGGCGATGTCGAGGACGGCGCTCTGCCACACTCGAGAGGAGCTGAGCAGCTCGAGATGCGCGGCAGGCGGCGTGGCGAGGAGCGCGAGCTCGACTCGTGCTCTCGACGCCGCTCGCCGCACCTCGCCTCACTTGCACCTCGTCCAACGTCTCGCCGCGCCCGAGAGTATCATCTCGACACTCTTGCGCCCCTCACCCGCTCAGACCCCCGCCGCGAGCGTCTTCTCGAGCGGCGGCAGCCTGCCCTCGACGCCGTCCTCGATCATCTTGCGCGCCTCGACAAACTCGTCGCCGGGCTCGAGCGCGCACATGTCGCGGCCGTACTGGGCGCCGAACAGGTCGACGGCGCGTGGGACGACGTCGCGCACGCGGATCGGCGCGTCGGCGTCGCGTCGGCGCGGGCCAGCTTGCCGAGCTGGCGCAGCTCGTGCTCGACGTTGGTGCTCGTCACGTCGCGAGGCCGCACGCGACAATGTGGTCGAACCAGGCCTTGGTCTGCTGCTCGACGTTGAGGCTGAAGCCGTGGAGCGAGATGCGGCGGCGGATGTGGATCCCGATCGAGCCGACCTTGGTCGTGGGCGAGGTAAAGACGCCCGTGTGCTCGAGCGGGTAGACGGGGACCGAGAGGGACGACGTGAGGGCCGAGAGGAAGCGCTCGAGGCGGTCGACGTAGCACCGGGTCGAGAGCTGCGCGCACAGGGAGAGAGAGAGGTCAATCCGCGCGCGAGAGGAGGTGACAGGGAGAGGGAGAAGGGGAGTGCGGGACGGACCTGAGCTGCGCCGAGGTCCATGAGCGAGTAACCGACGAGTTGACCGGGCCCGTGGTAGGTCGTCTGGCCGCCGCGCATGGCGTGGACGTAGTCGGCGCCGACAGCTCGCAGGCGAGCGCCCTCGGCCTCGAGCTGGCTCGGGTCTTTCTCCCTGCGACCGGCGGTGTAGACGGGCGTGTGCTGGAGGAGGAGGAGGAGGTCGGTGTGGGCGACGCGGCGCAGGGACGCGAGGCGGTCCGAGTGCGAGGGAGAGGGCGAGGGCGAGGTCGAAGCGGCGTCGGTGTCGGTGGCGGCGAGGGTGGCTTTGGCCGAGAGGCGGGCTTGTACGAGGGACTCTTGGAGGAGCAAGGCGCGGTCGTACGGGATGTGGGCGGGGAGGAACGTCCACCGGATTGGCGAGCGAGTGATGAGCGACGACGACGACGAGCACGACGCGGCCGTGCGGCGGGCGAGGCTGGCGAGCATGGTGGGTGGCAGGCGGTGCTGCACAGGATCTCAGCAATGCTCGAGTGGCTGTTGTGGCTGCGAGAGATGGGACTCGCCGTCGTCCTCCTGAGCTCGACACTCTGTCCAGCTCTCGCTCTCGACCACTCGGCTAGGCAGAGCTGCACAGCGACCTGCACATGCCGCCAGCTCACCCTCTATCCACTGCGCCCGTCACCAAGCGCATCCACGTCGGCAACCTCGCGCCCTCGGTCCAGCCAAAGGACCTCGTCCAGCGCTTCGCCTCGTTCGGCACCGTCGTCGGCGGCGAGCAGGGCGTCTCTGGCCTCGGCAAGACCGACACTGGTCCGCCCTGCCTCCCTCCTGGCACCCGTCCCTCGACCCCGAGCTGAACTCCCCTCCCTCCTCCTCCTCGTCCCACAGGCCTCCCTCGCACTTTCGCCTTCTTCTCGATCGAGACCACCGAGGCCCAGTTCGCTCGGTGTGCGTCCCCTTGCTCTCTGCCTCTCTGTACGACCCGCACTGACTCTTGTCCCGCCCCGCAGGCATGTCCATGCTCAACGGATCCATGTGGAAGGCGCACAAGCTCCGCATCGGTCCCGCAAAGCCCGACTGGCAGCAGCGGTCCGTCCTCGTCTCCCTGAGCCTCCCCTCTGCGAGCCCTCACTGAGGCTCGCCCCCGAAACAGCCGCGCCGAGGAGCGCGACGAGGCGGCCAAGGCGGCAGAGCAGCCGGCGGCGCGCCCCAAGAAGCGCAAGCGCCCGTCGGGCGACGTCAACGTCGGGTTCGCCGCCAAGAACTTTGAGCTCGTCACGCCCGACAACCTCGAGCGCCACCGTGTGCGTCCTCTTGCGCCCTTTTCGACCCGTACCTTCGTCCCTGACCCTCTCTTCTCCCTTCCTCTCTCGCGCAGGGCTGGATCCTCGACCCGAAACCCGCACCCGCACCCCTGTTCCCCGTCATCATCCGCCCCTCGCACCCGGTCCAGCAACCGCCCAAGCCCGCCGCGACGGCGTGGACTCGCGGCACGGCCAAGGCCAAGCCGTCCAAGGCGGCACGCGAGGCCCTGCGCTCGGGTGTCCCGCTCGAAAAGCCCGCGCTGCACCGCGCCAAGCGCATGCGCATCGACCCGAGGAGGTGGGGCCGCCAGCGCGTCTTGTTCGACCTCGCCTCGGGCGGGACCAAGGCCGACGCCGGGTCGGCGGCGAGCATGCTCCGCGTCGGTCAGTGGGAGTGCGAGGGCCCCGTCGAGGCGGACGAGCAGAACGGCGAGGCCGCCGTCACGTGGGTGTTCAAGACGCGCGACGGCCAGGTGCGCAGGCGCGAGACGGTGCGCCTCACGCAGCGCAGCGCGCCCCACTCGGACAACTTTACGGCGCTCCTCGAGCGCATGAACCGCGCCGTTGCGCCCGCCGCCGCTGCAGCCGCCGCCGTCGAGCCCGCCGCGACCGTTGATGCGGCCGCAGCGCCGTCGTCGTCGTCCGCAGCGCCCGTCCGGGGCGACGCCGCGTACCGCTCGCCGTCGCCGCCGCCGTACGTGCCCGCCGCGCCGCGCACCCTCATGTACAACGAGGAGGACGCGTTCGCGCTCATGGCGAGCGCGCTCGACGACGACGAGCGCGACGCCGTGCACCAGATGGAGCGCCAGGCGTACCGCGAGCTCGCGCTCGGCGCGCTCGAGGAGCTCGGCGCGGTCGACGAGGTGGAGGAGGAGCCGGTGGAGCAGGTCCAGGAGACGGCGCGCCCGCTGCCCAAGGTCGAGGGCTTCGCGCAGGACGACGACGAGGACGACGACGAGCTGTTCGAGACGCTGCGGCTGCGGGGCGGCGGTGGCGTCGAGTCGAGCGACGACAGCGACTCGTCGTCGTCCGACTCGGACTCGGACTCGTCGAGCGACAGCGACGACGACGACTCGTCCAACACGGTCAAGCAGGCCACGTCATCCGAGGAGCCCGTCCCGGCCGCCAAGTCGTCGCTCAAGGAGAAGCTCACGACCCTGTTCAAGCCGTCGGGCGCGACCGCCACCGCCGAGGCCGACGGCGCCGCGGGCTTCTCGCTCTTCTCGGGCATGGACCTCGACCTCGACCCGGACGCGGCGCGCACACCCTCGCCCGAGCCCGAGCCGCTCGACCTCGCCTCGGCCGCCGCGCCGCACGCGCTCCACCCGCAGCCGCACCAGGTCGACGGCCGCAGGTTCGTGCCCCCGACGGCGCGCGACGGCGGGTACCGCGGCGGCGCGTCGCAGCCGCGCTTTTCGGGCCCAAGCCGGCCCTTCTTTGCGTTCCCAAGCGGCGCGTTCGACGGCGCCGTCGACGTCGAGAAGATGCTGGGCGAGGGTGCGGCCGGCATCGTCGAGCGGGCGGCGGGCGAGAGCAGGGCGCGGGTCGAGGGCGCGTCGAAGGACTTTTACCGGCGCGAGACGCAGTGCGTCTCCCTTTCTCTCTTCCTCTCTCTCTCCTTCTCTCTGCGTCATCACTCAGTACTGACATCTCATCTCTATCCCCTCGTCCACAGGGAGCAGATCGATGCCGAGCACCAGCAGCTGCGCGAGCTCCTGCGCGGTCACGCCCGCAAGCGCCACCGCGAGGCCGTCAAGCGCACCAAGAAGGGCGCGCAGAAGCGCGGCCAGGCCGTCAAGCTCGACGTGCTCGACGATGAGTGAGCGAGGGGAGCTTGCTCTGCCAGGGCGGGAGAAGGGACGAGCGAGTTTGAGAAGGCGGACTTGCAGTAGAGGCTCGAGCGCAGGGTGCAACGCGAGCATCCTCTCGTCTCTCATGTTCTGCGGCCGTCTTGCAACTCGCTCGTGCTCGTGCTGCCGATCTGAGGCGCGGAGAGCACGCACTCGCCGGCGACGTCGCGCTCGAGCCCAGCCTCGTCTGGCTCTCGTTCACCTTCGACCAGTTCTCGAGCGGTTCTCTCCGCTTCGCCTCGGCCGCCTGCCGCCGCAAACTCTCGAGCACACACCTTCGAGCGTGTGGGCGTGTGCAAAGATCGGCTGCGTTGCGACGTGCGTGCGAGAGGTAGAGAACCGGGGACAGCTAGGCAGAGGCGAGAGGGAGAAGCAAGAAGGACGAGGTGCGACAGGAGGAGGGCGATACGAGGAGGACGTAGGTAGGGTGTGCAAGAGGGGTAATGGCTAGGAAGACGGCAAAGAGTGCGAGAGAGGGAAAGCTAAGCGTCGACGGCCGTCCACCACCCGTCCTCGCCGTCCTGTACGACCGAATGGCCCGACACGCTCGGCGTCGGCGAGAACTCGGTGTGCGCGACCGTCTCGTCCGACTCGTCGCTGTTGCCCGTGTGCTGCTCGACGAGGGCGAGGCCGCTGTCGAGCGACGGAGGAGACGGCGGCGTCGGGTACAGGCGCGGGCCGACGACCTGGCGAGGCGTCGGCGGCGCGTCCTCGTCGCCCTTGTACGCCGCGCGCACGAGGCGATCGTTCTCCTCGGCGAGGCGGTCGCGCTCGGTCGTGAGCTGGGCGATGCGCAGCGCCGCCTCGTCGTGCTCGCTCTTGACGGCGACCTGGAGCGACTCGAGCGACTTCTGGATGGACGCGAGCTGCACGCGGTACGCCGTGTTGGCCTCGTCGAGCGCGTTGACCTGAGCGTCGGCCGACGACGAGGCCGCCTCGAGCTCCGCGACTCGGGCTCGAGCGGCGGCGAGCGAGGCGGCTTTGTTCGAGTTGCGCTGGTTGGCGACGGCGAGCGACTGCTGCTGGACCATCTTGGCGCGCTGCAAGGCGTCGACTCGAGCATCCTGCAGGAATTCGAGCGCGTGAGACTCGGCGGCGAGAAGGAGGAAGAGTGGGAGATGACGCACCTGCGCGGCGACCCTCTTCTCCAAACCCGCCACCTCGCCCTGCGACCTCGCGAGCGCCTCTCGCGCAGCCTCCTTCTCGCCCTCGACCCGCTTGAGCGCCATCTCCTGCGCCTCGAGCCGAGCGTGAAGCTTGCCGAGCTCGGCGGCGTGCCGCGCTCGGTCCTCCTCGAGCCGGTCCTGGAACGCCGCCTTCTCGCTGCGAGCTTTGCCGTGCTCGTTGCGCGCCTTGGCGAGCCTGTTGACAGAGGAGCAGAGAGTCAGTGAGTGCCGAGACGGCGGACAAGAGAGAGAGAGAGACGGCTCACTGGATGCCGAGGTCGGAGAAGCGCGCCTTGTCGGCAGACGTCGACGACGGCCCGACCGCCTTGAGGATCTGCTCGACGACTCGCTCGACTTGGTCGCCTGTCGCCGATGTCGCTGACGGTGATTCTCGCACCTTGAGCGCCTCGACGAGCTGCTCTTGACCCGCCTTGACCGCCTGGAGCGCCGCCTGGAGGAAGTCGAGGTGCGACGGGACGGCGAGGCCCGCCTCGGTCTGCTCAAGCTGGGCGTCCAAGTCCTTGCGAGCGCCCGAGCGAGTGATGCGCGTCTCGAGGGCCGTGACGATCGCGTCGACGAGGCCCTGGTCGATCGAGTCGCCGTTGACCTTCCCAAATGCGACGGGCTCGGCGACCGTGACCTGGGACGACGACGTGGACGGCGCGACGCGCTCGACGAGGTCGGCGAGGTGCGGCTGCATCGCCGACGCGACGCTGGCGGCGAGAACGGCCGGGTCGAGCGGTGCGTGCACGAGCGGCTGGACAATGCGCTCGAGGTCGTCGAGGAAAGCCGAGTAGGCGAGGGCGGGACCGCCGACGTCGACGAGGCCGGGCGTGCTCGGGCGCAGGGGAGGTGCCGAGAGGGAGCGGTTGGCGTCGAGGAGGGTCGGGCGACGAGGGCGACCGGACGGCTCGGCGTTCTCGACGCGCTCCAGGGCAGTGGCGGCGAGCTGCTCGATGCGCTTGTGCGCCTCGTCGAGCCTGCGATCGGCCTCGAACGCGCCGACTCGACTGGAACCCTGCGCGACGAGGACCGCCTCGAGGCGGGAGGTGACCGAGTCGACGAGGCGGTCGAGGTCGGGTCGAGTCTGCTCGCGCGCCGCCACGAGCTCGGTCTTGAGCTCGTCGAAGTGGCTCGAGATGAGGTCTTCGAGGATGCGCAGCGGCAGGTCGTCGTCCTCCTCGTCGGCGACGACGCTCGATGATGAGCCGTTGAAGACGAGGGAGCTCGCCGGCGAGTCGGGGCCGCCGAACGTGCCGTCGAAGATGTCGCTCGCCTGTGTGCAATAGTCTGTCAGAGACTGAATCGGTAGAGGGAAGGAAAGGGATCGAGAGAGGGCGGCAGAGCGCACCTTGAGCCGAGCCGCACCGAGAGGGATCGCCTTGCTCTTGGCGCGCAACGACGACGGCAGCGCGATGTCGACACTGTCCTCTCTCGCCGCCCGAGGATCGCCCATTCTCGCCGGGCTGACCTGCGCCTCGGGCGCTACTGCGCTGGCGCCGGGCGATGGCCCGCCGCGGCGGAAGCCAAGGACGCGGCCGTCGGCCGACAGGCTCGGCGCCGCCCGCAGCGAGAACGGCCTCGAGGTCGACGCGTCTCGTGCGACAGGACGCTTGGCGCCGATTGGACGCGCCGGGGCGTACTGCTCGGGGAGCGGGTCGTCGACCGACAGCGACGACATGAAGCTCCTGCTGCCCGAGTCCTCCTGGTCCTCCGCCTCGTCGCCCTCTTCCCTCAGGATCTCGACATCGCCGGCATCGCGCTCGAGGCTCGGGTCGTCGTACTCGAACGCGGACGGCGGGTCCGGGAGCGGCCGACGCGGCTGCGGATGCGCGAGCAACGGCGTCGACACGAGGTGCTGCGACGACGAGGGCTCGATCGCCGGCAGCCAGTCGCCGTCGTCGCCCTTGCGGCGCTTGAGGGCGGAGGAGTGCGGCGTGACGGTCGTGAGGGGGATGGGCGGGAGCGGGCCGCGCGAGCCGCTGACGTGGCGCGTCGGGGCAGGCAGCGGCGGCATCGACGCGCTCGAGGGCAGGATAGGTGCGTCGGCAGGAGGGAGGAAGTCGAACGACGAGGCACTCGAAATGCCGAACGAGGTGGGGAGGCCGGTCGGCAGCGACGGCTGAAAGTCGGCGGCCGTCGCCTTGAGCGCCGGGCGGGTGGACGACGTCGACGACGTGGACGTCCTGGACGCGCCGTCAGTCGCAGGACGGTCGCCGTGCGGCACAGGCGGCGTCTCAGGGAGCGCGCTCGGCGAGACGGCGAGCGAGCCCGGCTCGCCGAAAGGCCCGAACGCGATTTCGACGGACGACGACGACGACGGCGCCGCGCTCTTGCGCCGGCGGAAAGACAAGCCACCGACGCTGTGTGGCGCCGAGTCGACAAAGTCGAACGAGCCGAGCTGCGGGCTCGCCTGCGCCGAGCTGGCCGGCGAGCTGTCGGGGAGGGCGACCTCGGCGGCTTGGCGGCGGACCTTGCCGGGCGAGTCGCTCGACGATCGAGGCGGAAAGGCGAACGCGAGGTTGACCTTGTGCTGCGGCGGCTTGACGCTCGAGTCCTCGTGGTCGGTGCGGTCGACTTCGGTCGGCGCCTGGAAGAGCGGGCTCGGTGGTGGCCGGAGCGCGAGCATGGCGAGCGGCTTGTCGTCCTCGTCGTCGGTCGTCGATGCGGTCGACGGGTGCTGGCGGGTAGGTCGGGCGCGACGAGCGGCGCGCTCGTCAGCTGCGCCGGCGTCCGAGAGCTTGCCGTACTCGCTCGCCGAGAGCTCGCCGTCGCCGTCCTGCGAGTTGTCCGACGCGCCGATCTCGACGGCGGCAGGCTCGCTGGCGGTGCGCGCTGCGACGGGACGAGGCGCCTCGTCTGGCTCGTGCGCGTCGAGCGACCCGAGGTCGGTGAGGGCGCGGCTCAGCTCGTGGCTGAGCGCCGGCGCATGTCCTCGCCCTGCTCTGCCGCACGAGCTCGTCTTGTCCTCCTCCTCGCTCGCGTTGGTCCAGCTAGGGGCCGAGCCCGACAGGCTCGCGACGCCCGTGTGGTCGGTCCTCGTCGACACGCCGGACGCGCTCCTGGAGCGGGCCGTGCGGCGCCGACCGTCGTGCGTCCGCTCGGCGCCGAGCTCGACGACGTCATGGGCGTCAGGACGCTGTGCGACGTCGCCTTCGAGATCGAGACGCTCGTCGACGTCGACGAGCGCGCCCGAGACGTTCGCCTCGGTCAGGGGCCGAGAAGGGCCGTGCGCAACGAGGCGCTCATCGCCCTGCTCGTCGTGCGGGACGGCGACGACGAGGCGAGCGCGCTCGGGCGAGCTCGACGGGCTGCACGGGAGCGCCGTCGAGGCTGCGGCTCTCAGCCGGGTGGCCGCCGCTGACGGGACGAAGCTGTCCGCCAGCGGCGTCAGCCCGCGAGAGCTCGTCGCGTTGCCGCCGAGCGCGGGTACAGGCGAGGTGGACGTGGATGTCGGCGAGGGCGAGGGGAAGGCGGACGAGCGCATGGTCGCGAGGGGGGTCGTGCGCAGGGTGGCGAGGCTCGTGGGGAGCGAGAGCGAGAGGGTGGGGGCATGCCCGCCGCCGACGCGGCGGACCGAGTCGACGACGGACTGCAGACGCGGCGGGAGGTGGGCGGACGGGCTGGCGAACAGGGAGGCGGTGCGGCCATGCCCGGCGCGGCGAGGGAAGAGGGTGTCGGGCGACGGCGGTGCGGGGGACGACAGGAATGCGGGACGGCGATTGCCCTGCACGCACGTAGAGGAAAATCTCAGTCCACTGCGCTGTGAGAGAAGGTCGAGAGGGAGCGACAGACGCACCTCCTCGAACTGGTCCCACACCTCCTCCCACGCGTCCTTGCCCGGGAGGTACACGTCGATCATCGGCGGCAGCTCCGACTGCTTGACCTCGTCCTCGTGCTGCGGGCGAGAGGCGACGACCGCCCCGCCGTCCACCGCCTCAACCCTCGCCAGGACCTCCCCGCGCTCCTTGGCCGACAGCGGGACCCGGCGCGTTGCGCTCGCTCGCTCCTCGACCCTGCTCACCGTGCCCTCGCCGTCGGCGTCGTCATTGTCGCCCGTCGAGCGCTCGCGCGGGATGCACACGACGACCTTCTTGCGACGCGGCTCGTCCCTCCTCGACGAGGTCGCCGGGCTCGCCGAGGTCGCGCGCGACAGCGTCGGACTGCGCAGCGGGTCGTCACCGACGCGCAGAGCCGAGACGGACACGCTCTCGCGCTTGCCGTGACCGCGAGGGGGAGGTGCCGACGAGGATAAGAAGGAGCGCGGACTGTCGCGGGGGGATGTGGAACGACGGGGCCGAGGCGTGTAGGGTCGTGCGGCGTGGGGTGCCGGACTCGTATGAGTGAGGGTATGGACGAGGTGGCGAGGCGAAAGAGGCGGCTGGCGAGCGGGTAGGCGGTGCCGAGGAGGGGAAGAAGGGCGAGGCGAGGGTCGAAAGCGCGACGGGCGTGAGGGGCGACATGGTCGATGCCATCGAGGCTTGTCGGACGGACGATGCGGGTGCTGCCGCTCCGTGGGTGGACGGGCCCGAGACGCTGCCGTGAGGGAGCGCCTCGGGGCTCAGCATGCCGGCTGCGCCGAACGGGTGGCCGCTGTACGCCGCGGGCGACGCGAACATGGCGCCTCCTGGCGAGCCGAACATGGTGCTGCTGCTGGCCAAGAAGCGCGGCGAGTCGATCTGCTGCTCGAGGGAGGGAGGGAGAAAGAGGCGGGGGTCAGCGGCGGCTCCAGGGGTAGGGGGGCGAGGAAGAGCGACGGCGGCGCACCAGGCGAGGCGGATAGGGCTGCTGCATCGTTGGACCTCGACTGCGCTGCTCCGAGCAGCTCGTGTCGACGAGCGGGTGCTGAGGAAGGCGCGAGGTGTCGAGATGAGGGAACGAAGGCGATGAGCCGGAGAAGGGCGACGGCGAGGCGTGGTGCGGTGGGACAGGGTGTAGCGGCGTGCTGGTAGCTCGCAGGTGACCCTGGTGGCTGTTCCGGGCGGTCGGGAGGCGGTGGGCGAGCGAGGAGGAGGAGGGCGGGCGCGGGGAAGGGGAGCCGGCGGAGAGGAGGAGCGTGCGGCGGCCGACTCGCCTTTCTTGTGCTCGAACACGCCCGTACAGCGCAGGGTCTCAATGGCGAACAGCTTGCTGCACTTGCAAAGAAGCTGCAGCGCGAGCGAGCCGATTTTCAACCTCGCTCGAGGCTCGTGCGCCGGCTGTGGACGGAGGAGCCGCGGCCCTGTCAGAGCGTTGGCCTCGACGACGACGAGAGAGAGGGAGAGAGGGCACGCACAAGAGCGCCACCGACACAAGCTTGACCACTCTCGGAGACACGCGAAGCAGAAATGAGAGAGCTGCGGTCGTTCGCCTTGCAAAGGGGAAGGGGGACAAAGTCTAGAAGAGGGTGGACGAGCGACGACGAGGGGGATATCACGGTCGAGGGGATTGGTGGTTGGGCAAGAGCCGGGTGCGATACAGAGGCAGTCGGGGGATTGAGGGCCGTAGGCGAGCGAGGTACGTGGCGAGGAGGACGGGTCGACGTATGGGTGGGGTGGACGAAAGAGGCGGGTATGAGAGGCAAGGTATGTTCGAAAGTGGGTGGGAGAGGGGTGTGTGGACGTCTGTGCATGAGAGTGGCGGTCTTGTTTGCGAGGCGATGTGCGAGGAGGAAGAAGAGAAGGGCGAGGTACGAGGGCGACGACGACGCGAGGCGCTCAGGACAGGCCGAGGCCGCCAAAGGCGCCGGCGACCTCGTCGACGCTCTCGTGGCGCGGCGCCGTGCTCGCTCGGCTGAACGCCGCGGCGTGCTGGCTCAGGTCGAGGCTCTGCGCCCGACCGGCGAGCGCGCGCAGCTGTCGCCCCGTCGTCGGCGACGTCGACGCCGTCGACAGCTCCTTGAGCTTGTCCTCGACTGACGCCGACTGCGACAGGGACGAGTTGTGCGGGTCGGCCGACGACGAGGACGACGAGGACGCGTTGGGCGCGACCGAAAAGGACGCCGACGCGCCGTGGTGCCGAGGGTGCGACGCCCGGTACTCCTCGTTGCTGAAGCGCGACGTCGGGGCGACGGCTGGAGGAGGAGGAGCCGGGGCCGAGGCGCCGTACGGCTGCGAGGGGACGCCGGCCGGCGGCGCGTACCCGGGCGATGGCGGCGGCGGCGCGTTCGGGTAGCCGTGCTGCTGCTGCATCGCCTGCCTGGGCGGCGGCTGCGGCGGTGCGCCCCAGTGATACTCGCCCTGGTGCGGCGGCATCTGGTGCTGAGGCGGCGGCGGCGCGGCGAACGGGCCGGGCGCGAACGGGTGGTGCTGCGGCATGTGGTGGTGCGGCGGCGGCGGCGGGTGCCCGCCGTACTGGGGCGGCATGCGAGGTACAGGAGGGACCGGGTAGAACGGCGCGTAGGCGCCTGCGCCTATCGGGTCGGCGTGGCCGAGGTCGTTGGGGCCGGACGGGATGGACGGAAGGCGGGGCGCGTGCGACGGGTACGCTGCCGACGAGCCACCCGGCTTGGCGTCGAAGATGGCCTTGATGTTGGGCGACGAGGCGGCGAGGCGCAGCTTGCGGTCCGAGCCCGGGCGAGGGTCGGGCCGCGAGTCGCCGTCACCCATGGCCGTCGTCGACAGGAGCTTGCTGTTGAACGGCGCAAAGACGTCGGCGAACGAGTCGGACCTCGGGCGCAGCGAGCCAGGGTACAGGTTGATCTGCGAGAGGGCACGACAGCGTGTCAGAAAGGCGACGGGCACGCTGGAGCGAGAGGGAGACGAGGGACGCACGTTCCGCTGGACGAGGTACTCTTCAACCAGATCCCGGCTCGTCGCGAGGAAGTCGACGTTGCTGCGGTTCAAGCAGAAGCGGATGATCGTCTCCTCGTTGGCGCCCGAGCGGTCGACCCAGGGCAGGATCGTGATGTTGAGGTCGCGCTTGATCTTCTCGGTGAGGCCGACAAAGTCCTGCGACAGGGCGAGGTTGGCCATCTCGGTCGAGTGCGGCAGGCGGTACTCGCTGCAGGAGGAAGGACGAGGAGAGAGTCAGTGCTCGAGGGCCGGGCAAAGTGGAGGACAGGAAGAGAGGTGGACGCACGCCTCGAACGGGACGTGGTCGAGGAGCATCTGGGCGGCGATGTGGACCTGGCTCTCGGGCCCAAAGATGCTGACGACGTCGCTCGCCGTCTCCTTGCTCGGGAAGCGGACGTGCGAGTTGGTCTTGGCCTCGATGTCGTGGATGAAGATGCTCTTCTCGCCGAGCAAGGTGCGGTGGTACCGCCTCGGGATGGCCACCATCTCGACGATAAAGTCCTTGTCCTTTGGCGCGACGAGCTCCATGACGCTCTGCTTGAGGTGCTCGAGGTTCATGGCGTTCTTGGCCGGCGTGCGCGCGACGACGTTGTCCTCGTTGTCGTTGTACCCGCCGAGCGCGGCAAACTCCTCGGCGTTGGAGAACTTGACGTAGACGCCGTACTTCTTCATGATGCGCTGGATGTTCTTGCCGCCGACGCCGATGATGCGCTTGTGGTACGCCTCGGGGACGTGGAACGAGATCTCGGCGGGCAGCTCCTCCTGGAGCATTGTGAGGCCGTGCAGCGCGCCCGTGTCATTCCCGGCGACGTCGATCAGGAAGTTGTAGTCGTTGAACGTCTCGAACTTGATCTTGACGTTGGCGCTCTTCATAATCTTGTTGAGCTTGCCGTTCTTCTTGCCCGAGATGAACTCGCGGTGCTCGTTGGCGAGCTCGATCTGGAACCGGATCTCGTGGTGGAACGCCTGCAAGGAGAACGCGCCGTAAGTACGAGGTCGGGCAGGAGAAAAAGAGACGCGAGGGCGCACCTTGACAAAGTCGAGCTCGAGGACGAGCTGGACCGCCTGGCGGACCTCGCTCTCGAGGCCGTGGAACTCGAAGCAGTTGCTCTTGAAGACGGCCTCGGCGCCAGACGTGACGCTGATGTGGCGCAGGATGGGCGGGATCTGGGCCGGGTTGATCGTCGGCGGCGGCATGAAGACGTCGAACGACACGGGCAGGAGCCAGAACGAGGCGACGTAGAACTGACACGCCTGCGAGACCGTGATGAGAGGGAGAGTCAGTGTCGAGGACGAGGATGAGTCGGGCAAGGGGGAAGAGAGCGGGAGAGGGGGACGCACGAGGGCCATGACCGAGCGGATCGTGCGCTCGATGTTGACGCGGTGGTCGCCGTACACCGAGATGAGGCTCGCCTGGCTGCCGATCGGCGGAAAGTTGATAAAGGTGCCGTTGTCGCTCATGATCTGCTTGATGTCCTCGAGGCGGTCCGAGAGCATCCAGTCGAGCTTGCGCGGGAGGATGGCCGTGTCGCGCGAGATTATGCACTTGCTCTGCCAGAGAGTAGACTATGTGAGTCAGGGCGTGGCTCATGGGCGACGAGAGAGGGCAGGAGAGGGCGAGAGACGCACCTTGTGGAGCGAGACCTGGAAGAGCATGTCCCTCGCGCGCTGCACGCCGAAGAACTCGCCCGTGATGAAAATGAGGTTCTGCTTGGCGATGAGCGACAGGTTCTTCTGCCCGAGGACGCCCGAGAGCGGCGTCGGGAAGTAGATGTTGGTCGCCGACTCCTCCTGGATCGTCTGGACGACGCAGCGCTTGCGGCCGGCGAGGATCGAGTGCAGCTTGTAGTCGATCTCGCACACCTCGGAGTGAAGGCCGCTCTGCGGGCGCACGACGAGAGAGGTCAGTCACGGCGAGGAACAAAGAGAGAGGGAGAGGAACGAGGGACGGGGACGCACAAGCTCATCGAGGAGGACGAGGAGCCGGACGCGCGCCTGCTCGACGCTCTCGTACGGGCCCGTGATGACGATCTCGACGTTGCGCTCCGTCTCGAGGCCAAAGCCGATCGAGGCCGTCGCCTGGCCGACAATGGCGAGGTGCGCCTTGGTGAGCGAGGCGATCTCGTCGAGCTTGCGGCGCATCTCGGCCTTGACGTTCTCCTTGCCGTCGAGGACCTCGGCGCGCGGGACCTTGACGATCGACTTGCGCTGCAGAGGGGAGAAGAGAGTGAGTCCAGGTCCCTGCATGAGGGCTTCGAGAGAGGGAGGACGGGCGGACGCACCTTGAACGGACTCTCGCGGAGGATGTGGCCCCTCGCCGCCATGACCTGCTGGTACCCGCCGCTCAGGTGCACGTTGTACACGGTCCCGGGCTTTTCCACCTGCGCCGCCCCACCGCTGGCCCCTGCCGCACCCTCGCCCGATCCCGTTGCGCCGCCGCTCCCGCCGAGCATGGGCGAGCTCGGCTCGACGGGCGTGAACGACACGATGCACTGGTGCGCGGCCATCGTCTCGACGCACACGCGCTGCATCGTGTCGTTGAAGTCGATGCTCGAGCGCTTGCCCGCGTCGGCGACGTCGCGCTGGTGCGTGTCGTCCTCGCCGGCGAGCGACGGGCTCGCAGCGCCGTTCGCCTCGCCGGCACTCGTCGGGCTCGTCACGTCGGTCGCGGTGCCCGCCGCACCGTCGCCGCTCTCGGTCGAGGCCGACGCCGAGCGGCTCTTGACGCCGCTGCTCGCGTCGGCGGCGCTCGGCGCGCTCGACGAGCCGGCGGGGACGGCGCCGTCCGACTGGCTCGCCTGGTGGCCAGCCTGCTGGCGGGCTTGCGGCTGGGGCGAGCGCGGGCCGAGATCGAGCGAGAAGGTCTGCGTCGACGAGAGATCGGTCGACGAGGCTGTCGACCTCGGGAGGCAGAAGGACGTCGTGTAGATGTCCATGGTGGATGTGGGTGGTCGACGCTGTGCAGAGCACGTCGACTTGTCGAGGGTTGAACCCGGCCTGGGCGAGGGCGAGCGGTGACGAGCTCGTTGACGAGGTCGAGCGGGAGGCGGCCGCGGTCGGGGGTGGTCGTCGAACGAGGGGGTGCGAGTCGTTACGGCGGGGCGTGTAAGGTAGGAAGGTCGAGTCGAGGACAGGCCGGGTCGATCAAGAGGGTCCTCGAGGCGAGGTGGTGCGGAGGAGAGGGGAGGAGAGGCCTGACGTCGATGAGAACGGCCGGCGACACTGCGAGAGAACAGGGAGGTCAGGCGAGTCTGCAGGTGCAAGCTGCAGGACTACACAGTCGAGTTGGCCGAGTGCGCAACTCACCTCAAGGCTGGCGGAGAGGCCGAGGATCGAGACGAGTTGCAGGTCGGCGAGGAGGACGAGGCGAACGCGGGCGAGGGGCGCGGTGGGTGTGGGTATCGATGCGCGCGCTAGGCCTGCTGGCAGTCGACGCAGCTGTCGCTGGAGCAAGGCGAGCGTGCGAGGTGCGGTCGAGCGAGGCGGATCCTTTTCCGACGACGAGCGACGACCGCTTCTCCACCTCTTGTCACTCTCTCGCTCTCGCCTCGGCTGGGCAGCTGCGGCTCTCGCTTGCTGCACAGGCTTGCACTCCTGCTGCCAGGCCAACCGCGTCGGCCCTCGAGGCCGTACAGCGGCCGCTCTCTCGCTTCTCGTCTTTCTCCGAGTCCTGGGACGCGAGCCTCGCTGCTGCGGCTGCGGCGGTGCACTCGCTGCTGTTCAATCGGGCCAACGTGCTCGTCTGGCGCGGGCGCCACAGTGCCTCGCAGATCCCGGTCCTCGAAGTGTCACCGAGCCCAAGGGTTGGAGGCGCGTCATGCTCGAGGGTGAGCCTCGGCCGCCGCCGCACGAGGAAACCCGACCGTCGGATCGCCTGTTGCGCGCACGCCCAGCGACTGGATCGCCCGACTGACGACGGTGGAACCGGGGCGAGCGCTGTGCGGGGCAAGCCTCTCCTCCCTCTCGCTCCTCCCTTCCGCTCCTTCTTCCCTCTCCCCGCCTCCCCCACACCACCAACCACCTCAACTCTTCATCATGCGCTTCTCGTTCATCGCCATCCTCGCCCTTGCCGCGCCGGCCGTCTTTGCCGTCAGCGTCCAGGACCGCGCCGCCGACCTCGCCGGCCAGGCCCAGGACCAGCTCACGTTCGCCGCCGACCAGGCCGCCGACAGCGTCCGTGGCGCCGCCGCCGCCGTCCAGGACAAGGCGACCGAGGTGTACGACAGCTTTGACGGCCCGTGCCCGAACCTGCTCGTGCGCTGCGTCCGCAAGGACCAGGACGCCAAGATCGTCGGCGACGTGCGTCCTCCTTTCCCTCTCTCGTCTCCTCCTTGCCCGATTATCGAGGACGTTCAGCGACGGTGTGCGTCGACCGGCCACCGTCCAAGTCGCCCGGGCGGCGGAGGACGACGACCGACTTGAGCGCGCGCTGACCTCTTCCCTTCGTCGCCCTCCCGCAGATCGGCGAGAAGGAGTACAAGCACGAGGGCGGTCTCAAGTGTGTCCAGAAGCACTCTAAGCTGAATGCCGCTGAGTGAGTCGTCCCTTCCTCGTCACACGAGCGTCTCGTCGTCTCCAACGTGCCCGCCTCACCAGGCTCCCAACCGGCCACTCGCTCGTAACCCTTCCTGACCTTGTTCTCTCCCTTGCGCAGGTGCAACGCCAAGTACCCGATCGACTGCGCGGCCAAGTGCGACGCCGTCGGCTCGCCCATTTAAGCGGTCCGACCGCGAGACCGTCAGGCTCGACAGTCGTTCAAGGAGCCGCATGGCCCTCGTTCGGCCGCCCGAGTCGAGCCTCATCCACCTTTGATCCCCCTCTGTATGTAGACCCCGAGCAGTGCGTGTAAGCGAGCCGGTGTGACCGCGCAGCGACGACTCTGTCCGGTTGACCGTGAGGAAAGCCAGGAGAGCGACTCCCTCGCCACCGCTAGACGTTTCTCGCAGCTCCCGAGAGCATCATATGGTCCACTTGACAGCAATCGTGTGCTCGACCAGTCGAACGAAGCGAGAGGGAGCGGCCGTCGTCGTCGACGTCGAGCGACGCGCTCCTCGACTCCACCCGACCACCTCGCTGTCGCACCCAGCGCATCATGGACTACTTTGTGCCCGTCCCAGGCACTGCCATGCCCTCCTTTGCGTCAAGCACCCTCCTCCTCGTGCGTCCTCTCCTCTCCCCACTCCCCCCCCCCCCCCCTCATCCTCATCTCCCCGAAACTGACGACGCCCCTCGCTCACACAGCCGCAACCCTCGCTGTCGAGCGTGGCTCAGCTCGCGTGCGACCTCCTCGTGCATAACTGCGCGCTCAAACTCGTCGGGTACCTCGGCGTGCGCGACTTTGTGCCGGCCGTCGGCGCGAGGGACGCGCTGCCCGGCAGCGAGGGCGAGGTCGAGGGCTTGTCGCTAGGGACTGAGGGTGCGTCGATGCGCTCCGCCACTGTCTCTCTCATGGCTCTCGCGAGCGTGGAGAAGCTGACCCGGACGGTCGCCTTGATTCGCAGTCTACACCAACCCTTCCCGCACCCTCACCCTCGTCCTCCCGCGCACACCCGTCATCCACGCCCGCAAGGCGCACCACCTCGACGCCATGGCGCGGTTCGTCGCTGCGGGCGGGTTCCGCGACGTTCTCGTCGTCGCCGGCGTCGATGCAGCCATGAGGGGGGACGAGGCGCTCAACGCGTGAGTTGGTGCTCGTCCTTCTGCCTACGACCTGCGCAACTTGTCTTGTGCGGGCTCGCGGATGAACTCGCTGACCCTTTCCAACCTTGCAGCCCGACGCCGCTCTGGCACCTCATCCCCTCTTCCTCCTCGTCGACCTCTTCTCCCCTCCTCGCCTCGCTCCAGTCCCTCGCCCCGCCCTACTCAGCCTCCAGCACCTCCTCCTCCACCACCCTCCCCTCCCTCCCGCACGCCGGCCTCACCCGCTCCCTCCTCGCCGCCCTCTCCCCTCCTCCCTCCTCCTCGTCCTCCTCGGCTTCGACCCAGCCCCAGCCCCAGGTCCCCACCGCCGCCCTCCTCGCCTACACCGCCGAGGGCACGGCCGCCCCGCTCGCGCACCTCGTCGCGACCGCGCTCGCGCACGTGCTCGGCCTGCCGCTGCCTGCGGGCGCGCCCGCGCCGGCGCAGCAGGGCGAGGCGGGACTCGAGGAGGGGGACGACGAGGGCACGACGTGGGTCGAGCCGGTCAGTTGGGAGCGCGGACTCATGGGCGTCGAGCTCGAGCGCGACGGCGGCGGGAGGGAGATGTTCAGCTAACTAGATGGGTCCGGCGGGCGGGGCTCGAGCGAGCGAGCGAGAGGGGCTGGACGCAACGTGCACAGGCGGTTCTGCCAATCCCTCCCGGCTCTCTGTCGCTCCCCGCTCTCTCGAGAGATGATTGTGCGACAGGCAGGACGGGAGGTGAGAGAGCTTGCGATGCGGTTTGCTCCTCGCCTCGTCCCCCCCCCCTCCTCGAGCTCTACAGCCCCTCCTGCCTGTCCACCGCGTCCCGCAGCCCAATCCCGCCGGCCCCTCTCCTCCCCGACGTCGCACCCTCGGCGCCCTCGTCGTCGTCGGCCGGCACGAGGTTGGCCCACGAAACGGCGTAGTGCTCGAGGACGAGGTTGAGCTCCTCGACCTCGTCGATGCGCTCGAGGGCGTTGACGCTGTGGGCGAGGTGGGGCGAGGACGTGTGTCAGGGTCGATCGCTGGGCAGGTCGTGCGCGAGAGAGAGAGTGAGAGAGGGTGGGAGGAGAGGCGGCGAGGGGAAGAAAGAGAGCAAAACGAGAGGGAGAACACGCTCGACGCACCGCTCGAGCTCGTCCCTCGGCAAGCACCGCTCCCTGATCTCGCGCACCGTGCGGCTCCCGACCTGGCCCCGTGCCCCGGCGCGCACGAGGCGCGCCTCGAGGCTCTCGAGCGTTGGCGTGGCCGGGGCGCCGGGGAGCGAGAGGCCGCGGGCCTGCAAGACGTGCGGGAAGAGGGGACGAGGGGGGCAGGCAAAGGGTGTCAGGACTACGGAGAGAAGTGTCTCACGATGAGAGGGAGAGACTGGGCGACGCACAGCCAGGTTGCGCCGCATGACCTCGCCGAACTTGTCGTCGAGCCCGAACGGGTCGTACATGACGACGGCGCCTCCTGGTGCTCGGTCCTCGGCGCCTCCAGGTCGCGGGGCGCCCCACGTGCGCGCGAACCAGGCGAGGAGGGCGTCGGCTGCGGCGGGCGGGACGTAGACGAGGACGCACTCGAGGAGGAGGAGGGTCGGGAGGGAGGGCGAGAGGGGCGCGGTGCGAGTTGGTGCGGGAGGGTCTGACGAAGAGGGTGCCGAGGAGGAGGAGGTGGGAGAGACGAGGGACGAGGTGAGGCCGTCGAGGGAGCGGATGTCGCCGGGGAGGAGCGAGTACAGGGTCGACGACAGGCCCTGGCCGCCATGTTCTGCGCGCGCCCGGCACACAAGTCAGTCTCGCACCGTCGACGAGGTGAGAGAGAGAGGGACGCACCGACTTTGACGTTGCCGCCGAGGGCGTCGCGCAGGACGGGTTTCGAGGCGACGACCCTCGCCTTGGCGCTGGTTGCCTCTGGAAAGTCGACCTCGACCCAGTGGGCGCAGTTCCAGTCGCGGTGTTGTTGTTGGAACGAGTTGCGGATGCGCCAGAAGCGCGAGTCGGTGCCGGCGCCGAGCGATACGACCTGGCACGGAGACTGGTGCCCCACTCGTGGTCGGTGGAGGTCGAGAAAGTCGACGACGAGGCGGTCGATGGCGTAGGTGCGGGCGTGGGTACCGAGGTTGATCAAGGGCGGGCGGCGGTCGAGGTTCCTGCGTTGGGCGGGCGCGAGGAAGAGGGGCGAGATGGTGTCGTCGAGGTAGGCGAGCGAGGCGGCCGAGCACCGCGACACGAGCGCGTCCGTGTCGGTTGAGCGCACGGCTGCGTCTTCTGCGAGTGTGCTGTGGTGCTCCATGGCGCGGGCTGTGCTCTGCGAGCCAACAGGGGTGCGAGTGGGTCGGTCCGAGGTTGAGGTTGGTGGTGGAGCGACGAGAGTGACTCTCCCTCTCTCCCTCCATACCGAGAGACCCGCCATGAGCACCGACAAGGACGACTTTGCCGCCTACACCACCATCGGCGACCGCACCGAGCAACCCCAGGACACGCGCGCTCCCCTCCACGCCCGCTCCTCCGGCCCCTCGTTCCTCCCGCCATCAAAGCTCGAGGTGAGCCGCAGTGTCCTCGAGTCGAGTCTCTGGAGCAGGCTCCTGCATGTCCGCCCCTCCCGCCCTTCCCTCGAACCGCCCTCGCCCACTCTGCGCACCTTCCCCCTCCGCCTCCCCCTCCTCATCATCGAATGCCGGCCCCACCTCGCCCCCTCGCTCGCCCGCCCTCGCACTCACTCGCTGACCCACACGACCCATGCCCACAGCCCTACCTCCTCCTCGCCAAGTCGGCCCGCGGCGCAGGCGCCGCCAACCTCGTCTCGCAGGCCGTCGCCGCACCGGGCGTCTACGTCTTTGGCGAGCTCCTCGACCAGCCCTCGATCCGCGACGTGCGTCGCTCTCCCTCCCTCGTCCTCCTTAAGTCCGAGTCCCCGACTGACCCAGGGCACCCGCACCGCAGCTCGCCAACCACGAGCAGCACGCTCAGCAGCACCGCCTCCTCGAACTGTTCGCGTTCGGCACCTGGGCCGACTACGAGGGTGCGCCCCGACTCTCTCTCTCTCTCGGTGTGGAAGCACCCTGACTGACTCTCGCTGTCCACTCGCAGCCAACCGCGACAACTATCCGGCCCTGACGCCCGACCAGGAGACCAAGCTGCGCCACCTCACGGTCCTCACCCTCGCCTCGTCGCAGCGTGTGCGTCCCACCCTCTCTCTCGGCCTGTCCCTCCGTCCCTCGACTGACTATTCCTCACTCGCTCCCCCTCCTCGCCTGCGCGCGACCCCGGCCCCAACCCGCAGTCGATCCCCTATGCGCTCCTCCTCTCGCGCCTGTCGCTCCCGGACGTCGCCACCCTCGAGGACCTCCTCATCGCCGCGTTCTACGCCGGCGTCCTGCGCGGCAAGCTCGACGCGCGCGAGCAGCGCCTCGAGGTCCTGTCGGCTCAGGGCCGCGACGTGCGCCGCGACGAGCCCGCCGCCGTCGCCGAGGAGAGCATGGAGCTCGACCCGACCACCGCCACCGCCACTACCGGTGCCAGCACCGCCGCGCCGACCCCGTCGTCGCTCCTCGCGTCGCTGCGCATCTTCCAGTCGACGCTCGCGGGCCTGATCGCGTCCCTCTCGGCGCACCTCGGCGACCTGCACGCGCGCAACGTCAACGCCGACGAGCTCGAGCAGCTGCACGAGGAGCGCGTCGAGGGGATCGTGAGGGAGGCCGGGAAGAGGGACATTGACGGCGGCGCGGGTGGGGGCAAGAAGGGCGCCGCGGCGAGGAAGTCGGTCGTGCAGCCCCAGCAGGGGTTCGGCGCCGCGACCGCCGCCGCCGCCGAGGGAGGCGACATGGACGTCGATGCGGCGTCGATGCCCTTAGGCGGCAATGGCGGCGGCGGCGGTGGGGCCTTTTCGGCCTTCAGCGCGCTCACCGGCGCCATCGGGCTCGGCGGGAGCGGCAGCGGCACCGGCAGCGGCGGGAACGGTGGAGGGTCGCAGGGGCAGGGACGTGGCGCGGCGGGGAGCCCGACGGGCGGTGGGGCGGCCGCGAGGGCGAGGAAGCGCAACCGGCAGTGAGTGCTCGAGGGTGCGAGGGTGCGAGGGCTGGTTACGGACGCTTGACGATGATGTAGTACTCGACGAGGACTGGACGAGCAACGCTTGATGCGCTTTCTTTTCTTTCGGCACTTTTGCGAGCTCGCGAGCCCCCTCGAGAGCCGGCGACGACGACGACGAATGGACTGCGAGAGACTTTGCATTGCGAACGAACAGAGTGACAAGAAGGGGTCGGTACCGATAAAGATCAAGAGAGAGAGAGAGAGAGCAGGCACGAGTCGTACACGTCTTTGGCGAGACGGCGAAGGACGAGGGGGAGAAAGAGAGGGAGAGGAGGAGGAAGAGGGGGTTCGAGCGCTCAGAGCTTGGCCTTGCCCTCGGTCTCCTTGGCGGCGAGGACACGCAGGTCCTTGCGGAGAATCTTGCCCGATGGACTGTGAACGGGAGAGAGGGCGAGGGAGGAGGCGAGGCGAGGCGAGGCGAGAGAGGGAGAGGAAGGCGGGGAAGACGAAGCAGGGTCAGTGCGGTTCTCGAAAGCGAAACTCACGCCCGCCTCGAACGAGGGAGAGAAAGTCGCAAGCGCACCTCTTGGGGATGGCCTCGAGGATGAAGACGCCGCCGCGCAGGCGCTTGTGCGGCGCGAGCTTGTCGGCGACGAACGCGGCCACGTCCTGCTTGAGCGTCGGGCTCTTGGCGTGCTCCGGGTTCGGGACGACTGCAAGTGGGTAGTTGAGCGGTCAGTGAGGCTTCGCGATGAGGGAGAGGAGGTAGAGAAGGGGAAAGGGGACGCACTGTACGCCCGAGGAAGCTCGGTCGCGCGCTCGTCGGACCAGACGCCGATGACGGCTGCGTCAGCGACCAACGGGCATTCGAGCAGGCAGCCCTCGACCCTGCGAGCGACAGAGTGTCAGTGTCGCTCTCCGGGCTGACAAAAGGAGTGTGAGAGAGAGAGACGCACTCGGCGGGAGCGACCTGGAAGCCTGCGGGCGAGCGAGACGAGGGTCAGTGCGCCCTCGATAGAGAGAGGGAGAGAGCGAGAGAGAGAAGACGCACCCGAGTACTTGATGAGCTCCTTTGCGCGGTCGATGACGGCGTAGTAGCCGTCCTCGGTCCTGGTGCAGATGTCGCCCGTCATGAGCCACCCGTCGTCGGTGAGCGTCTCGCGCGTCGACTTCTCGTTCTTCGTGTACCGCAACATGATGTTGGGCCCGCGGAGCCACAGCTCGCCCGCCTCGCCCTTGGGCACGTCCTTGCCCTCGGGCGAGACGAGGCGCGCCTCGATCGTCGACAGGAGCTTGCCGACCGTGCCCGGCTTCGAGTCGCCGTTGGGCGGGATCATCGCGACCGACGTCGTCTCGGTCATGCCGAGGCTGTATGGGCGCAAAGGGTTAGAAGGCCACTCGAGAGGGAGAGGGGGCGAAAAGGCGGGACGCACCCTTGGAAAACGAGCGTGCGGCCCTTGAGGCGCTTGTGCAGGGCGCCCTCGAGCTCGGCGGACAGCGGTGCAGCTCCGCACAGGATGTAGCCTGAAAGAGGTGACGCTCGTCAGTCAGGGCGGGAGAGAGAGAAAAGAAAGGGGACCGGGGACGAGATCTGACTCACGAAGGGTCGACAGGTCGAACTTGTCGACGATCGGGTGCTTGGCGAGCGCGAGCGCAATAGGCGGAACGACGAGAGCAGTCTGCGGGCGAAGGAAAATCAGCCCGACGCGTTTGGGCAACTTGAGAAGGTCGCGAGAGGGGGAGGAGGAGGAAGGGACGGAGACGGACCGTGCACTTGTACTTCTGCACGCTCTCGAGCGCTTTGACGAGGTCGAACTTGGGGAGCACGACGCATGTGCCGCCGTTGTAGAACGTGAGGTGGATCATGACGACGAGGCCGAACTGCAGGGTTCACGAGGTCAGTGCTGGTCCCCTCGTTCCGACGACGCCCAGAGCGACGGGACGAACGATGTGGTACTGAGGAAGGACTGAGAGGACGGTATCCGCTTTGTCGAAGATGCCCTTGGTCTGCCGGGTCTGCAGCGTGCACGTCGTGACGTTGTGCGCCGAAAGGGCGACGCCCTTGGCCTTGCCGGTCGTCCCGCTCGAGAACGGCAGGTACGCGACGTCGCTCTTGGCCTCGTCGAACGTCGGGATGACGGGCTTGAACGAGTCGGAGCCGCGCAGGGCGTCGTAGGCCTTCATGCCCTGCGGGAGCGACGACGGGAGCTGGCCGTCCGAGCCGGGCAGGACGTAGACGTTCTCGTGGCTGAAGCCGGCGTCCTTGCACGCCTTGACGGTCACGTCGAGCGTGTCGGCACTGGCAAAGATGACGGCGGCGTCCGACAGGTCGATGGCGTGGGCGAGCTCGTCGGGGAGGTAGCTCGAGTTGGCGGTCGACACGACGAGGCCGGCGGCCTGGCCGGCAAACAGGAGGACCGGGTACAGGATCGAGTTGGGCGAGAACACGAGCATCGTCTGGCGGCGCTTGAGCTTGGCGACCTGGGTGAGGCCGTCGGCGAAGCGGAGCGACTCGCTCGCGAGCTCGCCGTACGAGACCTGCCGGGCGTGGGGTTCTGTCAGCTCAGGGACTCGGGCAAGGAATGTGCAGAGAAGATGGGGCGCACCTTCTTGCCGGTCAACGCGTCGATGAGAGCCGTCTTGCTCGGGTTGAAGTTGGGGTTCGAGGAGGAGAGCGTGAAGTCGAACACGCCGCCCTTGTGCTGCTGCGCGACCTCGACAGGCGGGAACGGGCTCGTGTAGATCATGGCCGCTGCTGTGCTGGTAGCTGGACGAGCTGTGGGTGAGGAGGGAGGGAGGAGCGAAGCGACGTCGCCGAGCTGCTGGCTGGCCCAGGCCGGCCCCTCCAAGGTTCCGATCCGGACTTGCGAGGAGAGGTCCCTCTTCGGGCTCCGGCGGCAGAGTGCAATGCGCGAGGGCGTTACAATGGCAGCGACGCTACAGCAAGCACGCCGCCGACCAGGTGCAGGCTCCCCGCAACGAGCGCATCGACCCGCACCTCCTGCCCCGGACCCGCCGCCGCTCCAGCCGCTCCTCGCACCACCTCGACCGCCTCCTGCACCGACCCGAGGACGTGCACCTGCGCTTCGCTCGGCTCCCTCCCCTTGCTCAGCTCGCGCCACGCCTCGGCGAGCTCGTGCTGCGTCGCGAGCGTCTCGAGGTCCTTGTCGTCGACGGCCTTGCTCGTCATGTCTGCGCGCGCGAGAGAGACAGGGTCAGGGACGGCGCCGACGTACAGGCAGGAGAAGGGGGACGCACCGCCGCTCGACGAGCCCGACGAGTACGTCGTGTTGGTGCAGAAGATGACGTGCTGGAACGGCTGCGACGAGAGCGACGACAGGAGGGTGCCGAGGAGCGACAGGCCCGAGCGGCCCGACGTGCAGTTGAAGACGAGGGCGCGCACGCTCGCGTCCGACCTGCAGAGAGAGGGAGAGGGTCAGGTGAGGCTCGGGGAGCGGAAAGAGAGGGAGAGAACCGAGAACGCACCCCTTGAGCGACGCCTCCTCGAACCACTCGCCGCAGCACTTGAGGCTCTCGACCGTGTGCGCACCGTCGAGGTACCACCGCACGCTCTTGACCTCGGGATCGGGCGAGACCTGGCACCGGCCGGGCCACCGAGTCTGCTCGAGCGCGGCGACGACGGAGGCCGGAATCGGGTCGGGCGCGACAAGGGAAGAGGGGAGGGAGGGGAGGGCCGAGGCGTCGGCGGGCGCGGTTGTCGATACGGGGGCGATGGACGAGCTGGAGAAGGCGGGAGGGCAGCGGGAGGAGGAGAGGAAGGACTGGACGAGGGCGACGGCGAGGGAAGCGTTCGAGCGCTGGTGGACGCCGGCGAGGCCTGTCGGGACACTGGGTCAGTGCGCGCAAGAGAGGACGAAGAGAGAGCTTGGACGCACCGAGCTTGACGTCCTTGAGCTGCGAGTGCTCGGGAATGACGGTGAAGGACGACGCCTTGAGCTCCTTTGCCCGCGACTCGAGCACGTCGAGCCCTTCAGGCTGCTGGATAGCGAGCGCCGGGACGCCGACCTGTACGAGGTCGAAAGTCAGGGCTGCGTCGAGTCGGGATGAGAGAGGGGGGGGCGCACCTTGTAGATGCCGCCCTTTTGGTGAGCGATTTCGGGGAGCGTCTTGCCGAGGACCCAGATGTGGTCGATTCCGAGCGCCGTGATGCCCGTCGTGACGGGCTGCGGCACAATGTTGGTCGAGTCGTACGTGCCGCCAATACCGACCTCGAGCACCGTCGCGTCGACCTGCTCGGGCGCGAGAGAAGGAGGTCAGCTCGGCCGGCGGAACGAGAGGACCCTGCGGCAGAGGGAGAGAGAGAGGAGGGCGCACCTTCTCTTGCAAGAAGACGTGCATCGCCAGGATGGTGAGGTAGCGGAAGTAGGCCGGCTTGGGCGGCATGTCGTCGCTCGTCTGCGTGCGCGAGGGGGCTCGAGGTGAGCGGTCGTCGAGGAAGGGAAGGGAGAGCGAGACGCACCGCCGCGTCCGAGTCGAGCTTGTCCCACACCTCCCAGAAGTAGCGCGCAAAGAGGCCCTCGGAGATGGGCTCGCCGTTGATGCGGATGCGCTCGCGGACGGCGACCATGTGGGGGGAGGTGTACAGGCCGACTTTGGCGGCTGGCGCGAGCTTGGTGAGGATGGTCGACACGAAGGCGCTGGTCGAGCCTTTGCCCTTGGTGCCCGTGATGTGCAGCACGTTCATCTTGTCGAGGTCGGAGGGCTGGAGGAGGGGATTGACGAGGAGGAGGAGATGAAGATGGTCAGCTCGCTCGCCTCCTCCCGTGCGGGTCCCGCGAGAGGGTGGACAGACTCTGGACGGACCTGGTATCCGACCCGGCGCATATACTCGAGCTGCTCTGCGAGCTGGACGTGGCCGCTCTTGCCCCCGCTCTTGCGGACGGCCTCGATGGTGGCCGCGTTCGACTGGAGCGAGTTGAGCGCGTCGACCGCCTCGGCGTAGGTGCGTGCTGCGGGTCCCGACATTCGAGCAAGCAGGCGCACGAGCGAAGCGTGCATGCGATGAGAGTCAAGCCTCTTCTCCTCCTGCTCGTCGTCCTTGACCTCGACCTCTCACCTCTCCCCGCTCGTTCGTTCTGCACGGTAGCGTCGCTCTCTCCCTCTCCAGCTAGCGCGCAGTATGAGGCAATCTCTCGCGCCTCCCACTCGGACGCGCTTGCTCTCGCCGCCGCTTTCCACTCGCTGCCGGACTCGCGCTGCAGTACACGCACGACGCCGTCGCATTCAACGCTCGAACTGCTACCAGTCGACGCGGACTGTCGCCTTGGTCTCGCCTGGCCCGCCGGCGGGCGCAGCAGCTGCCGCGACCCTGGCTGGCGGCTCCTGCTCCTCGCTCGTCGGCGCGTTGGTCGACCTGCAGGCGACGATGTCAGCTCTTGCTCCGAGCGAGGGCGAGAGGAAGACGCACTTGGCTGCACTTGATGCCTGTGCGTCGTGCACTGGTCCATCCTCCCGCTCCTCGACCGCTTCCGCAATCGTTTCGCCCTCGGCCGCCTCGCTCTGCGCTCCGCCGCCCGTCGCCTCGCCGCCCTGCTCCTCGTACACCGACGCGCCGACGTCGACTGTCCTCTTGCGCACGACGGGCCGCCGCTGGCGCAGGTCGCGCACCCGAGGGAGGAACGCCGCCGCCTCGTCGTCGACCTCGTCTCCTCCCGCTGCCCAACCCGACGGGCTCGAAAGCAGGCTCAGCACGTCCGACTTGTCGTCGTCGCCGTCGTTCTCCTTGCCGATCTCGCCGAAAGGTGTGCTGGGGCGAGTGGGCTGGCCGTCCGGGGTGGTGGTCGAGCGCGGCGGAGCTGGGCGGCGGACGACGGGTCGTCGAGCGGCGGTGGTGCGGGCGAGGACGGGCTGGAACGGGCTCGAGGGCGGGTCGGCAAGCTCTCGAGGGATGGGCGAGCCGCGAGACGACATCGACGGTGTGGGAGGAAGAGCGAGAGAGAGTCGGAAAGCGAGCTGGCCGGCGACGCCGGGAGAGGTGCGAGCAGAGTGCGTCGGCGTGCTCAGACGGACGACGGCGCGAGCGCACGCCGCTCAAGAGCGTCGTCTCACTTTTCGGCCGCGTTGAGCGCAAGCTGGCGACGTCGAGAGAGCCGCTCGCGAGACGCAAAGGGAAACGTAAAGCCGAGTGCGACGACCTGCGATGCATCTCCTCACACGGCCCCCTCGACCCGGTCCATCTCCCTCCCTTCCTCCTCGACCGTCTTGCGCATCGCCTCGAGCCACGTGGCGAGCCTCGGCCGCGCCGACGAGGCGAACGAGACGGCGATGTGTCGTGCGTGGGCGAGGACGGGAAGGCGGCGGAGCGTGCGGCCGGAAAGGCCCTGCTCGAGAGCGCGCCAAGGGTCAGGTCGCGACGAGAGAGTGCGATAGGGAGGAAAGTGGGCGGACCTGGCACTGGTTGGCGAGCGAGAAGAGCAACTCGCTGCAGCGAGTCTCCTCGTCGGCGTCTTGCGCTCCTGCGCCGCCCGTCGACTCGAGCACCTCGAGGGCCTTGTACTCGTGCAGGGCCTGTACGTCTCGAGAGTCAGAGAGAGACTCTAGAGGAGAGGAGTGGAGAGGGAGAGGAGGCGCACGACAGGAGGGATGAGGCCGGCGCGCATGATCTCGTTCAGGCACGACTTGAGGATCCAGTAGACGGCGGCAGCAGGCGGTCTGTGGGCCGAACAGCGTCAGTCCGACTCGCAGGAGGAGAGAGGGCGGTGGACGCACAGGCCAATGTACTGCTTGATGTCGGCCCGGTCGATAAAGGCGTTGTCTGCGAGGCGGAACACGCGATCAGTCAGCACTGCCTCTCGGCAGCTCGGACAAGACGCAGAGACGACGACGCACCGATGGCGCCGGTGAGGTTGGACGTCGTCATGACGAGGCAGTTCTTGCGCGTCTTGAGCTTGTCGAGCTGCGTCAGGAGGGCGTTGACGACCTGCAGGCGCCCCGACCGAGTCAGTGACCGGCTCGCGACGATAGGGAGAGCAATCGACGCACTCGCAGTGCATCAGAAGGTTCCTTGCCCGACATGGCGCCCGCCCTTGCCGCCGTCAAGCTCTCAACCTCGTCTGCGTGCGGGAACGAGGGTCAGTGCTCCGGCTGATCGAGAGGAAGAGAGAGGGGACGCACCGATGAGGACGACGACAAAGCTGCTCTCGTCGTCGACCATGTCGGTGACCTGGGCAAACAGGCGCTGGACGAGCTTGCCCGACTCGGAGAACCACTTGCTGAAGAGCGAGTGCGAGTTGATCTCGATGAGCTTGCCTGACGCGTACCTGCATGAGAGGTTCAAGGATCAGGTCGATGTACACGAGGGAGTGTGCAGAGAGGGAGCACCGGGGCGCACCGGTCCGAGAGGCGGATGGCGAGCTTTTGAGCGAGCGACCGGCACAGGGACGTCTTGCCCGTTCCCGGCGGACCGTGCAGGAGGACGACGCTGTTCGAGCTCGACAGTCAGTGCGTGTCGGGCTCGTGGAGGGAAGAGGGAGGAGAGAGAGGGGGCGCACCGGTTCCACGTGACGATGTTGAAGTCGACGAGGGCGTCGCTGAAGAGCATGGTCGAGTAGATGTAGTTGAGGAGCTTGCCCTTGACGTCGCCGTCGTAGATGAGCGTGTCCCACACGCCCTCGAGGCTCAGGGACGGCAGCTCGAGGACCGACGCGGCGGGCACGTCCGAGTCGCCGTCGTCGTCGTTGTGCGGCGACGTGCTGAACTCGGTGACGCGCGACGAGGACGGCGGCTGGTACACGTGCAAGTGGAGCGAGACGGCGTCGAGAGGGACGGCGGAAGTAGCGAGGGCTGTGCGCGGGCGACGGTAGGGGTGAGTGAGAGAACCGAGAAGGTCGCGCCGAGGTGAGGACGAGAGGGACGTACTGCATTCGCCAATCCAGACCCGGTCGACGTTTTGCGCGAGGACGGCGACGTCCCGCCAGTCGTGCACCTCCGAGTGCGTGAGGAGCGTCTCGTACTCGGCGTCGAGGTGCTGGCTCATGAGCCGGCGGATCAAGTCGTACCGCATCGTCGACGTCGGCTTGAGGCGGACCTCGACTGCGAGCGCGGGCGCGTGGGTCAGTCTCATGATCGAGAGTGCGCTGAAGGCGCGAAAGTCGAGCGCACCATGAAGCGGGGGCAAGTCGTCGCTCCCAACGCTGCTCCTCCTGCTCGGGCCGCCCTCATCGTCCATCTGGCCCTCGCCCTCGCCCTCCTCCGTCTCGCCAGCCGGCTCATCTCCTCCATCGAGACCGTCGACCGCCCCACCGCCGCCATTGCGCAGGGAGAGCCGCGCCTGCGTCTCCTGGCTCAAGGCGAGCTCCATGCTGACGTCGTCCTGGTCGGCGAGCGCGAGTGTCGGTGCGGCAGGCGCGCTCGGAAGGCGTGGCGAGGTGCTGGACGCGACCTTGCGGGCCTGGGGCGGTGTCGCGGTGACAGGGTTGGCGAGCGCGATGTTGGACGAGCGCGAGGGCGAGAGAGGGGTGCGGGCTGCGGATGGCGCAGGCGTGGGCGGGGTGTACTCGAGGACGGGCATGCTCGTCGAGGTGCGCGCTCAAAGGGCTCGCAGCTGTTGCGTGAGCGGGTGGAGGGAGAAGGAGAGGTTCCGCGAGACAGGTGCTGTCGCTCGACGCGACGACCTCGCTCGTACGGCGTACTCTGGCGCTCGGCAGTAGCGCAGTACAGCAGGCTTTCGTACGCAAGTTTGCCACACGCGTCGAGCGAGCGTGAAGACCGCGTTCCCGCTCCAAACTCGAGCGACAGGTCGCCCTCCTCTCGCTCAGGCGCAAACGACTCGCGAGAACTGACATTCGTTTTTCAACCCACCGCTCGACCGCCCATCTATCCGCTCGAGTCGCGCCGAGCGCGCGATCCGGTCAGGACCGCGCGCCGACCCTCCTTGCGCCTCGTCACCTGGCTCCCTCCGCCGCGCACCGAGAATAAGCTGCCGTCTAGAGGGAGGCGCTTAGATGGCCTTCGACTTGACGAGGGCTGCGCGACGAGGAGGTACGGCGTCAGTAGGACGTCCTGAGGGCTACCGACTACGCAAGATGCCGCCGCCCGTCGCCCTCGACGACGAGCAGAGGCACCTTAGCGGCGAGGCACAAGAAGTGAAGGAGCGCTCGACGCACCCTCGACCTCGGCGACCGACGAGAGGAGGATGTCGCGCTGGAGCTTCTTGTCGCCAAGCTGCTTCTGGACGTTGCCGAGGACGGTCTGGACGAGGTCGCGCTGCTCCTGCTCGCGGAGCTGCGCCTCGTGGCGGACGTGCGAGTCGAGGACCGACTTGATCTCGGCAGAGATGGCCGCCTCCTGCTTGAGGCGGAACGTCTCGTGCTCGAGCTCGGCGGTTTGCTGCGGGGCCGGGGAGGAGAGGGTGGAGCGGGTCAGTCAGGGCTCGCTCTGAGGCACGGCTGCGGTCGAGAGAGAGAGGGTGCGCACCTTGGAGAGCTCGAACAGCTGCTTGGTGAGCTGCTCAACCTCCTTGAGCTCCTGGACCGACTCGATGCGTGCGCCGACAGCCTTGGTGTGGGACGCGCGCGACGAGTTGAGGATGTCCTTGACCTTCTGCTCGTCGGGAATGGGGAAGTGTGCGACACGCAGGTAGTCAGCAGTTTGCTCCTGTGCGCCGCCAGCGCCGCAGAGAGAGGGGAGAGGGGACGGACCTGGATCTGGCCGTCGGCCCACTCGCGGTAGGGCTCGCGGACGAGGCTCGAGACGTAGCCGAGGAAGATGACGAACGAGCCGAGGATGACGACCTCCTCGTTGAGGACAAAGAGCTCGTTCGAGATGGCAGCGGCCGAGGTCGCGGCGGTGAGGGTGACGATGCCGGTCTTGGAGATGAGCGAGTTGCCGGGGAGGGCGTCGATGAGGGCCGACGCCTTCTGGGCCGGTGCCGGGGTCGACGACGACGCGAGGCGGACCCTGCAAGTGGACGAGGTGCAAGATCGAGGCGCGGTCGAGGGAGGAGATGGGAGAGGGGGCCCGTCAGCTTTGTCCCGCACGCACGAGGCGTCGAGGGTGGAAGGAAAGGGGACGGACTGGGCGAGGGCACGGGGCTGAACAGCCTGGCGCGCAACACGGGCAGCAGTCGAGCGAAGCATGGCGGGCAGTTGGAGGCGAGAGGAGGGAGGGCCACCAGCCGAGAGCGCGAGCCAGAACCAAGGTCCGACTGTCTCCGCCTCGTCTCCTCGCCATCTGGTTGCTACGTGACGGCCCGACCGAGGCTTGCACGGCCGGCTACTGCCCCTGCGGCACCCGCCCCAGGCCGCTCAGCCGCCCGACGCCCTCGACCTCCTCCTCCTCGCTTCCGGTGCTCGCCCTCCTCTCGCTCGCCGCCATCTCTCTGTGCTGCTCGGGCGCTTCGACAGAGGCTCCTGGCTTTGTCTTTCGGAGGCCTGTGCCGAGCAGCGACTCGGCTCGCCGCCTCGTCGAGGTTCTCGCCGCTTCCGTCCGCGCCGGCAGAGGTCCTTCTGCCTCCTGCGCGCACCGTACGGCTCTCCGACTCCGGCAGCACAGTCGCGTTGAATGGGTGGCGCGGCTTGCTGGGATCACGGCTCTCGAGTGCCTGGCTCGAGCCCTGTCCGTTCTCCTGATGCCGGCGAACCGCGCAGAAGGATGTGCTCGTCGACTCTGCGGCACAGCTTGAGTGACGCTGGCCTCACGACGAGCATCTGCCTCGGCTCCACTTGTATTGCTCTGCGTCGCCCACCTTGGCGCGCTCTCGTCGCCGAGGGAGGACCTCGAGATCTGGTCGTCTCCTTTGACGACGGCCGCGCAGCGCTTGCCCGCTCTTCGAGGATTCTTGCCTCGCGCATAAGGCTCTTCAGGTCGCTCTCGCGATTATGGGCGGCGCAGCTGCTGCGCACCGAGCGTGCAGCGAGAGACCGGGCCGAGGTCGCCGCGAACGGAGCGGACTGGCGAGAGCGAGAGCGACTGGAAGCAGCTTTCACCGACGAAGTTTCCGCTCGTAATGTCGACGAGAACGCGATGGACGAGTCGGACGCGCTGCAGAGCCTGCGAGAGCGAGGTTCGACCCGAGAGGGAAGGGGGGATCCAGAGCAACACGGGCCTCGCTTCAACCCACTCCCCTCTCGCCAGGCTACCGAGACTACACGCCAGTCTACTCCGACAACCAGCCTCGAGAGCAGGCCCCGTCCACCGCCGCAC